TGCAAGAAGCGGGAAGGGGTCAGAAGTGGGCGCTTTGAGGCCTTCCCCCCCGGCAGCCCCTCGAAAAGAGGGGCCGGGGCGGGGAGGCCCCCCCCCCTTCAAAAAGTTAGATCGGGGGGGGGGCCTCCCGCCCTGAGCCCTGGAACATATATATAAATATATTACTGCGAGAAAAAGAACAATCATCTCTTAGTAGCTATACGGCAGATGCTGCATATAAATCATGTTGTATCAGATGATCCCCACAAAAAAATAGACCTCTTCTAACACCTCAAGTGCACTCGCTGATGCGCGCCAGGAAGGGGAACAGCTGCAGGCTGAAGTCGCCAAAGTCGATCAAACTTTTGAGCGCGTAGTCGCTCAGTCGGAGGCTGTCCAGAAAGGCACAGAAGCCGCGAGCGCGGAGTTCCGCCAGGTAGAATCAGAGTTGTCGACCGAGATGCAAGCAGCAAATACCAAGGCAGAAACCGCAATGCAAGCCAGCAATGTTACGCAGCTGAATTTAATTTGATAACTGGATCAATGAAGATGTAAATGAAGTTTTTCCATCTCCATGTTCGTGGTCCTCGTTCATGAGTCGTGGTCGAGAACATCTCACATTAGTTATTTTGGAGGACGAACACTGACGATCTGCATCCTGAATTGCTTAGAATAGAAAAATACCCAATGTCAAAGTTATGAGTCTCCTGTTCCCGCAGTTGTGTCTGCAATGCTGGTCGTTCATTCTCTGCCACGAGGAGACGCTAGAGAAAGCAGCGAGCATCCTCGCAGAGGTGAAGAAAAAGGTTGATGCCGACGAAGAGGTGTTAGGAGCGCTTGATGGTAAAGTTGGCGATTTGCAATCTGCTGTTGCTGCCGGAACGGGCGCTTGAGGTGGCATAGAATAATGAATGATGGTGCAACTTCTACATCAACTGGGTAAAGCACAAAGACTCCATCTTATTTTTTCCGAAATATCTCCTTTTGAAGTTTTTGTAGTAGGTTCGATCGATTGACAGACGTTTTTGCGAGTATACACCATAGGTACAAGTCCCTTGTGTAGATTTTGCGATTCATTTCGTCCAGATCCACAGAGTTGCAAAGTTCCATGATGTGAGACACAGATGCATTATCATGCGAATGGTCTGCTCTCCCACATTTAGCCGCTAATTATTGATTTCTCTCCCACATGCACATTTGGCACGAAGCGTGATGTCTGTTTTGTGCTGCACAGAGAACCACAAGGACAAAGCATGTGTGCAATTGCACAGACACTGCAACATTCACAAGTTGTACTATGTCTCGAAATGTGTATAGCTAATATAAATATGTCTACATATTTTATATGATATTTGTTCTCCCGATGCGACAGCGGCTGGAGGATGTGGCCACTCTCTGTGCAGGTGAGATTAGACAGAATAGTGTTCTCTGCATGCCGTTGCCTTTGGTGGCGAAATTAACTCCGAGATGTGCACATGATCGATCAAAAGCAAATCGGCATAAAAATATGCACAAAAACACTATGATCTTTGTTCGTTACGCTTGAACAATTAAGTTAAAAAGCAAGCACGAGCACCAAAAATAGTCTTTTTTCAATGTATAATTGGAATTTCATACCGTTGGCACGACAGTGCACGCAAAGACGCACGGTCTTGCCGCGGTTTGGACAGAATTCTGTAGAATAGAGGAAGACGGTATCAAACAACATATCAAAAGTGCTCTTTATGCGGTGTAGTGCAACGACAAAAGATTTCCATCCTAGTCATGACACAACTATCCGCAATCATGTAGTAGGAAATTAAGATTTATGATTATGAAAGCTTCATCAAAAGGAAAAGGGTGACTCCTGGAGAGGTATATCATCTAACCTCGATAATAAAGTAGAGCCAGGAAGAATAAGAACAAAAGCAAAAGATAAATCAATGCCACCTAAACGAGAACGTTCGCCCGGAGGGCCCGACGCGGGCGATGAGCAAGGCTCAGCCCCCATGGACGTGGACCAGGGCTCTGCTCCAGAGCCTGGCAGCATGCATGATCGGGGTAGTCGAGAACAGGGGAGCTTACGTGGTAGCATGCCTAGTGTTACGGGGTGTTTAATTTTTTTTCTACGAGGATGAGTCCTTGTTGTACTTATCCACTACTCCTAGATAGAAACCACAGTAACCTCTTCTAAGACCTGGGGTCCTTCAGCGCAAAGGCGCCGTCTCATGGAGGAGCATCCTAGTGGGTCTCCGGACGGGTCAGCGTCACGAACGCCAGCAGATGGAGCAGGGGAAACACCAGCTGACGGCGCAACTCCCGCAGACTATGGCTTCAACGATGCTCCCAGTAGGTCACCGATAGGGTCAGGAGGTATTAGAATAGATGACTTCATATTTTTGTAATTGTACTGCAACAGCATTATAGATGTGTATGCGTATAGTGCTCTTAAGAACAGTAACCTTGGCTGTTGTTTTCTACACGTGGTCTAGTAAGAAAGTGGATTGCAAATCGAATTACAAACTACAGGCACGCCAGCGGGTAGTAATTCTTTTGACGGGACTGATCAGGACTGGGATTTGCGGTATGAAAAGGTAGAAAAGGGGACAGACCTAGGTGACAGGCTGAAGAAAAAAATTCAGAATAATTTCAAGCATTTTATTCGGACCTTCCAGACAAAGAAACTAGTCACGGGCGCTGGCCGGCAGCAAAGACGGTTTCGAAAGTTAAGGGTAGTTGCTGCTTTAACTTATAGATAATCTTTCCTTGTTTTCTTATAAATGTTCCTGGGCTCGGGGCTAGAGGCCCCCTCCTCGCCTTCTAGCCCATGACCCTTTTTGCGGAGGACTGCCGGGCGGGAAGGCCTCGAAAGGCCCGCCGCCAGTCCCGTGCGGCTCCTTGCGTGTACCCTACAGAGCCCGTGGCCGTGGTTGCGTGTACCCTACAGAACACCCATCGCGGCAAGCGTTTTGTCTCCATCGGTGCGCCCCGTTTGCTCCAGCGCTGCGGCTGCGCCCTGGTGGGCGTCGTGGTCTGCTGCTATTCCCCGTGGTCTCCTCCTGTGCCTCGTCGTCTCTTGCTGTGCCTTGTGGTCTCTTGCTGCGCCCCGTGTTCTTCTGGTGTGCCTCGTGGTCTCCTGCTGCGCCTCGTGGTCTCTTGCTGCGCCTCGTGATCTCCTGCTGCGCCTCATGTCCTCTTGGCGTGCCTCGTGGTCTCCTACTGCGCCTTGTGGGCTCCTGCTGCGCCTCGTCTTATGTATGCCGCTGCGCCTCGTCCCCAGTGAGACTGACGACACGGCGAAACCGACAAGAAACGCCATCAGACAACAACGAGAAGAGGACGGCCAACAACGTCCACAGCGAGAAGGGCGGACAAGAATGGGAACGGCCGACACGCCCGGCGGCCGCTCCGCTGCCTGTATTCTACAGATCGGGAGGCCCCTTCTGTCTGTTCCTTTTGCCGTTCTCTTCCACCAGTGTGCTGCGCCACAGCTCCCTGTAGTGTCTGTTCCTTTTGCTCTCCTTTCTCTTGCACCACTTTGCTGCGCCCCCGCTTTGCCTGCAGTGGGTGGGGGCTTGCCTCCGTGGCCCATATATGTTCCAGGGTGCGGGGCAGCGGCCTCCCCTAGCGAAGGGTGGGGGCGTGGATCCCCGGACCCCTTTTGAATTCGTCTGCCGGGTTTGAAAGGCTTCCAAAGGGGTCCAGGGGGCCTCCTCCGCTCCTTTCCAGCTGCTTGCGCGTACCCTACGGACTTTTTGCGTGTGTTTCGCTGCCGCAGCAGTGCGCTGGCTTGGAAGGCCTCCGAAGGCGGCAAAAAGTGCAAGGCTGGACCCCCTGAGCCGTGTGGCGTGGGCTGTACCCTCCGGGCCCTTGGTCATCGACTTGCTTGCTGGCTCTTGAGACCGTGGCCGCCTTTGGCGGCCATCTGCCCCGGCGACCTCGCTCCAGCTTGTGAGTGTCACCAGAGGCCAGGAGGTCGCTCAGGCCAGAGAGGCGCAGGGGGACGCCCGCGCCCAGTTTTGACACCTTCCACTTCGAGAATCCGCGAAGAGCAGCGCAGGAAGTAGCGCGCAAGCGCCACCACAGGGCCATCCACAGGGGGGGGGGGCCGTGTGTCCGTGTGTCATAAACTATAGAATAGCTCTCCGCCTACTGCAATAAACGAGAAGACGGCGGTAGCTTTTCGTCCTTGAGGACTTTTCTTCAGAAGAAAAGATAGACTACTTGGACAAGAAAGGGCAAGAACGTTGACGTTCTGAAGGGGTGAGAAGGATTTCTGCAGTTTCCTCTAAAAAAAGGCGCGATGGACGATGAGGATAGCGATGAAGAAGAACAGGACGCGGAAATGGAATACAGATATATTATCAGGATGCGAGAAATGTGCAACGATGGGAAGAGGACTTTTGTTGTCAGTACTTCTTTCTATCTTACGCGCACTCTCCTTCTTGTAGGATAATCAAAGATAGTGCGATACAACTTTGTATACCTCTACGTCTAATGGCGATTGCCTTCTAGTTTTTTCTTTTTAGATCTCGCTCCGAAAATTGGGAGGTTTGCACCTGAGAATATCGACCTTACCATGAAAAACAGATTTTCAGCACCTGTACGCCAAGCCCGAGTGCGCAAACGTTGCCTGGTGGTTATCGCAATTCCCGTCTAGGATTTTACCGGAGTTTGACGTAGCGGCAACCGAGATGTGTAAGGACGTTTACGAGGCGTTTGCCCGTGACAAGGAGGAAGTGGTGCACGTAGCAATCGAGGGATTTCCATGTTCAGACTCCATCAGAAAACTCCGCAACGAACATCTAAACCAATTCACAACCTGTGAAGCTGTAGTTACCAGGAGAACGCAGGTGCTTATCGTAGAATTTGAATGAATGGCCTGAAGATTCATAGCAGAAATACTCATCTCTTTTACATAGTATTGACTACTTAACATCTCTGCTTCTTGCTCTTTGACATAGATTGATAGTACATCAACTTCTACCCATTAAGATCAAGACCGCATACTGTACGTAGTGCACCTTTTTTCAGAACAAGTAATAATTCTTTTTTTCAGGTCTTTAACCAGTTGAAGTTAATCTGGCTCATCTGCGACAAATGTGGGGAGAGAAACGGTCCATACAATTTCCTAGGTGTGGACAAAAATCCCTTCGACGGAAAAGTCTGTGCGAATCCAGGCTGCCAGAGTAGGTATAGCAGCATAGGATAGCATGGGACTAAGAGTAGGGGCAAGTACTAACTTTGGATAGGAGTTCTCTGTGATCTATCATTCCTTACGCCTCTATGTTAGTCTGTGTCTCAAAGCTCCTCGCACCTGTAGCAGATTTATTCTCTCATTCTCTGAAATAAACGTGAATATCAACAGATTTGGATTCGCAATTTGTCCTGAGCAGACAACGTACCAGAATTATCAGCGCGTGACACTGCAGGAGCCACCAGGAAGCGTGCTCGCAGGTCGTATGCCTCGTAGCAAAGAGGCTATCTTAAGCGGAGAGATGGTGGACTCGGTGAAACCAGGAGACTTAGTACAAGTAACGGGCATTTACCGCGCGCAGTATGACGTAGAGCTCAACGCGCAAGAGTCTTTTCCGGTAATAATGTTACTAAATTGAGCATGTTGGTGTTAGACTTCTTCTATATGATGGTTTATATCCGCAAGCGAGGGTGGCGTGGATATTATGTCGATTCGATGACCCAGACTGATTATTTTTAACAATCAAGCAAATTGATATTTCACTTTTTAAAGCGTAAGGCAATAGATACACAACTCGTCGTCTCTCAGGTTTTCAATACCGAGATATCGGTAAACTACATCGTCAACACGCATGCCGAAAAGCAAACTTCCTTGACGCAAGAGGAAATCACACAGCTAAAGAAGCTTTCCGAGGAGACAGATATTCGGGAACGCATAATACAGTCGCTCGCGCCTAGTATTTTATGACGCGGCCGTCAAGTTTTAGCTTAGATAGTAGTCAATTTGCTGACGTACATATCTTGCTTCTGTAATTTTTTTCAATATTGAATCTGATTCATCAAAGATTCGCCAACTTCTTAGTTAGTAGTTCTAGTTCGTTGTACAACAATGATACTGATAGGTACGACTAGTATCAATTATAATAAATATGATCGTCATCCCCGAATCTCGTCCCATCTTCATTTCTACACGGAGACACGCATATCAAGACCGCGATGGCCCTTGCAATGTTTGGTGGGGTACCGAAGACCGCACCAGGAGGCCATCGAATTCGAGGCGACTTGAACGTGCTGATTTTGGGTGATCCAGGTAGACTATGACTATTTTCAGTGTTTGAAGAAGAGTCATTTTATTTGGTTTTTTCTTTCTGACAGTTTCTCGAAGAAGATTTTTGGTTCTACTTTCTGACACACGCCTCAAGAGAACGACGCAGCAAAACACATGTCCATGTCGTAATATGCTAAAAGCGATATCATGAGATTATCAACTAGCAGTAGCACCAGTCAGAGGACTCATATTTCGGAAACTCAAGTAAATACACCTCCAGGTATGGCGAAAAGTCAGTTTCTCAAGTACGTTGAGAAGACGATGCCTCGAGCAGTGTATACCACGGGTAAGGGAGCTAGTGGAGTGGGTCTGACAGCTGCGGTTGGGCGAGATCCTGTTTCTGGTGAATGGGTGCTGGAGGGCGGAGCTATGGTACTAGGAAGATTTTTAGTCTGTGGTAGAGGTGAGTAGATTTAAGACAACAACAAGACCGGACAACTACTGTGTAGTTGTTCGCAATCCTAGGCGTAGGTGATCTTCAGCTTGTGGTTTTGTTTCTATGTGAGTAAATCCCCATGATTCAATCTCCATGTCGTATTCGACGACTTTTTCCACCAGGTTCTCGCAGATCAAGGTATCTGCCTGATTGACGAGTTCGATAAGATGAACGATCAAGATAGGACAAGTATACACGAAGCTATGGAACAACAAACGATTTCGATTGCCAAAGCTGGTATCTGCGCATCTCTCCATTACGGTTGGTTCTTGTAGAGAAATTTAGATTTCTTGAGATAGGTTGCGTTACTTCCCTTGTTTTACTTCCTTGTTCCATTGTTCTCAAAGGAGAACGAGAATGGAGGAGAAGCCGCGGCGTGAGGAATACGATCACATCAAGTTTTTTGCTTTTCCCTTAGTACCATAATATAATCTCCAGGCAACAAGATGTAACCACAACAAAGTAGAAGTGAGTCATTTTGTGTCTAACTTACGGCACGTTGCAGTGTCATCGCAGCAGCAAATCCTAAGTACGGGAGGTACGACCCGATGATCAGCTTCCAGCAAAACGTGGACCTCACCGATCCGATTCTTTTATGGCTCGATGAAGGTGATTGGTATTGTGGAGGGTTTTTCTGTTTGCCTACTTTGTAGCCCAATCGCAATTGGCTAATAGAGTGCTTTCATCTACTGATTGCAGATTTTTTTAGGAAGGTGCATGTTTCGTCGATAATCGACGAGATTAAGGCAGGTCAACTACACTTTCTAACGATTTCGCGATTCGACGTTCTCTGCGTGTTGAAGGACACACCAGACTCCGGCAGGGATACAGCGCTTGCAGATTTCGTTGTTTGCTCGCACATAAGAAGTCACCCGGGCGTTGACGAGCAGGTTCGTAAACAACAAGGCAGTGTAACTGGGTGGTATCGTTATGTCTAACGTCGTCACATCATCTCCTATGAAATTGTAGTAGTAACAAGGTTAGACCTTCAACATCTTACCTGCACAAGACCATGACAGAAACAGATTGATTAAGTTTGAATCTCGCTTCGCTACAGGTAAAGAAAAACCTGAAGTCACGGGGCAGCGGATTTCAAGCAACGATAGAGGTTTTAGATCAAGCGACGCTTAAAAACTACATCCAATATGCGCGCCACCATATCCACCCAACCGTCTCCGATATGGATAAAGACAAACTAGCACGATTCTACCAAGAGATTCGTCGAGAGGCACAAGGCAGCGGCGGCAATGTCATGACGGTATATCACTTTCTTGGAGAATGAAGAAGTGCTGAATGCACTATGTACTAGTCTTTGCTGCACCATTCTTCTTTCTCCCTTCTTACTGACTGAACGTCATTCACATTCTCAAAAGCAAAACTCCTTCTTGTGTACATCGACTACTCTACTGTACCACTACGCCCAAATAACGGGCCGTCAAGCAGCACCCCACCTCTTCAAGGTTCGTCACGTGGAGAGCATGGTGCGAATGGCTGAAGCTAGCGCGAAGATGGAGTTAAGGACTGTCGTGACTCGCCGCGACGTTGATCACGCGATATCCGTGATGCTGACAAGTTTCTGTCAGACGCAGAAGCACGTGTACGCGCAAGAACTTCTGAAAAAGTTCGCGCATTACATCGTTTCTGTCCAAGACCACTTCTCGCATTTGAACGGTATGCTCTCGCGGCAGTTGACGCGCGCAGAACTGCTTGAGCGCGAGGACGTCTCGAAAGCAGTTCGGGTTACTATTACAGTTAAGGCCTGACATGCCAGCAATACAGATGAAATGTATCCTATATCAGTATCTAAGTAGTTTTAAGTACAACGTCGTCCTCAACAAAATGATTGGCACTCCTGATGATTGCAGTTCAGCGTGTGTTTGGTTTTCTTTAGGAAAGGCAGCGAGGGAGGTCGTCAGCTTGTAAATATTCAAGGACAATAGATAACACGAAAATTATGTAGGGACATATCTTTCCCCCGCGCTAAAAAAGATTTGCAACGCGAAGCAAAGCAGTATATGTTGCAGGACAGTGTGTCTGGTTATTTGCAGAGCGATTTGTTCCGGGACAATTTCGTTCTCGAGGAGAACGACACGTGGATACGCCGCATCACAGAAGAAGAGGTTGCGAACGAATTCAGTCTAACACTGGTCACTCCACGAAGATAGCACTCTACTTGCGCGGATCATGTTCAACACTCTAAGGAGTCCAAGGAGATACCATCCTTGATGTTCGCGGATAATGTAGTTCGACTTGAAGCCTGCGCAGTTGGCTCAGTAGTTTAGCTGTTTCCGGCCTGTTCACTTATCAGCATGTTTAAGAATGTTCAGTGCCGTCTCCGTCCGCAAAAGAAACAGGAGCTTTTGCGTTTACTGGTTCAACATCAATTTAAATAGACTACATTCAACAATAATATTTCGCACTGGTGGTCGATAAAAGGTCAAAGTTACCGTTCTGTTGAGTACTTCTCCTATACGCTTGTTCTAGCTTGAATTCTTCGTCGAGGTGACCATATGTACTCCTAAAGGAGTACTAATATTGTAGGCCAAGAATAATATTCAATCTCGCTGAAGAACTTTCAGAACGAACATTTTCTTCATACCTAGAAATCGCAGTGCCGTCGATGTCAGAAATAGCCATAGGAAAGGTATCAGACATGACGTTACACTTCTTCTAGTTAGAGCAGCAGGGAGGTTTTTTTTGTTTGTGCGCGGTATTTTTTTGGATTGTGTATCCGCATCGGGGAAAAACGCACATTAGAAAGCAGTGGCTATCACAAATACTTACTTCTTAGCGCGACATAGTCACTCGCCCAAAAGCACTTTCCTTTTAAACATGGATTTGAATGCTAAAAGCAGTTCTTTCGCTTTCTCGCAATTGATATTTATTGAACTTACTCTTTCTCTTGCTTCGAATCTGAAGAATGAGAGACGTGTTTTTTAGCAAGATGGGGATTACAACTGAAGATAGTTTTTTTGTGAACTTTCCTAATCAAGTCCTTGTCGATGCTGTATTATCACATGAAACCTGACCAGGATGAGGAACGATCTTGATGTAATGCTCGTGCTGCTGCACAAGCACAGCCAGCGTCGTAGGTAGTAAGAGCTCGATATCAACAGCTGTTTGTCATGGCAGCAAGTATTGACAACCGAACTGAAGATTCAAGATCTTGCGGAAGAGCATAGCTATCGATTGAGAGAATTCGAGTCGTGAAGATAACGAGGAGAGGACTAATTCCAAGAAGTAGTCGTGCTTGTCTCCACCGTGCCTCTCCCTCGCCCCCTCGAGTACCTCACAAGGAAAGAAGGACGAAAAATGACTGAATAAATAAAAATGTCGTGCAGTTTCTGGATCATGAGGATGAAAATAAAATGAGAAATTTTGTATTGATTTGACGAGAGCATCAAATAGAAAAAATGGGAAGTGGCTCTAGAGAACATATAGTTAATAAGATTATTCATCGTTGTTCCACTAGGTACACTAAAAATATAATATCTCACAAGACACAACTTCATGACTAGGCATTGGCGGAAGTAATGTCGAACCGCCTACCCCGCATTGGGGGTTGTGCCGGCAAGGGCACGCGGCGCATCTTCTAGCAGACACCTCTACCGATACCGGAGGGCGTTCTCAGTGACAAACGATCGGTGTCAAGTTGCCGAGATTTGGAGTAAGAACGCTGTTTCGGTTCGATAGCTGGTTGGTAGGACGTCGATCGCGGAACATGCTGTGACACTCGTATCACGAATCACTATCACACGCAGTTTTCCCGAAGTTTTTGAAGAAATAGCCAGCGCAGTTGCGGTCACAGCAAGTACTTGCACCGACCTGTACCATTTGCGCAGTTGAGCTGGTATAGCTCTTTGCGATTCATTTCCATCGACGGTGTGAATGCTAAGTCGGTTGGTCATCTGCTTTGAGTGCATCAACGTCAACGCGTTTTTGACCCACTCCTAAAGCCTGGAGCCGTTTGCGGTCTTAGCAGCGATACCGCAGTCTACGCAAACAACAGATAGAGGCTTTTTCGGCGCTCTATCATCACCAAGTTCGCAACTACAGTTGTTGCACAAGACAAAGAAGACCATCTTCATACACAGTAACGTCATCCTAGAATCCTCACAACATCGTTAAGCTAGAAGTAGGGCTACAAAATGGGAAAGAAAGGAAAGGGAAAGAAACTCTCCCCCGAGGAGAAGGCTCGGGAGGAGGCGCTAGCTGCTGAGGCTGCCGAAAGAAGGGAACTGCAGGTGAATTTTTACTTTTCATGGATGTAGTACTAGATTGTTTTGTCATCATTTGGAGTAGTCCGTATTGTTTTGGTCTAGAAATTCAGAGTAGATTTAGGGTAAGGGTGGTTTGAGGTTCTCTCTGTATTTTTCTTGGTGCATTCCTTTGTACTCTGACTCATTCAACATACACGACAACTCATTTTTGCATAATATTGTTCCTACAAACGGAAACCTTTTTCACGACACTAGTTGAAAGCGAAGCGGCTGAAGGCAGAATGCGAGGGAGAGGAGCGATTATACAACACTTTCCTCCAAGAGAGGGAGAAAGTTAATTATTTTTGGATAGTCGAGAAGAAAACTCTAGCGGAGAAGCAAGCGGAGCTAAGGAATCAGGAACGGCAACTGCAAGATCAGGAGGAACGACATCAAATTGAGCTGAAAATGTTTCAGCAGCGATTGAAACATCTCAGGTGAGCGGGATCGTTTTTCTCGGTTTTGTTCATGGTGGAAATTGTTGTGGTTTTTTGGTCTACAACAAGTGTCGGCCGCCTCTCCGTCCTCCACAAGTCTAGTTCCAACGAAATTCTCAGAAAATACAACCACAGGTATCACGAGCAAGACGAAGTAGTGGAGTTGAAGCAGCAGAACGAGTATAAGCTCAAGTTGCAAGAGGACAGGCACCGACTAGCGGAAGCTGAACTGAGGAAAGACAAAGCGGCGATAAAAAAGGATAGCCGGACGCAGGAGGTGCAAGTGGAGGAATACATACGTACTCCTACAACTTTATAGGAATGAAAGGGAAGACAAGGAAAAGGATAACGTTGTTTCATTGCAGTGTTGTCAGTGAAGTTTTGGTTTTTTAATATTGTTGCCTTTGGATGCACTTGAATATGAATGATATCGTGAGATTCTTGGTGAAGTCTAGTCATCACGATAGGATAGTGAGCAATATTTTGAAATTCAAAATCAGGTTCATTGAAGCTCATGCAGGATGGGAAGATAGGGGCATTACGGTTAGAGTTTGACGAGAAAGCTCGTGATCTTCAGGCGCATGCCGCTCAGAAAATGAAGTCTATTAGGGACGAAATGGAGAAGCAACGAATAAACGAGCGAACAGCACTAGAAGACGCGATGCATGCACACATAGCGAGGTGTATGGCCCAAAACGCTAAGGACTTCCACGAAATCAAGCTCTATTACGGCGATATCACCTCTAGCAACCTGGAACTCATCAAAAGGTACTTATTGATTCCAGTACCCATTTTTAGTATATCTGCTCCTGCTGGTAAGTTACCGAACAACATTTTCTTGATCATTGAGGGATTTCTTTGCTATTACTGGATAAATATGAATATGATGCAGCGCTCTTGAATTTGTAATGCTGGCTTATAATTGTTGTGAAAACGATGAAAAACAAGGTTGAAAGAGGAGCACGCGGAGTTAAAGAAGCGTGAGAGTTCCGATGCGAAGCAGATGTATGATCTCCAGCAAAAGAATAAGCAGCTCGCGGAACCCCTTAAACGGGCTCAACAGGATGTCGAGAGGCTGCAGGAAGAGGCCCAACTCTATGCGCAGGACCGCAAGAAACTAGCAAATATCAAAGCGAAGATAAAAGAGCAGGAAACAACGTTAGGGACACGGGCGTTTCAGACAGAAGTACACCTTTATTGTTCTCTATCCGTGCGGCTGTGGGTAGTTGATGCGTCGGCTATCATTTCCAGCATGGAATCAATAGAGACTACATCTCTAATTTAAGATTTTGCTTTTTGTTTCTTGTTCTAGTTAGGTGCTCCACCACTTCTCTGATAATATTCAGCGTAGGAGAGTCTTTCTTTGGTCGTTGCCCTGTGTTTGTTGCTCTTTACCAGGACTTCGCATTCACAGATCTTCTCCACCGATTTTACCTTGAGGTTCTTTTGCAGCAGACAGATCGGGTAGAAAAGGAAAGGGACGACTTGTATCGAAAATTTTCCGACTGTATCTACCAAGTGCAACAGCGATCTGGATTGAAAAACTTCTTGCTCGAAAAGAAGATGACAACACTGGGAGATCAACTCGAGATCACCGATGCAGAGGTACTATCTCTATCGCCTACTTGTTTTATTTTTCCAGGTCCACATCAAACTGGACAAATGGGGCATCTTGTCCCATTTTCTAGTTCTGACACTCTACATCCTTCTTTCGCTTCACAAAGCTTGGGTTGTAAGTTCTCTCCTACTTGTAGCTGCTTCCTCAATGGCTAATGCGTCTTGCGCTAGTTGATTAACTCTACTACAGAGCAAGGTGTGCAGCCTTACCCGCTGTCTCACCCACTCCACCAGGTCTCAGAGCTGGTAGCCTCGACGGGACAGGAGCCGGGTGTCGCGTCCAAGATGGAGGAATTAGTACGACACAAAAACGATACGATAGCAGAGCTGCATACCGAACTTCAGCGCATAAGAGAGGCGCACACAAAGATGACAGAGGCATACGAGTCAAAGCTCGCTGCTTACGGCGTGCCTGTAGAGGAGCTTGGCTTCATCCCTGCTTGAGCAACCTGGGGTTTCGAGTTTGCCTGCAGGGGAGCTTGGCTTCATCCCTGCTTCTGGTTCTGGTGCGAAGCCCTGTTCCTTCTTCTTAGACCTGAGGTTTCGAAATTTGGAGTGCAACTTTGCTCTTATGCTTTTTGAAGTTTTCTGCCGTTCGTTGTGCACTAAGTTGTCTGTTGTCTAGAAGTATCTACTCGTGGTTGTATACTAGAATAATTTATAGAACGGATGTAGGATGGACTTGGATGGATCGGATGGACCCCCCTAAATCTTCCGATCCTACTTGAAACGATGGGAAGCCCATCCGCTCCATCCGATCCATCTCCTCCCGGATCTGCCACCCCTATAAATCATTCTAGGTAGTATAGTACTCCTCGTGTTGCGTGGCAGTTCGCAGGGGTGCGCAACTGCTCATGTCATGTTCTTAAAGATCTTACAGTCGACGTTGTTTATGCTTTTATTTTGATTTTCTCTAAGTAACGCTTATTACGCAAGTCCAGAGTAGTTAACTCCTTTCATAATTGTGCCTGATATCAACACTAGGAAATTCATCAATCAGTTAAGCAGTTGTGGTGCTGCAAGAGCGCGACAGCCACTGGTTTGCTAAAGCAGTTATTCACCGTATCAAATCTAGAGATTCATTTGTGTAAGTTTACTGACGCGAAGTTTGGAAGATTATATCCCGATGGGGACAATAAATTAAGTGAAGATACGTTACGAAGCAATCTACAGCCCATACCCAACCACTCGGGCTCTTGGGGTGTGAAAATGCATTCTGTCAATGATATTTTCGTGTAGTAGCTTCTAGATTTGCGTTCGCGAACCTAGAAGATTCGCGAAAAGCTAGAAGGACTATTTTTTCTAGTACAGCACTGCTGCTTAGCTTCGTCGGTCCTCGCAGCTTTGACAGTGTGTTCTGCGGCGGCCCCACAATTTGTAGTCATCTAAGAATCTGTTAAAATATCCGGTAGTTTTGTTGGAAGATTTCCTTCATTGAAGAAAAGGGGAAAAAAGAGCTTACAGCGATGATGCGAAGCAATAACTTCAAAATCGGTGGACGTAGGTTCAAACACTTCGATATCTTATAGTAAAAAAGAATCTGATAATTATCGGTCTTGCAGTTAAATAGAGCATGGATGTCTGAAATCGGTCCCTACAAGTCCACGCTTGTCTCGAGTTCATTTTCCCGACAACCCTCCACCTAGCAACTACAGCCTTATATGGTGCCGTCTGATCTCCCTTTTGATTCGAAATTGATACTAGATCATCTGATGCCTTTTTTGTTGTTAAAGAAAAAAATTTATTTTCCGCCTTCCTAGTTGTACACGGCTTTTTCATCCGAGGCAGGTCAGAGCGACCATTGGTCGTTCAGGACTAGTTCTACTCATGGTTTAGGAATACATATTATCATAATTGCTCATTACAGTAACACATATCAGACCGGAAGGATGACGGGAGGTGGCGCGGCAAAGGCCGCAGAGGAGGCACCCATATGGAAGATTTGCCCGCAGTCAATAGGCAAGCAAGCGCAGAGTCAGAGGAACAATGCTCCTATGTACTCGCTCTCTAAATGCACTAGAGAACACCGAAGTAAGGTCTTCATTAGCAAGGAAGCGAGCAAAGGCGGCATTCCATTGGATACGCCTGGGGCGATTTACGATGTCGCGACTAGCACCTTAAACCTCAGCTCAGGTACACTATGAATTTTTTTTTGAAATTTTGTTTGATTTACCTGAGCTGAGGTTTATGGTGCACGATCATGAATCTGATTTGTCCTCTGGTATCAACATGTAGATGTAGAGAGTCAGCAAAGTGAAAGTTAGTTTACGAACACAACTTTGTAGAATCAATTAAAAACTAAAAAAAGTAAACTAGTACATTACTATTTTTCATCGATCACTATCACACCATCGATCACAGTGTCATCAAAAACTCAACATCAGGGCAAGCGTTCTCTTGTGGGCCAAAGATGGTGTTCGGCCGATCAAAGAACAAATATGATTGGCAGAACAAGAAGACTGATTTGCTTTCAGGGGAGGTAACGGAAATAGCGAACAGGATGAGGTACTTTGGATTTGGTAATGCTCCGGAGTTCCCATCTGGTAATGACAACAGTGACTTCTAGTTGATTCAGTAGAAGAAGACGCAAAATCTATATTATCATCTGCATGTTATTTCTCACAAAGCAATTGCAACACAGGTAGACATGCACAGCTACAAACGAGGTTCCATGACATGACAGGTACAAGAAGCAGAGGGACGTGCCATTCACAAAGGAACCAATCGGTTTGGCGAACAATATCGAAATTTTCAAGGCACACCCGATAGCATTTCAAGGCCTCGATAGTCCGGGGCCAGGACCATTGCCAAATATCAAGATTATGAAGACATGCTTCTCGTGATTAAGATAATTTCAATTTGGAGGAACTTTTCCTCCACGCCCTCGTCAGATTGAACAGATTTTATCTTCATCGTGTATGTCAATCCACCCCGATGATGAATGTGGTTTCTTCCACTTCATAGTCATATTGAACATCTATCTTCAGTCCCTCTTTCATTTCCCAAACGTCAAAGTACAACAACGATCCACGGATGCCGTTCGGAGTGAAGACTGAAATCGGGAGTATGTATGCGGGAGATAAACACACCAATCCTGACGTCGGCCCCAATAGTTATCCGCCATTGGTGTCCTTCGGAAACCAGACTCTATCGCAGCGACGCAACGCCTCAACGCACGCGTTTCCAAGACAGCCGAAATTCGGAAGAGAAGTCAAATCAAAGGATGAGGGTAGTGTCTTCGTCTTTCACCCGTTTTAGCAAATCTTCGCTTTCAGGAGTTTGTTGCGTCATGGATGTGCAACACCAATATATTCTGATCAGAGCGGAATAAACGTGATCGTGAATAGTCTTTGATATGATGATTTTGTCTCTGAGTGTGAAAGAGCAAGATGAAAATGAATGTCGTGCTAAATTGAAATTTATTGCAGGTCCGAACGTGAATCTGAACCTTTCCGCCTTTGGGCGACAAGCTAGAGGCGACAAAAGGAGCGAGCAAACAGTGGGCTTCTCATTGGGCACACGAGGGCAGGCGCAAAGAATGACAAGATGCATGACTGAGAAGGATTCAGGTAAGTACCTCTGCCTTTTCTTTTCTAGCTTGTGCAGAATGCGATATTAGAGTAATCCAATTCAAAGAAATTGAAATAGTATTCTAGAAGGTCTCCAAAAAAGAGAGTAATCCAATCCGAATAGATATCTTTAAAATACTATTAAAATTCTAGCTTCTTTTTTTCTCTCTGAGAAGTCGAAGTTCGCCACTGGGAGGCACCGTGGCTATTCTGTATCGTCGATACACTCCTGACCACTTGCAGGGGGTTGAATTGGATAGCCCTCGCAGCATGTTATCCCACTACTCATCAGCTGCTCCAACCGCGAAAGCGCGCATGCCGCATCCGCCGCTACCATCCGAAAGGAAGGCGATTGCTTTCTCGGGTTCTATGGGCGCTTTCTCGTAAGTAATCTATGTTGTTGTCATAGAACATGAAATCACAAGTCCTGTATTTTTGACGCACTAAAAGTATGACGAATAGATTTGCTGAACTGATGATGAGTAGCAGAATGGATCATAGTAGACGTCATAGTACTGAAAGAAATGTGATACAACTTAATTTCGAATTATACCACTAGATAGATATCGTTGTTACAACATACTTTTCAAAAATAGAAGATTTTACAGAGTTTTCGTGCAGATGACTAAACATGAGAAAATTTTTCATCGGAACTGTGGGCTTCGTGTTATCTTATGTCGTGGCTTTTTTTGTCTAGTAGTTCTTTCTTTCAACCTGCTTGTTGTTACAAAAGTATGTGCATAATGATAGATAACTGCGACAAAACGATGTCAGATTCGGTGTTGCAGATGTGATTAACATGCATCCAACACACTGTATATTGAAGTAAAGCCTAATTCCACTTATATACAACCATGTGTCAGAAAGCTAATCTAACGCTTCATTGGATTCCTGAATAGTGACTGAACGGAAAAGAAATATCGACTTTCACGCTAGTTTTGGAAAACAGGATCATAAACATTCATGTACATACTGAACAAAATGTATAGAAGGAGCATGAAATATCAGACGGAGTTGTAATAGTACAACTACCAGCATCGAGACAAACTTCTACAGTCTGTCATCGAGTCGATTATTTTCAACTAAAATTGATAGTTTCTTGTTCGAGGACGGTACCCTGTGGAGGCAAACTGATCGATTGATTGATTGATTGACTGTTCGAATTTCAGCAATTGCAAAGCGAGGAGAATATGCATTCTTTCATCCCATACGAAAAGGAAATTGGATTGCAAAGGGCACAATAGCAGAAATTTGTAGTGGTCATCACAAATCTCTTCTGATAGACTGAAGATAGACAGCACTGACACCGTTTTATGTACAACGAACAGCTCTTTTTTCTGAAGTGAAGGAGTGTGTCCTCCTACTGTCGTTTTTTCTTTCTTAGCAATACTGACTCTGACTTATAAGCAATCCCAAAGTTGTTCGTGTGCAACCAACAAGATGAACCGAGTGACTAGCCGACCTTGTGCCGCGCGGGTGTCCTTCTACGAGCAAGGTTTGCATCAACGTCAAGACGGCCCTGGCAGCGGTGGGGTCTCGCCGCAGGAGAGTGCGATGGTCGCAGTCGCTGAACAGTGTGTCAAATGGAGAAGAGAAGTCGTCGATGCCAGGCAAAAACTTCGAGACTTTTCTGCAGCTCCTCCTGGGAGCGCTACGACTGGTACAAGAAGTGCACCTTGTACTAGCCATGATGAACAACAACCTAAGGCACAAGCATGGAAGAATCCTCAGGAGGACCATGATTTGGCTTCCATCTGCGATCGTGTGACTGCCAAAGTAAAATTGGTTGGGGCGCAAGCAGGCAGCCTCAATAATGCCGCCGAGGGTGGTGACGCAAGCGCAGGCCGCGTGCAGGAACTCGCGGCGTCAGTCGGATATGTGGCTTCCAGTATTCGGCAGTCCGTCTCTGTGGCAGACTTTGACCCTCATTTGACGCAGAAATTACTTGGGACTAAGCCTTTCAACGGATTCCTCTATGATCCAGAACTGCAGGATAGTTACAAGTTCGACCAGATTCTGAAGAAATTTGCGGACCCAAATGCACGCAACAGGGATGGTATTGAGATTTATAGCTTCCACATTCTCTTTGCACGCAACAAGGATAATATTGATATAGATGGTATTGATATTTCCGTTGTCGACCGTACTACCCGGAGCAAGCTGCACACTCTCCGAGGAGCATGACTCATTCGGATCGAAAAGTTCTCCAGATAATAGCGAAAGCAAGAATGTCGTGCTACACCAATACCAACGACCTACTTACCTATTACTTATCCTGAGAGCACTCCTAGGTAACTCTCTGATTCACCAACTGGCACGCTTCGGGGACCGTCAGTCGGAGACCTGGTACCTCGATCGGGTGAAGGCACTGCGGCGACGTGGATCCGACAATCGATGCAGTGTCGATGGTTGGGGGTGTGCGCCTTTGCTAGCCGGTCTTGAGGCGCGCAGTGTCTTTTTCGTGAAAACTTTATTGCGAACCGAACTAGGCGAAAAGTGGATGCGAACAGAGTTACTCGCGGTGCCGCCCTACACTGTTGGTGGCCGCTTATTCCGACAAGGCCTGTCGGCGTCGAGTATGGGACCTGCGGCGAGCGGGGGACCGATGGTCGCAAGCGATAACACGAATAGCATTGTTATGGAGTAGAGAACAAATAGGCGCTACAACTAGTTGCTAAGAATCCTTGTTATGCTAAGCAGAAAATCTTTTGTATTTACAATCCTCATGCTAAATAGGAAGTCTTCCGTGTGCTATGAGTGAGGCTGAACATGGTTAGGAAAAAAATAAAGGCTAGAACTTGATCTCCTAATTGTAGCGGCAAAAGAGCTCTTCTCCAGGCCACAATCGGAGGAGCGGGAACAACAATTAGCGATGGCGGAGCAGGTTCACACCAGGCAAACGGTAAAGGGAGACGCGCATTAGCTGTGTGCTGTGCCGAGTACAACTTTGCGCCGGGGCTTTTTGAGGCCAATGGTGGCGCAGTGTCTCCAGAAGCGTTGCCATCGGGCGGGGTAGGGACATTCTTGCGACCCAGCGTACGCGGCAATTACCTCGTCAATCCAAACAGTGTCTTTTGTGCGGCACACCACGACGAAGGGCGTGCTGTCTCACCCTCGCGTCCGGGGACTGCGAGTACAACGAGAGAGGATCAACATACTACAGCAGGAGCAGATCGCGCTGCTCTGCTCCGGAAGGCGGCGCAGCAGCATCGGAAAACTCATCTCCAAGAAAATGCCGGTAAGACTAATGCGCACCATGATGCTTCTACGAACAGCACTAGGATGAACAATGCAGGAGGAAGGGCTGAGAAGACTGATTGGAGTGTATCTGTGTCGTCACAGATGACTCCGGCTTCAAGGGGTACTTCAGCTCTTCACCGTCTTGGCTCGTCAGAGGATCTTCCGCATCATGTGCATGGCACGTTCATACAGCCGGCTTCGTTAGGCACCGCATTGGCAGCTGTAAGGGGTGAGCTCACTGCTGCGCAGTTCCAATTGCTTGCTCGGATGCGGAACGCACGTGCACAACCAGTGCCGCGCGGAGGTTTTGACCGCACCGCGTTGGACCGACTCCTACTATTTAGCTGCGCTGCGAACAAATTTAGCTGCGCCGTAGACACATCGTCCCAAGCAAGGAGGGACAATCTGAATGGGTTGCAGCGGAGTTTGCTTCTTCTGGAAGATCGAGATGACCTTCTTCAGGTCAATAAGACAACTTCAGAACGCTATGGCAAAGCCACGTCTTCAGAATCGGAGAAACGGGTGAGCCGCAGGAGCTTGCCTAGCACGCATGGTAGCGAGGCATCGCATTTTTCAACTGGTCTGCGCTCGATTGATGCGAGCCTACCTTTGGACCAGGATGATACTTCTTCTTTCACTTCTACGGCCTTTCCCTGGTATTCCGCTGTTCATTTCGCCGCAATGCGAGGCGATACAGAAGCAATTCGATTGTATCACATGCTCGGACTTTCCCTTCACGCAAGCAACAGCTCAGTCGCAACTGCAAAATCTCGAGTGTCTGCGCAACGAACCAGTTTCAGTACAACTACTAGGAATGGAAGTAAAAGTGCAATGACCATAGCAGATGCCGGAAGCGCACGTAATGGCGGCACCGGAGTAGGAGGAGAGGAAGGTCACGTTATGTTCTTGAAGTGCATCTCCATCTCCATGTCCATCTACATGCACGTCCCTATACATATTTCATAAGTAGTACGTGTGACAGATGCAATGGCTAGAAGTAGTTCAAATTCCAGCTGTTCAAATATTGTTCTAGCACTAGTTCATCCTCACTTTTCTCTATCTCTTGCGCTAACTTTTTGAACCACAAGAGCAATACCCGCTCACCACGTTCGCATGGCACGCGGCCTGTGAGTGAACGGAAGGACGATGAGGGTGTCGCAGAGGCTCCAGACCCAGATTCCAACCCATCCCCACTCCGTCAAAGGAGTCAGAGCTTACGCAGTCAATCCAGCTCGATCATTTGTGAGGTCTACGGAGGCAGTACGCCGCTTGCAGTGTCTTTGTTTGGGCCTGCAAAGCAAGGCTTTCAGAACCAGGAAGAGTCACATTCTCGTCAGAAGACTTCTGTGGAACCGACGGAACGAAGCCAAGACGCCAGAAAGATTCCGTCATCCCCTAAATGTTGGATGCCATGCAGTCCCAGTGGGAGTCGAAAAACAAAAAAGGCACCGACGAGTCCGCATTTGCGAGATAGCCTAGGGTACCATCACGCACGAATGGATCGGGTTGATAAGTCATTCCAGAAGGGCAATGTTAAGGCAAGAGCTAAGAGAACATCCTCTTCCTCAGCAACATCCCCAGTGCCATCCCGAAGTACTTGAAAAAGATGACATCAAGGATGTTGCTAGCAAGGATGCCATCAATGCGGTAGCTTTAACAAGGTTGATGATTTCTGTGGAGTCGAAGTGGAGTCTGGTTTTGAAAGTGCACTGGAGCAGTCCTCGGGAGATGGCCCTAACAATGCTGTTGAGGAGATGAAGCCTCGAGACAGTTGGGTGGCGCCTGTGGTTGTTGACGAAAATGGACGGAAGAGTTACACCACGATCGAGGTCGGCGATGTGGATGAGAAAGAATCGAAGGGCAGCTGGACAAGTGGGAAGACATCACGAGTGCATCCATGGGACAACGAAGATGAACTACTCGGAGGTGCTGGCGACGCTGTAGATGTCAATATGACTTCTGCAACTATCAACAAAGGCAACAACGGCAACAATTTCCCAATCGGCGGCCCTCGTTCTTCTCTTGTGCAACAGCACCCCGGTGACATCAACAACAATAGTCTTATTCCACACGACGATGACCTTCTACACGACGATGACCTTCTACTAGATGCCGGAGAAACTATCAGATTCCGCGAGAGCGAAGCAAGACTAGAAAATGAAAGAAATGCTATCGGCACTTGGGACCACATGTCGCACGAAACACCACTCGCCATCGCGATACGGTGCAACCGAACAGAGGCGGTGAAAACCATTTTAGACTGTTTGGAGGCAGACCCGGAGAATTTTCCAGCAAACGAGAGAGGTATTTTTTCAGATTATATACTTACGTACTAGTATCAGTGTCAGTCGTGTCACCGGCGTCTTATCTTTTGAATGTCCGATATCACCATTGTATCAATCTTCAAGTCGGGGCTACTTTTTTCTGGCGACAGTTCGCATGCTTCGTTTTGGTATCTCTACATACTGTTCTTCTGTAGCGAGTTTTCATCCAGGTGAAAGCGTTGTCGAGTATGCGCGTATTTGCCAGCAGTGGGGGCTCGTCGAAGCCCTTTCGCAAGACCGCGATGCGATAGCTAAAGTTAAGGGTGGCTTTCGAAGTTCATCCAGGATCATAAACAGCATGACTTCAAAATGATCTGGGAGTATATCGCATTTGACATCAAGGATGACAGACCCTCAAAAATTTAATTTTTTCTAAACAAGATACTATTGCTGCATACAGTGAGGCTGCCGCGATACAGTGGGATGCGGTTGAAGCGTTGGCGGATTTGATCGAAAGGAAGCGGATTCCAAGACGGCACTTAGTCAGTTACGAAGCATTGTGCGAATGGTATTGCAGCCTAGCTCCGTCTTCAGGTCAGCGGCTTGTCCGTTTTTGGCGTCTTTTTTGTACAGCGGCATCAGATAAAGAAGAACCGAACAAGGAAAAGCATGAATAAAATGAAATGGAAACAAGGTTATTTCGATCATAGCAGTCGTACACATTTAAGAAATACTCAGTTGCTGGTACTATGTAATAGTAGCATAGTGTTCAGATGATAGAGATTCCAAGAATATTCGAAATTGTTCCTTATAGCATATGACAGCAAGCATGTTCATTGTTTTGCATATAGGATAGAACTCGCTCAAATAGCATTCACAAAAAGCAGAAAGTCGCCTGCTTTTCACGCTTGAGTCGCAAACCATGAGCATATCAGGGGGGGGGTTGAAAAGGGACTACTTACTCATCTACTTGTTCCATTTGTCATACTCATATTACCAGTAAAAGTGTCATGATACTCATAATCGTGACAAACGTACCGCTATTCTTCGAAGAAGCTCCTTTCTTCGACGAAGTTTTTTGCACTTTGAACAGAGCGTTGTGAAGTTTTGCAGCAGTGCAGCCATTTTTGATTTTGAAAATGATCGTTATTGTTCTTGCTGAGGTAGGTGGGCGGGGTGTGTACAGATCGGATATCCCTCTATATTAGGTAGGTGGTTTTGACTGCAGGTGAATGAGATACATGATTAAATATACATATGATTCGTTACTGCACATGCACATGATGAGGACACATGCATACTGCTCATAGAATCCACAAATTAGTATAGATTGGGGGCCAGGAAGTCTTTTTTTGTGCAGGTGATAGGTGCCAAGGGCACCTCTACCTGGCATGACAACTGTCGATATTATTTTGTGCACGTCGACGTTTTATCCCTATGGAAACCAAGATGAAAGGAAACTCAACATTTTTCGGGAAGCATTGAAGGACCCCGTGTGCCAGATAGGACGCACATCATGGCGTCCTAGGCTTAAAAGGGGCATTTAGCTTCTCGATGAAATGGATGATCACAATTCTGCCGCACGTATGCTATGACGAGGGAAGGGAAACGTCCTGCGAGTGCGACTGTGAGAATGTGTGGTCCGTGAAGCTAGTCGGTCATGAGATATCAAACCGGTCAACAAACAGTATTTCGAAAGCCTTTACCTCGACGATTTGCTTAAGGGGCTTTCCGGTTTATCCTCTCTTCTTACTACTTACATTAAAACCCGCGTTTTGAATGAATAGGGCCAGCCTGGCGTACGAACGGAGGAGGAAGAGTAGAGGAAGTAGCATTAAACTTTGAATCAGGAGTAGGATGTCTATTGCTTTCGCGCTCGTCTTCGGCCTTCTGTCTGCCGCCGTGCTATAAAACTGCTAGTCCTTTTGGGAGCGGATCTCTAGTCCGAAACAGGGACAGCGTCTACAAGAAAATGAGTATGGGGACCTCATCCAACAACATGCGATCTTCTGTATTAGAGGACGCAGATGAACATGCTGCACTGATGGCATCTCTGGACGCCTTTTCCGACTCGTCCTCCTCGGACGAGTCTTTGGATTTTGGTTTCTTAGACCTACGACGTGTCCGCACCGTCCAAAAAATTCCGTACGAATACATCTCGAACTACGTCGTTGATAACGGAAGGTCCGTGGACACACAGTTATGTCAAGTTGTGGCACTGTGAACAAGCTTCTTCTGTGGATTTCTGTGGACTAAGATATAGAGGACGATGAAAGTATCCTCGCGATGATCATGATGTTGTACGTGAGATGAAATTTATTTTGCTTTTGAGAAAATAGTGAGATGAATATGAGTCAATATTAGGACCGCTAACTTGTGCCACGAAGAAAATGCGCCGCGTCAAGGCGGAGCCAGAAAGATGTCCACGACTGCTTGGAGGGTACGTGTTTGGCGTGATCGCGTTGCTTTTATCCGGATGGGCTGGCACTTTTTTTGAAGGCGTCTTCTTTTACGATGAAGACCCTCTTGCAGATGTCTTTTTCGCCATTCCTTTTAGTAGCTCAAGGTCTTCTGTTTGCGCTTCTTTCAACTTGTTCTCGGGTGGCGAGGACCTCCACCGCGGGAAAACTGGTGCTTCTGTCGTGACAACAAGAATGGGTGTGAACAATGATCCTGGGCAACAACATCAACATGGAAGCACATCACCTCCACCAAATATTATGTTGTTGTCCAAAAGTCCTTGGTCTTGGTCAGGAGCGTCAGCAACATGGGAGAGAACCGGGACGGACGAGAGAAGATCCAACGAGGCAGATGCATGTGGTAAAACCTCAAGGACCACACCACTACGGTTATCCAGCGCGAGTCACGGATGTGGAGGGACGGAAGGACAAGGAGATCATACAGGTAATATGCCACCAAAGAGACTCGGAGCCTCCGTGCCACTGCCGTCTTCAGTTTCAGAGTTCCGCAACCAGCCTGATTGTCCACTATCAGCAGACGAGCGCATGGATGTGACCACTTCGACATTCCGTGTACGGTTTCCCGCCTCTACTCCAGCTAGCTGCCGCAGCGACGAGAGTCCGAACTATTCTGCCTGCACTACCCCTTGCGGAGAGTTGAATACTCACACACCGCAAATAGAACAAGACGAAGACGGAGTCCTGAACAATCATATTAGCTTCGTGTCTTTGCGTAAAGGGTTGTGGCGTTTCTTTAACCTTCTCGAAGAGGAGTCTGCTTCTGTTGCTGTCGGCTCCGATCAACAGACTGAGATGGCGATGGGAGATCTCCATAGAGAAAGTGAAGTGGAACTTGAAGTTGGTCCCCAACCGCCGAGCTCTCCTCAAGGAGGAATCGAATGCACACCGCGATCGACGCCGTTTTCTGCCGCATGGACGACAGGTGTGCAAGTTACAGAAGATGGTGCTAGAAGGAATAGGTTGTCTCCATCGTCGAAGGAAGGCGCATTGTTCTACCCGCAAGATCCATCTTCAAGAAAGGTTTTCGCAGAACATCCAGAAGTTGCTGGTGAGCATCAAAATCGTTCTGATCGTGAGTGGACTGGAATAAACCGCGTTGCTGGAAAAGAGGACGGAAGCGCACGTTGTGGTCCTCCCTCTGATAGATCACGACCGAGTCATACTGACCAATGTCAACAGCATGCAGTTCCTGGACTTTCTGGTGAAAAGGGAAATGGTGCTTCTTGGAGCGAGAATGTTCATGAGCGTGTATGCCCAGGGCAACACGAGGTAAACGATGCCAACTCCGTAGTGGTCAACACCGAAGAGTCTGCCGAAGATCTTGGACGGTTTCAGGTTCGGTCTGTGACAGTGAAGACCCCAAAGCGGACGCGTCGCGAGTGGCTTTTGGCTCTTGGACTACGGCGCGTTTTCTCCAAAGGCCCCCTAGGCGCCTTGTTGCAGCTATCAACTAGGCGAAGCTCCTCGTCCACATCTGCGAGTGGCGGAGCATCGAAAAGAGCAGCGAGCAAAGAGCCACGAATGTCAGAGGGAGCTGCGAATGATGGACCAAGCGGTGGTGCTGCGAGGGAAGAAGCAGATGTTGACCCCAGTAGAAGTGCAACTTCTAGTACAATCACATCACGTGGCCCTGAAGTACACCATCGTACTAGAAGCATTAGCAAAGAAACCCAAAGCAGTAATCGACCTCCTAGTTCTAGTATGAAAACAAGAAATGATGAAGACCTGGGTCAACACCATGGAGATGATGATTTGATAAAGGACACCTTTGTGGTGCCGTTATCAACGGAGACCCGAACGACTACTACGACATCTTGGACGACAACGACAACTATTGCTTGGTTTGAGGCTGAAAAACGGCAGGTGAATGTCAGTACCTTGCAACGGGCAAGGAGTGATTACGACCTTTCAGCGCAATTCGTCGGGGAAGAAGATGGAGAATTGCGGTTGGTTCAAGTCGCTTGTGATATGGAGAGGAGTCATGATGCTACTGGTGGTCGTGAACATCGACTAGATGACGGTTGTATCAGGGAACGAGCTAATCCTGCGTTGCCAGATGATCGCGTATTTCATGTTCACCTACTAGGCGAAGGTCTTACTGGCGGGCGAGCCTCCTCAGGTGAAAGACAAAGGGATGATGGATATCATGGTCCTGGTGTGACTTCTTCTGCGGTGTGTGCTGCTTCGTTGGAACCAACTGCAAATGGTCGAGGTGTAAGAACTTCGCATGATGTAAATCTTGACTCTGAGGCCCGCACGACGAGGCGCCCGTCAAAGAGGTCAGCTTCAAAGAACAGTGCGCCAAGAGGGCGGAAAGGGCGTAGTACAGGCCGCCCAGGTTCGGGAAGAAGGCGCGGAGGTCGCAGTGACAGTGGTCCTCTCGATGATGGTAACCTCCTCTCTGATCGAAGGTCACAGGAGCATAGTGAAGGAGACGAGCAGCAGCATAGCGTAGAAGTGAGCAAAGAATGGACAGGTGCAAGTACGCGAGGGATCGGAAAGTACACTACAGCGAACAACAAAGAGACACGAACAGGAACGGATAGGGACAGAAGTAGGCAGCGTCCACCGAGACCTCGCGCGCATCACCGCTCCTTATCTAAAGGACCTGCCAGTGCCACCCCATCAGTGAGTAGACCGAGAGGCGCGCCTGGGCCTCCACCAGCAGCAACAGCGCATAGAAGTTCGTCGATTCCGCTATCCAGAGACGAGCACGATGCGCGGCCGAAGCGGAGTTCAACCAAGAAATTCAGTATGGTCTCGCAATGGCATTATCTGCAACAGCCGACTGCTTTGCGTCAATATTCAACCTCTGCGACTAACAGAGTAGTACCTGAGCAGCAAAATGAAGAAAATGACGAGGAGGAAATAGGGGCGCAGCTCTTTTCAATAGCAGCTCGGGAAGTTGATCTCTTAGGGCGTGATGGCGGTAATCCAGATACATCATTAGTCTCGAGAGACGAAGAGGGGAACCCTTGTGGTATGGAAGAAGCACAAGTGCGGCTATGGGTTCCGCTGATGTACTGCACATTCGAAGAGAGAAGAGCAAACACAGCAATAAATGATGGCCCGGCGACGTCAATATCTTCAGAGTACATGGCCAGCAGTAATCCTGTTCAACGGAGAAGCAAAACTCCTCCTGCGACATCATCACCACAACAGACAAACACGGGAAATTCTGCTGGTGCAGCGAGTTACAGCGAGCTAGGATGTGCGCTCATTCTTGGGCGCATGAGTACCGACTTGGAGGATCGCAGTCTGGATGCTGGTGGGAGTCGAGCCCTTACTGAGTTAGAGCTATCGGAATTTGAGCGTACGTTTTCTGACGTAGCCTCCGCGAATCCGCTTTTTCTCTACGCAACGGCTCCGGATTTGCGTGGTGCCTCTCTGCAAGGCGCGGCTTCCCTCAATGAAATCAACGATAAAGAGCATGACCAGAGTATCCAGCGCGCGGCAACATCTCTAGAAGTACAACAAAACGGCTACCCGCCCCCGCGTCTAGCAGGAGGACGAGCGGGGGGACAGGATGCAGTCCATCTTGTTCCGGGGTCGAGACAGCTACCCACAACTTCTACATCAGCAGCGGAGGGACAGCAGGAAGCAGACACGATGAGTCCTAGCTTGAGCGGAATCGGGTTTAATAGCTATTTCTTCACACGATGGACACCAGGCTCTGAGCTTTTCTACCGCCAGGCCCCCTTCATCTTTTCTGCCATGCAACCACGTGAGCTGGTAAGACCTAGACACACAGAACAGCTAACACCTGCAGCCACAGGAGCTCAGCAGGTAGAAGAAGAACAGACGATGACGATTGTGGCCAGAGCCTCCGTGCCAGAGCCAGACTTTTCAGGTGATATGGAGGGACACCAGGAGGCGGAAGTAGCGGGTGCTAGAAAGGGACTACTCCAGGAACAGGTAATGGACCCAGATCCACCTGGCGAAGGTGCAGTTGGACAAGATAGTGTTCAAACTGACGATGAGAACACTAGAAGGGTTGCGTTTAACTTCGCTGAAGATACTACTACTAGAAGAGAAGATGAACAAGGAGGTGCTTCGGTAGAAATAGCTAAGACTTCATCGGGGGACGCCACGAGCAAGAGTAGTTTTTCTACGGAGTCGCTGTCAACGACGAAAACACCACTCGGACGTGCATTGAACAGCTTTCTAAGTGGTGGAATTGTCGATAAGCTCGTGCTGTTTTCCGCTAATATACACGACCGCGCGCACTTTATTCGGAATCGGCACTTTTCACGGCGAGCACTGTATCAGGAACCAGAAATAGAGGAAGAGGATGCAACATCACTGGCGAAGACGCCACAGCAGGAGAACCAAGTAGATGAAGTACTTCTAGCTCCTCCTACAAATGATGTTTATGACGTAAACTACCTTGCCTTTGGAGGATCGGTAGCATCCGGGCTATTGTCTCATCAACAGAGAGGTGTTGGCCTTGACGGTGAAAATCATTCGCGGGACGTATTCAAGAATGCAGGAGCAGGCAGGGCCGACAGGGACACAGCAGGAGATAGCACACACAACGGGATCGATCGTGCCTCGGAGGGTCAGATAGAAGGTGAGGATGAGTTGATAGAAGACCAGCAAGGGGGGGATGCGGGTCTCTCGCGGATGGTGAGAGCTCGCCTTTTTGAGCTTCTATTAAGGCTTACCGCAATTCATCCTAAGGAGCATCTTTGACACGTTTTCAAGAATAAAAGGCGTCAAAGATGACTTTCAGGACGATGAATTTATATAAGCTCTAATTCTATCTGCGGAAAGAGTCCCATTGTCGTCTGAGACAAGGTGGCATGTCGTAGATAGGGGAAAGGACGATGATACCATACAGCTAACAACATATTTACACATTCAAGATGAGAACGCTGACGCATCAACCTGAAGAACCTTGAGACGTGTTTTTCGTGAATGTACCAAACAATTTTCATTTTGAGAACAAAGCAGATTGTCATCGTACATGATCAACGTATTTTTTGCTGCTCTCTCTCTAGGCACTATCTATACGACTTTCTGACCTCGCTCGGTGGAAACCGCGTGGAATTTCGCCGCGGCTCAGGCGACTGTTGCAGAAAACTAATAGAGTGCAAGGTGTCTCCAAATGCTGGCCAGGAGCGAGGTAACGAGACAAAAAGTGTTGTTGCATCGTCCGTCAGTAGAAAATAGGAAAAGTCCTGGTCTCTACGCGGTCCAGAAAAACACAAGGAATAGTCATAGAAAAAGACAGAGAATACTTCACATAGCAAATAAAGAAGAAACTAGAACAATATGGCGGCCGCTACCTTGCTCGTCGACGTGATGGAGGGCGGGCGGTTCCTCGATCCAAGCGTGCCGCACATGGTTATCGTCAGTATCAGTGGAGCTGAAGCTGTGGTATTCTAAAAGACGGATAGAGAAAAAATAGGATAACATGTCGCAGGACACTTTTACTTTTTTGCGCTTTTGAGGATTTCAAGGTAGTCACTTGTCTCCTATATCACTTTCTTGCCGATACATAGACTGACTGAGAAGTTCCATCCTCATGACTTTCAAATTCAAATTCAAGTCTCTCAAAAACATCGAAATCCAGCGAACGGGATGGCGCAAAAGCAGTGGAGGGCGAACGGTCTTCGATCATCAGCAAGTGTTGCGATTCTCTATGGCGCACTTGCAGCAGCATGCAGGACCTAGGATGGTCCGAGTGGAGCTTTTTTCGATGGTTTTGCCTGGGCCAGCAAGGCGTGCAGGAGAGGCCTCGTTTCCCCTGGTCGATCTACAACCAGGTTTATGATTGACATAGCCCTCGGAGGAATTTGAAATCTTGATGTGAGTGTGAGACTATTTTCATCATAATCGCTGCTCGTGGCCCCTGAATCATGGTTGGAAACAACACTTATCTATAGATACTAGTTGTAAGCAGGAGGAGGCGACTTCATAGTTAAATCAAAAACTTTTTCTTGAAGTACTTACATACATAGAAGTTTTAGCAGTTGGAGTTGCATTCCACCTTTTTCTCGACTTGTGTCAATTGCACTTACAACTACTGGGTTTCTTCTCTAATCAAAGTACCGAAGCATATGGCTGTGTCGTTGCACAATAACTCGCAGCTTGCTGGAAGTGTGCAAATCCGTGTTGTATCTTCCTCAGCTTTCGTCCTTGGTGGTGACGGTGAGCGCGGATCTTCGCCCAAGAAAGCCGCTCCGCCAGCACGGCGCTCAGCACCTCCACCAAATAGGAACAGGGAGGATGCAGAGGTAGAGAATGCTTTTGCTTGTGCCTGGTCAGATACTCTTTTTACATCAGTTGAGGACGAACGACGGGACAGGTTCTTGTGGTTTCTGTATCATTGTCTGTGTGTCGTTGACAACCACCTGGAGCTGAAGGAACTCTTCCGTTGGCCTTCTAACGTGTTTTCTCTCTTTATGGTCCTCCCTATTTCTCCTTCACCACTACCTCCAGGGTAACGCCGCAACGGCACGACTTATTGAGCAAATGCTAGCTGAGGAAGGTGCGAACTTGGACTCGCAGGCGGCGATGTTTACCCATTTCGAGAAGCAACAACGAGTCAAATCACCCGCCAGCGTATCTTCGCCGACCTCTTTCGATCCGTTTTCGGCTCCGAGCTCTCCGGAATCCGCAGGACCCAGGAGTCCTCCACCTTACACACGAAATCGCACGTCCTCACCACCGCGAGCAGGCGGACCTCCGAGACGAACAGAAGACAACTTTCATGATCAGAGAAGAACTTCTGAAACAGGAGCAGCGCCAAGACAATCTCAATCGCAATTCATTGGCAACAATATCAGGAATAGTACCACGGGTTGTGGTGCTGGAGCAGGCGTAGATGGTCATGGATCAACGTACTATGATATGCCGAATCGGAGTGCTTCTGGTGGAGCAGATAGCACAAGGCGAGCGTCAGCATCTACTAGACCACCTAGCAAAAACTCTGCGCAAGAACAACGTGCTCAGGAGCGTCGACAAAGTACGAAAACTGACTCCTCAGCCCCCAAGGATCGGAGCTCCAAATCTAAGAAAGCGCCGGCGAAGAAGGCACCGCCTCCAGTTGAGATCGATCCCGAGGAAGAGAAAAGACAACAGGAGCTTTTATGACTTGAATCAGACCCTGTGCCATCCTGCTAGTTCTGTCCTCTCTCACACAGACAGCCCAAGCGAATAGTCAATGCTTCTCTCTCTCACACCTCTTCTCCCTTCATACTCAGAGAAAAAGCGTCGCCAGATTCGCGAAGCTGCACGGGCATGTCAGCTGGCGAAGCTCCAGGGTGGTCAGGAGTCTCCCGCAAAATCTGCGTCACCGTCTCCGGTCGTGAAACAGCGTGTCATCGTAGAGAAAGCGCGATCACCGACACCGAAGGCCGCAAAGGCGGCTCCTTCGAAGGCTTCTGCGGGGGCAATGATATGGGCGCAGGAATATCACTACTTAAACTGTCTATTTTGCGTAATCGATGTATCTGAGACGTACCTGCCTATCAATGTATGTGTTGAACTTCTCCCCTGTCGTCATGGTGGTTGTAATACTTGTTTCTGCTCTAAATTGGCCTACTGACGGACCGCCTTCTACATCTGCTAAAGCGGCTTCAGCTGCGTCGAAAAAAGATACGGAGGCGAAAAATGCGGCTCCCACGGCGAGCGGCACCACTGCGACAACCGGTGGCATGTCAGGCCCAGGCAAGAGCGCTGCTCCATTAGGCGCGTCTCCGAAGGGAAATTCTGTGCCGGGGCAAGGAGACGCGATGAGCTCGGCGTTCACTATGCCATCTCCTAGCGCCTCATCAAATGCTGGCGCAGCAAGCGCACAGATGGGTACAGGTGGTGTGTTTTGGAATACTTATCATTCAGCATTCACCGGAAGTCAGGCCAGTCCAATTTCAACCTCGAGTTCAGCGCCGCAACCTTCCCCACCTGGTAGTGCGGGTCATGCAAGCTTCAATATGCAGCATATGCACCATTCGTCAAGCGCTCCCTCTTCTACGAATTTTGGTTTAGATTTGTTTAACTATAATGCAGCAACATTTTTCACGACCACTGGTGGTCCAGCAGCGGCAACCACTCCACAGTTTCCTGCACATGCACCTGCCAGTGCAACACGCAGCAGTGTAGGGACGCCATACTTCGAGGAGAGCGAGAAGGGAGACCGATTGCGTCGCTTCGTTGGTGCGACCACGGGAGTGGGGGATGCGAGTGTAGATGGAAGTGTTTCTCAACCGTCAACATGGTTGCATTCTCACACGATGGGCGCACATGCAGGGCCAGCAGCAGCAGCAGGAGTCGCCTACTATCCACTTACACAGCAGCTTCCAACGCAGTATGGATATCAGGCGCACTTTTCAATTTCAGTGCTGCAATCGGGTACTCTACCCAGTGTCTTTGGCGGTGGAGGTCAACAAGAACAATTCCGTTCGATCTATGAGGAGTTTGCAGAGCAGTTGCCTTTTTTCGACTTCGACAATAGCAGGACCGAAGACCTGTCCACTGACGAAGCCTCGGCAAGTACCCAGAATGTTCCAGCCACTTGCACTTCTTCCGTCACAAAAAATATAGCTGAACGAGAAAGAGTATCTACGAATCCGTTTGCCGCGTTTGCTTCGAGTCGTCGAGAGGCGGCAGAAAGTTCACAAAGAACAGCGGGTAGAGATAGGCGGTCTGAGCAGCCTAGTAGAAACAATTCCGTTGTTGAGGACCTCCAAGGCAGTGCAAAAAACGAAGATGGTGGAAAAGGACAGAAGGATGTTCAGACATCACCTTCGAAATTATCGTGGAACCCGTTTGCGTCGTCCTCCGATAGTGATCACGTTACGAGTGCTCTACCTTCTGCGTCTAGGGTGGTGGTGAATCCTCTCTCATCTACCGGTGATAAGCCAGTTGCAGAGTCGCAGAAACAAGCTGTGGCCCAAGGTCATAATCAGAGCGCTTCTGCTCGTGTAGAAGGGGAAGGTAGCACTAACAGAGGTGATCGAACAAGCGCACCTGCGCCATCAGGACAAGTCACGACTCCAACATCTAAGTTACGGCCTGTAGATGTCGTCCACAGTACATCAATAGTATGCCATCATAGCCGTGACGAGCGGCGGGCACGCTTTGCTGCACTTCTGAAAAGCGTTACGCTTGACCAGCAGTCAGCGCCAGCTGTTGACGTAGCTGCCGTGCTTCAAAAAGGTCGTGGTCGTGTGCACGCCTCGAACACCCGAGATACAGAAGAGGAAGAAATCTTCACGAAAAATCCGTTTTCATTTGTTACTGCTCCTAGTACATTTGATGCTGACTTTGATTTCTCTGCAAGTCCTTTAATACTTCCCGAAACTGAAAGGAAAGAAAGTGAAAGTTTAGAGAATACACCCCGCCTGCCGTGACTTCCAAAAGCAGGATTTTTAGCTCTGTCGGACACGGGCACGGCCGCAGAAACATCAATTTTGAGTTTTTGGAGATGATTGTGTTCTCTTAGCCTTAAGGATGGAAGAGTTTGACAAGGAACTTGCAAAGTTTTCATCGTTGGAACGCAAAAGCAAAACAGACAAGAGACTGATCAGACTTTTGTTATCAAAATGCTCAAAGGGGGCCCGCACTTGGTATTTGAGCCGTTTTTAGGCAGTTACTAATTTTAGCTAGACTCGAAGGTTTTCTATCTTTATTGGACTCATAACATGGACGAAAGCGGTTTGATCTTCATTGCCACCGAAGTCTGGTGTCTACCTACGGATGTATGATACATGCATTCCCAGCACTCTAAACATCACCCATATAGAAATTTCATCTAGTATAATCGCTAACACTGATAATTCAAATTCTAAACTTAATTATAGTCCACGCGGGCTATTGAAAATTCGATGAAATTCTTGTGGTCATTACCAAGCAACTTAAACGCGGACACAGAAAGGGATCATCGTAAATAAGAACTACAATTCGTCGGCATCGGACATCATCAAGTAATCAGGCAAAATGTTTTTCGCGAATCCGTTGGGTAATCAGATCACGGCCACGAGCCTCATGAATGGGAGCGAGGCAGCAGGTGGCTCCGGTCCTTCGCCATTTTTAAGGCAACTACGTAACAAGCGAGCATCCTCTGCGTCATGATCTTTGATGGCTAGTATTTTCCTAATATGGGGAAAGTGCGGAAATATCATGCTGTGAGGGATGCGAGCGCGCTAGCTCTAACATTCGGACAACCGCTTGGTTCACCAACTGAAGCTGCCCGAATGTCTCAGGCGGGAGCTCCAAGCACACGGCTGAAGCAGTACGTCCTGCCCGTGACACTCAAGTCAATCGTCACGGGAGAGAAAAGTACTTGTTATTGTTAAAGAATACTTCAAGTAAACGAAGAACGTCGTGTCGTGAAGGAGGAATCTCTAATTATTCGTTTTGTGCTGCCTCCGAGAGGTAATTCTCCAATCACCATTTGCCGACTTGAAGAATACACTTTTTGATAATTTATGAGAAGTTCCAAGTTTCTGTTTCACTTTCAGTTTAATGAACACTCCTCTCATCATGACATTCGCAGCTCCGGAGGGTTTCAAAATTTTTGGTGTGAAAGCGGCAATGGTGACATTCGTGGCGCAGATTGTGAAAGTCGAAAAGAAGGAGCTCCAATATACATTTACGTTTGACGATACGACGGCAAAACTCGATGGAAAGCAGTATTATCATGACATTGATGACTTAGTCTCGTTGATATGCTTTGTCCTTGGCGTTGACTTTCTGGGCCTACATTTTTTATACGGGTTGGTGTCCAGCCACGTGAGATGATAGTCACAATATTGTTCGTTATCCTCTTCAAATCTCTCTACGACTGTTTACTCCTCACCTCAGCATTCTTGACGGGACAGATGCAGAGGCGAGCCGCGCAATGCAAAGGATGGTTGCAGGAAGCTATGTGAGGATAATCGGGCCACCTAAGAAGTCCTCCAAAGACGGTTATATATTTGTGCAATGCCTACAGCTTCACCCAGTTGAAGATCCGAATGATGTTGCCTTTCACCAAATCGAGGTGGGACACACCGCATTGAAGCTCCTGCGAGGTATTTTTTAGATGACTGATAAATATTTGCAACCTTTTTATTCATTGGCCCTGGTCAGGCAGGATCCTTCCTGACGGGGAACCCGGATACAGCGAAGTCGTCATCACTTCAACCGAGGCAAAAGTTGGCGGGAGGCTGGCCTAAGGTCGTAGGCTTTAGTTGTGGGTCAATAGTATGGAACACCCGAGCAAAGCGTGGGGGCATTGCTTCGCCTGTAGCCGCACCGAGCTGGCACCATACGCGGAATCGTGAGAGAAAACCGCGCGCACACTCCGCACCCGCGTGGCTTACTGGGTTGCGCCGCTCGTGACAGAAAGAAGGGAGAGGCCAAACCAGGTGGGCGCACGGCTTGGGAAAGGTGTGGGTACAGGGGCAAGGCAATTGCAGCACACGCACAGGGCACAACACTAGCCGAGGTGGCATTAAATAGACAAACGCGCGCAAACTCTGCCACTTGTCAAGTTCAAAACTTTCCGCGCGGGGGCCCGTGCCGTGGGTCTTGTGCGTTTGGAGATGTGCCCCGGAGGGTTTTCAGCCAGGAGAAGAACAAACGCAAGGGGGCGCACGTGCTTACGCGCATATTCTTTAGCCAAGCAATGCCGCAGGACTTGGAGGCAACTAACCGGCGCCGGCTGAAGCAGTGAAAAGCAGGGGGCTTCGCGCTTGGTTGCCGCTCTTCTCTTCGCTTAATTTCCGTGGGGGCGGGCTTGCTGATTGGGGGCGGTGAAACAAAAACGACGCAACCCAGGACGGGCTGAAGGAGTTGGGCCTGGGGGCTTGACTGCTGTAATTCCTGGCGACCACTGAGAAGCACCCGCGAAGGACGCCGGGGCCTGGTAGATTGATGCCAGACAAACAGGGCAAGAGGACGCCAAACAGATGAAAGGTCTGGGCTGCCATTACAGCAACGCCAAGGCCAAGTCGAAGGCCAGCGAGCTAGAGTGCGCGGCTTGGCTTGGGCTGATGGCGTGGCCGCTCGTCTGGTCTTCTTTGTATCGCGCTGCCCCCGTCGTCTCTTGGCTTTGACGCTGTGCAGGGCGTCGCGTCTGAAAGAGTCTCCCCGGCCAAGTTCTTCGCCGATCTTCAAGGGGTTCGAGAATCGAGGTCGAGAAACAGAGAGTCGACGGACATCCAGGGCCCTCATCTTATGCAAGGCAAGAACATCGTGGGGGCGTTCTAGCTACCAGGATTCGCGCCGCACAGCTCCCGCGTTGTTATCTTTGGGGCCGATTCGCTTCGTTTAGGCGTGGGTGAGTTCCGTCGTTGCTAGCATCTTGGCACGGGGGGGCATCGGCGTGCGTTGGCTTTGGCAGTTCTCTTCCTTGGGGTTTCTGGTCGTTTCTTTCGTCAAGTATCGCGTTCGTGGGCTTCCTTGGTTGCGTGCTGGGTGTCTCGCTTCTTTGTTTTGCGTTCTCTCTTTGGTGTTTTGTTCGTGTCGCAGGCTTTGCTTTTTCACGAGCGGGCGATCTGCGTACCTGGAAGCCGCGTGGCCCTCCCCGTGTTTCTTCTTTCTCGCACGTTTATTCCAGACTTGCGCGTAAGTAAGTTTTTTATGAGTGCTCCGTCCTTGCTTGCTAGGAGCCGCTTGCTAGTAGTTTGCTCTAGCCTGATCTTATTTATACTCTTTCTCTTCAAGCTCAAACTGAAGCTCAGGACGGGCGACTTTCAGATCATCTGATGGTCGTTACCGGTTTTATATTTACTGCTTGTGGTGCATCAATCTTCATCAAGCACCAGGTAGCGTAAGGAGGTTGCCAACACCATCTCAAGGGAGCCTTTTGCCACCGGTTTCTACGCAAACTGCAGTGACGCTGACGGCTCCCACTGCAGTCCCAGAGCCGTCTGGAGATGTTACTATGACAGATGCAACGGCCCCAACACCCGCAGCCCCAGCGCCAGCCCCAGCGGTCGAAAAGGCTGACCTACTGACGATGATAAAAACGTACTTATTCACTTCTTCCTTAAGGAATTGAGTGATGGGAACTGGAAGATGTGAGCCGTGTTCTTGATGCAATCACTTGCCGAATGTAATTATCCTCAATATAGCTCGACCTCATGTTGATCTTGTTGTTGTAGGGGACGCACCGTCTTCACAACATTCAACCGATTTACTCTTTGTCTCCATTTCATCCAGGGCTGTCGCTGCGAAGGGAGAGCAAGGTGCGAAGTTTGAGCACGTTGTCGCAGCGATAGGTGGCGCTTATAGTAAGGAAGAAATAGAGAAGCTGTGGAGCTCGCTGATCGATGACTGCGAAATGTTCGAGACAATTGATGGCCATTACGGATTTTAGTCATCATTTTTAAGTACTTTGTACCTAGAAGAACCGGATGAAGATGAAGGTGTGAAGCACCTTTTTTGACCAAAACTATGGTGATGTTCACATGGCCCTTTTATTCCGCACTACCTTGATGAATCTTTGTCGGTCGATGGATCCTGCGTGGACTGCTCACGCTTTACACGGAGGTTTCACTTTGCGCTAGCGATTTGCTTTGGTCGTTTGCTGGAACGGAAATTTCGAACTAGAACAGCTCCCATCTAAGGAACAGGAGAATCTGCGTGAGATTTCTCACTTCTAGCTGCCTTCTAGGTTCATCCAGTTATTTTAGTGTTCTCAGCGATGTTCAAAGAAGAACTAGTTGTTCTGGCCATAATTTATAGACTTTGACTTTTATGATTCAGTCAGCTGGCAAAGGCAGTGGTCCGGACAGATAAAGTGCTTCAGAATCGTGCTTGAGATGAAACAAAAGTGTATTTTTCGGACGAGTACAAATCACCAAGGAAAAACCTGAGCAGGGCGTGATGTAGTTCCGTTCACAAGAGTTCTCTGTCCTTCAAAATCAAACATGGACGCAGCTACACGACTTCCGTCGAGAAGAAGGCGTCTCGTGTTTGTGTGCCTCGCTGCCGCCTTGTTGCACCAAGCGCAAGCGCTCCGATGGCGAGAAAGCAATGGGCAGGAGGGGCACACGCAACGCCTCCGTTCACGACAATCCTTGCCGTGTAGTGCAGGCGAGGTTGTACCGGAGCACCGGTATTTCTATCAGGGTGGCGCCACACCGCACACCCGTGTTTCGGCACAGTTCTCTGCGGACCCGAACTGTTCGAAAGAGAATGGGGATGAGGATCACTTCCACACCCCGAGCAGGAACAGTTTTTCCACGACGCGTATGAAGAAAACAAGGAGTATCTTCTTCAAAAACCAGAACACCAGCAAGAGTAGCACGAGAACATCTTCTTCACAGAATAAGGGACAGGAAGTAGTACATCAACTAGAGCATGACATCCACAGCTCAACATCGAGTTCGACTAGACGCGGTTGTCCGCAGGCTCGTCCTTGCAACTGTTCCTGTGTTTGCCCTGAAACCGTATTTGTGCCTCCAGTCGCGCCAGCCCTGCTTCAGGCACCACCGACATGCTCTGGGCCGGCGTGCGGTCCACAGGGTTGCCCGCCAGTGGCGCCCTGTAACTGTTTTTGCGCCTGTCGCCCGCCAGTGCCACAACAATAAAGCTGAGGACTTTAACAATTGGAAAGTAGTTAGCTTGTTCGGCGTGTTTGTATAGGAGGAAAAAGTATATTGAACTCATGTTGAGCGCGTTTGGTTTCAATATTTAGTGGATATTTGTGAGTTATGCTTGCTAATATGAGTAAGGCCGAAGGTTACCTACCGCAGTCACACATATCGATGGCCTGAATTTGTTTTTTCCAATCGCAGTTGCAGATGCAGAGTGATGTGAGTACAGCTTGCCGTTGATAGATACGTAAATACGAACTGAAGAAGATCTAAGTGAAGATAAAGAATGCGCATGCGCCGTCAATGTCAAACCGCGAGTGTTAACGAGGCAACTCGTGATTGCGAGGACAAAAAAAATTGTGTGGTTCTGTTCTCTCGAACATCCAAGCCGAGGCATCCTACTCTATCCTATCCTATCCTATCCTACCTGGCCCTTCTACCGAAGGCAGTACCGAAGAAACATGAAGCATTGGGTAGTCATTGGAACCACAAGAATAACAGATTTTCACATCGTGCTCACTCTTTCGTCCTCTATGATTTTTGGTTTGCGTTTGCTGTAGTTGAAGCACGCAGAGACCGAGTAAGACCCATGAAGGATGGTACACCGTCTTTGTATTTTTCAGTCACAAGAATAAAGAAAAAGATAAAGATGATAATGTCAATTTTCTGCAGGCGAGGGAGCGCCTGACGAGCCATTCACAGGTCAGGCTGCTCATGCGATTTGACACTATCGACTAATTATGACGGTGGAGCGACGCCAACCTATGCAATTAACGTCTAAATAAGTAACCATGGCATCATGAGATCCAATGTTGCTGCTTTCCCTATTCGTCTTCGGATTAGCTAGGTCAGAGTAAGTGATATCTTTAGTAGTGTCTTCATAGAGTGGTGCCTACGGTCTACAAATTCTTTCTGGGAAAAACATGACGTCAAGCGGCGGCCGGGTTGCGTCGTTGCCTGAGGATTAGTGCTCGACGGGCGGCCGGCCTGAGGATTGGCGCACGCGAGCGCTGCATTCGTTAATCAGTCGAGAACGAACGCAGGATTCTTGCAAGCTAACCCACCCGTAGCTTGAAAATACTACGTACGGCGAAAAGTAACCATTAGCTTACGTCAGACTGTTCTGCGCTTCTACTCCTGGGTCTGCGTCGGTGAGGGGTATCGAAATCCGGAAGAACACGACACACTAGAGTAAAGACTGTTAGTATCGACCAGGAGTATCCTTATTCCTTCTAGGGTTTCAGGAGGCGAGTTTCGGTTCTTGCGTCTGGAGAAGAGTCTAAAACTCTGAAAAGCCGAAAGGATGGACGCCGCTAACGCGTATAATGGTCAGATCAAGGATGGCCTTTTCCACGGAAAGGGTACCCTGATCTACCAAGGCAACGAAAAATATGAGGGTGACTGGGTCTTCGGAAAGCGAGAAGGAACGGGAAGATTTACGTACAACTACACAATAATGTTGATGCTTGAAAAAACGAATAGAAATTTAGATTGTTGTACAATACAAGTAAGTATCTATCTGTGGCATAGAGTATGAAGTGGAGCATTCTTCTCTTTCAGATTTTGCTCATAAGACAAGAACGGGTTAGATGAAAAGGATTTCTTACCATAGTAACTAATTCACTGGGTATGACGTACTTTTCTTGACGTTTACCTTTTTTTGTCTTCCACAAAAGGTACGCGGACGGGGCCGTATTTGAGGGGCAATGGCAGGATGATAGGATACACGGTCACGGTGTCTCATTATTCGCCAGCGGAAACAGGTGCAACTACCACAGAAATCATGGAAAAAATTCATAGATTGTTTGATGACACTTATTGTTGTTAAGTACTACTGATCGAGGCAAGAGACGAGACGTCATTTTTTGTGTTGTATCCTTCCAACCCCACGCCTCCTGTCTTCCCGCATGTTGTAGAACTGCCGCCTTTTATTTACTTTTCTCTACTCCGACCGTTCATTCGGAAGATAATGAACTTTTAACGACATCTATTCCTTCTGACGCCAACAGGTACGAAGGTTCGTGGGACAATGGCAGGATTAACGGGTACGGAAAGTTGACGTACAGTAACGGGGATGAGTATGAAGGCGAGTGGCAAGACGGAAAGATGCATGGTAGGGGTGTCTACCGTTATGCTGAAGGTGATGTCTATAGCGGCGAATGGAGGGAAGACAAGCGTCACGGAAAGGGAACCGTTACGTATGTCAGCAGCAAGGTACTTTCTTTGCGACGTAGATGCTTCTGGTATCATGAAAACGTGACGTTCCTGGTTAAGAAAGCATTGCATTGCCATACGCTTGGTGAAGAATGCTCATTTACAACGAGGCTTTTCAAGTCGCTGCTCTAAAACCACCAGAGTTATCGTTAGGTACATTATCATTCTCCTGATCATCACACTTAGGGCTCCGTAGTGGAAAAATATGAGGGTGATTGGGTAAACGGAAAGATGCATGGCCATGGCCGATACCAATACGCGGATGGTGGCATCTATGAGGGAAATTGGATTGATGGAAAAATGCACGGCAAGGGAATGTAATTCTTTTTCTACAGCGCGGTAGTTGTAGTTGACTTAATGCGTCAATCAATGTTTGTTTTTGCGGAACCATTTTTCAATTTTTTTTTCCAACCTCAATATTCTGACTCATCCATTTCAGTTACGTATTCCCCAACGGGAACGAGTATGACGGTGAATGGGCAAACGATATGAAAGAGGGATACGGTATACTGACGTATAAAAACGGAGAGCGTTATGAAGGATACTGGAAGGCAGATAAAGTCCACGGCAAAGGAACCCTTGTCTACACGTAAGCCAAATCAAGTAGATCTTGATGAATCTGAAATTGATATTGAATGAATTTGACGGTTTTTGTCAGTCAATACTCATAGATAAATTCAAAGATTGATAGTACTAGAAGCAGAAGCTCTTGGCAGGATAACTCTCGGAGGTCATGCGTCTTGGTATCAATGTGGACATCTGCATACTTTGCGACTCTTCTGCTCAGGTATGGCGATCAGTTTATCGGAGACTGGGTTGATGCGAAGAAGCATGGTGAGGGTGAGCTAATTTACTCCAATGGTGATCGCTTTCGTGGTCAGTGGGTTGACGATCGGGCTTGTGGCTTTGGCGTTTTCGCGTACGCAAGTGGAAACCGCTATGAAGGTCAGTGGATTGACGACAAGCGCCACGGACGGGGTCAGTTTGTGTGCTCTCAAGATGGAAGCACGTATAATCTTTTTATCATGTGTGCAAGTATAGTACTGCCCAAGTCAAGCAAAGTAGCAGTCTTCTCCTCCTTCTTCTTTTTCTTTTCTTGTAGAATGCTACCGCCACCGGGGAAACAAGTCGCGGGTGCGTCGGGGGGACCAGTTTCGGGGGGGGCGCGGTTTCCGCTGTCGTTTTCGGCTAGCCCTGTCGCAGGCCTTGCGCTCCCTCTGCGCGTCCTGAGGGCGCTCTAATCGGGAACCAGCTGTCTCATCTCGCCATCTTGAGATGCACCGAGTAGCAATACTAATGCTACATACAACTTCTTGCTCATATGTATTCTTTGTGTTCGTTTCAGTAAAGACTGAAAGTGCAACAAATTTACTAGTTTGAAGACGTGCGTTTCTACTTCTGACTTAGGTACGACGGTGAATTTGCGAACGGACGAAAGGAGGGCCGAGGCTTGCTCAAGTTCTCGAATGGGCATATCCTTTCCGGCACTTGGCAACATGGTGACCTCAAGTCGTGCCAGGATTTTGTTTTTGCGAACGATTCACCCTGGAAAAACCCAGATCTCTAAACAGGGATTATGAAGCATTTCATAATGCCGTTCCCAAACTGGTTAACACCAAGGATAATCATTACCTAGTTCTTGCTTTATCATTTGCAATCCTTCGGCTGCCTTTCTCATGATAGAGCAGAGGAGCAAAGTTACATTGTGAGGGTCGTGTAGTTCCGGACTTCACTATACTAGAATACAGCAAGGGTTGCGGTGGAGCTTAGTTGAAATAGAATTTTTACCTGACGTTTTTACATCTTTGTGATCGATTCACAGAATTCTTCCGTAGTTATTCTTGATTTTAGTATTTGTACGTTATGAATCAATTATAAATCCGATTTGTACAAGAGTTGTTCGAGTTCGACTTCACGTCGACAACAAAAACTAGCGATAGAAGAAAGTTGTTCATCGACAAAGTTATATTAGAATCTCTAGTATTACGTCCAAAAGACTAGTTTTGAGAGCAGGCAGCTGGTGATCAAACCGTGTTTGCGGCGTGATTCCACGTCGATCTTTCTCTTGTTACCAAATGTTGAGACTAAAGATTCGCTGTAAGTAGATACTCCTACCTCAACACATATCCTTTTTTTCTCAATCTTCTTTACTTGATGATGTCATACAGCAACCGACATCCTCCCAGATACCAAATCCTCAGGCCGGCTGTGTCCTCCGAGTATTCTCCCATTCCGTGCGGCCCTTTTGGTAGGACAGGTTTTCTCAAGCACAAGCACGCCCTTCTTCCCAAAGGAGCCTATACCTATTTAGCGTCAAATGAAATATTCCCGCCTCGATGATCATCGTAATTAATCTCTTCTTGCAATTACACAACGATTCGGTCCGTCTCTTTTACCTCGTATTAGGTATCTTGCTTCAAAATTATCTAGAGTACTTTTTCTGCTTTCGTCGAAATGTTCAACGAAGCTAATTAAGAAAAGATGTTAACGACCACAGTCTCACCTCGCGGACCCGAGACGAATCGGAAGAGAACTTCTAAAAGCGGTGGTGCAAAGACATCCCCCGCATGCGATATTGTATGAAAATATAAGTATTCATTTAGGATTAGGTCATCAACAAGGAAATCTCGGTTTTCAAAATGCAGTGAAATGAGGTGAAAATGATGAAGAGGATGCCGGTCTGAGGATGCTCCTGAAAAAGAGATGAATTTGAATCATCAGGAATAGCTGCTCTTACCTTTCAAAACTTGTTGTTGTTCTATTTTTACAAACATGCTTTCTTCAACATCTGTGTCTATCTCTCCTCTTGTGATTGCACTTACAATCGAACATTGGTCGAGCGTCCTCCTTTTGTAATGTCAACAAGCGTCGTGACGCACAGATTAGAACATGAATCTGAATCAATCTGGAGAGGCGCATGAAGATGAGTGATATTTAACCCTGGCTCGAGCTACATGTCCTCTGCGAAATCACAAAACGGGTGACAGGCTGAACAGCCATCGAAAGCGATCAGTACCGTTCTTTTTCACGATCTTCGAAAAATGTAGAGTCGTGTGTTTTTAGGTTGATGTTTTGTTATGATCTCAGTATGTTGATCATGATACTTTGTTTCACTTCATCGCGCGAAGAAAAATAGTATAAGCAGCTCGGAGGTAGGGGTATGCTTTTCTTCAGCAGTAGTTTAAGGTCACTATTATGCGCACTTCTATCAATTTGAATTTTCTAACGAGTTGTACGTTGAATTTTCGATCTGAGGTTGCCGAGTAGATTTTTCATTCACAAGTAGATATCATGTGATAAACTTATAAACATAGCAAAAATAAAAAAATGGATCCTCTGGATGAGTTTTTCGGTGAAGCAGAGGGTGAGGCAGAGGAGTCGGGAGAGGACCAGGATGACATTTTGATGGAGGAGGAGGACGATGACGAGGCGGCTTTGGAGAGCGGTGAGCTGGGGGACGATGTCCTGGACGATCATTTTCTTGGCGGGGTCAACATCGCCACGGCGCGAAAACGTGCCACGTTGGCCGCCCGGCGAAGGAATAAGGCCACCTCGGATAGTGCGATGAAGTATTTGCTGGGACGAGATGAAGCAGGTGCAGGAGCAGGGGGCAGTTCTTCGTCGACAACAGCTGCCAAACACCTTCCGTCCTCGCGAGGGGCAGGAGTGGCGGCCGGAGAAAAACGAGCGCGTTGTGGCGGTCTAAACATAGCCGGCGGTTACGTCCAAAAAGGAGTGATGGATACACCGCTGATGAAGACGCTTGTGAATCGCGCGAACGCAGAATACCTAGCCGGCGATTATGGTGCATGTAAGGGCACGATCAAGGAAATAGCCGAAGAGATGGGTGGAGGATTGGTCAGTCGGGACGTGCACATGCTGCTAGCGAACGTCCACGAAAAAGAGGGTAACATCGAGAATTCGCTCATTGTTAAGTATTTCTGCTTGGTCCGATTAGGCGGAATGAATCTGGCGGACTATAAAATGCTGATTGCCGCTTTTCTCAGCACTCCCGGTCTGCGCGAGAAACGGCGAACAGAGGTGATTACGCTGTGCAGGCGGTGCGTCGCGGCCAGGTTTGCGGATGAAGAAGTCTACACGACTCTGGGCCAGCTCTATGAAGAGGAAGGGGATTGGCATAGCGCCTGCAATGCGGGCTATTTACGGGCGTTTTCGTTGCGGTTCGGACGCAGCGATCCGAAGTTACGAACACTCTTTACTTTAAATATTATATGCACTTGTTGCAATTACATGTATTCTGACGCGCTTCTGTCTGAAGGCTCCTGCAGGTAACTATTGACTAGAAAAATCTATATGTGGTCTCATTAACAACTTTATTTGATGCGAAGAAGATGAGGTTTTCGCGTTCAAAATTCAGTTTCAGATGCCGAACAAAGAACACTGTAATGATGTAAGCGGGTAGTAGTCAAAGTTCTGGCGTGGCTGTACATACACATAGTTAGATATACATATACTCATCTAAGATTGTTGACTGTCGATGCCGTTGCCCAGGACGCCGCTCGTTTGCTTTTCGCGTTGAAGCGATGGGACGATTGCTGTGAGATTTTAGAGATGGCAGCACAGCGGTCGGAAGAAGTGACGAGTCGCATCTCTGACTCGATTCTGTTGCTCTTCGGGGAAGTCCTTTGTCTTCACTTACGGGACTTTCGACGTTGCGTGACCCTTTACTTCCGTGCTTGGGGGCTTGCGCGCACTGGCGATGCTCAGCGCGATGCGCTATTGCTGGGTCCGGCACACGTGATAAGACGGGTTTTCGGGCAGAAAGACCTCGAGCGGCTCAGTTGGTTCGCAGTGGCCTTGATCGAGCTGGGGCGATGGGATGAGGTGGACGAGACGGCCCAGTTTCATAGGGGCAGCGCAGAAGCTGAGAGCGCGCTTTGCGTGTGTGCTGTGTACAGCATTGTGGACCGCACGTCATTGGATGATGTCGCTGGGGAGAGCATTCTACACAACATCGTGGACGCTTTGCTCGGTAAGAACCTGACTGAACCGGCGCGCAGGCTCTTGCAGAAGTTTGAGGTGGCGAAAAAGCTCTCGGCCAAAACACGGTATCGGCTAGGACAGTGCGCGTATGCAGAAAAAGACTACAAGACGGCGCTCAAACACTTGGAAGCGTTGCTGGAGATGGACGATCGCGACGCCGACATCGAGGAGCAAGCCTTGCGGGTCCAGTTAGCCGAAATCTACGTGCTGACGAAGAACCCGGAACGCTTCTCGCGGGTCTTAACTTCGGACCTGACCTACGAGAACTTGAAAAGGCTTAAAAGATTGCCGTCGGCGATGTCGCGAGGCGATCGGGAACAATCTTTTCGCGACCTAAGGGCTGCACTGCACCAGGCCTGGCTCGCCAAGCAAGAGCACCAAGCGCGCAAAGACAAAGAACAGCGCGCGAGAATTGCTGCTTCCGAGGCCGCAGCCTTGGTGTCTGGAGCAAGTACTGCTACGGGGAGCAAGCAGAACGCAGCAGCCTCGAAAAACGCTGCAGCCTTAACTTCCGGAAATAGAAAGCCTGCGCAAAAGAGTGATGACAAACAGAAGAAGAGATCATCGACTCCTAAAAAGCGAGAGGACCACCTCTCAGAAGCAGTCAAGGAAGCAGGTGACGATCACGACGAAGAAGAGGAACTGCCAGCAGTTGCTCTGCCACCGTGGTTTCTCGCGAGATTCGTTTACCTTGTGCATGACTGTGAGCTGGATCATGATCGTGCAAGTGCGGCTGCCTTTGACGAGGATGATGACGAAAATGCTCCTAGTTGGCGACAGAAGAAAAGATCCAAAATGGCGAAGCAGTTATGACGAAAAGATATTACTTAATAAAAGAAATGCTGAACTGAATATTGTAGAACTGTTTCCGACGTAAATTTCTATTCCGACTATTTGAAGATCTCTTTTCCCTTCTCCTTGTGGTGTTCCTCTCTCTTCATATGCAACCGAAGGCGAAGATGGTAGCAACGTGCCTGCGCGACGAAGACGTCGCGTTTTGACGGTTCCGGAGCGAAAGCGAGCCCTCGCCTTGGAGGGCGTGGAGGATATCTTCGGACCAGCGCTGTGGCTGGAGTTCGTGCGGTTCGGCTGTGAGTTTGGAGTCGCAGAAGTGTGCCAAAGACCCGAAGTCGGCGTAGAGATTCTTGAAACCGTGATCTACAACCGCCGGACCTTCGTGTCGCGCAATAAGCAAGTGCAGGACTGCGTACCCCGGTTGGAGCGAACGTCCCTAGTGCTGGCTTTGCAAGCTAACATGAGCAAAATTGCGTTCCGACACCTGCGAAACCTGGCGATTCGAGATGGGAAGGTGGATGAGCGAGCAGTGGCACTGCTAGGCCGGCTCCTCGCGTCTTCCGGTATGTCCTTCGAGTCCCGTCGTGAGGTCGCAAGGACAACGCCAGCTGCAGGCCAAGGATCTACGGGAGCTGCACCAGGTTCAAAAAACAAGCAGAATGGAGGAAAAGGAAGTAGGAACACGGCATCTTCATCTGGACTCGCTATGGCCATGGGCGAATCAGACGAGGAGGATGCTGATGTGCATTCATCGGACTCAGGGTATGGTGGAGCAGCTTCGAAGCTTAAGAAGAGAGGTCGGAGTCAGATAAAGTCGGGCTCCACCTCTAATAGCACAGCTGCACAAGGTGGGAAGAACAAGAATCGAGCCTCTGCGAGTGCTCCTGCAAAAACGCCAGCTTCCCGAGCGAAAGCAAAAGGCAAGGCTACTCCGAAAAAGAAACCTACAGCAGCTGCAGTCAAGAAGAGAGCTGCAAAAGTCGATGATTCTGACGACGCAGAGGACTCTGACGTGAAACTTACTTCCGCGAAGAATACCAAAGGAAAAGCTACTTCTTCTAGAAATCGCGGTGGAGCTAAGAAAAATAATGCTGGTGCAGTGGAGGCTTCTCCTGATGACGACGACAATGAGGACGACGAAGATAACGCCGCAGGAAGGGCTGCCACCAGTAAGGGAACGAATGGCGCGACCACCTCCATCCGGAGTGGGGAGCACCGTCCACGTACTGCCACTGTGAGTGCCAATATCAGCGACTACCAGAAGTGGGCTTCCCGCCATCTCTGTGCGCATCCGGAGAGTTGGGGCCTCATGATGCTCGTTGGCCATTGCAGTTGCATGTCCGGCCGCTCACGGTTCGCGGCCAAAGAGTATGCGCGCGCAATCGCCCAGTGCCCCGAAAACGCCTTGTCGCACCTCTGTTACGGTGCCAACCTCTTGACGATGGCGATGTCCCGGACTACCAATCGGCGACATGCGGAAGTCTGCCGTGGCTTGCTCGCACTGAGAAGGTATCAGGACTTGAGAAAAAAGACGCACGAGAGCGAGACTTGGTACAACATTGGTCGTGCGCACCACTTGCTGGGCCTTTTCAAATTTGCTGTATCGTGCTACTTTAAGTGTCTTGAGAAGCTGGAACAGCATGGCGCACTCGACGAAGCGGCTAGAAGTTGGACGTTATCTACAAGTAGTACCACAGATAGTACAACAACAACTTCCACTAGACCAGGATTTGCAGGTGGAGCCTCTGCGGTGGACGTCGCAACAGCTTCGACATCATCTCATCGAAACAACACTACTGGTGGCGCAACAGCCGCAGCATCCTCTTCCAGCAAAACACAACAAGTTAGCGCAACAACAGCTCCTTCCCAGGGTCTGGACGGTGAAGATCGCGTCGACCTGTTGGCTCTGCAGCGCGCATGTGCGCACAATCTACAGTTGCTTCTAGCGCATGCAGGCAACCTTGAGGAGGCAAAAGCAGTTGCTGAGAAGTACATGGTCATCGTATAGTTCTAAGAAGAATCACGCAGCTCTCCTTACTTTCAGCTTCACAGGGATCAGTGCTTTATTTGAGGTCCTGTTAACAAACTCCAACGATGATACACTTAACGACATGATAGCGACACTTCCTCTTTTATAGCTTTACCCATGTTTAGTTTTCTTCGCCTGATACCTTCTTGTTATTTTTCGCAATCGATCTTTCGGTGTGGCTTTAGGTCTCCATTGTTCGATGTGATGTTTTTTTCGTGAGCAAAACACATGACCGTGTTCTAACGACATGAACGTGAGAGAACAGTTTTTGAATTTGAGGCGTAGTCGCGGTGTTGTATCTGGTCGAGAGAGAGAGATGCTTCATTGAGGAAAAAGAAAAATCCGTAGAGATATTCCAAAATACATCAGAGGTTTTCGTCATCCTTAGAAGAGTGAGAAAATATCGAGAGACAAAATCGTTTCGCTCGAGTGCTAAATACGAACATGAAAATGGAAAAAACTAAACAACCTAAACGTGATGAAATCGTTTTCGTATTTGGTTTGTAGTACAAGTTGAAGCTAGTACTTCTCGTTATCGATGGTGTCAGAGTCAGTTTATTCCTACCAAGGACGGAGGCTTGTCGTCAATAAGGAGCAAATAGAGCTAAACTTAGAAGGTGGGAAAGAAAAGGATGTTTTCGGCGAATCGAAACAAAACGTCGAATCGAAAAAATAAACTCATCCAATAGAAATCAATGGAAATATCCTCTGAATCCGCCTCAACATTCAAGTCTGATAGTAGTTCTTTGAAATTAATTGTACATTATTGTTTTTTTATTCTTTTTCATTAAGTTGCCATACCCATGGAGGATTTCCGGCCCGGGCTGCCGGGCCACCCGAACGGGACTTCGATACCCGGTCTGAGCTTCCCTGACTGAAGAGAAGCCTCGTAGACCTAGGAAATCGGCATCGGTCGTGTGAGAAGATCCGAATCTTTCTTCGCCGATCCACTAATCGATTCGCCGTATGACCTGTGAGGTGGAGCTGCGATCGAGCCGAGGAAGTTGACTGAAGATCACACGAATACCGACAGATCCAACGGCAGTGGCAGTGGAACAGTGAACCTGCGTTTGCGGCGTATCTATCTTAGCAGGGCGAAAGACGGACGCCGTAGCCGTCGGTTGTCCAGCGACACCAAGCACTAGCGGTTGTGTGACTGTTGAAAAGGGGGAGAAAGGACGAGAAAGCGCTTTCATAGATTACCCCATTCGACAACAACTACAAGGATTCGAAAACTAGAGGAACTGAGGTAGAAACGATAAGTAAACAGCTGCAATACACCAGCACAGGACTAACAGAAGCACAACAAACTACTACAAGAACTTCTTGATCCCGCGGTGACCAACATCCGCAAACCGACAAGATGGCGGCGCCAGGCGGAAAAGCGAAGGACAGCATTAACTTTTAAGGCTCTTGTAATGCATGTTATTTCATGGACTTCATCTGCAGTACATCGCAGTCTTGTTCTTTCAAGAGGTTTTTCTTCAGCAACATAGCCCTGAATGCTGAAAAGACGAGCGTATACATACATAGTTTGTTCAGGAAAAACTACTACCGAGGACTCCAGCTCGTCTTCTTCTAAGATTTGTTGGAGAATGCTGAGCTTATCAAGGATCTGCGTCGCCGCAACCGCGGCATGGCCGAGGTCCTTAGGGAGTGCCGACACGTTTGTTGCTTCATCATTTTCCTGGCTCTCTTCTCGACTTTGATCATGATTGAGCCTTTTTCGGAGTTCTACAGCTTCGAGAAGAGTATACGGGATAAATTTGACGATTTGAGCGGGACGGGGGAGGATGCGCAGAGGATGCAGTTATCAGACGTGAAAACCATAGACAACTTGTGGCATTATCTGCAGACGACTTTCTACGAAAACATCTACTACGACTCGATGGCACCGAACGCAACCTTCGAAATCCTCAAACTGGATCAAAATCAGTACCACATACTACATTTGAATCTGGATTCAGCAGTGTTCTTTATAGAAATAGATTTCTCATGATTTCGAAGTAGATGTGGCTGTGGCTCAGATACAGGTGGGATGCTGGGTCAATATCAACATCTTCACCCTCGTCTTCAAGAGTGAGCGATGGCTTTTTTCCTTGACTTCCAAGCTACTAGAATTCCGATTACGAAAAAAGAAACACGTCACCATCGTCTAAACGTATCGCTATCTTGTTTCCAAATATACCTTCATCAGCTATAACCTGTTAACGGGGAAAGTACGATTTCGGGTCGTTCGCGTCCAGGAGGGGAGTAACTGTCAGCTTTCTGCGGTGTATGGAATATTTAAGGCAGGGTGGCTAAAAGTAAGAGTGACGTAAGAACCTAAGTACCAGAGAAAGGACAAGAACGCGATTGTCCAATTTGAGACCACCTTCTCTTCCCCAGCACCATACTCTCGAAAATAATTATCTACTAAGACTAAACAGCAGGCTTCTCCTCAAGAATTGTTAGTATCTGTTATTGATCAAATTTTTACGGCCAGGAATGAAAACTTTCAAAAAAGTTAACGAGTTCCCGGGGTCTCTTCATCTTCTTCTTCTAAAACCTACGAGCCCTGTTTTGGTGGCTACACGGCTGACGTGGAGGCAACTGACGGATATGGAGCCAATGTTGAGGAACAATTTGCGTTTGAAAGCGGAGATGGGTTTACCTATTCGGGAAGTGCCGGCACTTACTCTCCAAATGGGTACTCTTGATACCTGAAATATGCTTAGTACTCTTCAAGAAATGGATCGATAAGTTTAAGTACTCACTTGGAAAGAATAATATTGGTACTCACTACTTGGAAAGAATCAATTATGAGAATAATCTTAATCATGTGAGCTCACTGACTCGTCACGACCATATACAAATAATCGGATCAAAAAGATTTGGATAACCCTGTTCAAATACGCCCTTATGCCAGGTACATGAATTATCTCCAGACGAATCATACTGAGGCTCGGGAGCTTCTAACGGAGTGGAAGCAGAATAATTATTTCGACGTAGCGACGCGAGCGATATTCATTGATTTTAACGTACTTTTGTTTCGTGTATTTGTTTTGCAATTGGAATAAGATGAAAATGAAGGAGGTGATCATTTGTCTTTGTGTACACGTCGAGATATCAAAAAAATAAGTGCACTACTAGTGCATAAAAACGCTACTTTTGCTCCTATGAACAAAGTGAACCTAAAACACAGGTGTACAACGTGAATCTTGGGTATTATGGGGCGACGAAGCTAGTGTTCGAAATAACACCAAGCGGGAAAATGGTGAACCGCCTAGACTTTACAGTGGTTACGGAGCGCTATATAGTGCCGAACTTCAACTCTCAGATGATAGCGGAAATGATACTGATTCTTTTCGCTGCATACTACATAGCGCAGGAGCTGTCCGAATTTTCGATATCCAAGTCGGAATATTTGCAGGTACAAAATGTTCGTTCATCTTGTCTGATTAGTCATTCTTGTTGCTTCTTACATGATCGTCATTCGATGCGCGCCATCTTTGGCATCCAGCGGTCATGGCAGAGTCAATAGGCACCGTTGTGTAACTTCACATATCCCACGCACTTCCTTCTAGAGGACTATATTTGTAAGGAAACTGCATCTCCCTCTCAGGACGGATGGAACGTGATGGATTGGGCAAATTTGCTGCTTTTAATCGCTTACGCAATAATGCGGGTGATGGCGTTTTCAGCAGCGGGAGGGGATGTATCGGCGACCGTAGCTGACCAGTCAGTTTTCGCAGATTTGACAGACTACGCGTGGTATATCAAGGAGATGCGATCGTGGAACGCCTACAACGCAGTCCTAATCTGGTTAAAGACGGTCAAATATGTCACATTCATCCCGTACGTGACGATCATGATGGGCACCCTGAAATACAGCTGGAAATACTTCGTCTCCTTCACAATCATCTTCCTCTCCATCTTCCTGGGTTTCTCCGTCGGCTTCGTAGGAGGGTACTTTCTTACTAGATGTTTCTTTGGCATTTTTTTCGCCAGTGGTCTCAAGAATCATGAAGATTTGTTGCACTTACTAGTGGTGTACCTGAGCTGCTCAAGCTGTAGTTGTAAGCAGGTTACTTTTCCTTTTCCTTCATCTTCAGTTTCGGCGACAAGTTTGAGAAGGTGAATAGCTTCGGCAAAGCCTCGCTCTTCCTCCTGCAATCGTTTGTGGGCAGTGCGAGTTTCGGGGAAATGTTTGCGTTGTCTCCCATACTAGCTGGTGTGCTGATTGGCATGTTCATCATAGTGGTCTTTTTCATTCTTTACGACACGGAAAAAAGTATTCATATTAGTCATACTCTCAAGAAACTAGGCAGATTCTAGGTACTTAAGAAAATAGAGCCTCCTATACATATACTCAAGAAACTTGTCAGGCAAGTTTCTGAAAGTAGAAGAGATGAAAAGAGCAGCCACTTGCTCTTTTGCTTGAGTCGCCGCCTCTTGTTTTTTCCCTTGAGTATGAGTACTGGTACTCAACTCCGGCTTTTCCCCCTTTCATATTCTTCTGAACCTATTTATGGCGATCATGGTGGTCGCTTTGTCGGAAGCGAAATCACAGGCGGTCCAGGATGAGGATGACGCGTGGACGAAGTTCAAGTCAAAGAGCGCAAATCTAGCCCAAGTAATGAAGGAGCACTTGAGTTTGGACGAGCACATAGAATATTGGCTCCCAGGCTTGCATCACCGAAGGAGAATGGCCAAGCAAGCGAAAGCAGACTTATTGAGGAGAAGACAAGTACTACTAACTTGTTTCGATAGATCGCGTGAAGTATGTATTATTAGGCTTCGAGGCGACTTTGGAACTCTTTATCTTGATCCTTTAAAAGTTCGACATGTTCTTCTTCGTGAATTTTCCAAAGAAATAAATATGTTTAAAATAAGGGTGATGCAGTGACGCAGTTTTCTCCTTAGGTTTTTAATCATAACCTTCCACTGCGACGCAGGAACGAAAAAACGCTTTAGACATGCGAAAGAGGATAGCTCTAGGCCGTGCCGCAATGTATGACGACGGCGAGGATGACGGTGGCCCGGAGTCGCCGACGGCAGGAAGAGCCAAAGGCGTCAAAATTATGATATTGCAGTCTTTGGTCTGGCTGGCATCAAAGTCAATATTTGTGTCAAAACTGGTAGCATAAGCATATTGATAATAGTTGCACGTGATGACAGTGACCTTCTCCGTGCATGCTTATCTATCAAAAATGCAGACTCTTTAGCTTTACTTGAAGGATAACGATAAGCCAAGTAGCGTATCAAAATGCGCGACCGCGGCATCAGCATTGCTAGAAAATAATGTTATGAGAATAGTCACGACGAGGACGAGTACATTTTTCTAAGTCACAGAGAAAGACTGGCAAGGAAGACGAAGAATTTGGTGGCCTTGGCAGTACGACGAACCTGCCGCTGACCATGCCGCTAGAAGCAAGGTCGACTGATCAGTATTCAGATTCCGAGGAGAGCGAGGTTGATATTGGCATTCTGAGCTCTAGTAAGAGCAAAATGAGGAAAAAGAAGCAAGCCACCGGTGGCGTGACCGAGAACGAACTCATTCTACAGTCGGTGCAGCATGTCTCATCTTTGCTCGCGCGACGGACGGAAACAGTCATTATGAGATATGTTATTTTTCATAATACATAGTCCTACAACGCATGTAGATTCTCAATTTTTCAGGATGGTTTTTCTCCTTCTCCTGGAAAATGAAAATGGATCGTGATTCTGATCACAGAATCAATAGGCTCGACGGATAAATATGAAGTACAACTTACCGATAACAGATCTCGTTGCTTCCTCTTTCTCTGCCTTTCTCTTTCTTTCTCTAATCAGAAGGTGCTGCTTCTACAAGAGATGCAGGATGTAAAGACGATTTGCCAAGTCGTGTCCGACGTACTGGAGATCCTTGCACGCCGTGGCGCGGACCTTGCAAAACAGCAAGGAACCTTCATCGAATCGCTTGGGTTCTAGAAGATGGCTTTGTTTTACGGAGCGGTCTGCTATTGGTAGATCTGGGATTGCTGTGGTTTGTTCTGGTTGTAGGGCACAGTGCGGCTGATGCGGCTCCTGAAAAGGAGCCTGCGCGTGGTCTGGTCGGCTACTGCTGAGCAAATTTCTCTCGCAGAACAAGTTCTCAAATCTAGCGATCATGTTGTTGCAAACCTTTTTTCGGATGCAAACGCTCGAGCTCGAGCAGGAGCTATGAATGTTTTTTCTTCATCTAAGCGATCATCTCACGCATCTAAGTTACTAATATCAACAAACCTCTGTCTGAATCCACGTCTAGTGCTTGAAGATAAACTCGAAACTCTGTCGCTTCGTTCTTGGTTTTCATTGTGGTTTAGTTTTTTCGTTTGACTCAGGTCGTAGGTAGCGACTTCTGTGTTTGAATTCAATTCCTATTTTAAGACAACGCAATACCAATATGACCATCTAAATCGCTCTGGAGCTTGGAGCGCGGGTGTCATATAATGAAGCGAATGCGTATACTGCTTCGATTGTACTGCATACCCCCTGCATAACTCGTTGGCTGTCCCCCATTAGATGCTGCAACTAGAAATAATTTTGGAAGTAGGAGCCCGCCACCCTGCTGAATATTTTGTACTGATTACTTTCTGACTCTGAGTACAACTACAAAGTCAAAATGATCGATCTGAGGATAAGGATAGGAGATGATGTTCTGGTTACGATCAGGCCAGGGTTCTGTATTAACTCGTGCTCCCGCCCGGCCGCATCTCATTATCATATTTGAGACGGTGATATTATCATATGCGACGATGATCAAGCGCAAGTACCCATACCAAAGTCACTGTCATCATCTTATCATTTCGAGAGAGAGAGAGAGTGAGGGAGAGAGAGAGAGAGAGTTGTAGGTGAGAGACTCGAAAGCATGATCTACGTCTGTCAAGCATGAGGTTCCTGACACTGACCAATCTCTGGTATTGACATGTGATCATTAAAGATTGTGTCAGTCACAAAGGCTCTTATGCTGATTAATATATCGATAGAGAGATCCAGATCCTCGCCCCCCTTCGTGCTCGTGCGAATTACTTAGATATCTATGCTTATAGAGATAGAATGTGATAATTTTCATGTTTTAATTTTGAAGTTTTTGTTCCTCCTTGCGACTTTTATTATGTTGTTGAGAAGTTCTTGTTGGAGCTCGAGATGCCCTCATGCACCCCTCGTTTCTGTAATATTTTCCTTCAGTAGAGGACATGGCTAGAAGACAGATAAAGTTTTATGCGCGAAAAGATCTAGTTTGATTAGCTCGAATTTCCTAGCCCTACCGTACTGATCCCCATTTTAAAGCCTTGTTCTATCCATGCACTATCACGAAGGATTTATATATTGAAATGTGACTTTATCTTCTACTCTTCAAAATTTCCCTTTTCCGGTCGTTCCTCATTCGTTTCGATTTATCTGCAGAATCTCCTCATTTGTCCAAGATGTCGGCAAAATCGTCCTCGTCAGCGCAACTGGAGGCGGCAAAATGGGACTGGGACGTACCTGGTAACGCTTTTTGCCCTCCAGATATTGCTTGCGATCAGAAGTATACTGACTTCCGAAAACGTGTTCGAGACGTCATGGAAGCGAAAGTGATCCCGTTCGTTGGGGACTGGGAAGATTAAGGGTTGCAGGTTGACATTTCTAGTAAGAGCATATCTCCCACTGCGAACTTTACAACAAGGGTCGTGAAAAAGATAGATATGCGAGCTAGATAGGTCGACTTGCAACCTCTAAGAACAAGCCGGCACTTTTCCGGAGTCAATACGTGGCGAGCTCTACAACGCAGGCCTTTACGGGGTTGGGTGGCCTGTCGAGTACGGCGGGCAAACTTTTTTAAGGATCGAATAGAGGAACTTGGAAATTGCCCTTGTTCTAGCCCCCACAGGTAGATCAAGACCCAAAAGATCACGCGATTGGTTTCACATGTGTGTGTGTCTAAAACGTGGTATAGAAGGAGAGGAGCTGAACTCATGGCATCAGTGGATTCTACATGACGAAATGGCTCGTGCGGGCACCGGGGGCCTCTACGCCAGTCTGTTTACGGCAACAATCGCCCTTCCTCCAGTCATTCAATTGGGAAGCAAATACATCAAAGACTGGGTAGCACGATCCACTACCATTCACATTTTCTTTGTTGTTTGTGTGTGATTCAACTTTCACACGCGGCTTGTGCAAATGTATATAGGTGCAATTTTGAGCTTGTCTTCTCGTTCTTATAAGTAGTGCGTGCGCATATGCATAAGCATATCTTCAGTTTTGTATTCAAAACCGTTTCTATTATGGCTTATTTTAGTATTCGACTTTAAAACATAACTTGTTCTTGCACTTGCTTCTACTAGTATTTTTCTCGATGCAGGTCGTCCGCGATGTCGTAGCGGGGAAGAAGAATATTGCCTTAGCTGTGACGGAGCCTAGTGGTGGTTCTGACGTCGCCGCTATGCGGACGAGCGCGGTTCTAAGTGCCGATGGAAAGCATTACGTGGTGAATGGGGTGAAGACGTACATTAGCGGCGGATTGAATTATGAACTGGTCTTTGGATCGAGTTCAATCATGCGAGGTGGAGCCAAGAATTGTTGCGATAAAAAGTCGATACGTACGACGATGACTTGAGACCACTAGCTCTAGTTCTGTTGAGTAGAGTATGATGCTCGTATCTGTATTTGAGTGCTGCTAGTATCGTCTAAGCAAAGGCACACTACTTAACCGTTGGCGTGCGAACAGTGCAACCGAGTGAAGGAAAGAGCAGGAGAGAAGTAGGACACCAAGGGCTGACATTGCTGCTTATTGACGGAAAGTCACCGGGGATACGCATGACGCGACTGAAGACGCAAGGCTGGTGGTGTTCTGTCACTACGACGATAGCATTTGAAGACGTTAAAGTGCCCGTCGAAAATGTGATTGGTACTTGAAGAGAATGTACTCGGTCCATCTCCACCTTTTACTTCTTCATTCACTTTCATCTTCTTCCTCTGAACTGATTTTCCTGCTGCGAACTTTGGATTTGCTTGTCCTCTACTAGTTATGCTAGATTGAATATATATTATATATGTTGTTACAACTAACGCTAAGCTTCTTCTATGCTGAGACCTTACTAGACCGTTGTACTTCAACTTCTTACTTACTCCGTCCTAGGTGTCCCTGGTCAGGGTTTCGCAGCGATCATGCACAATTTTAATCAAGAGCGGCGAGCGTTGGCCTATCAAGCTGTCCGTTTCGCTCGAATCTGCATAGAAGATGCGACTGCGTATGCGAAGTCTCGCCAAACATTCGACCGAAAATTGATTCAACACCAAGTTATCCGCCATAAAGTGGCGGAGATGACACGCCAGATGCTTGCTGCTCAATGCATGAATTTATGTCTCTTTCAATATGAATACTTAGATACAGCATCGATCGACACCCTGCTGGAGGTTGTTCTTGTTGAACCTTCTGATGTACTTACTTAGGATAAACTGTGACTGTATACTATAAGAAAAAGAATTAAAAATTGGGAGAAAACGAAAAGTCCTATTTTAATCAGAGCTGCGCTGACCTCCCGTGTCCATCGTGCGGGTGGGGACGACTCTGCACTTGGAGGCGAAATCGCACTGGCAAAGGTGAATGCCACGAAAATGCTTGAGTTCTGTGCACGTGAAGCATCGCAGATATTGGGCGGAAAAAGCTATCTTCGAGAAGTTAAGAAAAACAGTCGACAAGGAGTGACAGTTTTTTAGCATAGGTACCTTTTTTGCGTAAAAAAGAGTAAAACTAAAAGTTTCTAATGAAGGTCCCGGGAGCCGCATTGAACGCATTTACCGGGAAGTCAGAGTCATGGCTATAGGAGGAGGCAGCGAAGAGGTGATGCTCGATCTCTTCACACGCCAAGCAAAACTTTAGATTCAGTTGGAGAGGACGTCCGTAAGATACGACCTTTGTTGTGTAAGTAGATAACCACACGACTACGCAAAGCGGTGAACAGTTTTCCCTCGATTGTCTGCATAATTTTCCTTTTGTGAATTTTTTTATCCGTGTATCTAGAGGAACGCTTACAAAATCAATGACTAGGGCTCTCTCTTTCTCTGTCTGCGTTAATGGCGCTTGTCAATCGAGGACTTACTGCTCTGCCCTGGGCTATTCTTTAATTTTATTTGCGAAATCCTACTTCTATAAATTTCAGTTCTTTCTCCCGCGAAAGCGAACAAGACGGTCTATGACTTGAAATTACCAAAAATGCTATCACATCTTCAACCAACCAAAGTGAGAAACTAAGCATTCAATCTTACTTCTTGCCCACTGTGGAGCTGGAGTCAACGCAGGTCGTCTACTTTGTGCGAGTGTTGATTGATCGCCATGAAATTGATTCCGCTGACAAGATGAAGGTGGAAATCTGGAAACATATTCTTTGTCATCCTGTGCCTTCAACAAAAACAATGCGAAAGACATGGAGGAACAGAAGTACTTTGGTGACCCTGATCTTCGCATCTCTCTGAAGAAATGCGGATTTTTCACACGAGTTTCTTGCTGATGGATCATGATTATTTCTTTGAAGGTGGCTGTATGACTTTTCGCTAGCCGTTGTATTTTCAGACACGCGACGCACGCAAAGAAATCTGAGAAGTAATATTATTTTGATGAAAAATATCCCGTACTTTCGACCCGTCTAGTACAAGTACTGTCCCATCCATAAATTATTTACGGTCTTTTTGATTTCAAAATTTATGATCGTTGAAGACAGGAACTACGTCCCTGAGGTGGAACCACATCGAAGATGACGTCATATTTCGAAGTCGGTTTCCTTGTTTCGTGAGTATCTATCATTTTTAATTAAATCTCTCTATTCATTTGATACACAACAAGTGGTCGTGGCTACATTTAACATAGCTGCTAGCTATCACTATTTCTTGGATCTTCTATCTTGTTGTTCTCATCTTCGTGTATGCGCTTTCGCAAGGCTTCGAATCCAGTCAAGAGCAGTAAGTTAGAACTACCTGCTAGTTGCGCAGCGCTAGTGGTCCAGGCGCATACACGGGACGTGTTGTCACGACATCAAGTGGAACAAACACGAGTGGAAGTTTGTCCATCTGTCAAACGAGATGGATTTCCTCATACGAATTTCTTTCAACGAAACTACATTAACATTAAGATCTTCTGCAAGAACTAACACACCATCCAGATGACATCTTCTACACCAGACACCTGATTAGATAGAAGACCATTCTTGGACTCACGGGAGTAGAGAGACAGGATGATTATAGTGTGATACTAGAAGGAAATATGTTTATGAGTCAGACAGAGAGGATGGAATGAGCTATGACTTCTGGACGAATGACTTCTAGTTTAGTATAGGAAATATGCGCAACAAATCCGTGTAATCCCTGCCACGAAATCAGGTCGATGTCCCACGATTTGAGAATCCAATTTATGGTCAATAATTGAGACCAACGATAATACAGTATATGTCACCGCGCAGATATTAGAAAAAGAAGTATTCATCGTTTCCTACAACCTGTAACACGCATGAACAAGGTCTCGAATATGTTCGCCGAACTACACCACTAATTAGTACTTAGATTAATTGTAAAATATAAAGCTAGAGGACGAGCGCTTGCGCTGGTTTTGCGAGAATGCATGTACTATGAATGTGCCGTTAGCACCCAACCGAAGCTTCTTATGGATTATAATTCTACTTACTCCTCCTGCTGATAGGCGAATTCAAATGTTGAAGAATTGAATTATTTGTAATCGTCGGTCTATTTAACGGAAAAGGTAAGTATTAGATGGGTTGAATAACGTCATTGAGTCTCTCTGGAACTCCTTATCGTTGTTGGCATTATCGTCTTTTTTCTTTTTTAGAATGTCATCATCGTGGGATAGGAGACCCTCCGGACCCGGAGGAAAAACAAGTGCGAGTGGCGGAGGTGCGTCAGGGAAAAGCAAAAACTCTTTGTCTGGCGGAAAGAAAGTTATGAACAAGAGACGTGTATTAACTTGTTTTTTCATTGTGCTCGGATTCAATTTTTAGTACTACGCAGCGAAGAACGAATGTTAATATTTATGGGTTCCAAACAGAGGCGCGTTCCTCTATGAAGAAAATTCAATCGTCTACCGTTTTTTTTTCTCCCTGAGTTTTTCAGTATCTACTGTTTTACGTAGTAAAAAAAAGTGCTACTAGAGCTCGTTTTATTTTACGAGAAGTGATTTAATAGGTCTCTAAGAAAGGCGGCGGATCCTCGTGGAACAAAAAAGGCGGCACCGCGAAAGGAGCGTCGGCAAAAGGTGGCGCATCCTCGGGTAAACATCATCAATCTTCATCAGGCAACTGGCGTTCTGACCAAACTACAGGCGGTCAATATAGTAGGACGAAAAATTCCTGGAGGTCCTCCTATGAAACGGGGAAGCGAAGCGCTCCTGGTGATGCGCGGGTATTTTACTTCAAAAATGCACTACAACATTTACATTTAGTGCTGATCCGTTAAGCCTGCAGTAACCACTGAATTGTATCAACAACATGTATTCGAATCGAAAAACATTGTCATTGATGTCACTATCCCGTACCTCCATGTATGAGTATCTACTTCAGGATTCATGTTGACAGATGATTCATTATATTATAAGTATTCAAAGTACAATCTGAATCTCGCTTTAATTATATATACGTGTCCTACCAACATAACAATTTATTTTTAGCCTGCGTCGTCGGGAGGTGACTCTGGGAACTCGGAGGACGAGGATGATAGGGAAGGGCCCGCGCTCGGTGTTTTCGGATTGCTACCCCAGTATAACAGCGCAAATGACGGGCCACTGGATGCGCTTTTGATTAGGTCTCCTGGCGATAGTTGTTGATGTTATTCTTTGAATGAACATGCGAAGCGTGTTTTTGTCTGCGTCCATCTTTCTCACGCTTGCCCGTAAGTAAGTTTTGTAGGCACGCAATTCTTTGTCACTGATCATGCACCAGACTGGTACTTTTTCGCATTTTTTGCCTTTTGCTTGTAGTCTCTACAAGAAGGAACTACTGGCTCTAATTTAAGCGTGAATCGACATGCGGTACCGGCTCAGCTAGACACCTACGATGTGAATCGACTGAACCATCATCAATTGCACACGTCCTTCGTCGATTTCGCATTTGATGCTAGACGTCGTGAGGAGGAGTCCAGGTCCTGGAGAACAAATTCGAGGCCTCAGCAGCAGCATCAACAATATTTACGGCCATCTGATAGTAATATCGATCCTGAACAAATTTACACAGCCGATATGATTGTTCGTTTTAATCATACTCCAGCTCGTTCTCGTAGAGGCTTTTTGAGCATTCGCATTCGCTGACGATCATCACTACGAGTGATATTAATTTTAATCGCTCCTTTGTTCTGTGGTCTCTGTCAAAATTATTAAGACAACTATGTATGAGTATGACTATCTCTAAGATAAAAAGGCGGGGGCGGAGCACCTGCTCGGCGAGATGAGTGGAATCGTCGACCATACGAAGGTGGATATGGAGAAGACTCGGGTGTTGAAGGATATAGTTCTTACAACTTCTCTGGAACGAAGGGCATGCCTGGAGCAGGCCAGCGGCATGAAAGACAAAGACCCTATGACGATCAAGAGCATCGATCTGCTCGTGAAAATCTTCCACCGTATAGGAGCGAGCCCGGCGAAGACGCTTACCAGTCTTCCACCTGGGAATCTTCGCAACGTGCTAGAGTTGATGCGATGAGGACAGAGCGTGATGATCCCGCGCGTGCCAAATACTTGTCAAACTCAAGTCATATCGCTGATGCATCACCGTGGCGAGAACATGATCAAAAAGATAATGCTGCAAGAAACGAACACACGAGTTTATACCACGCAGGGGGCCAGCACCAAAGTCCCAACAGCGACGCAGCCTGCTATAATAGAGATGCTTCACAACGAGGTCGAGTTGGGCATGATGACGGTGCTGAGGAAGAGCACGATGTTCCAGCTGCATCTTCCAACCCGCAAGAACGTGATAGGTATCATGCGGATAGTAATTATGACCACGCGGTCAGTAGATCAAGGTACGAGGTGGACACGTCATCGGGGCATCGTGACTTCTCCTCTGCATCCAGGGTGCATCACCAGTACGACGAGGACGATGCACGCGCCGAACGTGGTACTACTACCAGACAGCCGCGACAAGGCCACAGAAATGGTCCCCGACAATTCTCTGATAGAAATTCGTTCTACAGTACTAGACACCAATCGGATCCTGCGGCACCAGGTGAATCAAGGCGGCGAGGTGCGTATCCATCAGCTTTTGCCGACATTCTCGCCAGTGATCCACCATTTGATATGACCGCTGGCGCAGCAGCAGCCGCACTCGAAAGCGCATTTGGTGCTCGCGCAGTGCTTTCACACCAGCCGAGTCGTATGCTTGGGGTAAGCACACCTGAAACGAAGGTTGCATCGGCGCTCCTGGAGCACCTGTCAAGCCGTCCGCCACACGAGAATCGTGATTTTATGCTCTAGGAGTTCCGATTTTTCGTGCACTGAGCAGAACTTCATTACACGATGCAGATGATCTTCTTGTACAAGTGTATTCGAATTCGTATGATAATCGCGAATAAGAGATTACTAGGATAGTCGTTGATTTTATATTTTTCCGTGAAAACAGCGACGAGGATCATGTCTCATGATTCATTTTTTGCGCTTTTTAGTCACGGCCTTGCTCTTTGTCATCTTCTGATCTTCTTATTCTCAAAAACATGTTCATGTTTTCGTTTTGCAATCTCTTTCCATCACTTGATGAAAATAATACTAGTTTTGATAAAGATAATACCACTTCTCCCACCTGGACCTGAAATTGTAGTTGGTGAGTCTCTTCTAATACCTTTTACGACCACTACGGAGGTTTGAGAGATGATAATAACGAGGATTTGGCCTCCAATGAGGAGATGGGAGTTGGAAGGGAACATCATGATGGTACCGGACAGCAGTCTCTATCGCAGCAGTCAGAAAGGGCTGCAGACTCGTATACTGGGCATGCTCACCTTTTTTCAGAAGGAGGCGCTTCTGGGGAAGAAAGAAACACTTTGGGAAGTGATGAAAGGGATCATGAACAAGGTACTCAAGAGACTGCTCGTCACGACCTTCGAGCCGTGCTAGCGGGATCGACCCGAAATTTGAGGCTGGCAACCAATTTCGAGTATACGGCCTTTCCTCCGGATTGGGCTGGGGTCGCCCGTCAGCATGCTACACCTCATCATGGGGCACAACGAGATGTTCGCACAGCCAGAGGTGGAGGAGGAGATAAGAACTATGCTGATATGCGTTCATCTTCTGGCCGCCAAACTAAAGATGCGCACCACGGAGCAACAGGGAAAACTCCGCGTCAACATCACGTTGCCACCTCGTCCGATAAGAACAATCACCGCGACGCGAAGCACCAAAATGCCGCGTCTTCCTCCACGACTGGCAAGTGTCCGTATGAGTCGAAATACGAAGTAGAGTCACACGGCGAGCCAGATCCGTATCAAAGAAGCAAGGGCCAGGGCGGCTATGGGAGCATGTCCGACCATTCACAGCGCGGCACATTCCCAAGCAGGAGGAACAAAGGAGCATATCATGACAAGACGCATAGTAAAACTAAAAGTACTTCTGATGGCCTCACAGCCTCCAATCGCGGTGCCTCTCCTGGGCGAGACGGTGGCCAATGTGGTAGGGATGAGGAGGCTCATGTCCAACGCAGCAGAGACGAAGATTATAAACTCCGCAACTCAACACCAACAGCATCACCGAATCATACGACGAGTCAGTACTTGCGAAATCTGACACAACGTGACGCGGATCTCTAAGGCGGGCGTCATTTTCATTCTATACGAGTAGTGAATTTATCCGTCGTATCTAAGCAAACGTTCTTGCCTACGATTTAGGAAGCGAAATTCAACTACTTCCAGTTACAGATGTGTATATAATTTCCTACAGTTAGACTGATAAATATTGATATGTATATAATTACTTAGAACGAAGTCTTAAAGGTTATTTTCTTATTGTTTCATTCACATTTTGATGATTTTCTTTTCTAATTTGAATTGCGGAATGAGCAGGAAGGAATGCCACCCGTCGAAGTGCTCATGGTCCCCGTTCGGGTAATAAGCAATGCGCCAATGCCTCCTGCTCCTAATGCTCGTCGGGAGCTCGTTGTCCCAGTAATTTATCACGGAGATGCTCTGGCTCAAAAGGGAGGCTATGGTAGGCGCGGTGACGCACCACTCAGTAAGGGAGGAGGTGGGTCTTCCGCCAGACCGGCTCCTGCCTCCGATGATAGAATGATGACCTCCGCAGGGGGCCGGGAACAAGATTACTCTGGATCATACTTATCGCGCAATGACGGGCGCTCGTTATGTCTTATGGCCCCCTGTCTTTTCAATTAAAATTAATGACCTTCGGCTTCCCACTTTGAGATTGATTTTGCATACAGGTCGAAATGGAAGAAAATATAGATGTCCTCTGCTGGACTTTCAATAAAAGTTCTACAAAAGAAGTACAATTGCACAAGAGCCTCTTGTCTTGTCAAGAGGTCATCTTGTAGCTCTAAGAAGTATGCCAATCGTTACGAGGAGCAACTCGAGCAAGAGAACGATTACGCCGCGTCTTCGGGTTATCAAGGACAGATGCGTGGCGCGGAGAAGTTTCATTACAACACCTCGTCGGGCGAGGAACAGACGCGAGGGCGAGCTCATCACGAATCTCGTGAGGATCGGGACTTCTCAGTCGAATTAGGTCGCTCAAAATCGGGCAAGACACACGAGCAGCAGACATCGTCAGCAATTCCTGATCAAGGTGGAAGGCATGGCTATTTCTACGAACCGGCTGCGCGAGGTCGAGATGATGTTCGCGCCTGTGATCGTGGAAGGTATTCGGATATGACCTACAACAGCGAGAGTGATACCGCGTACAATGCGAACTACAGCGATCGGCATTTTTCAGAAGCGTACACCGCGATGTCCCAGCGTCCCAGAATGGATGTACAACGCGATGTCCCAGCGTCCACCAATACCCAGCAACAAGGGCACAGAAATTACAACACCGACGAAGAGCGCCAAGGGCTGAATACCCAACAGTACTCATCCTCTGTCGATGGCAAGGGGGGAAATAAAGCTTCAACATCCCAAAGTGTCAACCGTACCCGAGGAGGCAGACCAGACACCCAGCGCGCTTCTCCAAGATGGGACGAGACATCGGCCTACTTTGGACGATACGGTTACCCGGCACTTGATCCGGCGCCTGGTCATTGTGGACAGTTATGGCAAATTTCTCAGTTTCAGTATTTGCCTCTGCGTTTCTTATAATCTTTCTTAATACAACTCTTACTCATCTACATCTTACTTTAGAAGAACCTTTTTGCTTTTTTTAGGCATACATCACATGGAGTTAGTTTTTAGTGTTTCAGGGCCTTGTTCTACTCTACTTTCTTTCATCAGATTCTTCTGGTGCATACCTGGACGAATTGATGGGTTTTGGCGGTAACAGCATAGGCCCTTATGAACATGTAGGTGGCCGAAACGACGCTGAGTGGTTTGAAGGAGGTTGTGGCTTCGTCGTTGACGAGGCAGACGAGTACTGGGATGGCCTCACATTTGAGGACGCCATGGGCAATCCAGTTACGTTAAAAGAAAAGAACAGAACGCTATGTAGATATTAAAGGAAAAGAACAACAGAATTTGAGGACGCTCAGTAGTTAAGAGAAAAGAACATGCAGTTGTAACTACAGCATTCGTGACTAAATAGACAGTTTTAATGCTTTTCATCGAAAAGTGTGCTCTGCAACTCTTCAATGAATTGCCTGGAACTGGAACTGGTATACTACGTTCAAGATGTGTATTTCTACGACGCGTCTTCAGGGGTGCGCAACTTGTAGGAACACTAGATAGTTCTAATACCAAACATGGAGTAGCCAAATCATCCTCGTGGCGAGCACGTGAACAGGATCCCTCAAGTTTGAGTCGAGCTTATGGTGGAGGGCAGAAGGGGACATCAAGTACTAAACGACCGGCATCCTCTTCGGGTGCCCACTATGGTGCTAGTTCTGCAACTGCATACAACCGCGGACATGGAGGTCGGTTGGACACCCGTGCTGTTTCATCAAATCGGAAAGGGAGTCCCCAGGCGGACCGCGAGCAAGACTACGGTAATTCGACCATCATGAGTAATCAGCACAGAGTGTTGATTCGCCAGGGTGTCGTGGATAGTGCGCAGGAGCACTGTAACAGATATGAAAATCTCCATGACACGCATAAATGGTCGGCATCTTCAAGAATGTCTTCAGGAGCACAGTCCTCCGCTTTTCAACGGCACAACGGTCATAGTGGAACATCTTCAACACACTCAGGTCCACCTACCTGGTATGCGTGTAATCAACAGGGGAGCGCAGGAGGTGGAGGTGGACATCGAAGTCACCAGGAAGACCAGCGCGATCGCGGTCAGGACTTTGAAGGTGCAAAGCTGCAAGAAGATTTCCACACTGAAGGGCCAACTTGGCAAGAGTTTGCTGCCGAGCTTTTCGAGATCAAGCAGATGCGCCTACAGTGCGAGGACCGCACGGAGCTGAAAGACGAACAAATCACAAAGGTCCTCGAACGCAGCCGTGTCCTATACGTTAATGCCTCCCACATAACTATTCATTGTAGTAAGTGATCTACAGCATCCAATGCGGTCTTAGAAGTCTCTGAATCTTCAATGTGATTGTGATATCCTGTGCACGAGCTATCTGAATAAGAATATAGAAGAAAGATGTCGTGCAAGAAGTAAGTAGATACTAGGACCATATTAAACAGGTCCATCAAGCCGTTTGGTGTTTGTTCTAATTCTGCGCGCTTTTTTCAATTGCCGAGTGCATATTCTTTGGCTGCAGGCGATGGAAAAGGTCAAGTTGAAGTTCCGGAGAGCGTCGCAGGCACTGACCTCCAGAAGGACGATGTGTCCCTTGCCGGGCCCATTGCTCATACGAACAACGAAAAGCCCGGGCAGTCGGACTCCGCAGTGGCCACTTCGGACGAGCGACCCGCAAGTGGTGCAAATGGCGGAAGTGCTGCCGCTTCAGATAACAACGCGATCGAGGGGCGCGAAAAGCTACTCCTGCAAGGACAAAGCGCAACAGATTCCTCAGCGCAAGCTGGAAGCCGAGAGCGTAGCGCGATAGACCGACACACAGTTACGGTAAAGTTGACTAGGGGAACTAACCTTGTGGCACATGGAACATTCATCTTCCACTTCCAGAAATTGCAAACTGGTGCTGTTTAGCATACAAGGTAAGTGCTTATTCTATTTCCTACTACTCGGGCGGGGTCAGTTGTTGGCTCCTTCACTTGCACTTTGGTCTACACCAGTAGATTTACCGCAACTGGCCCGAGGACATGTATTGGACAAGTAGGACATCTATCTCTTACCCCTAGCGCCACCACAGACCATACCACAGGGGGGGGACCGTGCAGCCCTATGGCATACTTATATAGCACTAGTAGAACAGTGCAGCTTCGCCTTTAGCTGAGTTTTGTTCTTAGTGGTTGTGCATGCGTTGAATGTGATGCGCCCTCTAATCCAAAGTGGATGAAGCTGACGCGTTTTTTGAAGCGACGAATTTTGTTGGCCCGCGAACTGAACAAGGAGTTAGTCAGCATCTTAGGTTGTCTCCAGTCCTGTTTCGCAAACCGAGTTGTCCAACAGCGGAAGTGCGCGAAGACTAAGAACACGCCTGGGTCGGAAGGTGGTGGATCGGGCTCCAGAGCCGAGAAGCGGCGTAATGTGAGGGCTAATGACAAGAAGCAGCGAGAAACGATGACAGTGAACGCGAAACCAGCTCTAGCAGGTGGCGAGGCAGGTAGTAAAACAAGGCTGAGTGCAGAAACACTGGCCGCGCACGATGAGGAAATGCACCTCGTTGTTACATCTGCGGTCCCAAGCACAACTCCCTTTGACGCAAATAACAGCCCATACGCATTATGGAGAAACTCATTGAGAATTTTTGTCACACTCATGAATATTACCGAAATTCTCAATATTGTTGCCTCGCTCTGAAATTGACGAAGCTCATAATCATATAAACTTAAGTATGTTGCCAGCAAGTGATCTTCAAGTTCTTTTTAGATCAATTCATTTTCATCAAAGAGTAAGAGACTGATACCAAAGTGAAGAGACATTATACATAGATACACTTTTATTGGTTGGCCTTCTCCAGCCTCGATGCCCTGACCTTTCTGTCTTCATAGTTGCTCTCGTGGGTTTCTTGCTTGCATCAGTACATTTCCGCAGGTGTCGACTACTTGGAGCCAGCCTCCGTTGTTGAGAAGCAAATCGTCCGCCTCAACGCACTCGCGTCAGATCGTACGAAGATTTTTCATGAGGACGATTATGTACTATCCACCTCTTTATCTTTTGTTCTAGTCTATCCATCTCTTTTGTTCTAAATCCATCTACTAAACTTAACATGTTGTAGCTTATTTCTAGTTCTACGTCCTTGATGCCTTCCTTTGTTCACGTTCGAGCAGTCTGTGCAACACTAATTTACAATTCAAATATCGCGAAAGAAATTTCAATTGTATTCTTACATACTTGGTATGACAAATGGAAATGGCAGAGGCAACTAAGTACCTTGTTACGCTTTTTTTCAATTGATCAAGAACATCCGGGGAACAGCTTTATGGTATTATCAATAGGTCTTCACGCTCCCGTTATTTGTGCGAGCGCAGCTTCGAGGAGATGCTCAGCGATTGCGTGTGCGAGCTTTGGGTGTGTTTGAACAATTGAGTACCTTTTACCCGAAAGCATTTTTCGGTCGTTGGGCCTCGGTTTTCGATTTTCCGACTTTCCGAGTCACACGATCCTATGCAGATAGCTACCTTTTTTCTGCCCCTGACGAAGAGTACAGCACAGATGATGGAGAGGATAGCAAGGGCCATTATGACAGTGCATCTGCTGTTTTGTTAACCATTCAGCACTTTGTCTTTGTGCTTTTGCTTCTTCGAAATCTTAAAATAACTGACAGTTATTGACTGAAGTAAAAGAGTGACTACGTTGCTCCTCTTTCGGAATCTCTATTCTAATTTTAAGTAGTTACATACTCGCACTTGGTTATTTCAGTTTTTCGAATATAACTCTTTTTTCGTCTCTCCTTCCTGCTTAGAAAGGCTGGATTCACGGTACCATTCAGTGGAAACAGAAAGATGATTCGTACTCGAGGAAAAATCATCTTTCGACTTTAGAATTTTCAAGTACAAAAATGTGTGAAAGTACGAGAGTTTATTTGTGAGATCGCGCGGCTCCTGATTCGCATGTTCTAAGAAAGGGGTGTCGGCAAGAACAAGGGAAAGGCTGGACGCAAGAAAGGATGCGGTAAAAGGGAGAAGCAACAAGAATTGCTTACAAAAGTCTTTCCACTTTTGCTTGACAACAGCGTGATGCCTCAGCAGAGCACGCGGAAAGGTATTTTTATTTGGTGCAAACTGGGTATCCACGCGAAAATGCAAAGAAAGACTAAAATACTTTGTTTTTTTTCTCCTTGTGCTTGTGTCGAGCGTCACTAAAATTGAACAAGGCAATGCGTGACAAGTCAATTATGAGTACTTACTTGGTATATCACTATCTCAATCTTTCCCAATCGTCGATTACTCGTGCTTTATATCGATGAAGATACCTTAAATTTGAAGTGAAAGTCCTTAAGTGTAGGAGGAAGCCGCGGTGAAGTCTTGCCTTCACAATGAATGCCAACAACGCATGACCCTGTCGACATCAGGAGTTGCAGCAAAGGTGGCTCTACCCAAATTGCCGGCGCTCCTAGCTGTCGCTCTCTTCGATGACGTGCCCTACTGCCGCCAACTCGCGTTAAATGTGGCGATGCAGCTCTTGACCTTATGTTGCTACAGATTTCCTTAATTACTGCATCGTATCGTGTCAAGCAGCACGAGATCAACAAAGAAATATGCAGAACTAATAGATATTTATATAATGGACTTCGAGTGCTCAACATAAACATTCAAATGATCAGTGACTTTGTTATCTTGCAGCTTGCTTGTCGGATTATAGAAGATGTGATTATGATGTAGTTGTAGGATCTAAAAGTGGTGCAACATCAACTTCATCCATTTTTCTAATGTTTGTGACGGAGGTGAAAAACTTTCCTGTGCCTTTCGAGAGCTTGCAAAGCGACTGGCTTCGGAGTCATTTACGCGGCGTAGACCCTAACTATGCTAAGCATACTGAAAACGGGCGAAGTGACGAAATCGATACCAGAGGACGGGTACTTATCTATCATTTTCTCGCTTTTACCAACGTTCGAGAATACGAACATTGAAGACGATGTCTTTTGAAACATGATTTTTTACTCCTAAAGCACTTCGTTCCACTCATAGATACTTATTCGATTTCCTCGATGTTTCATCCTAGATGTACTTATTGTAGTCTTTTAAACAGTTGTCTTGAAAATTCAGTAGCGTCTCCAAAGCTAGAACTCGAACACGTCCCATCAGCTTTCTGCTGCGAAAGGAAGCAGCGCGGCAGCTTCAATGACAGAAACGCTGGCTGTTCAGATCCGGCTCGCACACTTGGTGCTGTTCTGTCATCTCGGAGACCCTAGAAACACTGACATGGCTCTGCATGGGCTGGCGCAGCTTGCCAAGAACATTCCATATGGAAAGCTCCGCACCGGATTACTGTCATTATGTCTCATACAACTCATCCTCGTGATAGATGTACATACTAACCCAAATAATAATTTAGACCAAATGACTTAGATGAATATGACACTCGCTCTAAAAATAGTCTTTCTCATGATGTTTCCTTATTTTTACTAGATCATAGAACGAAGATGACCCTCTACGAACTGGAAAACATAATTCGTTGAACAGCACATTCTAAGTTAGAACGTGGTGATGAACATCGGACCGATCCTTGCGCATTTGGTATCGGGTTCTTCCACTTACCGTGCAAGAAGGTTGCACCTGTTGGCATCCATTTTCAGTCAAATTCTTCGTCTGCGGCAGTTTCTTCCATCTGCACCTGAAGGTACGGCTCCACTGGGTGCCAATACCAGAAAGATCACAAATAGTAGTTGTAGTGGAAATTGTTCTGCTTCTGGTTGTGGCAACAATGGAGGCGCAGCACATGAGGACGAGGTACAGCATCATCAGCGAGAGAATTCCTTTTTCGCACAGGCTTCGGAGGCCACGAGCAAGACAATGGCCGCGACAATGTCGAATCCCAATTATCTGCATGTTCGCGAACTCGTCTTTGCGCTGCGTCAGCGAGTGAGAATCCGCTGTTGCAGCGAACCTGGGGAACAGTGCAATCCGTGTGAGGAGGGAAAGAAACACGAGGACCATGCCTCCTACATGAGCCGAGACCTCTCTGTCGCGGAGCTGGTGTTGCGGCTTACGCTGCAGTTGCTCCGCGAGAAGGAACTGGAGTCGTTGCAGGTCGATTTTCTGGCCGTGTCCAACCACATCGGAGCCATCGTGCTGCACGAACACTGTCGTCCGCAAAAAATGGTCCCGCGATGTCCATGTGCAGCGAAGCACGCAAACAAGCAGGACACGGTAAAAGACACGCTGTGCCTGCGAGTGGAGCAGTTGCTGGAGACCATCTGCTGCGAGCTTCTTCGACAGCGTTGTGGCATGCAAAAGAAGAAAACAGGAGGTGGAGGATTCGTCGCTTCCGCTGCCAATTTGGTTGCGAACTCGCAGGAGCTGAAAAACAAAAAGGCCGCCGCAGTGGAAGGTCAGGAGCAGAATCCGGTGACGATGTTTTTGCACCATCAGCGAGCCCTGCGCATTATCGACGAGATCCCGACCTTCGTCCCCTCGAAGCTGTTTCCGTTTGTGCTCGCGTTGTTTTTCCCGGAACCGATTGAAGGATTCTGTGTGCCTGACGTTTCGCAGGAAATGCTGCAGAAGGTCCGAAAACTGCGGAAGCAACCCCCGCTACTGGCACAGGCGTTCCGTCCGATGGCGAAAGTGGAAGAGTGCGCGCTGCACGAGGTCGAATACCACAGTTTGGCTACCGTATGCATCGCGAAACTGATTTCGAATGCTGAGATCTGGTTCTTCTACAGAGATTTGGTCTATCACGTCTTGAACACTTTCGTGGAGAATCCGAGGCGCAGAAGGTTCCCCCTCATGCTCTCGCGTATCGCTCGAAACCTGTTGGACTTTCTTGCGGAGTTCACGCCTTCAGGAGCAAGTGATGCGGCTCAACAAGACTCGGAAGAAAAGCCCTCAGGTGGAACATCAGCAGCGGAAGCGAAAAAAAGGCAATCCGAAAATGCTAGCATGAAGGCATCTGGAACTGCTTCTGCAGAAAAAAAAGCAGAAGACGACGTCAAAGTAGCTGTTCAAGTGGATGAAGAAGCTGTAGCTGAAGCGCCTTCTTCCGATATAGAAGAAAAGAAGTTGCAGTTGCAAGACGACTCTATGACTTCGACAAAAAGGCTAAGGGAGAAGCCTGGCACAGCGCCACCGCTTGAGAGTAGGTTTGCTGAGGCAGTGGCTAAAGGATCATCGTCGAAGACTATGATGGGATCGATGTCCACTTCGGCCGCGTCACTCTCGGAAGACGACGTCGTGAGTACTGCTTCGTTTACTACAACTGCGTCTCTATTTTCCTCAGCGACAACCGCAGCAGCTGCGCAACAGGTGTCTAGTAAGCATTTACTCGCTGCTCCACCTGGATTTCGTGCTGGAGGAGGACCGCCGCAACCATACGCGGCTGGCGAGGGAAGCGACGCCTCTTCCAGTACCAAGGAAGGCAACACTAACACTATTTTGAGAGGAACTACCTCTGGACCAGGCGGCGATCCCTCTGGTGCGTCGGCCTTATCTGAGATTGTCGGAGAAAACCCCGCGGTGACGCCAAAGGTTCTGACCACCGCAGTTGTGCCCGACCAAGTGATCTCGAATGAGGACGATTTACAAGCGCTGTCTGACAGGGAACGCATTTGCCTCGAATTAAAGGTAGACTTTTTTGTAATTATGTCCTGGCTTATCCGCCACGTGGACAAAAATCCTGAGGCGGGTGCAATCGGTGGACTCGGCGACATCGCGGATTACCTACGTAAAGTTCCGAAAGCCGTCCGGGATGCTGTCTTGCATTGCGGATTCCGCATTGAGAAGGACGTCATCGGTGTCCTGGCTCGGGAGGACGCGCAGTTTCTGGCAGGAAACAGCAGCATCGACCCTATCCGACAGCATTACAAATCCAATGTTGTGCGCACATGTTTGATCAAAGCCGGTCATTCCGTCGCACGATCCGAACAAAAGCCTTTGCACGGCGCTGGTGTGGCTGCTGGTACTATCCTAAGTTCGCTCGTCTTTGCTAGGTAATTTGAAGCATTGCAAAGTGTCTGCACCGCGATCACGATTTCCTCTGAAATGATTTATGTCGTAAACAAAATGTACATGTACTGGAGCTGCGATCATTTTTCAAATTTTGCTTTGGTAATAAATACTTCTGAAAGTGAAATCCAACTACATGTACTTCCACCAAGGTGTGGACGTAAAGCCGCTGGCCCCTCAATTGAATAACTGGCTCGAAGATGTGGTGTGCACCGCTTTCCGTTACCACGCGAACTCACGTGGGATGCCGGAGCACCCTTCTCCCCCACTGCTCCGAGAGGGCGCCATAGTTCAGCGCTTCGAAAACAGGGACAACACTATCGGCGGACTCAAGGACTCGGTGGACGAGAGTGGAGGAGCAGTTGGCGGTGTTGAACTTGGCTCAATCAGCGGCCTTCGGAATATTTCGTCAGCTGCGAGTGGGAGTGGTCTCCCTTCTGCACTAGGGTCCGGTCCGGAACTGGCTGCCGGGACAGCAGCGTCGGTGGCTCTGCTTCGCGGCGGTACTGCAGGCACTCTCAAGGCCCGCGGTCGTGGAAAAGTGCTGAGTACCATTGTCGAGGACGATATCGCCATCGAATTCCTTCTGGAGGGCGATCAGGCAGAGGACCTAGGCGAGGGAGATGTCCATCCTGAGCAACCTGCTAGTGCCACCAGTCCCGACACCGCCGACGAAAAAGACAAACTGTGTGAAGACGATCTGACTGCTCCCGTTGATCATGTACCAGTTCCTGATCACGGTTTATCAGCAAATGCAGAGAAAGGAGATGAAAGTTCCACAACAAAACAAGCTGCAAAGTTGAAAACCAAGAAAAAGAAGGAAAGGAAGTCAGCCGAGCAAGATGTTGATGCTGATCTGGGCACGAAGACTGGAGGAGGAGCCGCAAGTGGCAGCAAAATGAAGAAAGGGAGCAAGCACAAAAATAAAGGAGTTCTAACTTCTTCTGGAGATGGTCTAAAAAAAACCTCAAATGGCCCCAAAGCATTAGTTGGCGTCGTCGCGCCCAAAAAAATAGACCAGCTTCCGGAACTGTGGGTACCTCATGCGGAGGCGATTCATCTCGATGACGTCGTGATCGTGCGTTGTTTGGGCTACTTCGGTTGCATCATCACCGACCAGCGCGTGTTGCGTTCGATCGAGCAGTTTCTGTTGGCAAAGATCATTTACGCTGAGCGGCAGATTGCAGAGATGGAGGGTGACAAAAGCGTGCTCTATGACTTGATGTGGCAGGAGATTCCGCCACTGCCACAGGGAGAACACGAAACCTCTTCTTGTGCTCACCTTGAGCGGGAAGAGGCGTCGAAAGGAAGCCGCAGTGGGACAAACACTGGGGGGAACGGCAGCTCAAGCAGCGCAGCGCAGACCTCTGCTAGCCACTCGCAAGGCGAGAAGAGTCGCAGCACCAGCAGCAGCAGCACCAGCACCAGCAACAGCAGCACCGCGGGTTCGCTTTCGACAGAGAAGACTTCATCGGTCGTAACTACAGTAAAAGAAAAAACGAGGCAGTCGGGCGGGGCAAGTGCATCAAGTGACAGCAAGACTAAGCATGGTGATGCCGATACGCGTGATATCAAAGATGAAGTTGATGCAGCAGAGGAAAGCGGAATGAAGAGCAGCATAACGACAAATAATACGCATACAGGAGATGAAGGGAACACCAAGCAGACAAACAGGATTGCTGCACCAGAGACTGGCGGCGCAAAACAGGCTTCTGATGTCGTCCCCCCTGCTCGCCCTGTAGTTACGTCTGTAGCTGTAGGATCTAGCGCGATAGGCATCTCAGAGAAAGGTGAAAATAAGAGTCTCCGCATTCGGGACGTCTACAAGGTCCTTTGGAACACTGTCGGCGCTTTGGGTCACATGCTTGCTTTCGATAAGGCTTCAAGAAATCCATCTTACCCAGGGCCAGCATCTTGGCCCCATTCTTGTTCTTCATACATATAAATATGTTAAGGGAAAACGGGCACCAGGATGCTCCACAAGATGGATTTTCTCTAGCTCTAATTTCGGAAATATACCCTTGAGCGATCACGCGATCACGATACTTCTCCGCGTCGCCTCCAACGTGAAGCATGCTAAAGTGCAGAAGACAGCGCTTCTTTCGGTAGCTCGCGCAACGCTGCGCAGAGCCTACGAAAAACATTGCTCCTCTTGAGGTCGCTGGAACGGTCGTGATCATGATAGATACCCCAGCAGGGAGGGAGATAAAGACGAAGAGAGTGGGCGTGGGGAAGACGAAGACGGAGTCAATTGTAGTACGTCGATGAATGAATCGCGTACAACTCCACCCTCGCAGTGACAGCGACTGAACAGACAACGTTCGACTGGCAATGTAAATCTAAATGTAAGTAATTGTAGGTACTCGAGGCTATATATCCGTACGCTTGTAACGATAGTTGTGTAAGTACTCAAAATTAACAAAAGAAGGTAGTTTCGACTGATGTAGTTCGTAGTTCGTTGCCTGTCATGATTGACGAGTGCGCTTCGTGAAAATGAACAACGTGCAGGTTGTTTTTAGCGTTCATGTACCACTTCGGATGGTGGTGCGACAAAACCCGAAAGACGATCTATTTGTGTTTGTTCGAATGTAGTTGTTCCGGTAAACCCTTTTAATCCAATCAAATGATATGAATAGAAATTTCAAATGGAATCATTGAATACAAAGCGGAAATACAAAAAATGTTTTCTGATTCTGTTTGTTTGTTTGAATCCTAGCCAATCTGTCTCGTGTTTAATAATTGAAGATGATGCGGAAGTTGAAGTACTTAGAAGGTAAAGTGTATAAATATTGTGTTATTTTTGTTTGTTTCGGATGTGATCATGGTGAAAGCTATTTTTAATACGTGCCATATATTTATAAAAAATTGTATATATTAGTGTTAAATAATGTGTTGTCCTTGTCGCAGATGATGATAGTTGTGTTGGTGCTGAACACTAGGCTAGGCACTGGTTCATCATGTGTTTCTTGTTCAAAGTGCCGAAGGATAGTTGCGAAAAGAGCAAACTTGTTCTTTCCACAAAGAGTGCTTGGCCGACAAAGACTAAGACGGGATGAGAAATACTAGTATGATCTGTGAGGTTGTAGTCGAGCCGCTCGATGAGGGCAATAAAATGCTCAAAACGTAGTAAAAAGCAATAGTTCCTAACCACCAATTTATGTCTGATGGATTATTTGGAGAAGATGCCTTTTTTACGGGTTTCATGATTGTCCTTCCCCGTCTCCTCCGCGTGCTGTCGCGTCGTGCTTTATCCTTCAAGTAGGAAGAAGCGATTTACTATTTGTATTTCTTCGTCCTGTACATAGGTTTCCGTGTAGGTTTCGAAGGTTGCGCTCGAGAAAGAGAGCATTTACATATAAAGTTATACTAAATTTAGGGGGCTGCATGCAACTACGTCGTTTCCTTCTGTCGCTCCCGGGTGTAGAGTTCGCGCGGCAGTCGCAACAGTGGGGCTCGCGGCGTAGTTGAACGTTTGCACGCGTCTAGGACAAAAAGAAGGAGGTACGTGCCCTGTGGCGGCACCCTGATTCATTGACTGGGACTAGGTGGTCGGTGGAGGTGGTGCCGAGGTCTTCAATAATCTGCATGCGCTAGCAGATTTCTGATATTCATTGTCGTGATAAGGACTAGATTAACTAACAACTACATATCGATAGACGACGTTCATCAATGTTACACATTTCTTGGTCGTTGAGCCGAAAGGAGCTTCCATAGTTGTACTAGAAGCAGGGGGACGTGAAGCAGTTTTGTGTATGATAGGGTCGAGATGCTTAGTAGTTTAACGACGTCCTACACGGGCGATAAACCCTTCCCCCATAGCGTCCTCCTTTGGGCGATCACCCGGAGTGGTGCTGTCATCTCGTGTGGCGGCGAAGCCGAGGCATCCTATCCTATCCTATGTGCGCACGTGAGGTTCCGCGTTTACGTATGTTACTCAGACGTAGCGGAGGTTTCTAGGCGTAGATGGCGATCATCCTTTTCTTAAATGAGCCCCGACATTATTATTATTATTTATTATTAGTCATTATTTTCCAAAACGTGATGAGATGATTGATTCTTCTAGTTTCTAGCTCTGGGCGTAGGCGATGTTGGTCTTCGTCAGCTATTATATATAGTTATATTCCAATTACTGCATAAGCAGATAGATATACATAAACGAACACGAAACATCAGGTAGACCTGACCCGGCGGAAACTCAAGCCATCGATATTGAGGTGGTGGCACCAACACGACTCTAATAAAGCCCGCGCTTAGTGTTAGTTCTAAGTATTCTTCATCCATGCCTTTCACCCGAGGAGGACGAGGACATCGCCAGTGAACGAGAATATATCATAAAGACTAAGCAGAGACAGAAGCAGAACAACTAGTATGAGAATAGGAGTAAGTTAGTACTTGCTTGATCTTTTCTTGTTTCTACTTCTAGTTAGGCCGTTGCTGAAAGTATGATGGAAGTAGAACAACGAAAATTTTTGATGATATTTATTGATACTGATCCACCCGCAAGGCTAAAGTGCTGATTTCTTTTGTTCTTTAACATGAGTTGCCTTTTGTTGATGAGTCAATGAATATTTCATCACGATCTTTTACACACCAGAGACTAATGAAAGAAGATATACGACGCGAAATAGAAATGGACAAAAATAATAAGCGGTCGTACCTTGTTGTTTTGAGGTCAAATAAAACCTGAGTGTACGACATAGCCGCGTGCCGTATATAATCATGTTTGCATATTGCTACTAGATACGGTGTATGGTTCTGGTATTTGGTAACCTGAATTTGATCCTAAGGGTTCTCTTCTTGTTTTCCCTTAGGATCAAATTCAGGTTACCAAATACCAGAACCATTCATACGGATACTTTTTTACCATAATTATAATTCATCGCAACAGCGCCAGCGCGGTGGTCGATTTGATGAAGGCCAGTGGCATCTATCCACGTCACCTCCTCCACACGCAGGCGAGAGTTTGGACTGTTTCAGATGATACTAGCTCACTACTTACAGTTTTTCAACAAGTAGGACGACAATCCTTTATCGATGAGTACTTAACTAGTCACCGGCATTATGGGCGGCCCAGTGAGACAAGAAGCGACAGCACACGGTGAACAAAGACCATGAGTTATGTGCTCTAGAGTCTAGACCAACAGATGGATTTTTTACAGATCCTCCGAGGAATATCTATATAATAAATTGGAAAAGAAAAGCCACTCAATAGATATCGTCGCTGTTTGTGCACCACGACAAGCTGGCAGACAAAAACTGCACATCCCTGAGTCGGTGTAACAAATACTTAAGTACTACAACACGTGAGGTCCTTACTCTCTTGGTGCTGTCATTCTGTTCCTGTTCGTTTGCAGCTATTGCTGGCGCTCGTGTAAGGTTGCTGTGCAGCTGCACAGTTGTGATGGCATCAATAGCATTCCCTCTCCCACCAGAATGTTGGCACTATGAGGATCTTGCCTCAATGAATATGTAGAGCAGCGCACTATCATTCTATCACTCGTCGATGAAGCGATCAGACAAAATCCGAAGAGAGACGAGTAGTCACCCAACAGCAAAGAAATGATCTGACACATCCATGCGTGATTCACACAACGAGAGAGCCGAAGAGATACCGAAAACAATAAAGGAAAAGCGCCGTATGGTCTAAAATCTGAGCTGATCTTGTCCTCTCCACTTGCACAGAATGAGAACATCAGCAGCGCACTCGGAGCTTATCATGGACAATTATCAGCTTTATGGACGATACCAATGATGAACATTCTGACATTCTGGAATATCAATTTAGAAACAACCAAGTAGGGTTCACTGAATACGCAAGAATGCCCAAGAATGAATGCAGTTCCCCACCTCCTTCCCTTTGCAACTAAGTACGTCACCCGACGCGCTACCTCATGCTAGGTAAATGAATGAATGAACGAACGACTAGTAGAGTACAGCTCTACTTCTTGTTATCACCATTACTGGGTCGTATCCTAAAATCGTATGATTGAAAAATCGTGTGAGAGAGCCTAAGAACGTAGGTCGTGTTCTCGAGAGCAGTTCATGGACTTTGCAGGATGTCTAAGCCAAACGCAGTGCATTTACCCGTCTGCGAGAATGTATTTATTTCATGGAGATCGAGAATCGAGATCGAGTTGTTGAACTTGAACATTGCAACGACTCATTGTCAAATACAACGCGGCGCAAAGTCATGCTTCATAGTCGTCCTTCTAACTATTGAGAACGCAGGTCTGCGGATCATTCAGGAATGCTCATGATGACAGTTGCTAGTCTAGTTCAATATCTTCAATTTATCATCACGACTATAGCCTTGATTATAGCTCTTGCTCGTGCGGTGGATGCGTCAATCTAGAAGCAAACCAACGTGAAAGATTTAGTTTATTCCTGCTAACTCCTATTTTGATACATCATGTTGAAGGTTTGAATAAAGTTCATCTTCATCTTCTCTGGGGTTGTTGGTCTTTAAGCTAGGACATTTTGTTGAGCTTCAGATCGTAGGACATCGAGCAAAATGGCTGGCGTAGGTGGTGGTGCAGTGGGAAGCGGTGGGGCTGCAGGCGCAATCAGACGATTGAATCGGGAGTTGAAAGAAATAAACCAAAACCCATCCAAATTTTGGACAGCGGAGCCTGCGAATGATGACCTTTTCGAATGGCATTTCACCCTCAAGGGACCTGCTGGTATTTACACATATCAATCTTTACACCCAGTATTGGTAAGTTGTTCGTTGTTCAAAAAAATTCAATGATGAAGATGATGAATGCGTCATTTTGATCATCTTCAAAAATGGTTGAATCTAGTACGTAGAAAGAAAAAAATAATGGCCGGCTCCACCCTCGATGCGTCCTCTGCCTACGACAATTCAGCTGCATCAGCACTTCTCTCATAAGAGCAAGAGGAATAACTTCGCACTTCTCATCTTCAGGCAGCGACTTTGAGGAGGGTATATATCACGGACGCATTGTCTTGCCATTAAACTACCCATTCGCGCCACCGCATATCATGCTTCTCACTCCGAACGGTCGATTCGAAACCAACAAGAAAATTTGCCTCAGTATCAGTAACTACCATCCGGAATTGTGGCAGCCAGCATGGGGTCTGCGCACTATGATAGAAGCCCTGCGAAGCTTCTTCCCGAGTCCGCCAGAAGGAGCATTGGGTATTAAGAGCCTAGACCTCGACGACTTCGTACTCACGAGCACCTTGACCTCAGACGTGTTTTAGGTAAGGACTCGTAGATGCTAGTAAGTGCGTGTATCACAACATAAAGTATCTGTTGATGGCAAGGTCAAGGATGGCAAGCTGTGCTGGTAGCAAAACAAGCATTTTATCATTAGAAAAATGTTGAAATTCAAATTCACGGTGAAATCTTACTATCTATCGAAACATTCAGGTGCCTTGAATTATCCATCTGAAGTACGAAAACGAATCGCAAAGACGGAAACGCGGCAATGGAGATGTCCCGTTTGCGAGAAAACGAATGAGGAGCTGCTACCCTATTGTGATGAGGTTGAAGAGAAAAAACCTGAAGAGGAGGCCGCGAGTAAACTTATGTTGATCTGTATTTTTATCAATGATTCTTGTGATCCAAGAAGAAGAAGAACATCAAGATAGACATCATAGATGAAGAACACTGGAGATTTTCAATGATCATGATAGCTTTTCTATCTTTAATATCTGGACCACTTTGAGAACTTCAAAGGATGACAGTAGTGCCATTGTTCTTGGTGAGTTTCAGCTTCTAAGCCAGGGTATAGCATAATACAACAGAGATCAAAAATTCTCTGGATTTATCTCTAAGAAGCCAGCGGAATCAACAGCGACACCAGCTGACGCAGCTACGACAGCTGCCGCAGTCGTCAACAAGGAGAATGTTGATGTTAATACAACAGTACCAGCATGTGCAAATTCTGCTGAAAATAACACGACCACGAGTAGCGCAACAGCCCCAGCTGTCTTGGATAATGCAGCTCCACCCGCTGCGCCGCCCGTCGCTGGGCAGACTTCTGGTGCGGAACAATTTACATTACCTTCTCCGAGTTCTGTAGTGCCGTTGCCTCGTGAAGTAGTCGGATCAAGTGTCGCTTCTCCGGCAACGAGCACTGGAGGCTCGCCAACGGTCGCCGATGGCGGCGCTACACCAAGTGCTCCTCTAGGAACCGCGCAGCTCACTTTCGTTGATGCGAGCAAGGGCAACGTCGTTCATGCCGATGAATTTCAAACTTCTACACAAGTCACGACTGCAGGTGCAGGAGAGGTACAACAGGTAAACCTCGTAGCTGCTTCTAACTGCGCCAGAACTTCTGAGGACCAAAAGCACATGCCTAGTGCCTCAGACCCACTAGGATGTGGAACGGGCGAAGAAAAAGGCAAGCCGAGCGGGGACGAGGCGCCATCGACGACGTCTTGGTCTTCTTCAGGCCACGACGTCGATCAACAGGACAGTGCATTGCGGGACTTTCTCCTGGCAGGTGAGCAAGAGTGCGTGTCGAATACAAAGACGAGTGATCAAAGCCTAGGTGGAGGAGGTGATGTGCCGTCAGGCGCGACGCCGACGGCGGCAGCAGTGGCCGGACAAGTGTCAGCATCCGCGTCTGGTGCAGCTGGAGCTTCTACCACAAGCACTGCGGGAGCAGCTGCAACGGGAGTTGTAAGTAAATCTGCTACCGCTGGCACGACCTCCACGACCACGGCGACCGCCGCATCTTCGCAACAATCTTCTTCGTCGGTTGAAGCTACAACAGTACTAGTTTCAGAAGTGAAGAAAAATCGATCTGGAGAAGGTGGAGATGCAACAAGTGCTGCATCGACCTCTGCTGCTGCTGCTGTGTCTTCGAGTAGTATTTTCCCCGTACCGGCTAGTATGCGTAAAAATCAACGAAAGCCGCAAGAAGTGCGCGATGACGTCGACTCACTGGTGCGGCAACAGAAGGAATTTACGGATAATTTAGCGGCAGCGCAAGCGCAGCACCAAGAGTCGTGCTGTTCATCCACGACTTGCTCGTCCAAGCCGTCGAAGGCTTCCTCCTCCACATCGCGTAAAAAGAAGGAAACCGGCAATATTTTGATAGAGTTGCTGCCGGAAGCGTCACCAGTTCTTACCCTGGACTGCATTTCATTTGTGGTGGCCTTCGTGTTCTGCACCCTTTTCTTCGAGTACATTCGGAATCCACCAGGACCACTCAGCGACAGCTAACCACCATGCTTAGGGGCCTGCTATCAAGAAAAGAGAGCCGTTGACCTCTATTAGATAAAGCAATACTAGCCCTTGTTGAAAGAGCTTCTGGTTCTGTAGAAGTCAGTGCTACATCAACTTCGCCATGTGCGATTGGATTTTGATTATAACGCCAGCGTCAACTTGACCTCCCTTGCCCTGAACCCTAGGTACTGTCCTCCGATGATTCTTACTCCCATGCCCAAGCCCCAATGACGCTTCGCCTCATCTCTTGAAGACTTGACAAAAGTTGAGTCATAGCCTCATCCACGCTCTGGCTCTGTTCTTCTAGAGTAGAGTTGACTCTGCGAACAGTGCCCTTATTTCTACTCCCTTCTATTTAGCACTAGACCCGCCTTGAGGATGTAGGCAAGAAGTCGGCGCTCATAAATGTGCTGACACAACATCAAACTCAAACCACACGGCTACAACTGTCTTGTAGCAGGCGTTGAGAATACCACAATGTTGGACAAAAACTGGCTAAACAATATGTCGCGGCATTTGAGATACCCAGACAGGTGTGCGTTTATTGAGGTGAAATTTTCAATGCCAAGCAATGGAAACCATGACGAGAAGGTGACTGACGCAGCAGCTTATCGGAGTTAGATTGAAGCAACAAGAACTTCCGACTATTTCCTAGGACAGAAGTCGTTGCGCCCTTGTTCTTCTTCGTAGTTCGTGCTGTCAGGCATCGAGTGTACAAAACAGAGAGCTAAAAACTTCACTTGTTCGTCATCAAACAGCGCGGAGTGCAGACGTCATGTATGCTCGGGTGGTCGTGAGAGACTTGTTTATCATGAACCACTGTCCAAGTTGAACAATCTGAATCTCGAGCTTAACACTTGACAAAATCGGTCTGTAATGTCAATGCAGTTCTCGGAAATTAGACCAATTGTCCTCTACCTCTTGTGCTTGTAAGTATGTAAATGTAATTACAATGTCCTTACGCACCAGTATCACATCCTTCTCGCTCCTTAGAGAGAGAGTAGCACTTGCAATCTTCTCATTCTAAGAAGATTCGTGTATGTTTTTGCTTGCGATTTTTGTCCTCGGCGACGTGGTCTAAGACGTAATTCATAGGTGAAGGTGCGTACGACTAGCACTAGGTAGACTTCTGCAGAGGCGGCGTCGACTTGTTTTCAGGCGTTCACGCAGCCATGGTCGCCCCTGTGGAGGCGACCGAAGGGGCTTCTTGGAGTTTCGAGCTTGGTATACCTATACTAGCGCGTCTGCAGCAGTACAACGATGCGCAGAATTGTGAGAGCGTTCATGGCACAAATTGTACTAACATCTTCATCCAGCAGTGTCTGTGGTAGCCCCAGCCTCCTCAAAATCCACTAACCACGCTTCGGGTGCTAGTCCATCTTGTGACGTATGGTGGGGCTCTTCGCCTTGCAGGACCCTACTTCATATCGTTTCCCTCACGAGTACCATGCAACTCGTGTGCGTCGTCCCAGGACCTTCTGCGTATGGCTCCGACTCAAGAAGAAGAACTCGAAAGCCTCTGTGTTGAGACGCAGCTGGATAGACTGCTGGAGATCGATGCTGCGCTGACGGTCCGCAGCTGTTTGCGCACTGGGGTCCATGTTTTTGACAACATTGAAGATTCGCATGACCAGGAGGAGCGCCTGCTGAGTGACGATAACAGTATGGGTACCACTACCAGCCGACCAGTCCAAGGGGTTTGCGCAACCTTCTTGAGTGAAGGTATTATTTAGATTCTCACCGTCACCCAGTTTGAGTTTGTCCAAGTCCACTGATCATTGTGCAAACGCAGCAAAGAGAAAGAAACTATAATTTCAGAAATAAAATAAAAATTTCCACTTTTTCAAGTAGAAGTTGCTCTCCTTGCTTTTTCTCTTACTGAGTAATATGGGCTACTGTGCTTTCAACATCCATGCCGCTGTTCTTGACAAACTTCAGATATTATGGATGAAGATGATGTGGACGAAAAACTGTATGCGTCAGCGCGTCAAGCCGAAATCGCGTCATTTGGGCGAAATGCTCCTGCGAGTTGTCGCACGGCTCCGTGGCAGGCAAAAGTGAAACAGGAGCCGATGCGAAAGCGACCGTTATCAGCGAGGCGCTGGGCAAATGCGGATACTCGCCCACCGCGCGTCACATCTGTCCGAGACAGGGGCGCTGAAGTCGCAGGCACAGGAATTGCTCGTGCGGTAGTTATGCGCTCGCGGAGGACTGGTGTTTGTCCGATTGCGGGGGCTGCGCCAGCCGCTTATAGCAAGCGGGAGAGCGGCTCGGGGATCAAGTCGATGACGCAGTTACAGCATCAGAATCGACTCCAAATTCGTTCGGCGCGTTGCAAGGCCACAACTGCAAGCGACACTCAGGTTCGCCGAATTATACTGCACGCACGTGTTGTAGCCATGCCGTCCTCAAAGAAGCACTTTTGCCGCGAGTGCAAAAGCCGCTTGCTTCGGCATTGCCGAAACGAGTAGTTGAGCATCGAAGCGCAACAGATTGTGACAATGAACATGAACACGAAGTTTGTAGGGGTTACCATGATCAGGAATGCGGCGTCACGCGCAGCACCGAACAAGTGTTTCGGTGTCGGTAGAGTCCTACAAAACTGCACCTTAGTCGCAGCTTTGCTTCTTGCAATGTGGGTGCTGCTACACAACAGCGAGTGCCGAAGTCGAGTGATCGTCGGCAGCTACAAATTGAAGATCGGAATGCAGGCGCCTCTCAAAGATTCTGGTGATTCTCCAACATCGACAGCGCTCCGAGTGTTAGCGCTGCCGTTAACGCACACACACTATTGGCGCCGTACGGTTTTGCGGCCTCGGGGCACGAAGACTCGGTAGAATACACGCTGTTGCGGGTCCATCCAGAGTGACGGCACTCATGTCTCGCTCTCGTCCGTCAAATGGGACTACATTTGCTTGCTCTGGGCTCGCAACGTCGCACAGCCACCTAGTCGCGGGGAGGGTGGCAACGGCTGTACAACATTGTCGCGACTTCGAGGGCATCGCGAGCTACCGTACCGACGCGCCGTTCAACCGCGCTGTGATACCGGTAGTATCGCAGGGGCGTATGCGCAGCTGGTGCAGCTCGGTCATTTATAATTGCGTTTCTTAAAAGAAATCCAGAACAGTAGCTGGCGTGCACGTGCAATGAACAACTGCGTTGCATCCGTTTCGAACTTACTAGTCTATCTATAAGTTGGATTTGTATACCCTTGAGGAGGTGCACTTATGGATAAGTTGATTTGTAATTTTTTTTAACTGTTCCTCTCTCTGTCCTTATAGCATGGATTATCCGTCATCTTGTGGATGAAAGAATCATGCTCAGGAATGAGTTATTCATTAAACTGAATCATCCATGGTCATGGATCAATGATGCAGATGCCAAGTTGTAAGCTGAGGAACTTTTTGCCAATGATCATTGACTTTTGTCGATGAGTCATCCATTGAGGAAATGAACGAAACCGAGTACTTATTATTTTCAAGTGTTTGTTTTGTTGAGGTTGTGGTTGTCCTCATATAAGTACATACTTTAGAGGCACGGTTTTTCTATTCCTGTTGTTGTTGCTGCATGAGCATTTTTTAGTCATCAATAGACCACCAGAACCACCACTATTTCATTAAGTGGAACTCATGAGCCATACGAAATCTAGGAGCAAAATTCTTTTACGTTAATGCCCAAGGTTACGGATTAGCTAACGCGAACGCTGCAACAGCAACATGCGTGACTGTACTGTTACTGATGACAGGACGCATTCAGAAACGAAACACAAACTGTGTTTGTTTGACATCTTTTGGGGAGTGCATGCGTAGGGATGCGTGGGTTTTGCTTGCCTTTGTCCGTGTTCAATACCAACATATTGGCCAAATTGGTAGGCGTTGGCGAACATGTCATGAATGGAAAAAGTTGAAACATCTGTATCAAATAAACGTCGGTATATACAATGATAACCTGGCCCCTCTTATACAAGGAAAAAACCTACTCACCCTCAAAAGACTATGTTTTTCAAATACCATTTTTGATTTTACTTTTGGCTCCTTTAAATAAAGTAGGTAGTTTAAATAGCTAGTTAGCCGTCCAGCGAGTCCCTTAACTAGCTATTTAAACTACCTACTTTAAAGGAGCCAAAAGTATAATCAAAAATGGTATTTGAAAAACATAGTTTTTTGAGGGTGAGTAGGTTTTTTCCTTCTATACCTCTTTCGGTTGCAGCCGCAGAGTCGATCTGTACAAAACTTCTCCGAAAAGTCGAAAGCGCGTGGAACAATAGCGTGTCGCTGTAACAGGACTTCATAATATGAAATCGGTTGAGTTTGAGACGAGAGAGAAAGAGAGCATCTTAAGAAAAGTTAACCTCTGATGCACAAGTGGTTCTAAGAAATTTTGAAGAAGGTTGCCTTTGTATACGCTCAAAAGTTTCATCTCGCTGTTGTATTCAAAAAAAAAATCTATATCCATTGAAAATTCAAAAACGCCGAAAGGTTGAATAGAGTTTAGTTGCACGAACAACAATTTCAATTGCTTGGTTTAGAAGCATACGAGGTTTGATATTGCTGTAATTATGAAAAATAATGTTCTTCAACAAGTCTAGGTAGCGAGCATGTTCGTGTGCAGCTCGATCATTGACTCGATTAGTGAACTTCGTTTTGAAGTGTCTTGTAGTTGCGTCTAATATCAGTTACGTCCCAGAAGTTTTGCCTTCCTTACTAAGACCATTGTGTGGGATCATGTTTAGATGAATCATTGAATGTCTACTCATTAAAATGTCGTTTTAAGGATAGGCATTGTTATTGAAACCTCCCGCTGCTTTACAGGATGTATATAGCAGCCAATAGGTTTCGCACTGCCGCGAATCGAGCGCGGAAGTCGTCGGTGGCAGGATGGTGGACTGTAACGGGGAGACCTGGTCTCCGCGATCTCCTTGATAATCCGGCCTCCTATGATGGTTGTTGTTTATTGACTGATAATATTCAAATCCAATATCACAGACGATTAAAAAGGAAGTTGAAGAACATCGATGGTCATGTCATAACAACTACGTGAGTACTACTGAATGAAACAAACATTCTTCATTTAATGTGAAAAATAGACTCCTCGGCAGGGACACAGTTTCCAGGAGCAATCACAATATTCGTATCGTAACTACACATAAACGCACTAAGCATAGGACTATCTTCAGCATCTCTCCCGTCTAATTTCGATCATGGCTTGCAACGGGTATTCAGTGGGTGATGGTTTTGGCGATTATTATAAGTTCTGTGACGTTTTGCATCGAGACGATGCCATCCGTAGCCAAATACCACCACTTCTGGGGACAGCTGGAGCTCATCTTCGTCGTCCTCTTCACAGGAGAGTATTCAAAGTTTATCAATGAATAGTAGACAACACTGGCGGACCCTCTGTGTACGTGTACCTGAAATGATAGTTTAATTACTCTTCATGTGACTCCCGGTCCCACCTCCACGTTTTTTGAATCCGTATGTCGCTGGTCTTATTTCGTCCTCGTACCTTATGAACCATGGTATCGCTTATTTCCCTCCGGAGAGATGATCAGTACAACATCATGAGTCTGACTCTACAACAACTGTTGTTGGGGGACGAACCATTACAACTAGACTGTCCTCTCAAACTCAATATCATAAAGAAGCATCAGCTATGTATAGAGAACGCATACGAGTAGTCAAAAAGCCTACTTATTCAAGCTGCTCCTGCCTCTAGACTATCGCACAAATATCATGCCTACACGTTATCATAGACATCAGATCAAAATCAAGCATAAGCACAACCACAAGCGGAAATTGTTACAAAATAAACTCCGCCCCTAGGCTCTTCTTACGATGGCTGGTAGCGGAGGGCAGTACTCTGGACTATATCTTCGAGACTTGGACGATTATTGATATTCTTGCGCTCCTGCCATTTTACTGCGCAGTTTTCGAGCTCGAGGTCCCGACCGGTGAGTTGAATCCGAGCACTGTTATGATTGCAAATTAACACCTACTCCTACACTATTTCTTCCGTAGAACTAGAAATTAAAGTTCTATTGAAGTGATCCGGTCCTGGTCTAGTCCTGGTGAACCGGTACCCTGGGTCTGGACTAGCATGGTGGCCGTTTGGAGGTGCGAGCACCCCCCCAGTGCTTCTCCACCCTCGAAGCCTGGGGGGGGTGGGACGCCAAAGTCAGAAGCATCTGTCGTTGGTTTTAACTCTTTAAATTATATATTTCTAATTAAACGCGCGAGTTCGTCGTTGCCTTCTTCATGACTAGCACCCAACGAGTGTAAGTGTGAGCGCCGCGCCTGTGGTTTTCTGTCCCTCCGACATCAACTTTCCCGTCAAGGCCAAAGATCAGCTAGAGCAAGGACTACTTTGGAGCAGGATATCAACACATACATTCTATTGAAGCCATTTTCATGTTGGTGCCCACTGCTACTCAATCTCAAATGATAGTCATGAAAAGCTATAATGACAATTAGCTTGGAGATGTTCTAAGCTTCGCCATCCGGAAACAGCGCCGCCACCTGACATGCGCATTCTGCGATTGTGTCGGCTTATGCGCGTGTTCAAGTTGACGAGGCACGCGCGTCCAATGATGTTCATCTTCGAAGGCTTAGCCGAAGCTCGCGTTTCCTTCCTCCTCTTGGGGACGATGCTTACCCTGGCCCTTATCTTCTATTCTTACTTCTATGAACAAGTAGGTGAGAGTGAGGCCGTCTCGTATGATTTTCCAGTAGATTGCTCTAGACCAGTCAGAAGGAAGTGCTTATTTATTCTAAAGCCGTCGGCATGAGCATCTTGATTACTTAAAACTTTCCGTTGTATTTGGAAAACTGTAGTCTGTGTCAGTGTCTGTCAGTCAGCCAGTCAGTTAGACTCATGATTTTTCGTCCGCAAGACAAACACCCAGTGTCCCTCCCTTCGTCCACTCTAGTCCAGCTTTCATTGTGCACTCTTCGTCTTTGAGCGTGGAGATACGTTTGACGATAGGCTGAACTGCTACGTGCGTCCAAACGAACCGCATTATTTAAGGCTCATAATAATTCAACCTCGCAGAGTAGGCAACGCCTCAGATGGATCCCTTTTTGGAATCTGCGACTATGTATGGTGCTCTTAGAGTGTGAATTATAGTTAGTTACAACATTGTTGGTTTTGGCTACCATTCAACCGTTAAGGCTAGTTCTTGTCCTTATAATTGATCGCAAAAGTCTAGTTCTCTCATCATTAGCGTTCGCTCTAAACTATACTGGCTGCTCGCCTTTTCAGAATGTCATAATGTCCTTCTGGTGGGGTATGGCGACCCTCTCCACAGTCGGCTACGGCGAAGCATTTCCGATAGGTGTCGCAGGAAAACTTGTTACTGGTACAACTAGAACTACTTAGTCTTTCTCTTTGTTGATGTGAGTGACTCATTTTCTTTTTCTTTGGTGTCCATTTCACCAAGAAGAATTCAACAGTATGCTCCCGACGATGTTGATAGATACAAAGTTCCAAGGCGAGGTCAGTCAGAGTAGGGTGCACTGGATTATCTTACTCTATCGAGAAGTTACACACCGTCACCGACACGAACACACAAATCCACCAGCTTGCTGCATGATCACCGCTATATTGTGTGTTGCGTTACCAACGACGCAATTGGGCCTTGAGTTTGGTGCGATCTATGCGAGACTGCTGAACGATCGGCGCGCGCGGTCAGGAAGGCGAGCCGTCCTGAAGTCAGTGAAAGAGGAAATCCTTCTTCTTGAATCATTGAAAACGTTAGAGAGAAGCCGAAGAGAAATACGAGACTCGTTTCCACGGCTGAAGAGCTTGGTAGCATGTGAAATACCATTATCAAAAATTAAGGCTGCACATCTCGTGACTATAAGAACCCACATTAATTTGTTTCTGTTATAGAATGATTATTTCAGCAGTCTTCTTGATCCTCTTCCTCTGGCTCTCCTCCAGCTGGTTCCGAACCCTATGTGTCGCACATCAAAAGGTACAACGCCGGCAAAAAATCTCTATCCCTCCTTCCCAATCTGTTCCTCTTTGTCGTGGCGGCAGCCTCTAATGATTATAGCAGTAGCACGACTTCAGCTTCACCCACACTTCCGAACAGTGTAGCTCAGGAAGTATCGGAATCCTTTTTGGGCTCCCCCATCGGCAGTGGTATCGGCGCCCTTAATTCCGTCGGAACCGGACTCGTATCTGGTGGCTTATCACCTTTAAGAGAGATTTCTACGTCGACTTCAAATTTAATTTTTTCATTGAGCGAAAATACATGGACAGAATCAGGAAGGTCGTGCTTTTTGAACAATTGAATACGTGGAAAGTTTCGAGGAATCCATGGTCATGGGGTGAAGAAATCTGTCTTTATCTACTTACGTACTTATTCATAACTACTAATACCAGTGAGACGAGTGAATCATGGGGTAGCATAAATAGTGAGGTAGAGCATCTTCGTTTTACCATTACCTCGACGATACCAGTCGAACAAAGTAAAAGTGAGATCAAGTTGCGGTCAGAGAAGAATCGACACCTCTAACACTGATCGCGAGTGGCGCGGCTCAGCTGGCTGCGCCTCTATCGAATTCGCCACTGAAAGACATCTCAATGTTTCCTACTTCGTTGCTAGGAGGCGACGACGAGGAGGAGGATCCGAGGAGGCGTGATGTATGTTGGGTAAATTCACGAACAGAGGCCTCCATCGAGCAGCTCCGTAGACAGTTGGACATGGCGATACATCACTACCAGACCTTTTTGCTAGAGACCGTCAGCAAAGGGCGGCTGAAAGCGTCGATTCACTTAAGGCTCAAAGTAATTCTAATTCATCTCCGGTTAGTTTTACTTTCTCTTCGTCTTTTAAGAGATTTCTTGATTCAGTTTTCTTCCTCTTAGAGGATTCTGAGGGGAAACGCACGACCTCCTCAACAGATGAATTTTTGTGAGCACTAAGTTACGCGGTGTCCGATCAAGGGATTGCGTAGGCATTACGCATGTAGGCATCCGCATCACGCAGCTATCAAGCCACAAGATGTGGTCAAGAAACAGACTTTAGCGTTATCGTAGCTAAGTTCAATTTGAATATCAATATCATGTATCCAGTTCCAGCACAGAGGTTGATAGTGACAGAATCTTGGTTATTTTTGCGCAAATAACAGGTATGTTAGATCAACAAACAAGAATCAATCCAAGTTGTAGTTTCCAGTAATTCCAAGCTGCATCAAATTTATATGTATGAAAAAGACGAGGACAATTCTTTCCATTCGGTTGTACTTGTATGATCGCAATGTCTTCGTCGTGTTGTACTTACACGAGAAATGGTTGGGGAGTAATCTGCAGTAGGTTCAGCGGTCCATCGCTTTTTTTCCCGTATATTTATAATATATGTAATTTCCATTTTTTATTGACGAGTATTGACAGAACCAGAAGCTATTTAGAAATACTACCGAACAGGCTGCTGCAGTGCATTTGTATCTATTTTATGTAAAAATTGTGGATGACTCAGCACTAATGTCTATCTCCCTGGAGCCAGTTGCGCTTGCGGCTTTGTTGCACATCGTTCTGTACAGCACTCAACAGCTAGCATCCAGTTCAAATTTTCTTTTCCTTTAGACCCGTAAATCCTTGTTTTCTTTAGAAATATTTTCTTTATATGGTTGCTGACGGTCTAGAAGGAGAAGGGGTCTCCATGGCACACATCAATTTTGCATCGAAGGTGATGGCCATGGCGTAAAGACTGACAGGAAGTCAAGTGGTCTAAGTCGGCGCCAAGGACACACGTTCGCGTCGTGCGTTGTTCTACGTCTAGCCCCTGCGTGCATCGCCGAGCGGTTTACCCATTAACAATTTCCGGTTTGCCTCTTCTACTCCTCATCGGAGGATCACAGGTCTTGGTAATGGTATTGATGTCTGAGTTGCAATTTCTTTTCCTCTTTAGTAAAAACAAAGAAGAAACACAGTATGAAACAGAATACGAATAGAGCCTATGAATCAAAAGCGGTGTTGTCGTCACGGTGACACTACAGCAGATTTTCATCTATCGTCGGTGATGATGTGGTCTTCAAAAGATGAAATGTGTTCGCAGACGCAGTAGCTTGTTGTTGCGCGCAAAGGCAAACGACGGACGCTAAATGCACCACATCAGTGGATGCCAATGGCACTCTACGACTAAGGCAACCCATCGATCAATATCAGAACGACCACAAATCAATCTTAATGAGAATAACGATATAATTTTTACGTATTGTTCCTGTTCGTTCCACCAAGAAGATGAAGTGACAATGAGACCCTGAGAAGACGATCCCGCTGTGAAAAACGTGCGACACTACCTCCTGCATCAAGCAAGTCTGTCCATTAACTCTGATGTCGTTGGGACAAATTCAAATGTTGACCCTTTTCAGTGTTTTATGGTGTGTGCTACAGGGGATCCACAGGGTAAAAGAGACCACAGGCAAATGAATGGGAATTCTCGTGGTCGACATCGTCCTCCTATGGATAAAGCTTGATTGATGGGCTGTTGAGATGGGGTCGGGATGAAATGTCACGACTATGTGCGTGATATGATGATGCAGATATAATCACTTTCGTCTACTTTAGGTGATGTAAGGACTGGCAGGGAGATCATGAAGATTGTAGTTGCTGTATCTTATAGTCAAAATCAAATTTCAAATACAATCTTTCTGATGCGGACATGAGATTACTTGTTACGTAAGCTTATCGTGGTTCTTTTTCGTGTATAAGATTAAAAATGAATGTTGGTAGGATTGGTCCAGCATTCATTTTGCTATCATCAACGTTAACCGACGCCGACTGATCGATCCTTGATTTTGGATGAGTAATATTATGGTTTTTGACTTAGCTGCTGCTGGTCTTGCTCTTGCTAGGTAAAGACTCAATAATCATGGACTAACAAGTAGATGATAAAAAATTCTCCAGAAATACCTAAGAATCTGATGATGTACTTCTGCACATGCACAGAATGAGTTTGATTATTCAACAACACCAACGTATTGGAGCAACAGGCGCATTAGTCACACTCTTCTTAAGGATGATGCATGTTTTGCTTCAGCCTAGACCTAGTACTGACTGATAGAGATTTAAGAAATCATTTTCTTTTTCCTCAATACAGGATCAACAGGGAAGATGGCCATATGTAGTTGTATGTCAGAGGGGCTTTAGCGCATAGTAGTTCTGATGATAATTATTGTTGTGTCAATTTAAATGATTACAGCAACATCTATCATTCCTCGTGTGGTGTAAATAAGCAGTGGAAATTGAACAATACTCGACGGCAATATCGTCTGTGAGCTTTGATGAAAACTACTACAACTAAGTATGTGAAGCGACCACCGAACGATCCGCGCCACATGGCCTCGTAAGGTTACGTTTGAATCCTACTTCCTACGACACCCGGAAGCTGACCATGGCTGAGCAACATGATGGCGGTCTTGTAGCGGCAGATTGATGCACCTGCGGCTCTGGTTCCTCTTCGTCCCACAAGATGACGGATTACCATTACTGCGCGACAGGACGAAAGCTAGTGAGCACGACGAAAAGCAGGAGCGGTACGAGTACGTCGTTTGATTTCCGACCGTATTAAGATCCTCCACGACCCAAGAGAGTGACAAAACGGACCAGCACAGGAGCAGCAACACCAACGACGGGAAGCAGTTTTGTTGCATCAGTGAAAAACGGGTTTATTCGCAGGTAGACGGAGAGCGCCTCTTTCTCTTTGCCTTCCTTCGCAGACGAGATCATAGGGACAATTCATTACGAACATTTTTAGTGAGACTTCGCCACGGCTAACTAACATCAATCATGACCGGGTGGAACGAGAACAGCCACTGGGACGCAAACTGGCAAGAAGACGACGGAGACTGGAATGGAGATGGTGAGGGCTATGGGGAGGAGGAGGACAACGATTATGGGGGCGAAGACCAAAATGGATATAGCGTTTACAACGACGACGAGGAGTGGGGCGAAGGCGATGATGGCGGTGCTGGACAATGGAACGGAAGAGAAGCGGAAGAGAAAAACGAAGACGAACCAACGCCATGGTGGGAGGCTGTAGGTACATCTTCGAGGCAAGCTAGTGGCGGCGTCATTGTTGGTAGCGGCAAAGCGACATCATCCTCCTCAAAACACCCTTCTCCATGGGGAAATAGTAAAGGCAGATCTGCCAGCGACTACAATGATCAGCAGTACAAGACCAAAAATTCTGGATTTTTTGGAGGTGGTAAGAATCAATCACGCTTTCCCGGCGGAGGATACAATAAGACACTTGTCTTCAACAACAATGGCAAAAGTAGCAGCAGCGGTGCTCCTGGAAAAAATGGACCAGCATCTCCACCAGATGGATCAAAGGGCAAAGGCCAGAACGTGGTATGGGTTAATCCAGCTCTTACGCAAAAACCACCGGGCGAAACAGAGCGCAAAAAAGCAGATCTGAGAGCACGCCTGGAAGCGGCAAAGGAAAAAAGAGCGGCTGCTCTAGTGGCCGCTTCTGCAACGACAACCGCCATGGCACCACCAGCCGTCATACGTCGTCCAGCTCCAACATCATCAGCAACACCAAATGGCGCAGCAGGTAACGGAGCATCGCCTTTTGCTGGAGGCGCCTCAGCTGGTAGTACGAGGAACAGAAATGGCGCTGGCCTTCCTGCAACGACGCGTCCTCCCATTAGTATGACTACACTTCCAGCAACTGGGCAACGCGGTCTGCTTTCCCCAGCATTGCTTGTCCGGAAACGGGCTGAGTTACCTCATGAAGGTCCAGGAGAGCAGTGGGCGCCGACGGCACCCGACTTCGTGGAGGAGATGTCGAAAATCGGACTTCTTGAGCGCATGTGCTCAGAGTCTGAAATCGCCTTACGACAATCAACCAAGCAACTGAGCAAAGTTGAGATGCATCCTACACACTGCGTCGACAGGTTCGATCCCGTACCGGATCCCACGTTGTGCGTGAAACAGTACCAGCGGTCAGCGGCGGAGAGGACCTACGAAGCGGAGGACTTGAGGACCTTCGCTGCTTTGGGGAAATCCGCAAGACATCTATGGGAAAACGTACTAGACCAGGACGCGAACCCGAATCCACGATTGTTTAGCAGTTTTGCACAGGGCATGCGCAGCTTGGAGATCTACGGTTTCCTCAGAAATCGTTGCAGAGGCATACGTGTAGATTTTCAGACGCAGCAGCCGCTGGTACAGCCACATCTACATCTATTTGCATCCTCTGATCATGATTATCATGATCATCATACTTGTGAAACTGAATTTCCATTTTGGTCTCATGCAGGTGCAGGTCGAAAGTGCTTCCTTCGTGTTGTTTTCAATACACCAAAAATGATCATGATGTTCGTGAAAAAGAATAATTTTCTCTACAAACGATATCACAGTCGTTTTACCAACCGGTGTCGCTGATATTTCACGAGCAAAACTTGCGGTCGGAACTTTTCTTCCTGATGCTGCTACACAACGAGGACGCGAAGATAGGAGAAGCGGATCTAGGACCTTTTCTGGAGTCCGTGTCTCAGTGTGCGGACCCACTGACTCAGATCTACTCCAAGTGGCTGGAGGAAAGCGAAGGGCGCCTGGCGAGGAGCTCGATGCCATTCATGACCCGACTCATGATATGCTGGCTCTGTTGGAATCCATCGAAGGTAGGATTGCTTTTTTTAAGATCTTTTTCTGGTCATTATAGTGCTATTTGGTATTAGATGAAATGCAAAGGGGATGATGAATGCGAATGAAACTTGTTCTGCGACAAAAATATTCGACCAAAACCAACGCCAGGACCATAATGAGAAGAGATAGAGATACCCTGGAAAAATCAAGAATTGTCAGGTCTGCGAATATGAGCAGAAGCTGGATGAGGCGTTGTTGGATCATCCTCTGGTAAAGTGGGCTATGCACGCTTGCGCAGCCTTTGCAGCCCGTGACTTCGCTCGCTTTCTTTCTGAGTTTTACGCTCGTGCTGATCTTCTGACTGCCATTGCGCTGAGTCAGCCGGCCAACTACGCTCGAATGATGGTGCTTATGCACAGACTGCGTTCCTTCGGCAAGAAAATTCAGGAATACTCGCCTTTGGAGACATGGATGCAACTCCTAGTGCTGCCTTCGCGCTCAAGTTGTGTCTTTTTTCTCGAATTTTTCGGAATTCCCGTAGTAGACTGCGCGGATGCCACCGCACTGGCAGGGTGCTTTCCGACGGCTACTTGGTTCCCGGCTGAGGACCACCCCAGTCTCTCTGGTTCTGCAAGTAGCCAAAATACAAGCGGTTGTCTTGTGTGGCCGCGACGTGTGGAATACGAGGTCGAAAGGCACCAGAACGAGCACTATTCGGGTGCAGATCGCAATGCATGGGAGTGTTTGGAATACGGCAGTGTGAGCACTCTAGGTCCGACTGCGAGTGAGGAAGAAAATATGGCGGAAAATTACATGCAGCAGCGTTTTGACAAGCGCTTGGGCCGCTTTCTCAGTCGGCCTAGCTCTGGATTCGCGCCCACGCAAGGCATGTGGAAGAACGAAGTTTGCTATCCTCCCAGGCGGGACGCACACGTCTGGTCGCTCTTTGCTGAGGCACAAAGGCAAGGAATTACGCGACGAGGCATCATCATGGGAGCTTTAGACGCCGAAGCTGATTTGACAACATTGGATGAGCAAACAGCTGCCACCACTGCAAGAACATCAACCTTGCAGCGAGTACCGAGTGAAAGAAACAGTGTAGCGTCAACTCCACATCAACAATTTTCTTTAGGAGAAGCGATTTTATCGCGTGCGCCAAGTGTCCGGTCTTCTTCTCCACACATGGCTCCTTCTGGAGTTGGCACGCCGCGCTCTGTTATCTTAGAAGCAGGCGGAGTCGTCCCTGGCAGTGCGGTGCTGGCACCCTTGTCGCGCGTTGGGTCCACGGTTGGTAGTGTCAGGGCTGGCAGCGTTGCTGGGAGTGTCAGGGGCGAGGATATCTACGACGAAGACGGAGACGACCCCTCCGGTCGCATGAAGGGAGCAGATGACGCGCAGAGCATTCCCAGTGCCAGTGAGCCTTCTGATGAAAGTCCAAAGCAACCGCCACAGCCATCCCCCTTTCGGTTTCCTATCGTGGGAGCAGGCACTGACGCGGCGGCCGCATGTCACGCTGCGGATTCGAAGCCGGTGGCCAACCCCTTTGCGACCATTTTCCACAATGCCACAAAGACGCCTACTTCAGCTGGCAGTATATTTGGAGCTCCTGCTGTAACTGGAACTGGTGCTTTTGGCTTCGGAGCAGCAGGAAGTTCGGCACCGGCACTTTCTTCCAATATATTCGGCCCTGGCGCTGCTAGTGCAACTTCTAACGTGTCTACGTCTGTCTTTCCTGCGGCACCGGCTACAACAGGCAGCAATATTTTTGGTGCTCCCTCGGCGGCTCCCTTTGGAGCACCGGCCGGCGACGCTCCTTCTGTTTTTGGGAGCACTGGTAACCCACAAGGTGGCTTTGGGCCTTCTAATAGCTTCGGAGCGAGTGGCTTTGCACCACTATTGCAGGACCCGCGCAGTATGGGACAACAACAGCAACAAGGCATGTTCGGAGAACCAAATTCCACTTCTCTTTTGAACACTTACAACCAGCGCGCTGCACCTGCCAGACGCTTTGTGGATCTTCCCGAATACGCACAGCAGAGATTGGTGGAAATGGCGGCAAAGAACTTCTTGGAACGCAAAAGGGAGGCCTTCGGTGCCTGGAAAAGTTACCTCGTGGAGAAACGCGCACGTGAAGCGACACGAGAACACCAGCGGTTCCATGGTTTGAAGCTACTTCTTCCGGGGAGCGGTACGCGCACTATATCTGCCGCCCAGAGAGCCAGAATTAATCAGAGAATGATACGCAGTACGCGTGCTCACTACGCAGACCTCCAAGGGTCTGGAGGGGTGCTTGTGCAACATCTCGGACGTCGCCGTAACGAGCAGCCACCGCAGCTACCGGAAACTACGCGCGCTATCGGTGTAATCGGAAACCTGTTATTGCGGAACCAGCAACTAGCATTTGAACGGGCGCAGGAATTTGTGCGGAGCGGCACACTGGGCTATTGTCTCGACACGTTTGCATCCTATGACAAGAGTCGTCTGGCTGCGAACTACAGAAGAGGGCACCAACATCCTAGTGTCACGCCATCTTCCGGCGTTTCACCTGCGGGTTCACCGGCTGCCATCGAAGACGGCCGCCAAAATGAAACACCATACCCGACACCCTACGGGGCAGCTCCGCGGCCATGGGATGCACTGACTCCACTTGGAACTAGAAATATCGTTGCAGCAAGTAGACTTGATAACAACTACAATCAAGGGGGAATGGGGACGAGTAACAAGTTCGGGCTAGCAGGGGTAGCACTAGACGGGCCACCAACACCAACTAGTCTTCAACTTCCTTCCTCGGCCTTCGACGTCCCATTGCCTCCGGCTGTAGCCCAACAGGTAACGCACCGCCGATTTCTGATTTGCATCCCCAACGACGCAGAGAACTACGTAATAGGCAATAGTCTGCGGGCTGCGCTAGTGGATGCGGGTAACATGGATCCCTTCGCTGGAGGTGACAACGTGTCGGAAGTTCTTTCAGTGCCAGTATCAAACGCACTGGATCACGGTATGGATCAGGCTACTTTTGACGGTCTCCACAGTACTGGTGGGGGCAGGTCACCCGGAGAGACGGAGCAGGACTCCAGCATTCAGTACGTGGCGCAGACCTTTTTCAGGACCGCGAAGATGAACCGGCGAGCGAGCGCGGTATTTTTGCGTCGAAAGCGCGAGAACACAGTAGCGCAGCAGGACTACAGCAGAAGTACGGGATTGCTCAGACGAAGTAGCACGGTTGGAGACGGGAGTGGAACAGGATCACCTGCAGTCGTCGGCAAAAGCGACGTCATCGGCTACGTGATCCCTGAAGCCTTGGATCCAGCACAGCTGCTGCTTGTGGAAACACTGCCACCGCTACCTATCGCTGTTTGCAGGCAGTTAGCAGACTTGGTGAACGCAACAGAAGCTAAAGCTTTGAAAATTTTCTACGTTTTGGCCAGTGAGAACGTCCCAGACCTGATCCAAAACGATTACTTGGACAGCGACTACGACGACTTTCAAATGCGCAATAGCTCAGCAACTGCAGCAGACGGCAATACCAACAGGACCTCGACAATGGCGGCGGGAGGTGCATTTTCATTCAACTATGGAGGACCAGGCACTACTCATCATGACATTTTTGACGGGGCAACATCACTGGAGCACAATGAGCGAATCGTGAAATTGATTAATTATCGTCTCCGCGTGAGCGTCCTGACTGGATTACAAGCGGTGGTTCGTGAGTGGGATAGCAATCGCGGTTTCGATCATATGACAGATTTGTGGGGCGGTGAATCAGCACAAGAAGGTACAGCTTTCTCGTGGGAAGACGACGTGTATAACACAGCTGGAGGTGCGTCACCAGCCTTATCGGCACAACTAGGCGCACCTGAGGCAGGCGCGAGAAAGCAGGGCGGAGGCACTCGAACACCGCTTGACAGACTTCTAGCCGCTGCTGCCTCAACAGGAAGCAACGACCGAAGTGGCAGTGCTAAAACAACTAGCGCACGTGCAGTTTCTGGAGCAGGGGGGACGGCGATTGATCCGAATCTTCAAGATGCTAGCAGCATGGCCCTAGATGTAGGCTGCTGTGGAATTTTAGAACCTGGACACAGCCAGGCTAACATTGCAGCTGAAGCGATCAGCGATTGCGTTTTCGGAAGGAACGAGTTCTATCAAATCAAGACGAGCACGGCTACTGCTACTAGTAGTAACGTTGAAAATGCTGGTGCTCGTGGTGACCGATCCGCTGCGCAAGTCCAACTGATGGAGCAAAGACGTCTGCTTTTCTCGGTTGCACCCGAACTAAGAGAGGTTCCTTTGCGCTGGTGGGTCATTCAGCGGTTCCAAGAGGTGTTTTTTCATAGCCTACCGACTTCAAATCTGACGCACGACCTTTCAGGTCGCTTGTTCTTCCCGTACGACCAGGGCTACGTCAAGCGCGCGTGGCATCAAGCTTTGCAGCAGATCTGGCTTGACACGGAAAGGATGGCACGGAATCAGCAGAGTGCCCCATTCGAATTCGGGAGAGACGAAACGTACCCTGCGGTACTGCGCAACCTACCGATCGTGTTCGGGCATAAAGCCATTCTCCGCTTGTTCGACCATGCTCTGGTGCCGACGGCGGAATTAGCACCAGCCGAGGGCGCGCCACAAGACCTCACAGATTTCCTCTTGGCGGAGCGTGAGCCACTACTTGGCGCAAGCAGAGACGAACAGGGAGTACACCTTGCTGGCCGTGTGAGCAAAGCAGGTGCATCTGCATCTGTGTTTGATCTCCAACATGGTAGACATGAATTTCTTCATGTGAATCCAGCAGCAACGCAAGGGACGTCCTCAAGAAGCGGAAGTAAACAGCTTAGCACGACGCCAGGTCAATCAAGAATAGCTGGAACGCCAGGAGGACTAGCGGCTCCTTCTCCTGCCGCGCCAGGAATGGGATTTTTGAAGCAACCGCCCAGTGTCACTTTCGGCTTCCAGGATTCGCAGTCAATTCTGCCCTCAGGGCATGAGCAAAGGGTTGTTGCAACTGGCAGGACAGCAGGTGGGAGACTGGGTTCAACAAAACCAGGAGCAGGAGGGCTTTCTTCTACGAGTAATAATCATACACGACCGCTTCAAGATCAAGACGGACGAATGCTGCCTTTAGAACAGCAGCACAACACAACCACAACAGTAGCAAGTGTAGGAACGAGACACGACTTGGCAGAGAGTCTTTTGCTTCCTACGTTTCTCGATCCCACCAGAGGCGCGCAACCGCAGCCTCCACAAGATCATTTTGGAAGAGAGTCCCACCAACGCGGAGTCCTTGCACAGCAACTGCAGGATCACGGTAGCGGTGTCCATCCTGGATTTTCTTCGTCTGCCGCTGGAGGCGGTGTAAAGCGTAGTCGACCAGAATGGAGCGCTGACTTTCGGGATCCTCACAGTTCTCCCGAATCCTGGTGGAACTTAGCGCTGCGGCAGATCGAACGCCGAATCCCGTTGTCGCATACGATCTCGTTTTGTGAAGACCATTCAATTCAGCCGAAATTTTGGGACCGCAATGCGATGTATCGGCATTCGGCACCCCGCCACGACTGGCTCACGGGCCGAAAAACCGACCCGGAACAACGTGCGGCCACGGCAAGCGTTCACGCGTTGCTAGAGCAGATTGACCGAGACATGGACGCACTTGCGAGGAAAAGGGCGGCTAGGAAGAAATGATGAAAGTGTCTACCACCACGCTCTAGCAAGGAGTGGGTGAGCGAACATACCATACGTCAACTTTGACTTCCACTCTGTTGCCGTTGCGTTTTCTGCTGACAACTTTCGGTTCTTGTTCGGCAGGCGCTCGCTCAAAGCAGCTTTCTCGATCAGAATGAATGCAATGCATGTTGCTGTGCGCTCAACAACACTTCCCTTTCTTCATCTTCAACTATGACTTTCGTGCACAAAGCACATCATCACAACCTCCTCCAAAGATAGAATTTCATTTTGAGCGGCTTGGCCGAAAATGGACCCAACAAAACCAATTTAAAGTCGCTCTTTTGAAGCCACACCCCGATCTTCCACGATGCGACTGCAAGTGCTATCTGAAGCTCAACTCACCAGGACCATCGTGGTGAACACGGCTGAGAGCCTGACCATGCAATGGAGAATTTAGTCGGTCTCGTGGTCCTGTTCATCATCTGAGAAGGAGCGTCGTGGTCCTCACGCGTGGTGCTGCTTGAACGCGTTGTCTCTTCTGTGTGGTGGTTCCGACAGAGGGCGGCACTTCAAAGTCTGGCGTCTCGATGCTGTTGAAAGATCGGCGAGCGCAGATGAGGCGACTAGCACATGCGCTACAGTTCTGCTTCTGGTGTGGTAATGATGATGATCACAACAGCACACTCACTTTTAAAAGGCTTGATGCTTCGTACTGAATTTTCCTTTGCTCCGGATTGAATTAGAAGAGCAAGAGAGTCAGTGAGAGTCTTTCTGTACTAGTTTTGTATTTTTGGGGACGTGATCACTCAGAAGTCCTTCAGCTTCATCAACATAAAGTTGTTGTAGTTGTCATCTTGGGGACCCAGATTGTTTTGATGCTTGTCCAGAAATCTAAATCATCGGTCCGAGTCCGAATTCTGTGCGATGAAGCAACATCGGAAACATCGGTGCGAAAGCTCTGTGTACTGTACTTGGCGTAATAAGCATCAATCTCGGACGCGCGTGGTACATTTACCATCGGTCGTCATCCAATTTCAGGATCTTCGTATGTATCTGTTGACGCGATCAAGCGTAAGTAATCGGTCCTCTCGTGCTTTCAAGGTAGAGTTATGTTGGTGCTTGATGATCTTGATCCAAATAAAATCGGTGAATATTAACAAGATGCTATTATTGGAAGTGATAGTGATGTCAAGTATGATGTATAGCAAGAATACTAAGGTGGCGGGAGTCGCGTGAGAACTAAGTAAGTACGATGATATCACGTTCTCACAACACACTCATTGTGATTGGTGAACAGATTTAGATGTAGACGTCTTCTTGGAACGAATACACATTTGTGTACAATAGAGATTGATGCATGTTGTAGTTAATCACATTATGATGAATGAGAAGTTTCTGCTTGTTTTTGTCTACTTATTTCGTAATTGCGCTGGCGCTACGCAAACACAGCATGCAAAGAGAAGAACGATCAGCATCAATACAGTTCAAACCACACCGGTCACGACCTTCTTGATGTTGCAAAGAGATCCAATCGTTTTTGAAAGGCTAACCCATTCCAGTTCAAAAAGAAATGCATTAATGTAAACAATCTCGTCCGCTTGAAGACAACGATCGTAAGCGGTGCTCAACTGTTACCTTCGACTTTGACTGTAAGGTCACAGTCACTTGTGTTCAAGTGGGATATCGTCTCAAAAAACTAGCGGAACTCCACTCAGGAAATGAAAACTTCTGAGAGCACAGTAAAAACGGAAAAAATATAGAAGGGAGCTTTTGGCACGCCAGAAGCAGCACTAGAACCGTAGGAAAAGAAGTACAGTTGAGAAAGGAGAGACTGGAGCGATTGGTTGAAAGAAGAGAAAACGATTTGAGTTAGATGTGTGAACCAACGAGTTTTTGAATTAACTTTCCAAATCCAAAGTAGATGCTTGGAGGAATCATGGAGCAAGTTACTTGACATCACCGCAAGACACAACATCTCATTGGGAGAGTTTTCCTCTGATTACGATCATTCAATTTATTCAACATGCTCATGCGCTTTCCAATAAAATAGCACGATCTACGCAGGGGCAAGAGGAAAAGACCCGAAGCCAGCAAGATGGCTCCCGCGCTGATCGACAGCAAGTATGTAGGGTATGACATCCTATGTTAAGGCTCGATGCAACAATTCATCTCATCCAGTGGTCAACATTTTCTTCGGTTTCCTTCTTAGGATTCTGAAGAAATGAAGGCAAGAAAAAAATTGTTTTGTTGAGCTCTAACTATGGACGGGTCTTGGGGTCACTTTGGGCGGAATCGTTCTTCTTCTGATCATAGTTTGGATCATACACGCAGCCAAGCTGTACAAACTTTTGCCGGGATGGGGACCAATCGTTCGATTTGACGCGGATACATCCGACGAACTACGATACAGGCAGGAAGTTTTCAAGCACAGTCGAGAGCAGGCTGGATTCGAACGGGTAGCGCGTTGTTGATTTTGAACTTAGTCAGATCTTAACACGTATCTATTTGTTCTGAGGATTGAGTACTATGTATCTATAGTATGGTAATGCTATCGCTTGTATCGCAGTAAGGGTCAACGCTTTTCAAATTTTACAGCCTGCGGAAGGGGTCTGGCGAAAGCAGCCTGGCGAGTATATACAACATCCCGTGTACGGAACCGTGAGGATACATCCGAATCAACAGGCTCTCTACGCAGAGCGCGCCAGCGATCCTTATGCGCCACGAGACGAGCAGCACGATGGAGGGCGCCACGCAGCAGTAAAATGTCATGCAAGCAATATGGAGTTTCGCGTCATTTGAGTAATCCATCTGCAATGTCGATATCCGGTAGCGGTAGAAACCTGAGTACTCAAACGAAGCACTAATACAGGAGGATAAGGCTATTTTTATGCTGAAGTGAAATTCATCGGTGGACGTCATGTTGCACGCGGTTCATATAGTGTCCATGCTTATGGTGTTTTGATCTATAGGCTGGGAGCGCACGTGCCTGAGCGTTGGATCACACAATCTCCATGGTTTTCCTGTCTACTTTTTTCCATGATTATGTCCCGTTGGCTGTTGAGACGTGGAACCTACTAAAAAAAGAGCTCCGACGAGGATGAAACGCCACAAGTGGATCCTTGCTGTGTGATATTCGTACATCATACGAAGCGTAGAATTTTACTTGATGAACTCTTTTTGAAGTGCAAAGCCTTGATCTGCTTTTGCCGCATATCGAGAGGCCTTCTAGACGGTCACTTCTGGTTCAGTTGCTGCTGCTTCACTGCGCAAATGAAATCATGACTACGCGTCGCTAGGATTCATTTTAGAACAGGTCCTCTTTGTTCTTTAGTCATCATCGTTAGCCTTATCCTTTTACATCGGATAAACATTTGTTTCAGCACAAGAACAAGCGCATTATAGCGATCACATCAATGCGTTCCTGCTCGTTGGGCTTTGTGTTTGCACATCTCGGGTTTCCTCTGGCAGAAGGAGCAGCGAGTTCGTCGTCGTCATCTTTGGATCGCAGCGAGTTCGTCGTCACTATCCCATGGGAGCAAAATCATGATTCGGATTCTCTACGGTTTAGGAGGCACAGCGCTGATTCCTTGTACCTCGCGCAAAAGACTCCACTTACGAAAGTGAAATCCGAGTGGCTTTCTTACCGGCGCTGGCCGGTGGTGCTAGCAGAAGCGGCAAATGGCGCGTTTTTCCAATGAATTTTATTAATACCACAGACCGACGATTTCAACAAAATCAATGAGCAGTCTGTGCTTGTTAAAATCAATAAGCTGTCACGATCGGCTGCACGAAACGACTCCATACCTGTGCAAGAGAGGACTCAACACCGTACAAAGCCAAAGCAGAAGGAAGATGATAAACATGTTGTGACGTAACAATAATTCACAAGAACAACATATCAAATACTTATGTATGTGATGATGCCATATCGAGGTGCACCATGTTGTCGGTCGCTACCTTTGACTACAGGAGGACGGTGTTCGTCTCAATCTAGGACACGATATTCGTCAGTTTGAAGGATCCATCTTGATCTTCGAGTTCTGAGTGGAAAGCCATGATTGAACATGGTAGTACGTCGACGTTCAACAGCGATTCTTGACAGTCGTGTCACTGTTTCTTCCTGTAATGTTCCACAGTACGCAAAGTAGGACTCAGGTGCATGCTGGTTTCAAACATGATGAACAATTGGTTGCCACCCTATGGCCTGATCGGACGGTCCACAAGGAAGGTCATCAAAGTCGACGTTGATATTTATGCCACTCTATGCACCACTACGCAGGTGACCTGCAGTAGAATTTTCGGGCATTCATTCTGATGTCCTCGTGGGCGACGTAGTATTTCAAGTTACAATATGGATAAGAGATAGAGAAGCATCAATATTTATAAATAAGTACCTGCTAAAAAGTAAGTAGTTCCTCAGGTTTTCGTTTTAAAAATATTGCGTGGGTTTACTCGCTGTATATAAAAGTATGCTCATCCTTCTTTCAGCGACTTGCTGATGTTGCGAATGAACCAGCAGGAGAAGGAATGTACTTAGATCGTACTAAATTTTTGAAGTTTAGGGAACTTGTTGTTCGTGTCTGTTGGTATCTAAATTTTTAGTTTTTGTTCGATTTAGAGCAAGAGTTTTTTAACGAGTTCCTTCTTGTTCTTTCGTTTCTTTTGAACTTTGTTTTCGCCAGATTGAGTAGTTTCACTTTGTACTTCTCTAACCTCAGCAACGGCAGCACTTAACAGATAATTATTCCGTCAGCATCTGGCTACTGCTACTTGTATCTGCTTATTCTATGTATTAGGGTGTGGGGTGTCTTGTCGTATAGTTAACATTAACAAATATAAATTGACTGGTGAAACCAGAAACAGAAACAGTGCCCAGTACGAAGCGCTGATACGACGCAGTGTCGTGATGCTTCCGATCCTGTTTCACGTCGTCTGATTTCACCGTATTATCGTTAGGAGTAAGTTGTATTGGAAACCAAAAACTTTCTACGAACTTTTTCTGAATTGAATCCTATACATTGCTGAGGTCACTCACCAGATTTCATCGTCGCACTACTCCTACTCCTCTTTAATTAAGTGAACAGAATTAACATACCGCTTTCTTTGCGTCTAGAAGTGATGATGGTGTGTGGCTAGTATCCAGCACAAGCCTCAGGTTCTTGGGTATATCACGATCATCGTCATCGAAGTTGTGATGGTGTTCTATCGTGTCTAGTTGGGCAGTACCTCTTCCTTAGCCGCGGTACCGATTTTTAGAGGGGCAAGATAGTGTTTGGGATCTCTTCAGTAATCGTAGTTTTTCTCTAATATCATATGTAGGATCAACATCAAGTTCGTGGTAATTGGATTTCGGATATTAGCAGATCTTCTTTCATGTAGCGTAGTGAAGCTATCTAAGTAATTATTGTTCTACGTACCGTCATTCGATATCCTCATTGTTCCACATGATATCCGCCTAAGATCCATAGTACCTCTTCCGAACAAAATATATATCGAGGCCCTTGGTCTAAAACTGATCGTCAAGAATAGAATCGTAGTTAAAAAGATGTCCTCGCTTTTCGCAGATCTGCTGGGCGGCTTGTCAGATCCAATACTGACTTCAAGTTCAACCGACAATCATAATACGAGCCTCGATGACCTGTTCTTCGGTCCATCCACTGTCAATGGGGGAGTGGGAACTCGAAAATCGTGCTTCAGCGAAGATGCGACTGCTAGTGCTGCTGATCGAACGATCGAGGAGATGCTTTGCAGTACGCGGCCACCCAGCGGCGACAATTGCGAGGACATGTTGAATCTCTTGACAGCTGGCCTTGATGTTGGTTCGACGATGAAGATGAGCTACGAGAATGGTATAGTCGATAAGCGCGGTCGTGCAGATCTTGATATTCTTGGTTTGAGAAATACTCGATCGACGACGTCTTTGTCTACAGCGACGACAGCGGGTTCGCTTGCGGATATCGGTCTTAACTTTTCTCGTTCGTCACCGACTGGTGGAAGTAGCACGGTCCTGGTGCCCAATGAAAACGAATCGTCGTCAATGACGATGAAAGACTACCTGGATGAAATTCTTAACGTCAGCGCCCCGGCGATACAACAAGCGCCAGGGGTAAGATCTTCCTTTCTAGAAAACCTCACCAGCCGCGGAAGCGGTTCTACGTCAGCACAACCAGAAGCAGAGGAGGAAGAAGATTTTTTGACGCATATGGCTAAGCTTAGCGGAAAAAGTATGAGCTCCTCTTCCTTCCCTCCGTTGCTCGACGAAGCTAATAAGAGTGCTAAAGTGAAGATCATGGGAACTGGGAACCGTCTCCGTCCTGCTGGATCCGGTGGCGTCGACCTTCTAGATTTCGTTGGTGGCTGTTTGAAGAAACCCGATCACAGGCAAATTCAATACCCCTACCAGCCGTCTAGTACAAATACAGCTGCTGTTGCTGTTCCGCCTCCACCCGCTCGGGCGGGACTATCTGTCCGGCTGAGCAGTCCGAACATGGGGCCAACGCAAACGACAACTATGATGGACGAGTATCTGTATAGCAGGAGCGCGAGGACATCATCAAAAAGTCAATTTTCAGATCCATCGTGGCCAAGTGATGAACACTTCTTAAGTGATTTATATGCGTCAACATTTAGCTCCATCGATCGTTATGCGGATAATCTCAGGAAGAACAAATTGTCGAGCTTGGGCAGTGCCGGTTTGGGCACCAGGACTCAAAGTACCTCTCCAGTTCAGGGTTATTCCGCAGACTCGTCGAAGACACTGGAAAAAGAGCGGTCGTCCACAGGAGTCCTGAGTATACCGAGAAATAATTCCGTAAAAACCGTGCCCACTCCACCCGTGCTTAAGGCCTGCTTACTACAGAATTGCAATGTAGTTGACAATTATCATCTTGCGACTTCTGCATACTTTTACTTACGTTTATTTAGATTTAAAGGAAAGTTAATTGAAGATGAGCTTGCTTACCTGTGTCTACTCTCTTGTTTGAATTCTTGGACCAAAAAAATGGCCTCCTCCGGTATGCTGCAGCTGAATGTGGATTACTAGAATAGTTCATCTCACTCTATACATTTAGTCGTAATAAATGACCAGAAACTGAGAAACAAATAAATATGTCAGATAGGATGGGCCGCGCGTCAAGATTAAATCAAGAGAGCTCTTCTAACTTGGCCCTGGTAGCAAGTGCAAGCGTTATCAGTGGCGATACCGATATGGAGTTGCGTCTTGTAAACGACGGGGGCGAATCTTACGATTTTGCTTTGTGCGAAGTCGGTGGGGGACTACAACCCGTAGAACTCGGAACGGAGAAAGACATTCTCATCTGCCCAAAGGGCCTGGAGGAGATGGACACTGTGGATGCGTCCACGTCTACGGGAGAAGGCGATGCGGCAGATAGCAGGACTACGGATAGGAAGTACTCAGCTTCCTCTTTTTTTGCCTCAGGATCGATTTTTGATTTTCGGTGAGAGAGTGCTCCTGTGTGATAATACAACAGAGGACTCCTTGCTTTGTATTTGTAAAGTAGCAATGGATTATGAGTGTGGAGGTCGTGAAGTACAAACAAGTTCTACTGCGGATGGTGCATTTTCCATACTAGTACTTGTCGCTGATCGATGATGAGTCAATACTTTTTTTTAATCGTGGTTACAGGTCCACTACACTTGGTTCCACGGGTTCAAATGCTCGAAAGCTGACAGAAGCAGAAGACACGAACGGCGACTCAGCGGCACCTAACTGCGATGAAGATGAAGAGAAGACACCTGCAGCAGAAGGGCACGGGACAACGAAGTCTGCCACGACAGCATCCACAACGCCAGCGGCCTCAAAGTCAGTCGTGTTAATTGATGTAACAACGCCTTCCACAAATCACGATCTCAATGATTCACTTTGTTCGATTATCAGTCCGGTAAAGGAAGTTGGCGCGTCGCTGGTCTCAGAGGTTGACGGGAAGCAGGATTGTACTAGCACATCAGAACAACAAAAACCGATAGAAGTGTTGTTGGAAGAAACAAATTTATTATTCGGGGGAGAGCCCGAAGGAAATTCCACAGTACTGGGTGGCGGTGTGCTGGCGGATACTGAAAACTTGGAACAACCGGATGTCTCATTTGGTAAAAAGAATGACGCGGCAAATCTTGCTAATAGCGACCATGCCCACACAGTATTCGAAGCTGAAGTTGGAGATACGAAAAACAATTTTGATTCCAGAAGCACCAATAGCGGCGACTCCAATGCTTCTTCTGTACCTTCACTTGGCCCCGAAGCTGAGGCAGAGCCTTCAGGTGGTCATACAAAGTGTGAAGAAATAGATGATATGCAGCACACCACTACGGACGTAAACCTAAACGTAATCATGGTAACGGACGAAGAGAAAAATCTAATGCTACCGGAGGGAAAGCGAAAGCAGGGAAAAGTAGAACAAGTCGATGCTTGTGCTTCAATTTCACGTCAAGTTGAGAATCAACAGGAGGAAAGAGTCCGTGGAAGACCGCGACTTCGAGTTGTCGCATCTATGAATGGAGCCCTCCGATTCGAAAGCACTATTCAGAAGCCAGAAGCGCATGCCGAGGTGACGGACCACCAAATCTTCACGGCGCAGAGTGTTCTCAAAAAGAAGCAAAGCAGTAAGAAGGCAAACAAGAGGAAGTCCGATCACAAAAAGATCTTCCCACCATGTCGGAAAAACTCATTGAAAAGTACTACTTCTTGTGCTTCACCATATGCTGGATATGGCGCACGAATCGGCCCACCTTCTTCTCTACGCGGTGAAGAAGTTTCTCTAGCCGAAAAGGAACACGGAGACGGACGAGATGAAGTTGATTTAGCGATGTTGATGGAAGGTCAGGGTCCCAACGGAGAAGGAGATCCATTATCTGACTTGAAACGACATCAAGGTATGTCGCCAAGAAAGCAGAGGCAGAGGAGCCGGGGCCACAGCGGATCCCATGGACATGATCACAGACGCAGAGACACGAGAGGTGGAAGAGAAGGAGCAGCCTCAAGCCGCAACCGCTCTTCAGAACGAAGAAGAGGGAACAACAAGCCTTTACGTCTACAGCCGACTTCCTCATCGTCGTGGTTGGACGATTTGATTCGATGTTCGACCGCGCAGCCTGGCGAGATGGAAGCTCTTGCGGGTGAGCGCCTAAACCTTCCTGTTTGCGCGGCCGGTCCAAGAAAGCCGATACCTGACGTTGACAACTGCATTACCGTAATAACTAGAAGCGTGCTGAGGACTCCAGGTCCATCCCAGGTCGAAAAGCGACTAGAGGCTGAAACGGAAACGAATGAGCAGCAACAACGTGGTGATGGAAATGACGAGAAGAAAACTCGTCATGATACTTCTGATAAACATCGAGAAGCAGATGTTGATTCGTCGACCGCCGATCGTGATAACGTTGATACGTCTGCACCCACTTCTTCAAAGACGGCACCGGATGTTGAAAGCTCCGTTCCCGCAACGGCAAGAAAGCCAGATGGAGGTGCATCTCGTGAAACCGAAAAAAACAAAACCGATAAAGCTAAGACTAAGGTCTCAACTACGACCGCAGCTTCATCGAGTAGGAGAATTCAGGAGGAGCAACTCTTGTATGACGCAGCACTGGCGCCAGAAGAGTTCAAGTTGCGTCAGCCGCGTCGCGACGAGCAAAGGCATCGTTCATCGTCACGACCGCGAAGAGGCGGCTATCGTAGAGTCAGATCAGCGGGAAGAGGAAGATATAGAGGAGCACATGGAAGGGATCGTGACTACTACCTTATGGTGAGGAGTAAGTTCTAGTGCTATAATTCTTCTTCTTCATAGATAATTTCCAATACCAACCTATACCAAAATCGAGAACTTATGCCAGTTGGATTCCCGCGAATTCTCTTCGATTTTTGAGGCACAAGTGAAGCGTACATCAAAGTGGTAAGTAGTCGATATAGTTTGTGTTGGTCTAATTTTCGCTATGACAACGACGATTATTCGCATAAGAGAGCAGGTACAGGTAGGAGTGGCGAGCGCGAGTATCGTCGCCGTTATGATGGCGATCATCGCCTAGACGATAGAGATGATACAAATACTGGTTCTTGTCACGCATACTTCCCCGATCTTTTTGCGTCTTCTCAGCAGCAATTGCCATTCGATAGTGTGCGTGGAACTGGCTGTAACAAAAGAAGAAAGGATCATGTTGCTGAAACGCCGCGAAATGCCAACAAGGTTCACGTGAAATTTTCCGACGAAGGACAGGACGCAGTAGCTCACAGACTGCGGGGCGCGCGAGACGAAGGGGAAGGTACAACTATTACTATCTAACAGTAGTACTTTCGTATGTATATTATGTAAGGTCGAGGAAATTAATTCCAATTCGAATTCGTTGCAGCTCAAGCTTCCACTATATAATAAATCGCATTCGTTGATGGTAAGAATGCTTTGGCTCTGGCTCATTCCACCTATTCGCTCAAGAACTGTTTTAAAGACATTTGGGAAAGAATCGGGTAGCAGGGGTACCAACTACAGCGAATCCATTCAATCACACCAGCAGTTGCCACGACGCCTCGCGCGGCCGCGACTGCAATATCGGGAGAATCTCGTAGCTCAGAACGCAATAAGCTATCTGTTGGCGCGAAGTCGGACTATAGTGATTTCACACCTGGCGGCGGACTAAAGGATCCTTTTGCGAAGCTTGATTTAAGCGGCATTCTGTGAACGACCTTTATATCTGAGGCGCGAGGACCACGTGGCGGATCTTCTTTCGCTACGATACACACTTCTCAATCTCCAGCATATGTAAAAATATCTTCCGTTCATGATATATATTCTCAGTCTCAGAAGAACTTGCTCGTAAAACAGGAGATAAAAATTGAAATAGTTTTGTTTGAGTGGTAGTTTTGAAATTATTACCGTGAAAAATTGTACAACCAGTTGATTTCTGTTTCTGATCCACAATTTGACTTTCTTATTCGTAAATTCTTTGGTTTTGGTACCACAATCAATACTACGCATCAAGGTACTTACAACATGAGCTTGGTAAAAATACCCGGTCTCAGTTTCGTTGCCATAGGGGGGACCGATTGCATTCTGTGATTCGGTCATCTCTAACACATATCATAAATGTAAGAAGCATGTTCATTGTCTCAGCACTTGTTTCTCCACATAATTAGGACTTTTTGTGATAAATGAATAGATAGCTAGCAACGGTTTCTTTGTTCGTGGTGATGTTCTTGTGATCTCAAAACTCGCATACATAGAGATAAAGAATCTTTACCTTATGAAAAACCAATCATGTTATTCTGTGTGGATGTTTCTACGCGTTGGCTTTTTCTGTTTCATGATCGTGGTGCGCTTGAAGGGACGGACGGGCTTCTGTTGCCATGCATGAGCACGAGTTATGGTTCTTTCGTTTATCCAGCATTGAAGGAATGATATTGATAGCGGATCCATCAGATTCACACCGGGGTTGATGGAATCGGAACGGCACCAAATGGAGAGATCATACGCCATGCTTCCTGTGCCCTGTCTCTGATTTGTGAACGAACTAAAATGAATACGGCAGTTATACATATTGATTCAGTTGTTTTACGTAGAAGTCCTGAAAATGGCACGAAGGTTAAGATCTAAGATTTTTGAAGGAGTACCTGATTTCTGAGGACAAATACGCTAAAAGTTCGTGAAGAACGCACTTCTATGTGGTAGGACTACATGACTGGCTATCTATATATACATATGAGATAACATCATATATAACAACTTCACCTTCACGCTTATATAATACAGTTTCAAGTAAATAATTGTTTCTGTGGTCTACGTCTACCTAAGACTTATTCAGTTCTTGTTGCTGTGTATGCGAATGAACAAGGTGTTTGGGTGTCGTGGTCTCTTTCTTGGATGAGGTGGTGACGTTTGACATTTGATTGTCCTTCTTTTCTCTATTTTCGCATGGTGATGTTTCCATCTTGGTGTTGATCATGGAGTTGTTGTGAAGATTACATATACACATAGATCATCATCAACATAACGGCCGCAGCTTAATTATATCTATTTGATCTTCGTCTTCAAAATAAGCAACAGAACTATGACACACGCGCGTAAAGGTAAAGGAACCGCCACGTTCTAACTGGTTTTTCCAGACATTTTTCTTACCTCGTAGTTGCATCGTTTGCCATCATGTGAATTTGAATTTTTATACCAGTAGATACATTTACAAACACAAATAGAAAAACGTGTACTTAGATATTTCAGCGAAGCATGATCAAATTCTGATTCTGTTTCTCCTGAATGACCATTCGTATTCGAGATGACCTTTCCGCAGCTCCACGCGCGGAGTCATTTTGATTTTTAGACTCGAACTTGCAGGGAATCAAGAATACGTGTCTTTCTCTGCGAGCACACAGCGCATGTCTTCACTTTCCGCTTCATAATGAATCTATCTTGACAATCAAACGCAATGCCACCACTGGCAATTATCGATGTCAACATGTGTCAATATGGCACAGACGACGACCACGAGTGATGTGTAGCTGCAGCTGCAGATGCACTGCGTGACTCAGTTTTATCCCTTGAGACCGGGTGATGATTCGCTGTCGATGACTGTTAAAGAAACTGGCAAGTGTATGATATGGGATTTTGATGTCGTCCTCGCGGTGTATCGTCATCGTGAGAGATAGAGCATATTTTTTCATCTCAGAAAGGAGCCAGCGTGTCGTGAGCATCTGAGTAGTAGCCACTCGATCTGAAAGCGTGTGAGCATCTGAAATCTGAAATCTGATGTCGAGAGAAACTCGAGAGCACACGAAAATAGTCAGTGACTCGAAATGTACTGTATTTGTGTGTGATGTGTCGTGAGGTAAGAACCCAAGAATTGTAGACCACACAAACGTTTAGCTTTACCTTTAGTGACTTTTCATGTTGCATCGCAGCTCCTGGGACAGATCATACCTGCGACGCAGCACCATGTTGATAATATTTTGAAATTGACATCGGGATCGGTACGACGAGCATTACATAAGTAAGTCGATATCGCATACGTTGTATCTCAATCGATCTCTCTTCGAGTAGGGCGACGTGCACTTGCTCGTTAACCGTAATTATTATTATAGCGTGATAAGCCGTAGTTATGGCGGAGCTTACGCATACTTCTTTGGAAAATTATGATCTCCTCCACTTCGTTTTGATTTTCCGACTATCTTCCTTGCACAAGTACAACAACAAGCAGATTGCAGTTCGACACTGAACTTTTTTCGCTTCGACGCAAGCATTGTGTTTCTCGGATTATCAGTAAATTTAGTCATCGTTCTTCTTTATTTCGTCAATTATTGACAACCATCTAATTATGCCCAAAGAAAAACTTCATCTTCATCTTACTCCTGATCCTCTCATACCAAAACAATAGCAACTCCTCGCAAGCGATGACCACTATTTTTTTTTCCATGATGCTAGTGGTTCCAGATCGTCTGTAAGAATGCCCAATATTGTCAAGAACATTGTTGCAGTTATATCAAGTTTTGAATCTTTTTCTAGTATAGATAATTTATTCTTCGTTTTTCTCCAAATGATCATTTTTTCCTGAGTCAGCATCAACTTGCTTCAACATCGAGATAATATTATCAAAACTGTAGTACAACATCAAGTAGAAGGACAAGGGAACATGTTCGAAAGTTTTTCCGGAGGTGGGGGCCTTGAGGCCTCGGGAGCATCCCTTGCGTCCTCATGGGGAGACGCAGTTCGAAACCCAGATGGGAGGTTGGGCCACGCAGCCACACTAAATCCAGTAGCGTTCTGGAAAGGGTTTGTGATCGACGTAACCGATTGTTGGGGAGGAGCATCATTTCTTGGCGATATCGATTACTGGACGGGCGTTCCAGGTTCATCATAATATATTTGATGTATAGAAGAATACTGGTCGTGCCAGCTCCCTTCACACTGATATATAGATCATAGCCAAGATGTCGATGTGATCTGCTGACTACATGACAGCACTAACATTGGCTGCTCATTATCCTGACTCCTTAATGTACTTAAAATTTTTTATGATTGAACCGGAGGTCTTTGATGACAGTTCTTATTTGTGTGATGAATGCGATATTTTTATCATCGCATTGATTACCCTCAGTGCCACTGCCACGGTTATTGTTGTTCGTTTGTATTTGCTGGATCCTCGTATGTTGACACCTTCTCAGAATTGCAGGCTCAACATGGTTTTTACTAAATTTTGTTCAAAACAGGTGCGACGACTTTCGTGAACCGATGCACGCTGATCGCAATGAGCCCATATATCTTAGTGGTTTTTTTATTCCTAGGGCTTGCGATTCTGCATGTTATCAAGCTTGTCCTCCAAAGCCTTTTCGAGATAGCCGAACGCTGGCTGCATCGGGTCAATACTGTTGCGACACTCGAAATTGTTGATGCGTCGAAGAATTCGAAGAAGGCTGCTGGTACCTACAACTTCTTAGTCTTTTTTAGTGTTTGGTGTTGTTTCTCAGGCGTATGAGGATGCAAACGTGAAAAATTGACTTCACAATCACAATATTATAATTGTTACCAGGGGAACAAAATGGGACCAAGAGTAGATGACAATCGCCTCAACCACTAAACCAAAATGATGCAACTTCTTGCAGTCGGACTTGCTCTTGACCACGTTGTATTCAGGTATTCCGGAGCAGAAGTTATCTGCGACTGCCTTAAGGTGTCTCGCAGACAGCAGGGCAAAAGGCCTGCGCAAAACTGGTTCTTTTGGCTCAAGAATAGAGGCAGAAATCTCTGGACGAGTCGTATCTTCCCCGCAGCGTGGCGCGAGGAGTGTCGTTAGTTCCTGGTCATGTTGCAAACGGCGATTGCCGTTGGTTCCGTCTGACGCCAGTTTAGCGAGCACAATAAGCACGACAGAAGCACCAGCATCTGATGATCCGGATGACTCTCCCGCTACTTCATCTGTACCAGCGGGAAGTAGCCCAGCAAAGTTTGGCCACAACATTGGAGTAGCATCCATTAGTAAGACGACGTCAGAAAATATAGCAGAGCGGGCGGTATCATCTCCGTTGTTGGGCGGCAGCGACCCCGCTGCTTCTCAGACTCCTTCTGACGGAGACTTGTCACGGTCAACTACGCCTCCCTCCACTCCTCGGACCCCAACGACCGACGCGAGTGAGACAGAGTTACCGGAAGTAACAACTGTGTGCAATCTCAGAGTCGGCACATCCCCGGCGTCGGGTTCGCGCGTTTTGCCTGAAGCAAAAGTAACAAGAGCTGCGGTGCCCCTGGATGTTCTTGAGTTTAACCCGGTGTATAACTATGGAGGTGGAGTAGAGGAGATGGAAGCTTCCAGCCTTGCGACGAACAAAGCCAACGAAACTCGCACCGTTACCGATAATAGTCTAGCCTCTTGTCCTGTGACATCGGGAGAGATACCTGAGGACAGGCCCACATGGACAATCTACGGGCGCCAATATGACCTAACGAAGCTCCTTGACTCACATCCCGGAGGAAAATGGCCCCTGCTTCTCACAAAGAACTCCGACTGCACGATTCTATTTGAGTCATACCACACCTTCGCAGACAGGTAAAAAATCTGAATATGTTCTTACCCCTAGGTGTCTTCATCCACTGCATACATATTTTATTATATTTGCCTTGCAATTGCATCAGTATATTTTATAATATTATATTATTTGTCTTTAGATGAAAATGCGACGAAGTAGACCACTAGTTTAGGATTATACTTCGACCTGGACCACGCCTTCGTTTTATGATTAGATAAATTTTTCCGCAAAAAACAAAAACATGAAAAATTGCAGGGAAAGGCTGGCGAAGTGGATGGCGCAGTATGAAATTGTACCTGCAGGCGGCGAGCGTCGGAAGCAACTGCCTCCACCGGATCCTCTACAGGAGGATTTGCGTATCTTCGCACGTGAATTCTTTTACGGTAAGGCCAACGCGAACGGACTAAAAATCAAGGACGCAGGGTCTTCCACATCTTCGTCTTCATCAAAGACGGAGGACCAAACAAGTAAAGAGCCGCTTCCAGCCACCGTTGGCCGTCCGCATCACATGTCAGTGACAATATTTTCCATTTACCTAGCGCTCTACATCTCCTGCTGGGTCTGCGTCTATTTTTTCATGTCGCGTGCCAGTCTCTGCGCGGCGCTCCTTTTGCCGCTTCTCCAATGGCTATACGGAGCTAGTCTTGCGCACGACTCCTCTCACTTTGCCACATTCAAGGACCACAGGTGGAATCGAATCGCCAGCTTCCTTGGAGGTTGTCCCCTCATGTACACTATGCCGCCAACTTCTGTAAGTTTTATCTATAATAAATTACATTGATTTAATTTTACATCAGGAGTTGCTGTTTCACGACGAAAACCTCACGTAAAGCATACTAGAATTAGTTTCGCAATCACTCCGACTTAGCCTTAGGTATATCATAGTAGCCTCACCCGCCCATAGTATTTGTATTACTTACTATGCTGGCGGGAGTTTACGTACAGGTACACATAGCTCAACTATGAAATAACATCATTCCTGGATGACGATAGCTCTAAAGACGACAGCAGTGCCTGGGTGGTGCAGCATGTGATTCAGCACCATCAATTCACAAACCTGATCGATGACGTCGATCTTTTCCACTTTCTGCCGCTGATACGTGCATCTCGACTCTTCAATGGCGTGGAGAAGCAGAGCAAGTTTCAACTGGCTTTGATCCTCCTCGTTTTGCCGACGACCACTTTGCATTTGAATTTTCTGGTGCCGCTCGACCTGCTTACAGGAAACCCCGTTTTCATCGGCCCGTTTGACGAAGGAGGTATACCTGGAGGGTTACAAGAATGAACTTGACATTTATTTTATCACAACTCTACATAAAAATGTATCTAGTGGAATATGCAGGAGCTGTTGCTGTACTAGTTTGAACGAAGCAAGGAACGAATAGCATTCAATCAACATCAAACCAAGACGAGCTAAGAGATGCTAGCACGTACTACAACAAGCATGTCATCAACCCATTTCCCGGTACTGAAAAAAAACCAGTTTCGGAGACGGAAAAATTCAAGTTGCGATATTGGCAATGCCGACATTTGCGGTCGGTCGTTAGTGAGATGTGGTGGCCTATGGCTCTCGAGTCCGTTGTTGTGGCTTTTTGGTGGTTTATGGGGGTATACATGTGTGGACCTTTCCAGTATTTCATCATTTTCGGACCTATGTGCTTTCTCGCGTCCATGTCCTTCATCACATTCACGCAAGGAGCCCACATTCGAGAAGAGTGCATGAACAACGTGGAGGAAAATGCGAAGCGGTAGTTCTTTTGTTTTACAGCAAGCGCAAGGTAGCTTTACCCAGCGTTGTAGGCACCAAATGATTAAGTAAGTACGTTTTTTCTCATAATGTGGGTAGCGAATCGGAATCGATGTCATCTTTTGTGCTCAATCTCATATCCCTTTTCAAATCGCATTAGAATATCGATACCTTCACAGCCGCTTGCAACACGGAGTAGAACTACATCCGTCAAATATCGCTGGGTTCCGCGAGCAAAGCGAAGGTTACCCCGCTTTGGAAAGCGTGAAAAGCCATAAGAATCACCCAAATCCTCTGATGGGTTGCTGGATTCGTGAGCAAATCGCTTACACTGCAGATTTTCGCCCAGATTCATGGGCGTGGTACAACTAAGATGAGGACCATTATATCATGTATAGTTTTCTGCATCTTTACATTTACTTCATGTAGAAGTTCTAGTGAAGACATTTCAATATTTTTTCAACTATAATATACTTTCAGCACAACTGCCAGGTACCTCGTTTCTGGCGGCCTCAATATGCAATCGATCCACCATTGTATGCCGGGAATATCCCACAGTCACTATACTGCTATGTACCCGGGATACGTCAAAGTCTTGAAAAAACATGGAGTGGAGGTATTTTTTCAACTACTACTTGTACATTCTTTCATGTAATATGAGAAGTGCCAATACGAGTAGTACTACTTAAACAGAGTAAGTTACTTGCTTTGGAGCTGGAGGCTAGCACGAACAACATTTTTCGGCACTTCAAACAACAGCCAAAGATTGTGCCAACTTTCGGAGAATTTGTGTGGGGCTTTTTCCGATGGATTCACGAACTAGGAAACCCAAATGCGGAAGAGCTTGACTGGGCGACAAACGCGAACATAGAAAAACACAAAAACAAGTCCAAAAGTGACTGAGCACCGTCGAAGCGAAGGTGGTAGTTGTATCCGTGAAGAACGCAGAGCGCTATTATGCTGGCAATCCAGAAATCATTAGTATACTGTGGTGCTACAATAACAATTACGAGCACCGCCATGGATTCTTCTAATTTCTGTATTCACGTAGTTAGTGATCTGGGTCTACGCGGGTATTAATGGGCTTTCTGTAAATGAAATAGTACGTACTTCAACTGCTCTAAGTCTTAGTCAATATTTTCAAGGCTTAGTCGATATCGATATATATCATAGAATGCGCTTGCTTTCAAGCTGTCTGTGAAGAGAATGCGCGCATTTCCAATTTTCCAGAAAGAACAAAACACTATTCAGAGCATTCTTGGACTCCCTATCGTGTCAGTCTTGAATGGTGTTAAAAAATCTCCCCGGGGAAACTTGACTCATCATGTAATCATCCACTGACTTAGGTGTTCGCCTTTCTTTGATATTTGTAGTCTTGGCATTACAGATTTAGAATCGATCACTTATTTAATATAATCTTCAAATACATTTATCATGGCATCAATTCAATTTCAACTAATCGCAATTTCAATCGTCAAATGCAAGTGAGTATGGTGAAGATAGACCATACCAGAAAATGGAACGTCAGGTACGTCGTTCCTGCGACTATCAACTTAGATTTCAGAAGCTAGCAAGGGTACTCATCTATTCATCTTATCGCAAAAATATATGTATTTATTGTATCTATTAGAATTAGCACTACTACTAGTTGAAGATCATGACAAGGAGCATGATAGGCAGTTGAGAAATCGAAACAGATACTAGAGATAGCGGAGTCAGAGGAAGTTTAAAGATCAGTGTAATACACCTCTCTGAAGAAGATGATTTCAGCTTTTCCAATACGCGGTCAGCAACAAGACCAAAAGATAAAGGAGACGGGCGGCAAGGGCAAAGACTGCTGCAGCGGTGCTAAATGTAAATGATACTAAATGTCCAGCACGCATTTCCACAGCGATGTCTGAGTCGCGGGAAAAAGACTTATGCAGTTATTTTGTTCTTTATGAGGCTCTGGCTTTGTTCATTTTTCATTCCTCCTCATCACTCCTTGTAGCGGTTTGGATGTGGTTTCCATTCTTGTGCACGACTAGATATTACAGATAGAAGATGAACAAGGTATTAAATTTTTAGACAAAAAATGATAATCAAATACACGACACGACTTCATCAAGCCTCTATATCTTCATCATATGGAAGAATGTTGACGAACACGACGCATTTTTTAATTAGAACAAACAAAGATGAAAGGACGCGTCAACGTTGTGAGTCAGTGGTGCAATTACGATATCGAACTTTCACCATCGTCGCGCTGTCAGAACAAGAATGAAAAAATTCAGGTACAGTGCGCATACGTGTGAAGACAAGAATGTAATTTGTATCTATCAATCTATGCGGATAATTAGTATTAGGTCACGGCATTGTCCCTTTCCGCCGCACGATGACGAGACGTCGACATGACCCTGCTTTTATAGACTAAGAACAGGATTAAGATCACATAATCGGCACCGTTCGCTTACCCGTACTGTGAGTAACTGTTCAAATTTGTTTACATTTGCTTGTGCTCTTCACCAATTGATACCTTTCAACAATTTTTCATAATCATAACTACGGCATAACAGGTCATTTGGTTCCACAAAAACGATGGTCTGAGTGCGACTGATTGAAGATAGATACTACCCCGCTCTGTGTTTGTGTCCTCCTGGCGCTAGCGTTATTGATTTTTAGATATAGAAGTTACGCATCTAGTAAGTAATTCTAAGCTTGAATTGATGATATTGCTGATTGTCATTACGATAAGCATGTTAATTATATAGACATAATCTAGTACTTCTTTGTGGTTGTTCGTTGAGTTGTTTGTAGTGTTGCAATTGCAATTTTGTTTGTTGTACTTAGATGTAGGCGGAAACACGATTTGGCGTGTTGCATTGATTTCGCGGCGGCGTTTCATTGGGCGAAGTGTGGGGATGGATGTGCTGTCATGAACTTGAAATATGTATGTAGAAATTAGCAAAATGTGGGGTCGCAGCTACTATTCAAGTTAACGAGCAAGTACCACCCTTACGAGGACCTTTCGACACCGAAGCTCGTCCACCAAACATCTTGAGGACGAGGATGCACATAAACGAGCGACTAAGTAATGCTTAGCAGAAGAACACTATGAGTACTTACCACTTCTAGTAAGTTCCATAATTCTACCAGAATCGAGTCAGCGACACCTGTATAAGGGGCACTAAGTACTAGATGCGGGGCCACTGATCTCCTCCCCGGAAGCAATAGAGCACGTGGCAATTTTCCAATCTTGCCACCTCAACCTAGGTAGTTTCCAGTCATCAATCCTGTTGATTATTTACAGGTCGAGGATATTGGCTTAGGGACAAATTGTTCCAACGAAACAAGATATTTATGCTACAGGATGAATCTTCTCTCCAGAACCACAGGATGCGGTCCATCGAGTTAGTAAGAACAACTTCTTGAAGATGCTTCGATCAATAAGTTGATTGTGTTGTAGAAAAGCTACAATGATGGAATCGGCTAGTATTGCTGCTTCTTGCTCTAGCTACTTCATCAATTTGAAGAGCAAGAGACAGCAGTACTTACTCGTAGTTAGCGCTCCTGGAGGCACAGGAGGAGGAACGAAGACTACAACTTCAATTCGACACCTACATCGAAGCTTCTAGCAAGACGAGCTTTGTTGACAAACACATGAAGTAGCATCCACGTTGCCTGATAATTGCCCACAATGCAGGTACGCAATCAGGGGAGTGAGTCAAGCAAGCACAACAGCCAGCATTGTAAAGAAAGCGATGCTGATGCAGGAGTAGTTTTGCCTCTTGAGGTTCTCATCTTTTGATTCCGCACAACAACCATTTCCACAACTGTGAGTACAATATCTATCATGAACTGTGAGACCCTCCATTCATCAATCATGTTCACGCTCACGCAGACGCACTTATTTTTATATAAGTAGCATAGAGAGGACAACTTATCATAGTTATCAATGGACGAAATGATGATGTAGATGTTGAATACAATACTAACGACGTTTTATTACATATACAGAAATAAATGAGTGATAGGTAAGAAGTCTCTGAAATGAAGCTATTGCTGCAGGAACAAGGCTTGGGATAATCTTTACGTAGGAAGACCCACGTCAGGTGAATCAGCTACCGTGCGCTATGGACGGAGGTTTTTCAAAATGTTCCTCTCAAAGTAACTTCACTCGACGAAGACGCGCCGCCAAAAAGAAACACTTTAATTCGATAGAAAGACTTCTAATTACTCGCACAATTTGAATTTTTTATTTGTGTAGTGTGATTACCATGCATGATGAAGATGCACAACTAACGCCAGATGAAGTTCAAGTTTTGTATCATCTTTCTCATACCGGCAAAAAGGTGAAGGACAGCCTGAGGCTGCATCACCGCAGCAACGAGCTGAGTCGCAGACGTGTTCTTAACTCCGTACGTAGAGAAGAGGTAAGATGTTAAGAACATTAATTGTCATGATCGCGACGTTTATGATAGAAGCTGACACTCGTTCAACATGATCTCTTGTTCTTTGTATTCAGGGGAACAATAGAAAAAGCAATAGGGATGCTAATACATAGTTGAGTCTTTTGAGGACGAAAACGAGTTGTGAGGAAAAGCTTTCGAAATGAGTGGTAATGTCAATGGATGACAACATTGATAAAAATTTTGAGTTTGTGGTCGCCTTGGGTGAAGAATCGACTACATTTTTGTCGTCTCAGAGACTCGGATCGTGTGACATCTATCTTCTTGCTCTGAGCTCTAGATTTTTTGCTTAGAAAAAACTCCCTCTTATCGGTATCCGGAGTTGCTATGCTGCAATATGCTCTTCAGGAAATGATAATTATTGAGAATAATTGCCCACGGCAACATCGAGCTCGACATACAAATTGAATAAGCTCTCCACGGACCCGCTACGCTGCAGCCGCCAGAGCCTCTGCCTCCGTCAATTATGTATATTTTCCACTTGACAAAACCCTTAATCGTATGTTGACGTTTAAAATAGTTGTAACCAGTTTAATAGCTTTAATAGTAGCTAGTGACCCCAAGGGCAAATCCAGTACCGATTCGTCATATCATCTTCTGTTGAATATTTCCTTGTGACAAGCAAAGGACATAAACAATCAATTTACGGATTATATTGTTCTTCGCCAGAACCTCCTCGTCCTTGTCCTGCTTCGCATGATATTTATTGCCATCAATTTTTTTACCATTCCACTACGGAGGAGACGATTGTCGTGACTCCAACATAGCCGCAAACTTGTCCTCCCACGACCTTCCTCCTCCTTTCGGCCACACGATAGATTCACCCACGAATATTCCTCAATGAATCATCTCGCTCGATGTCGTTGCAGCAATCAAAAGCAACAGGTACAATATCAAAATAAATTTGCACTCCAAATACAAATTATTCAAGTTGTAACAAGATGGATCTTCGATGTCTTCGACTCTTCACTTCGATGGTCGTAGGATCGACAGACGTGATGTTCGTGCTCCAGGACGAAAATAGAGGACTCTCCTGTCCAGAGAAGATCTCATCGTATCTTTATTAGCCATCTTTGACGAACGAGAGCATTCGGTGATTCGATACTGTTGATGTTGCTCGCGCGTTAGTCGTGGTATTTATTGTCCCAGAGTTGCAATTGCAATTGCATCTACATCTAGTATAAATTTCTGTTCGTTTTCTTCGTAATCGTACGGTCATTTGTTTAATATTCGGAGTTGGGTAGTACGAGCTTTTCTGTTCTTCGATTGCGGTTCTAGCGAGTATCAATGTCGCAATAGAGATTTCAGCTGGCTGGCAGTCGGTTTTTCGCATCGTGAACGTGACTGTTAATCGGTCAACAAGAAGAACTATCATCTGGATCTGTTCGTCAACTGTCCGAACCTCTAGAAGTAATTGCCCCCCATCCCACGCGGTTCTTCATCGCGTGACCTTTGAATTTTTTTTAGTGTAGTTGTTCGGACTTCTTCGACTTAGCACATATTAATCGAACAAGATGCTCATCTATCTTCACCACAACATTTCTTTGTAAGGAGTTTCAATGATTGAAGTGAAGATCATGTAGATGCACAGAAACTATCTCCAAGTAGAGTAAAGACAAAAAAAAATGACGAATGTCCTTGACATGATTCCTATGCTCCGATGGAATTCGGAGGCACCACCTGCGGTGTCATTTTCCACTATGTGGACAATGTGCGCAGAAGCGTCAGAGACGGATGATGTAGCTGCCGAGGAAGACGTGCGACACGAGGCTTTCCACAGCAGCGAAGACCAAGACCACGAAGATAGTGAAGACGAAGACGATGGGTGTGGTGGTGGAAAAGAAGATGGTGATGCTGATACACGCCCAGGATACGTTGAGCACCTGTCGGAGATACTAAATCCTCTGCGAAGCGCAAGCGGCCCTTCTGCGGGCCGGAACAACGTCCAGCCTGAAACTCAGCATCGAAATCCCAGTCTCGTATTGAAGATACCATCAAAATTCTATCTCATTGCTGAACCTCTGATGTGGAGTGCTCGATGGAATATCACCATAACGAGTTTCTGTGTAGCGAAGCGCTTTGTCGATCAAATGATTCGACGGCGAAGACGCGATCCAGTGTCATTCGTGCTGGGAGACGAGAGGGGCATTCCGAACGACGAGACTAGCGGCAGACGCCTCTGCTCGCTCGGAAACGGCTACTCGGTGTTGGTTCCGCCGAGCACGAGGAGTTTGGAGGAAAAGCTCGAGGAGGATGCAAATACTGCAGATGTGATTGCGCATCACTTCTATGCAGATGAAGCTTATACCGGCCCTGATCTGCGGGGACGGCTGTTCAACTTCGACGCCGTAGGAGCAACTGATGCGCCGCCTCCGCTATGCTCGCTGGAGCAACTCCCGGAAGTTTGTATGTTGAGAGTATTACTGTTTTTACCTGGGCGCGATTGGGCGCGTCTACCGGCTATAGGCTCTCCGTTTTTTAGGCAGACGGCGTTCAGGCACATCGATCTTCTTGCAGCAAGGATATCGCCAAAGCAACTGCTTCCTACAAGAATCGACCTCGTAGTAGCAGAGAATGAGCAAACGAAATGTACAACTATATCAACATCACCAGATCATGAACATGAAGATGATGCGTCAAGCAATGCCGATGAGGGCTTTTCCTGCAACAGAAATTTCACGGAAGAAAAACTCCTGATTCACCTCGAACGGCTAGCCGACTTGGAGGATTGCTACGTTTTTGATGTTTTCGACCACTGCAGCACTGGCCCTGGGTTACCTTCGTTCGGGCCACATCGCGAGGGAGCAGAATTCCCTGATTATCGCGTGTGGGGCCCACAACAAAATACCTCGTCGTGGGCAACAAGAAACGGCGACGGTGATGAAGGCGCGTCGCCTAGTTTATCTTTCGATGGTGACGAGGGTGGTGGTCAGGAGCAGGCTTCGCCAAGTAGTGGCTCATCCTCTGGACCAGAGAAGCGCAAAGTCTTGAAGTCTTTGAAGGACACGCAGAGTATACTGAGGCAGAGTCTCCCCGGGCGAATGCACAGCATGCGCCGTTTGCAAGTGGAGAGTCCGGGTTCTCAGTCTCTCGGAGCACCCCTCAGCCCAGCATCTTCTACAACATTTGACCGCGCCTACTGGAACGTTTACCGAACCTGGTGCTCAGGACCAAACTGGATTTCAGCGAGCGCACTGATGAACAACGGCGGTTTTGGTGCTCGGAGGCCGTCGGCTGAGATGCGGTCTTGCATAGAGACCGTGCCGTTCTTTGTTCCAAGAAACGACTGCAACAACAGGAAATCGCCGAACCAGTTTGATCTTTCAAGAATCTGTAGTTCTTGTGCAGCACCGCTTTTGATGCGTCTTCCGTGCATGCAATTCCGGTTTTCCCACATCAACGGCCAGCAAAAACGCGACAAACTCACGCAGCTGCCACAACTGAGTTTCGTACCACGAAAAATCGTAATCCGCTTCAAAATCGACGTGAAAAATACTAGTACGTTATCTACTGAACACAGGAGGCTGCGACCACCACAAGCAGGTCCCTACTTTCCCAATGAGCAAAGGACGATTTCTTGGCAGGACGAACGCGAGCAACAAGATCCGCGGGAACATGAATCACCTTGGGATGTCACTTTTGAATTTAGTTGTAGTCAATCTAACGACTTAGTGGCCGCGGAACCTGACAGGCGCTCACTTGCTCTCCAGGTTCGCTTGTCGAACAGCAGTTCTTGCGGTCAACAAGAGAAGCAGAAATGTTGGAATACCAGATTTTTGGCAGGACTCCAGCGTCGATTCGCTCATTCGCAACATGCTCTTTCGATAGCCAAAAAGGGAGCAGCTAGAGTCGCTAGCACGCTTTCTCATGCTGTATCGCGCTGTGTCAAGTCAAGCACCGGCTCATCAACATTTTTTCAAAGAATGAGGACAGGGACACGGAGGGCAGCCTCATCGTCACGGTACGTCACCTCGGAAGTCGCCGGAAACGACATCAATTCTGCAACTCCGATAGTACCTAAGATCAAAAAAAAGGAGGCAGCTCTCGATTTACAGATCGGAGATTGGATCCTTGCTGACGTTCGTCGACGCCAGTGGCGACAGGCTTCCAAAGGGTTGTCGAAAAGTATGAGAATGGGAATACTGAAGAAGGATGGAGGAAATATGATGACAAAAGATACGTCGTCGGGTGTCGCAAATGCAATTGCAAATGCAAATCCCTACAACACAGCGATCGTGCAGGAGAAGCCTAGAAGGGATTTCTCGACGCCTCCAGAGCACGGTCGCTCTCCTAATACCAGTACGCTTCTTATTGATTGTGATCAATGGCAGGAACTCACGATTTTCCCTCTGCACGCGAATGCCATGTTGAATGGCCATAACGTCGCAGCCTTAACTTGTCCAGGATCCTGCTCGGGTGGAGTACGATCAGGCCTAGGGGGATTCGAAGGAGAGAGTATTTTCAATAGCAGAGCAACGTGCGGCGCATCTTCAAGTTCAACTTCAAATTTTTCGATGCGATCTCCAAATGTTGGACCCGTAGTACTTCCAACGACCGACGCTGAACATTTCTCGCCCTTCGCGGATTGCAGCCTGAAGGTGCTGACAGTAAGCGGAGAAACAGGTAGTCCCAATCAACAAGTCGTATTGACCGTTGAATCTATTCGCTATAAGGATTAGAATTGAGAAGTAGACCTAGACTCAAACGAACTTTTTTTCATCCCATCAACATGTTTTTCTACGTTGACTCATAGAGATCGATTGATATGATTTCTTATTCTTCAAACCTAATCTAACCTAAAAACCTCCTAATAAACCAAGTTTACAATTACAATTTAGGTCCGAAGTGATTCTCGAACTCCTTTTAGTTTTACGTAAGCAGGTCGGTCAGTCTCAGTATGAATGGTGATAGATTTAGCACTCGGTAATGTCCTTCGCATTCACCCTAGATAAATCACAGCTAGAATGTGTTTTTGTCCAAGACAATCATGAACTAATGAGCTATAAAAATTTTCCGTATCTTATTCTTTTTTCAAGTCTAGTTTGAGTTTGTTTATTCCACAGTGTCAGTGGTCCCGTCGGTAGTTGTGATGGCGTTGCAGTAAAAAATATCAACCCATCGCAAGAATGTTGTGTGTCTTCTAAGTAAATATCGACAATGAGCTTATCGTAATGAAGAACTTTCTTTCATCTTGGTTGTCTGATTATATATAAAGAAATAGGGGTATGCCATATTCAGGTCGTATCAGGGCGTTTCGCTCTACCCTTTACTCGCTGTCTTTTTTTTTCTAATGCTCAGTTCTTGTCACCATCATCATTGTGTTTTTTACCCAACAAGGGATTCCCGATAATATTGCTTTAGCTGCAGAAGCAGACATGTAAAAAAGGTAGAACTAATGCTAGTGTCGATCACGTATGATATTCATGCTGCATCATCGTCCCCGGATTTCTGATGCAGGTGTAAGTAGATAAGTCGACCATTTTCAATGGCCCTCTGGTCCTGGTGAACATCCTAGTAAGAGCATCGCGTTGCTGCAAGGATTCGTGGCGTGCAGCCCGCACGCCGGTAATATAAAGAGCGAAGAGGATGGTGATGGAGTGCAACCGAAAGCATATAAATATAATACCGACAACACCATTCATCTGATACTGAAGCTGATTCTGTCCATGATGTATATGTATTTTGAGATCTGGTGACGTCTTTAGTAAAGCTAATATCGGTATTCGAACTAGAAGCTATCGAGAGGTGGTGATGGGCTAGTTATTCGGTCACAACAAGGAGTAGAAGGAGGACGATGAGTTTGAACAAGTAAGTATACTATAAGTCGCAGCGAATCGGTTTCAGCATACAGATGCGTTGTACGAGCATGAGCAGCATCAAGAAGATCATCATTCCTCATTCATCATATTCTTCCATTGCACTCAGCATGTCTTCTTGGCCTTCCTACTGATTGTCGTATTTTGCATGCAACCTACAGAATTCTCATTAATTCTTTTTGATGCTGCAGCATGAGCATGACAACGCGTTTTACGGGTTTTCGTTAATGCAATGCGTTTTCTCTTCCTCGTACATTGTGTGCGCTACACCGATAATTTAGACTTGAATACAACTATATCAGTATCACCTAATACGCTAGAGCAATCTTCGAAAAATTTGAATTTAGATGAAGATGAAGTAGTTCATCGTCATTGCAATCCCAGTCGAGAGTACCCACCATAATGTTAATCACAATCAGCGTCCTACCTTAGTGGTCATCATCAATAATAATATTCTGTACGTTTTTCTCACCGCGCGATTATCATCTTCCGAACACAAGAGACGAGAGAGAACCTCCATCATGGGACAGGCACTGGGGTTACCGCGTGATGTCATCGATCTCGACGATCGGGATGTGCCATTCTTCGGCAATACAGGTGCTGTTTTCGGCGGTCGTGAAACAGTTCACAACCTCCGGTCGCAGATGTCGACACCCGTATTCAGCGAAGGAGTACAAAGTATGCGGTCGAACGCAGAGGAACAATCGCCGAGGAGGACTAGCACAGGACCAGGAGGATCGCCTTCTCGAGGAGAAACAACAAGCGAGGTGGATGCTGGCGGAAAAAATGCGGCTCGCGCCGAGGCAGACTTTCTGTTTGCCAAAGGACCAACTGGCACTACGGCAACCGGCAGGCAGAGGATCAATGACCATCTGGAGGCCGAAGATTTCCTGCTGGGTCTGCAGATGCAGTACATGCACAAGATCCTAGTTTATTTGCGGCAAACAGCAGATTTAGAGCCACGACACATCAACTTTTTTTCAGAGGAAAACTTCGCGACTCTCACTGAAAGTACTGTGCAGCGCGCTCCTGCACTTGCGGTCGGCGAAGGCGGACAAGACGGGTCAGCAGGTCCTGGTCAAAGACTTGGCGTATTCAATCCGGCTAGTCCTCGAGGCGATAATGCGAGGACAGAGATCTTCACCGCGCTGAAGGTGGCGGCTTACTGTCACAAGCTGTTGCTGAGTTATCTAGTGCACTCGAGCGGCGTCGGGCTTCTTAGTGGAGATAAGCGAACAGACGCTGGCTGCGTGCCGGATATGCTGTTCTTCGCTAACTCGCTGAAGAAAGCGCAAGCACGCTGCAGAGAACGACACGACGACCTGGAATACGCTCTGATGGTAGGTGGTAACCCCCGTCAACCACTTTCGAGAAAACCAGTATTGATCGGCCGGGGACTTATGGAGAATAAAGCCTTGTTTTCAGTTTTACACGAAGAAGTCATAAAGGCTGACGACACACACGAGAAAAAGCAGGAGAATTTCATGTTTTATTCGGAAGACCGAGAAGTAGCTGAAGACAGTCGTGACAGAGAAGAAGACAATGTTGGCTCTTCAGGGAAAGGCAGACACTCAAGAGCGCCTAGTTGTAGTAACACCGACTATAGTCGGATTCGCAAGGCTACAAGCAGTAGCGGCTCATCCAAGCGAAATCAGGAGAGTGCGAGCCGAGTAGAAAAAGTAGACAAGGAGGGACGACGAGCAGTAGCACGACGACCAGAGGGCTCTGTGAACGTCGGAGACGACGGCTCGGATGAGGAGACCCGTGACTCGTCGATATCCGTCGCGGAGCCGCTGATGCGCCTCCAGATATCTGGGCGTGACCAACCTTTGAGGATGTCGATGCTCGCTGGTCCTGGCGATCATGGAGGAGCAACAGCAGGAAACGAGGATGGTGGAATGGTGTTCGACAAGTTTTCATCGAATAGCATTAGGGATTCCAATTCCACAGCACGCCAAGAGAGCCGGCACCTGGACTCGACAACGTCATCAGTTTCCGAGAGAGGACATCATAACGTCATCCGCAACACGCGAGACCGCAAGATGATGGCTTATCTGATGGACGAAAGGGGTTCCATGCAGAGTAGTTTCTTCGGTGGTAGCTACATGCGCGTGGCCGACTCGACTATGGATACTGTAGTTGAGGCAGGGGTTGGCGCAAGTCAAGACTATGATATTATCCGACAGCAAAGAGAAAAACGAGGGCGTGGGGCATCGCGCGACGACGGTGTACGTGGAACAGTTGTAATGGACTGCCGCGAACTTGATGATCAGGAGGAAGATGAACGTGAAAGAGATGATTCAGATTCAGATGATGTAGAAGACCTTGATCTTGCACGTCTCAGTATGCACGGCAGGGAACCCAGAAAAAGTGCGCGGACATCATCGGCAGGAGTCAAATCTCAACAAATAACAGATGAAGTACAAGTAGAGGGGCGTCGATCATCAACGAGAAGAAAATCGTCTCTTAGGGAACGCGTCGCTGTATTAGAACAAGTTGTCGTGTCAGAACAAAGTGCACAACACGATGGTGGAGATGAAGTACAAGATCTTTCTGCAGATCATGAAGCAGAGGACGAAGATGTTGCTGTGGATATGCTGCTGAGAGAGCGCGAGCGGATGCGGATAAGAGGCAGTTCTACATCTTCAGGCAGGCGCACATCTGTGGAAAGATACACGACGGACACTGCTCCTTTGGCTGAAGATGTAGAAGAATTTGTTTCTGACGATCATGATCATGAACAAGTAGAGGACCGGATCGTTTCTAGAAGACGAAGTGATCATGAAGTGGCCTTGCTGCTCGAGGAGAGAAGAAGCCATACAATGGCTTCACGAGGTGAGCCAATTGCAGTAGTCGATGACAAGCAACAAGAGGAAGACGAAGACGATCTGATCTTCGAATCAGCAAGAGGGGGTGAAAGGCAGAGCGCACAAGAGGAGAGGCGAACTTCAGAAGAGAGGCGAACTCCAAGCTCGCGTTTTCGAGAGCCGGTTCCGTCCATGAGGGAGACGGATGCCCACCAGAAGAGACATTGGACGATGACAGAGTTCGTGTCGACAGGTCCGTCTGAGGACTTTCCCACACTCACGCGTCAGACAGGTGTAGATGACTTTGTCGACCCTAGTGTAGTACTAGGGAAAGCAAACAAAGGAGCGTCCTCCGATTCGTGGAGTAGCACTAGCACGGAGGATAGTACCAAGGTACTCGATGAAGAACGTGCGCCAAGTGTGGCAAGAAGAACTGCAACGCAAAAATCAGAGATCTTCCAGAGTGCGAGGAGTCAAAAGGTAGAACCTCGACCAGGCGTCGACGACTGGTCTGATACTACTTCATCATCGGAGATGCAAGAGCGATGGGACGTTTCTAGGACAAGTACTAAAAGTAGAGACCAGCAGAGTAGTAGAAAATTGTCCTCGTTATTGGCACCCCTAGAAGAAGACCCAGTCCCAGTAGAGGAGCAAGAGCTGCAAGACGAGGATGTTCTTGAACAGGACCTCCAAGAGATCAAGAGGACAACTAATATTGCGGAGGAAAAAGAAGGACAGGGTAAGAAAACACGACGAGCAAACCAGCAAGAGAGGCCAGCAACAGCATTGGACGACTTTGGTCCGCCATTGGTTCTTACAGAACTCGTCCTTCTATTGATACAGCTGTTGGCCAAGGACGACTACCGACTCATCACGAATGAAGATTTTTGGAGACGGCAAGATAATTTATGCGCTGGGCGGATAAATAGAAAATGGACTTCAATGGATATGGAGTAACGATTATCTTGAAACTTAACCACGTAGCTTAGAGTTTACTCATACTCATAATTATATAATTTTAGTCATAGTCTTAGAACTTAGTAAGTTTACAGTACTTACAACGTAGCATTATCATTATGGGACAATCAATGTGAGAGTAGATTGATGCGCGATGCCTGAGAGCCCCAGCACCATGCTTTCATTTTGAATCACGAAATTGGGTTGGCGTGCAACGAGCCACCGAGCACAAGGCAGCGGGGGCGGTCTCCGCTTGATTTTTCCGTTGTCGTTGTCGTATTCAGTTGGAGGAGAGGATCGCCACGCCCACGAGAAGCGCGAGGACCAAGAGGATGACAAGGCTGCAGACAGCGCTTTTTTTGCCCTTTCAAACGCTCTGGACGGAATCGAAAAGGCCGATCAAACGACTGCGAGGCGGCGGAAAGTGCGCATGGCGCGCCTACGAAGGGGTGAGGTGAAGGAGGAAACGCTGACCAAAAACCGAGACTCGGTTATTGACGAAGATGTTTTGCTGGAGCAGAAGAGAGCGGGATTGCCGGGACCAGGTCAAGGTGGACGAGGGGGCCGTGGTCGTGGCGGGGCTGGCGCACTAGCAGAGAAAGATACGTGGCAGAGAGCGTTTTATCGTCGACTGATGCAGGGCACAAATGTGAAGATTTCCCACGTCGATTGTGTCAGACAGTTCTTACAAAAGCAGCTCCAGATGGAAGACATGCATGTGAACTTGCTCCAAATCATGACGAGGCACGACGTGGCCAATTTGGGTGACAGACTCCACCACAATCTGCGGCTCACTTCCTTGCACCTCTTGTACTACTTGTTTTTTTTGCGACCCGGATTCTCCGCCTACTGTTTGCCAGTAACAGAAGGCTCAGAGAGCAAAGACGCGGACGAAGGCACAGGAGCTCGTGAAACAAGAAACACGAATATTGATATTCGTTTTACCGTGAATAAGGAGAAGATAAAGGAGAAGATGCCTCCCGCTTTTCACAGAATTGGAAGGGCTCTGCGATTCATTTTCCAAAAAGTGCGAAAGGACCACGACGATTTGCGGATTTGGCTCCAAGCTCGTACGCTCCTAGACGAGAAACTCCACGAGCGAAACTACGTGCGCGCCCGAGCATCCTACCACGACGCGGGTGCTTCTCGTTCCCGCGGTGGTCAGGAGGTAGAAGTAGCTGCGAAGGCCGCGTCTTCTCCGACTTCTCCAACTGCAAGGCGTGGAAATGACAACGACCCTACTTCCACTTCGAACAAGGCAACTTCAATATCACCCGCGAAGGGGGCTACAGTCGGCGTGCATGAAGGGCGACTTCGCGCGGCGATCTCTCAGCAGTTGAATGTCTTCAGTGCAGCGCGAGGGCCGTTGTCTCGAAATCAAACGAGGCGTGGCGTCGATTTGTCGCGCATGCTGCAACAAGACCGCATGCTGGACAGGGACTTGCGCGCTTTAGCTATCGAGCGGCTTGTTATTGATCGAGAAGAAGAACTCCTAGACGTCCTGCAAGACTACCTGTTCAAATTGCTCTTCCTAGCCGAAATGCAGGATCACGTGTGCCGCGGTGGCCTCTTTTCGTTCGCGGAAGTAGTCGAAGTAATTCGAAGTTCTGTTCTCGGCGACTATCATGATGCGGCATCGCAAATGCTACGGCTGAAAGGGGGAAAGAACAGAAAACGGGGAAGCAGCGGTGGTGGATTCGAGGAGAGACTTCTGGCATCTCAGTTTCACTCCTACGACATGCTACAGCCTGGGCGAAATTCCAGTGGATCTCGTATTTCACAGAACAATGAGGACTCACTCCTCTTTCGCTCAGCAGCGTCGTACATGAATATGTCCGCCTCCGCCAGTGCAAGAGGGACTATGACGGTCGACCAACATATTGTTCACAATGACGAAGATCTACTTTCTGCCAGTGATCCAGTTATAAAAGCCAGTGATGGAACGAAGATGTTGACCGTCTTTCTGCGAGATGATTTAGAGAAGCTTGGCGCTTCGTTTCCACCTCTTCGACAGCACAACGTGCTCAGCACAGAGGACCTCTCACGGAGGCTCTCTTATAGACAGGAGACGCAAACACAGCAAGCCGAATCCTCTCCTGCTTTCGATTTCCCCTTAGTTGTTGGAGACGTCGTGCCTGGGAGTGTAGCAGAACAAGCGGGTGTGGTAACGGGTGCAGAACTGATTCTTCTCAACGGCGTTCCGGTTACGGAATACAAAATGCGAAGAACAGCTTCAGGAGATGCGAACAATGGCGCAGACGCCGAACACGATATTACACCAGTTAAAGTTGCGGATAAAAGAGACGGATTGCCACTCGTGGATGCAGAGAAGCTTACCGTAGATGCAGAGGCTCTCGCGTATGCCTTTCAGCAGCGGCCTTTGGAGTTGGTTTTTCGAAATCACGTTTCCCGGGTTCGTGAGTATTCTGGAAAGAGCCAGCCCGCTTCGGAACTGAAATTGCGAAAAATCCATGGTGAAACACTGCGGCGGGTACTAAGATGGACGCAGGGGGAGAAAAACGACCGATCAAGAAAAACCAGAACAACCTCCATCAATGCAGACGGGAAGATCAGTGAAACGTCCCTGAAATGGGATGAAATGATCGTTGTGCCTATTGAAGTGGTGACTTTCCAACAGGTCTTGCCCCCGCCAATTTCTGCTGGAGATAAGATGAAGCCAGACTTTTCATCTCCTCGCTTCATGAGTCCACGAACCTCGCTGGCATTCGACTCCCTGGGCGAATCGGAGAACCCTCGAGGATATCGACCTGTAAATAAGTTGTCCGGCTACCACGTCCTACACAATTTGCTGCTCACTCTTCCAGCACGGATGACGCTAGCCGACCTGCGCGTAGTCATCGAGTGTCTCTTTCCCCAGCAGACGGATCGAAAAACGACCGCTTTCTTCCTGGAAACGGCAGAGCATGCACGGCGAATGCGCGAGACTATCAGTCTGGATCAATTTGAACGTAACGGAGTATTGTTTAGTAGCAATTTCTTGTCACTGGAAGTGGAAGGCCGAAGACGCCGTCGCGGAGGTGTCTTGAATAATAGGAGTCCTGCTTCTCGCGCAGTGCTAGGTCAACAGAGTGGAGCTACGGCAGATGCGCCGAGTTCTTCCATGCCGTCGAGTCACCTAGACAGCGACACGTCCGCAGACTCGATCCGCTACACATCAGTCTCGTCGGGAGGAAAAAGCTACGATGACCGAGCATTGCTTGTTGCGTACTATCGAGTCCGCCCTTACCAAATACGAAGCTCATTGGCAAGGAAGTGTGTGATCAAACTTTGGCGAGGTGTTCTAATCCTGCGCAGAGTACACGAAGAAAATGGCAGCCCTTCTCAGCAACGCCCTCGTGTTTCTTCACCCTCTTCTACGAGAATGAGCAGAACGAGTGGAGCTGTGTTTCGAAGAACAGCCCTCTCGCTTCGCATTGCTTTTGAGTCTATCGCAGAGGTGATTGCAGAGTCGCGACGATTGCGGATAAGAGGGTCGAACCTGCAAAACTGTCGACCAGCTTCTACAATACCCAGCTCTTCGGATAATTATCGTCAAGGAGAGCTCTCCTATGCGTGGTTAGAAGATTCTATCTTTCCTGTTCAGGAAGAGACTGGAGTCACCCTCGGCGACGTTTTTCGAGGCCGCACATTCGACGCTATCCCGAAAAACGACATCCATTGGCTAGTATTCGCAGTGCGGCCTGCAGCGATGGGAGCTCGATGATGCGTGGGGTGTGGTGGCTGTCACCATCAAAGTCGAAGAAACTTGGTTATTCTTGTGCATAGTATACTATAGGATCGATCACACAGCATGCAGTTGCATTTTCACCACATCTTGCCTCCACAATGTTTGTTTTTGCTGTGGTCCAACATAATTAGCTCCCGTTGCTCTAGATGAGACATATCACGGGAGCGACGAGACAAGAAAGGCAAACCTTCTCTGACAGAAAGAAGGAAGCACTCACTGTAGCATGTCATTTTTATTTGATTGTTCTGCGTCAACGAGTTGTTCCTGCGTGTGAGTAAATTTGCCGCGGAGAGAGTAGCTTTTAAACCTAACTCATCTGTGACTTTGATTGTCTCATGAAAAGATGAAAACGAAGTGAGCTCACATGATGTACTTATACAGCAGGCAAGGCTCTTCTCGCGATAATTCTGCCAAAGATACTTGTTGTTTACTTCTCTTCTCGTTCCTGTCTCTCCCCGACAGCGATTAGACACATCATTTTTTTATCAAGAATTTGAATTTTAATTTGTTGTGACTGTTGTTCGATTCCTATTCCTTGCCCTTCGCTGTTCACTAGCACGTTCATTATCTGGGTAGACGTACTCGTACTACAGAAAAAATGGGCAAGGAAGGCAAATCTTCGGGCGGCGCGTCATCGTCGTCAGCTATGAAAAGTGTTAAGAAGCAGGATAAAAAGGCTAGCAGCAGCAGCAGCAGCAAACCGGAAAAGAAGGAGACGCTTGCCGGAAACAAGATAGCGCAATACCTGGACCGGGATCTCATCAAATACTATGAGAAATTGGCGGAGCATTATGGAATATCACAGGTATCATTTTCTGCCCAGTAAACCAGTAATAGTCGTATCTCCGGTAGTCGCTCATTATTCTCATGCCTTGTCCTCACACGTTGTTCTTCAACATACAAGTCCTTCATTCGAATTTTCTACAACCAACATACCTTCACAGTTCATATCCACTTTCATTTTTATTTATCCCACGAGCACGACTCCGACAGGTAGCCCGCGGCGACGCGAAGGCCAAAACGACTGATTGTGGTTTTCTTGAGGTCTATCGGAATAACTCTGATAAGGATAAGCTGATCGATATTCCTGTGCGCAAGACGCATCCGAATGGCGCAAATTGGAAGCAAACGCGAGAGAACCGCGTTAGCGCGAAGCTTGCGCAAATGGTAAAGATGGCAATACCATGGTTTCACACCAGCGGCAAGTTGGAAGGACTGCCAACGAAAATGCACTGCATTTTGATCATGTGGGCCTACAGTCCGCACACAGCGCAACTAGAGTCCCTTCGAAAAGGCAAGATGCTAGAAAAGAAATTGTGAAAAACTGCAAGCATTGTGTATGATGTTGATGCTGATAACCTAGACCTTGAAGATAGTAGGAAAAGGTCGTTTGGTTCGTCCTTCCGCTGTTGATATGTAGGATCGATCATAGAAGTCGAGCGGAAATACTTGAATCGAAGCAGCAGTTCTTGAGCAGGACAGCGAACTCTTGCTTCATGTTTTTTCAATGAATACCCCGCAGAGTAGCAGGACATCGATTAGGTTAGTCGTTCACAACTTTGCGTTTTGGAACGACTTGTACAGAACGGCTTGTTGAATTTTCCGCGTGCAGACAATGTGAAAAACAACAAATGACCCTGAGACGTTGGCGCATTCCCTTTCCCGGCGCCCTCAAGTAAACTATTTTGGATTCCCATTGAGTAGGTTTAGGAAATAAAAACGCGCCAGACACTATAATCATAACTAATGTGCACGCGGTGCACGTCAAAATTACAAACGACTTGCTTCACGCTTCTATCGCAATTTTGAAGGCAACTACGTTAACTCCTCAGTTTTGAACCATTTACTTACCAAGAGGTAAGATACTTAGCTTCTGATATTCGAATTGGTCGGCGCAGCGGACCACGGAGGCTATTATGTCAGTGAACCCACACCCACTTTTCGTGATTATGGACACCCGAACATGCCTCGAAGACTCTTGGGCCCAGCCAGGGCGGATGTTGTCTGTCTTTCAAGAATAAGAATGTCACAATGTAGCGCATCAACATGATTCAACAATCGGTGATAGATTAGCAATAGCATGATTCGGTCGTCGTGGGATTGTAAGCCGGAGGTTACTTGAAAGTAGTAGTTTAGAGAGACACCAGATAGACGGTGGACGATGACAGAGCAAAGGCCATAATTAACACCGTTACTTGTTTTATTTGCTGGCTTAGTCTTGAAAAAAAGCGCAGAGTACGTTCTCCTTAAGATTACAAATGGCTGTGATAGATACACATACTTACATCAACGGGCGAGCAGTCTATCTGGTGGACGATGACAGAGCAAAGGCCATAATTAACACCGTTACTTGTTTCATTTGCTACCTTAGTCTTGAAAAAAAGCGCAGAGTACGTTTTCCTTAAGATTACAAATGGCTGTGATAGATACACATACTTACATCAACGGGCGAGCAGTCGTAAACAATGACATTCCATGTTGTCAATCTCATCGCTGCGTACTCAGAATTCCGAAAAAAATGAAGAGTTTTCTTGCAGTCTCTCGCATTTTGGCAACACATGTGTTGTTGTATGCTGCAGAGGTACTCTCGAATCCGCCTCCGCCGACCGGGAGTGACTTCGTTTACAATGAGTTTCTACGGGTAACGCATCTACCATGTTGGACGGAGGGCTTCACTCACGAAATGTGCTGCAGTGGGCGGATGGACCCGCGACTATGCGGACTTCAATCCTACAAGGACATGAGCGAGACAGCGATGGAAACCTTTTCCAAGTACGTTTTGACAGAGGCTGAATGTTGCGGCACGGGCTTCGCAATGCGCGCCCCTTACGATCTGACACCGCCTGAAAACACCAAATGGACATCAACTAACAACGAGAAGACAGGAGGTGTCTATCTACCACAGATGCATGCAGCAACTCCACAAGGAAACCAAGAGCAGATGAGTGGCGCTGAGCAGGCTGAAGATACTGAGTCTGAGGTCTCTGCAGAACAAGTAGACGAAACTTCTTCTTGTCCAGCCTGGCACTCCTGGGATGTCAGTCGACATCCTGCGCTCCAGCCTGCGCAAATCAACTGGGAGAAGGGTTTCGAGTATGCTAGTCCCTATTGGGGTTGGGACGGGCGGAATAACTCACGAATCCTGATGGACGATGCAGCCAAAGGGGAATTAGAACCGGGAAGCACGTCCTCTTCGGTAAGTAACGAGGAAGATTCAGCACACCTGCATTTTCGCATGTACAAGGCACAGGGTGTTGCCTTTTTGCCGGGCCTGTACTCCGCAAGGTACATGGATCTCTGGGATGCCGAGCAGACAACTGTGAAGGAGATAATGTCGAAAGTAGCAGATCTGAGAAAGGGAGAAAAAAGCAGAAGTGCCGTCGCAGAAACAGCATCACGGCCATATCCGAACTTATGCACTTTCCTCGATCTAGGCGGCAATCTTGGCGGTGCTGCGATCACGCTGGCAAAACGGTTCCCGGAGTTGAGGGTGATATCTCTCGAGCCCAATCCTTTGTTTTGCAGGTTTTTGATGTGGAATATCAAAAGAAACAACCTCCTAGACCGTGTGTGGCCGCTGTGTGTTGGTTTAGCCGTAGAGAAAGACGTGCTACGTGCAGGAGCTTCAACACAAGAGGAAAATACTCCTGGTGCAGAAGCTGAAGTAGGAATTAAGGCAGAGGAGCAGAAAACTTTGGCGGACACAACGACACCTGTCCGTCGCCGCTTTACTCCGAAATGTATGGACAATTTGCATGCGCATGCCTGCAGCAAGCAGACTCACCGCACATTCTCCGAGGAAACGCGCAACGAGATAGGGAAGCCACAGGACAGTGTACCTATAGTAGAGTGGACTGGCGAAATGCTGTTTAGGGCGTTAGGGATGTTAACCACGACCACGACCACAACAGAACCGGATATTTCTAGAATGTCGCACATCACCAGCGAGAGCGAAGCAAAAGCCTTTTCCGCCTTTGACCTTGTGAAGATAGACTGCGAGGGCTGCGAATGGGAAACTCTGGTTGCTGCAGCGGTTCACAACTGGAGCATGCTGAAAGAGGAACAGGACTACGATACACCATCACCAGAGCTCCTTGGTAGCGTAAAATCTAGAAGTGGAACTACGACAAGTAGTGGAGCCATTGCTTCAACGACAAGGACAGGTCGCGGTAACAGTTTTTTTGCGGAAAATATCCTTGGGAGGAGCGTGATCATGGGTGAGCTCCATTTTCACTTCGCGCCACAGAATTCAGACCTCTTGGACGTCACGAGCTTTCGTCGGGACACCTGCCGAGCACCGAGGCTCTCGAGTCTGGAGTTCATAGGTTTGAATGAAATGCGCAGCCTCCTTTTGAAGTGTGGCTTCTAGTACGTAGTAGAACTTCCCCAATATGTATGGGACCGCTAAAGATATTCTTGCTCACTCTTTGTTCTTCTCATACTCCTTCTTCTACTTCTCTGTTGATCATGAATCTTCTTCTTGTTACGCAGCTCCTATTTGTGGTTATTCGCATTCTTCTCAACGTACCGCATTCTAGCGAGATCAAGTCGAAGAACACAGGTATGGATTTCTTCAAATTGTTCGCCCCTGGGTACTTCTACTTCCCAGAGTCAGTAACTGAGAAGCGAGAGATGCTGTATAAGAAACGATAGATCGTTCTAGCAGCTGCGAGGTGGCAGTGTTCCGGTCAATGAGAGATGTAGTAACTTTTGTTTTCCTCGGCAACGACAATTACAATCAACGAGTTATTTTGTAGTATGCACAATCTATATGCCAATGCCACCATTTGAACTTTTTGTAGTTTCATCTAGCAATCCCAGTCTGCATGTGGCTGGCTGAAGCTGTGGAATCGATGGCAGTGCGAGCGGTATAGATAATATGATGAAAGCGTTCCGATTGTTGCGGTGGCGAAGCGAAGAAAGTTCTTTAGTTAGATAATTTTGGATGTTGTAGTTTTACATGTCAGTGTAAAAGTAAGTATGAATGCATCCTATCATTAATCAGGCCCGCCCCTATCTTCAACCCGGAACTTAGTCTAGCCTTTAGTATTCCCAAATGTGAACAACCTTGTAACTTCTGCTTTCATCGCGTTTCTATTTTTGAATTCTAAGACAAGAAAATAAAGCAGCAAGAGCAACAAGTTGTCTATATCAATTTTTTGTCATAGAAAAACCAACATTACATAAACATAAAGAGTCAGGAGGTTGCAACCTCTATTTCTATTCTTCTGCAAGAAACCTTAACGTTAGCCAATAACCAACGCAGCGGAGGCGGACTACAACGACTACAAGTAGTTCGTACCAACTACCAAACTGAGTGTACATATATTAAGAGGGATAAACAACAACATCAGCAACAGGTTTTGCGGTAGCTTTAGCTACATTTAATGTATCCGGGTAAATAGAAATACCTTCTTTCTTTCATAATCAAACTCGCAGCGTAATTCATGATAATCCAGAATCACAGTCATATACTCGTCTTTATTTCGCATAGGCATCAGGTCCCTGCTCTACTCTATTTTCATAGTAGTCCATCTCTAGTACTTCGTCCCTAGCTAGGTCTTTGAAGTCTTGATTATGATTAGATTGGCACGCCGACGCCGTCGAGGTCGGCGCGGCCTTGATTGAATTGCAGTGTCAGTGAATTGGGACCTTCACAACTTGACCGATTTGTTCATGGATGTCATGATTGTATTAAATTCGTCGAATTATTCGGAATATGTCTCTTTCTTAATAGTTTTGATTTGATGATCATAGATCATGTTAACGTCAAGATCGCAGATCGAAAGTGTTTCGTCTGTGCTTAAGCCTGCCGACCACGTTCTTGGTCACGGCATCACGTAATCGTAACCCGTGAAAACTGACACTAGGAGCAAATGTCGATCAAGGACCCGAAGTTGGAGCTCAAGATCGCGGAGAAGCGGCGATTAGCGGAGGAAGGTGAAAAATGGGTGGTAGAGCCACGAAAACTGACATCGGCGGACGCTCGCATGGGCGAGCGTGGGGGAGAAAACCCGCAGAGCCTGCTTGAATTCGAGAATGCGCCTCGTGCGTCGATTTCGGATTTCCACGCCGCCGATCCTGCCACTGGCACAGCCGTTGACGCGAACGCGCGTCTCGACGTGCATGGCACAGCAGGGAGATTCGAACGGACCTCCGAAGCAGATCAGTCATCCAATGGAGGTCGCGAGTCTTCTGGTCGGAGAGCACGCGGCCTGAAGAATGCGTCAAGTAAAGGCACATCGACTAGCAATGATGTGGGAACATCGGAATCTTCTTCACCAAATAACTCACCCGGAGGTGGTGACACTGATATGTCACCTCATGCAGACGTGAGTCTTGAGTCGCCATCGCCGACAACTGCTGCTTTCTCTGATTCACGAGCCCGGGAAGAAACTACCGGCCACCCCACGGCATCAACGAAAGCAGGAGCCGATGTTCCACAGGAGGAGCAGCGGCAAGTAGATGTGCATTTAATACGTACACCAAAAGCCAAATATCAAAGAGAAGATCGTGGCTCATCTACTTCTACGAAAGCACCCGTTCCGGTAGAGAACGCGACGTCATCGTTGCTTCCGACCGAGCGGGAAAGGCTATTGCACCGGATCGTTCAGCTAGAGGACTGCAGTCGAGGCCTAGCGCGCCGCCTTGCGCAAACGTCGGAGGAACTATGCCTGTGCAAGGCCACGCTGGACAAGCACAATCTGAGTACCGTGACGGGAGAACTGCGTCCCCGACGAGCAGATGATAGTGGAGCGGCGAATGCACTTGCGACGATTATGATGTGGATGAGTTGTGTTATTCTGATTTCTAGTCTTCATCTTCAACCTTGAGATGATGTTCAAATAACGACGAACGAAGAACGAAAACATTTCTGCATCACCAGGCTTGAAGCAGCAGCTTCAGCTTTTTCTCATGAGTTTCGAGGAGTCTCTCTCTCATCTGGTCATTTTACCTTTTTCTAATCTTCTGTGGGGTGACCTGTCTCGTTCGCTCGCCAGTGCTTTCGGTTTGACAGAGGTAACCACAAGTCCACGCATGCAGCGCCAGCGACGTGCGCAGCAGCCGAACTTTAAGGCCGAGCCTCAAGCCGAGAGACTTGAAAAGCAGCACCAGCAACAGAGCAACCAGGAACGCGGAGTCTCAAGAAGTTCTGGCCATGGTACATCAACGTCTAGTACAAGTGGTTCCAGCAACAAAAGAGCACTAGGTTCTACAGCAGCTGCACGTGTCGAAGGGCTTGGCACACTCTTTGCTGGTCTTTTTGGACAAGGACCCTATGCGTCTACGAGCACTAGCAGTCGTTGCGAAGCTGCGAATTCCTCTGACAAGCAGGAAGTAAAAGCGGCACCGGGAGAGAACCCAAACAATCATGCTAGTAAGGGAGAGCGACAGACTGGCAGTGGCACCTTATCGCAGCAACAAGTAGATGACGACTCTGCGGCTGATACGACAACAGCATTGCTAGAGTTTGTCGATGCGGAGGCAACGCTTATGAACAATGACTTTAAAATGTGCAAATCAATATTCAGTGAACTTTGATTTTGAAAAGCTTCAAACTCAATTAGAGAACTGCTGTAGTTCTTTAATTGAGTTTGAAGCTTTTCAAAGTTGGTCGTTTTAGTTATTCACCTGCTAGTATAATACATAGGTTCTACATAAAAAACGTTGAGAAAATTGCGTCAACTACATGATTTTCGCTTCATTCTCTGTTACGCCATGCTAGAGGAGGAGCGCAATCGCTGGGTAAGCACCACCAACGATACACTCCTGCAGTTGAACTCGTTGCAGCAGCTACTGGAGTTATGGATATAGGGAATTCATCTCCAAAGTCATCTGGAAGAAACTGACAAGAGGAAAAAGGGAGCCAGAAGATGATCCCTGATATGAATTCCCGCTTCCTCTAGTGGAGGTAAAGCAACTCGAGTGTGATCGTCTGAAAGCTGATAAAAATGAATTGGTAGAAAAGTCAAAAACAACTCTCCGCGACGAGATGCGTAAGTACCAGCAGCGAATTCGTCGCGCTTTCACAAGCAGTCTTGCAGCCGGAGGACGACCACAGCGTGTTGTTGTTACCTCTACCGCTTCGAGTAACAACATGGACGTTAACACCTTTGTCGCAGGGGGAGGCTTGTCGATTGGGCAAGAAGGAGTACTAGATCTAGGCGGTGGCGCGACTTGTTCTGCGCTTGGAGCTATGAATGAACATCGTGATACGTCGCAGATTGGCTCTGCCGTGATAACCCGTTATGACGATCACGAGGTAACGCGATTTTCAGAAGAAGAAGGGCAAGCAGGATTTGAGTCAGCGCCAAACTCTAACTCTGTGACTCAGGAAGCGGAAAGTATGATTGAAACGGGCTTCGGCTTTTTTCCATCGGCACGCTTGGAGTCCGACCAGAGCGGCAAAATGATTGGCATCGGCAACGTCATGCTCAGCAATGGGATATTAAAGCTTGGGGCAAGTGGCGGGTCTCGACCTCCAACCTCGCAAACAGAAGCCGGGCTGGACGCTTCTCCTGGACTTGCACCGAGCACAGTGCAGCAGTCAAAGTTACAGAAAGAGCAGCAGTCTTCACTTGCCCTTGGAGGCTTGCACGATGTGGGTTCAACCGAGCAGCTTCAGGATTTGGTTCTATCGAGTGTGATGCACGAAATCGACGAAATAGACAAAGAGGAAGCTGCCACCATAGAGGAGATATTTGAGCAGACCGATTGGGCTCGGTTACTCGCGTGTGAGCCTCTTTTGCCTGAGGATTACGACTATCTGCAGAAAACGAGAAGCCAAACTCGGCGCAACTCGCAGCAGCAGGAAAACTCCGAAGGATTCTTTGCCGCTCCTCGAGGCGAGGCTGCAAGTGCAATGGAAGGAGACGCTAGCAGAGTCGCTAGCACTGGACGCACGAGCCCCGCTGCCACCAGTCCTCGAGCATCTTCGTCACCAGTTGCCGCATCTGGCAGCAGCTATCCAAATACGACATCCCCCCGAACAACCACTGTCACTTTACTGGACGACAAACGACTGTTAGAAGTCGTAGATCTAAGTCCCCAAGCCCGTCAATCCGCCTCAGGAGCATCTTCTAGTATAATGGGCAATAAATTTGACGAAGAGGCCGACTCAAGTGGCGCACAGTTCGAACTCGTGTCTTCTTCAGGTGACCAGGGCGATGTTGGAGGTCGGTCGAGTATACAGGCACGCAAGCCATCAACGGTGGAGCATTTCAGTATGGTGGACGACGACGGAGATGACCATGACGAATGAGCCTCGTGGAAGACGGTTGTGGCTGTGGGGGAAAAACGTCAAGAAGATTTCACTATTGATGTGATGTCAGCACTTTTGATGATGAACTTGGAGTGACTGTGACACTGGGATGAGCAGACGAGCCATTGCTGTCCATCGTGTAAAAAAAACCCTTGTTAAAAAAGACAAACATAGCATTAGCATGCTTCTCTTGATAACGGAGAATCCTACTCCTGATTGAGATATAGCCTTGCGACAGTCTACAAATCACAAACCGGCATGCACTACCAGTCCTTACTAAGTGCTGACTTTGTGACGTGATGGTGGTCGTCATCTGTGTTCAGGGAATCCGTGTTTCAAAAACTCAGGGTTGGGTCCAGGAAAGAATTGGATCTCTAAAATAGTTGTCGGAGGCATTAGTTACTGCTCCGGGATCTTGTCGATCGATTTCTCTTGTAGTGCAACAAGACCATACATCCATCCTCAAAACACAACAGAACTGACGATGATTGACAGGAATAATATCATATCGGTGAGGCTAGGGCTATCGTAGCTGATCTTATCATGATGATGCGCTCACCCGCTAGCGCTACCGCATCTACAACTCGCCAACAAGTGAGCAACCTCCACCACCACCGTGGTAGCACCACCCTCAGGCATAACCTAATTGTGTTTCAATGTTGACCTTGACAAGAATTTAGCCAAATAGACGTACATCATCGTTGTTGATAGCTTCATCTACTTCGCTACTGATGCTATATGACGTCGTGGAGACGATAAATACTTGCAAACTTTCTGAGAAGTTTTTATATTCATTGGTTGTTTGTTAAGAGAAGATATAAAGTTTAGCGTTTTATTTTTCTTAGCACAGCAAGGACAGCGACAAGAAGTGTAACTAAGTACTAGCACTGCGTCGAAAATGAGTATGAGACGAAAGAAGTCATGAAGTCTACTCTGATTAAAAACAGAACGTGGATTGTGTTGTAATGAGCAAGTTCGTCATTTTTCATTCCATTTACCTCGAGATTACTGTCGCCACCGAAGTCTATTTGAATACAACTAAGTACCTAGAGGTAGATACAGACGCCATTTTTTGTTGTAAACCACAAGAGGACTAAAAAGATGGGTGACTCATTCCGGTCTCCACCCCCAGCGCGACGCCGCTCGTCATGTGCGGGCGAGGCGCCAGGAGTGACTTCGCCCATTCCCCCAAGGCTTCGAAAACCAACAACAAGAGGGCGGAAGAGCAGAGAGCGGGACGACCTACAAAGGGCTTACACGGAAGCCACGAGCAGATCAACAAAGCACGAGGGCGAGCGCGAGGCAGTGGATGACAAAAATAGCAACTCCTTCTTCGTAAAAAGCGACGGAGATGGTGGCGGTGTCAGCTTCAGGGAACCAGTAGGAAAGTCTAACGATGCTGGCACTGTTGCATTAGAAAAACGCCGCGCTGAGGCAGAGACAGCGGCTGCTTCTTCGTCTGACATTGATGCGAGTGATTTGAAGCCTCTACCGCGAATTCTAGAAGATGCCCTACTTCACGGCGCAGATCACCGCGGCGAGGTGACGCGTAATGTGATCCAATGGAGTGCGCCGCGTCGTCGTGTTAGTGGCTTCCTCTCTTCTCCTGTGGGCGAGGTCTTCACACCCATTAAGACCTGCAAGCTTCATATTTGTGGACTAGTATACAACTTGACTCGTAATTAAATAATCTCAAAAAAGAGCGCTCAAATATGTAAGACAAATTCAAATATGAACTGTTTCAACCTTTAAACCCAGTCGGTTGGATTTTGCGGGAGTTCACCGGGAGGACTGGGGAAGAGCTGTCTCAAGCGAGGCCAGGAAGCAAAAACTACTAGGAGAGCAGCAGCAGAAGCCTGAAGGTGTAGCTTTAGAGTTACATCGTCAGGAACACGGCGCAGGAGCTGAGAATAGGAGTCCCAAACTAGAAAAAGAAGACCCACGGAGGCAGAGTGCCGAAGGAGAACTAGCTGGACTGCATCAGCGTAAAGCCGTAAAGGAAGATCCGATCATGAAGCAGGACACAAAAATAGACGAGAAGCATCAGCAAGTCGAAGGAGCTGAGATCGTGGAGGAGCCACCCAAAAAAAAGAGGAAGAAGGGTCGCAGTGCAGCAGATGATCACTCGTCTCAACGGCAACAATCTCAAAGAGAAGTTCGGCCATTAGGATTTCTCGAGAAGCAAGCCTCAGGAGAAGAAGGCTACGAAGGTGTAAAGCAGGTGCATGACGATGGCGTGTGCAAGTACATGCATAGAAAAATCAAGGACCTGCTGAACAAACCGCAGAGCCGGGAAATGTTCAGGAAAGTTCTTGACGAAGGCTGTGGCTACGTTGTGTTTTCCGGTGATTTTATGACAGGCTTGAGCGATTGCATTCAAGATCGCTATTCCTGCGGCAGTCTTTTGTCTTACTTTTCAGTGGAAAACTGAAACTAAACGCGGGATAAAAGATTCGTGATGCAATTGATCGATAAACTCTAAGACATCATTTTGGCCTACGACGTTTCCACCCAGCCAGCACCCTGCTGGTGATATCATCGAGGCAGTCCGAGCGGATCTACAGGAGGTTTTGGAGCATGACACGGCAAGACTGAGCAGCAGCAGCGACAGTACTACGCTTTTACAGACGTACAGGGTAGACGCGAACGAGGTCGGAGATGCGCAAGGTCTCGATATCGACCGAGCCACCGAAACGAACAGGCTGAAAGATGCGCATCTTGATCCCATCAGCGAGGAAGTAGAAGAAACGTCGCAAACTCCTCTCGTTGGCCGCACACCCTGCAGCAATAACTTCGCGGATCGCCGCTCGTCTGCGTCGTCGTCGTCTCTTCTGCATTACCGCGGTGCCGGCTCGTGCATGAAATGGCAAGTCCTAGAGTCTGGGCATAAAGATCAGCGATGTAATCAGGTCCATCGCAGCATGCGCAACCCAGGAACCGAGCACGTGTGGTTATGATTAAGGAGCTTCATTCTTAATTTTTAGATGCCTGCTTATCTCATTCTCAACCTATCTCTAAGTTGTGCGCTTTTCGTTCTTGTCTTTGGCAGTAGGTTACCGTTGATTGCGCCAGCTTGATTGAGCTTTACTTCTATGTATCAGCCAAAGAAAAAAGTTAAAGTCGCAGCCGGTGGCATTGAATGCTGCGAATGCTCTGTATTCGTCTTACTCGTAAACTTGAAATAAGCGAGTTGAGAAAAAAATAAAGAAAGGGGCCTTTATGTAGTTCTCGTTTTTAAGGGGAAAATCGGTCCTTACCATCTGTGAACATGGTAGCTCCTCTGGTTCCGATTGGACTCGGAAACAGGGCCTGACGTCGGCCTATATTGCGAACGAGCAGTCTGGAGTCGCAGAATCGTTATGAATTTCTCATGGTATGGCTAAGTAACTACTTAGGTATTGCACTAAGTACTTAAGTACTTAGATGTGGTTCAGGACTGGGAGCCTCGTCCTGACTCTATTTCACTTCACGTCACAGCAAGCAGCAGTCTATGCTGCTTCAGAGGAGTGAAGGGAGGACCGGCAGGCGCTGCGAGATGATGTTGCCATAGGGTTAGGAGGGCGGGGGTGCAGAATCTGTTGGATTCACTAGGCAGTAGTGATCCAGTGTTACTGGCAGACATGTTGTTCCTGATTGTTCTTCATGTGGTCATAACATTTCCAGTGTCAGAACCTAGTCGAATTTGATGATTAGAAACACGATCCCGCAGGGGTATACAGCTATGTCCAGGCGCACGAAGGAAAGCGTTTGAATTTCACAGTAACGCTCGGAGAAGCGTTTGTTCCCCAATATCAGTATGAGTCTGAAAGTTCAGGGTCGGTCTCGCTCTTACCTTCATACATCGGCACAGTGATCGGTAAAGAGTGCTGGACCACAGACAGAACTCGGTCGCTTCGTGTCGTTTTTTGATTTTTCTATTCGGCTGCAAAAGAGCTCGAGAGTGCCCAAAAACGCACGCTTTATCAAGACACTTTTTCCCCAATCCCCTCGAGATGTTTGCAGTTGGACCTGAAACCGACAAGGGCCTTCCCCTAGCATAGTCCTCCTCCTTTCTCAGCCTTTATTTGATCGCCTCAAAAAGGACTCTTTCTGGTCGATTATAAGTAGATATAGTGCTGAAGAAACTGATACTTACGGACTAGAGAACTGAGTACGCGGGATATCACCAGTCAAAAATGAGCGGCTTTTACAACCTGTCAGCCGGACTTGGATTTGGCTCGAATGTCTTAAATCCGCAGCGGGTCGGCGGCCTGAATAATACGAGTACGACCACGAGCGGGGTTTTCAGGTCTGGCTCTGGCAACGATAGGCGCGACGGCGGAACTTCGGGTAGCAGTAGCAGCACGAGTACAACGTGGGCCCAGAAGCAGAAGAGGCCTGCTATGGTGTGGACTAGTAGTTCAGTAAAAAGTAAGCACTTATTATGGAGTAGGAGGCTAAGTGTGTGTGTGCGGCTGTCTCTCTTGAAGAGGAAAGCTTGCGAATTACATCAGTAAAAGAGCCTGGCTGAGTAAGTAGTCTGACTCTAACAACGAAAGCGCCGCTGGCTTTGTGAATGAGTTGATTCGGAGCGAGCAAGCTTCGTATGCTGCAAGGAAAACGCATTTGGCAGGAGCGTCACTTCTTGGCGCATCCAGTTCGTCGAGCAGCAGCTCCAGCAGTTCATCTTCTTCTAGTTCTGCATGGAAATCGAAATCTGCCCCGATTGAATCGGGAGCGAAGTCCAATGCGCCAAGGATTGAGGGGATCAAGCAAGCTACGAGTAAGCGGCCCAAGCAAGGAGGCGACAGGCTCCAACTGCATGAAGACTCAGACTTGCTTGATGACTCTTATTTTCGCGGAGATGGTGCTTTTTCAGGCGGTAAGAAAGACGGAGGGCTCGAAATGGCTCAGCGGGCCCATGCCAAGCCAAAAAAGAAGCCGAAGAAGCAGTACATTCCGTCAATCGAGGAGGCGCAGTTTCACAATTATGTTGAGGCAGTGAACGTCCGTTGTAGTATTTTCGTACTCTTAAAGTTGCAACTCGTATCCTATTCCAGTATCTCCGTCTAAGTAGACTTCTTTCGGCTTTTACTTGAGTCAAGTAGTACTTATAAGCTGTAGAATTTGACACTGATCTCCCTTGCCCGACAAACTCCCCTTCACTCTTTCACGTGCTGCCGACGAACAACGACGCCGAGACCGATGGGGTATGAAGTCACTATCTACTTACCACACCAAGCTACGGGTGACAGTTTCGACGACCTCTGGATCTAGTTCGAGTTGAAGAAAATTTAAGGAGCCTAGTGCGTGTATGTACTTACTCAGTACTTCGCTGATACCCCTCAGGCATAAGCACTTATATAAATCTCATAGCACGACGTAAGTAGGAGTAGGAATTCAGTTTCAAAGTCCTCACTTTGATCAAAACAGGCTGCCAAGATGAAGAAAGCAAGCCCGACGATCGCCATGCTTGCGCAAACGTTAAAAGTGCAAAAGCAGCAGTCTTACCCTACTGGGCAGCGCATCATAATCGGTTTATTAGCGCTGAAGATGCAGAGCGCGTCGAAGGTGCTTAGGGTTAGGAAGTTGTAGCTGGCATAAGTGCTTGTGCATTTACGAATACTCCCACTTGCGTTGTAAGTAAGTAGTAAGCACTCGCTCTCGATCAGACGAAGTATAGCCAACGCGTCACCATCAACTTCAACACGACAGGGGCGTGGCCAGCTACACATACCTTCCGCTGCTCGGATCATTTTCCAGAACAGCAAGGTTGAAAGACGATACTACGACGTCGTCAGTCGTGCGATCGATTTGTGCAAGGTGCATTTTACTGGACCGGAGCGCCGCGAGTTTTTCGGCAATCCGGATATCACTGCGGACGATTTCACCAAGTTCGTGCGCAGCAAGTTTGGAAAGTGCGAGCTGACACGCAAGCGGGCCCCTGGAGGTATCGACGATATCCTTTTTATTTCGTTTCTGGCTTTTAAGAGTCTCCTATTCTGAGTTTCACATGTGGATATGATGGCGTCGAGTACTTATCTGAAAGTGTTTCAGTTGCTGGAGTTCTAATTTCTATCGCAGCTCAGTATCTCTATCCCAATCACATCGTCGCGTTTTCAGGTGGTCGGAAAATTATTGCACCCGAGATACACGAGGAGTTATACGATTTGTTTTTATGCTGCCGCCAGGTCTGCCTTTTTGTCTCATCTCTGGTGCTGGTCTGTCGCAGCCTTCTATCTCTATCATGCACGCGACAGGCCATCCCAGATCAAAAAGTGAAAAGGCCAGGAATTCTATGCTTTCACTGTTTTTGCATTTGCGATGTTGTGGCGCAAAAACGACAGTACAGCTGCTGATCCGGATTGGGAAAGTAATCGCTGAGCAGAAGAAGGAGGAAGGGACGCAAGTCCCCCAAATCAATAGAGACTGGGTCGGTAGGTGGTTGGAGTCGTATGACTTAAGTCTACGACTCCCCAACTACCGACCCAAACTGGAGGAGGTCGAGCAAGCCTCCCGGTAATTAATTTGTCAATCTTTTTAGGAACAAGTCAGTCTCGACTCAGCGCGACCATTCTACGTCTTGTTTCTGGAGTGCTTTATTAATTCCTTGAGTCACTTCTGCCAACCTCTGACACGCCTCTATCTACTTTCTTTTCCCTGAATATGGCAGGGTGCTATCAACGTGGCAGACCACGTGGGCCTGTTTATCATTCTTGCGCCGCCTTGGATTCCGAGTGCGTATTCGCAATTTAGATTATGGCTACAAACAAAGAGAAGCTGTTTAGTTCCAGCAAAGTGCTTGACTTTGTAGCGGTATAGTCAGTATCTGGGTAAATATGCAGGAGCCTTCAGTGAGTAAGTAACAGTAGGTGCTTGCTCTAGTGAGTTACTGCGAAGCACTATGGTATTTAGACTTCTCTTCCACGCTCTAACCTTCTGAAAAGCCTATTTTTATGAACTCGACGTCAACCGGGAAGATTGTGGCGCAGGTTGGAAGCAGATCCGTCGGGGTTGTCGAGTCTTATGGTCATAGAGCACCTAATTACGCAGCTCTTTACCGATAAGCAAGCACTTTTTATTTTTAGTGCGGGCGCGTTTTTGATTATTTGTAGCTCTAGTGATAGCCAAGGAGAAGCGCGACTTCTCCAGGACAGTTTCAGACCAGTAGAACAATCTGTTTGGCGGGGCCTCCCTCCATCATCTTCTAACATCAGCATGGGCAGACCCGTTCACGTTTTACGCTTTTGACGCAGGTTTGCAGTGAGTTTTTGTCGCTGCCATGTCCACCCGCGATTGAGATCTTGTTTCGTGGTGGCGAGCAGGTGGAGCAAAAGCTTCAGTCCGTGCGCAACCAAATTGTGCAAGATGGCCTAGTGAGGGCGGACGGCTTGACACTCCGCACAGGGCCAAAGGGGTCGTACGCTAGAGACACGCTCAGAGCCGCGGTCTTAAAACTGGCGCAAGAAGAAAAAGCAGCACTCGAAATTGATTTATTCATTTTTATGGCCAAGGGCTTGCTAATTTGTCGCTGCTTTTTTTCAATTGATTCCCATTGTAATTCCACTCTATAGAAATACTTAAGTAGATGAAGCACTTAGACCAAGAGTAGTCCGTCTATCACTGCCTGATCTTCAAGTGGGGCCCCATTCGTGATCCATCGCCTGGCGCCAGCATCCTCTAAAACATGGGATCACTATCGCGGGCACGAATTGTTATGGAAGTAGAAATCTGAAGGTCCGCCTCGGACTCGAAATTCTGGCTGTTCACCCATGAGTGAACAGCCTCGACGTCAGCCGGAGGCCCTCTTATTTCTATTTCTAAGAACAGACCAGGAGGATCTGATTGGTCACGCCTCCTTCTTCAACTTCATCGGGGCGGGAATAACTGATCGGCTGCAGTTATGGCACTAGTTAAGTACTTACTCACTCAGATAGTGCTACTCATGACGTGCTGCCGACTGGCGACAAGTAACCTACGGTCGTAGCCTAGTGCCGTGGTCAGATTTTCTATTGGTAGTTCAAGTTAGAGGCCGCGTGTCTCATACTCAGAGTCGGACATTGCTCTCGCTGCAGCGCGACACCCGAACGACTCTAACTTCGACAAACGACACGCACCTGCATGGGCCGTTTCAATTATGGAACTGTAATAATTATGCTTTCATCTACTAGGTAGTGCGTCAAAGTTGCCGCGTCTTCCTTCTCATCTTGGTGCCTCTAATCTTAAAAGCCTATCAGATTGAAGAGAACACCAGCGATGCTATGAAGCTGTTGGTGGCACAAGCCCAGTCAGGTGCCAAAGTTTCATGCCCGGTGAATACACGGGATGACGCTTGCCGACGTGTGTGCACAATATGGGAGCGTATGAATTATGGAAATGGAAGTGGTCGTGGTCGTGGATACTTACTCACTTCGTTGACCTACTTGCACTTGCTTAAGTAGTCACTGCTTTTGATTTTGGTTTTGACTCAGTTTCAGACTCAGCCGTCAAGGGCAGTGTGGTAAGCAGTCTTCGGGCTGGTAAGTAAGCACTCGCTTTCTACTTGGATTCGTTGCTACGGCTACCCTCTAACCCATTCATGGCGCTTTCTCCAAGGGCTTCAAGGAGAATGGCCTGGACCCGGCTGCCGAAGATGAGGAAGTCAGAAGTGGGCTGCGAGACTGGTGGAGGAAGAGCTTGGGACAGAGACGGCGCGTTATTACCGAAGCCATTAAGGCAGCGGACAAGTTTCGCGATGAGCACGCAAATTTCAACCGCCAAGACGCGATACGGTTTGTTGTGGAGACCTTCGTCAAACGCTATGCGCCGGCAGGCGAAATCGGCGCTGATATTGATCGTCTCCTCGATTATGTCTGCCTCTGATTTTCATGATTTTCGGACTTAAGTACTTGGAGTTACTTGCTATGTAGATTATTTAAAGCACTCCTTCTAGAACTACAAGTGCGACGCTGTGATGGGTTTAAATATCTGAGCTTCGAAGCAAATACTAGGATGCACAAGCACACTTTTCGACGTGGCATTCCACTGTGAGAGGCCGCCATCTAATAGTGGGATAATTATGACGACTGGAAAGAAGCGAAAGCGAAGGTGAGAGCGGATAGGCAAAAGGAACAGGAGGCAAGGAAACGAGCGAAGCTTGCGCGGCGTGCAGAGAATGCAGGTGGAGACGACTCGTCTAGTAGCGACAACAGCGAAGATGATTCAGAGTTAGACTTCGGCTCCGATTCAGACGGGTCTGACGGTGGTTTTGGTGGTGGACATGGAAGTGCGCTTGTAGACGCGTCTGATCAAGTGCAGCATCTGAGTAGCGTTTTCCATATTGTCTCGGCGGATGTAAACGGCAGACGAACTCATAGTTCTGCTTTCGACGGCAGCGTGACTCATACTGAGCTCTCTACGAAAGAGCGCAAGGAGAAGCTAAAAGATGTTGTTGAGAACTTGAAGATCTTGGGGGAGCACGGGCACCGCACGGCTTTGGAGCTGAAAGCAAAGCGTGCAAAGCAAGCGGATGCGGCGCAGCGCAGCCGGGAACAGGAGACCGCTCCTTTTGGTGAAGAAACCGGCGCAGGGAGCAGTAGCGCAAACCGGTCTCGACAGGCTCCATATGCGCACTTCTTGGAGAGGTTGGAAACAGGGGCCAAGACACTAGTTGCCGACGCAGACCGCCGCATAGAAGACCGAGCAAAACGGATTCAGTTTGAGAATGTTTTCGATAAATTGCAGCAGAAAAAGCAGCAAGACGAGCGTCGGGGTCCAGACGACTTGCCAAAGACGGACTTTTCTGCCAGTCATTTCTGCGACCGACAAAGCATCTCTGACACGTTTGTGCATCTTTTTCGCGGTGCGTTAGTCAATGGAAGCACTGTGCCACACTTGGTTGCCCGCTACATGTGTGATCGTCACCGGATCGAATCTGCGAGAGCGTCTTTTCGTGCAGGGTACGACGATCTTCCTGGTCATTGTTTTCTTCTAGAACGCCAGCTCTCACCAGTTGAAGTTGCGAGGGGTAGCGTGTATTACGCAGCGTGCTGCAATAACGCTTTGAAGCATCTCAGGAAAATTACGGGAGGACGCCTAGTATGTGAATTTTCTCTCTTGCTGATGCTGATTTGATATTGCTACTTTTTCTGGCACTGATTCTAGCAGCTTCAGTTGCTACTTCCTAATCCGAATGGTACTCACTTGCATAAAAGTTAGAGCGCTAGTGCTTATCTCTACTCGGGTTGCCGAGGGGTTGGGTCGTTCTTCATTTCGCATCCTCTAATGAGAAGACGGTGCAGCAGAGGAAAGATTACCTTCAAAGAATCATGCAGTTTTTGATTACGTGGGAAAATAGCAAAAAAGTGGGGTTCCAGCCGGTCGCGCAGATGGCTGCCTCAGGCACGAGTGGAGGCAAAGTCGGAGCAGCGGCGAGTAGCCAAACAAGCAACAGAATCGGCCAAGGCCAACAACGTCAACTACAGCAGAGTGGGAAAGGAGCAGTCGCGCCAGCGATGAGTTCACCCGAACGCCCACGCACTGCGCCGGTACTCATTATAATACTTAAACTCTTAATGCTACATAAGTAGAAGTACGGCCGTCCTCTCTCTCTGACTCTCCCTTTTCTTCTTGGAGATAGAGCCCAGTCCGAGTCCTACTCAAGTACTTATAGTTATCTTATGTGAACGTGAGTTCATAGTCTGTCGTGATCAAGTAGCGTTTTTGTTGTACCTAATAGAAGAGCGCTTTCATATTTAGAACTCCCTCTCATCTTCGATCTCCAAACAAACAGGTGGAGGCGAAAGGCTCGGCTACCGCTGGCACTACGGCACCTGATGGCCCTGGTGGTTCAAGAGTGGGAGCGTTGACTGGGAAAGGATCTAGTAGCACTAGTAGCGCTAGTGTTATTGGAAAAGGAAAAGGATCTAGTAGCGCCACTGCCAGTGCTGGAAGTAGTCGTCCTGCTCCTGTGTCTGTCAATGGGAGAGTTGATGTTGTCGGTAATAGTGCAAGCAGTAGCAGTACTAGTAGCAGCATGAACATAAAGGTGAGCGCTTCTTCTAGCGGTTCTGTTTTGCATGGAACCGCAAAGCGCCCTCACCCGGATGGAGCTCATGCCCCGATGAAGCCTGGAAACGCAAAGGTTGCGAGGCTAGAGCAGCAGCAGACATCAACATCTTCTACCACTGCTACTGGCTCCAAGTCCAACACGAATCCGGCGGTGTCAGCGGCGCAAGCGCGGGGCAAACAAGTAGGAAAGGGAACCGCGCCACCTTCTCCACCTCTTGATGAGGGTCGGCGAAGGATACGCGAGGCGTACAAGCGACTAGGCCTAAACCCGACCACTAATGTCCACAAGTGAATCAGTATAGGTAAGTAATAAGTAAGTAAGTAAGCACTTAAGAGAGTGTTTATAGCAGAGCAGGTCCTCTCTCAGACTCAAGCGAAACAAGAATCGCTGAGTAGAAGCCTAGTATTTGTAAGTGCAGCAGCCTCATTTTGGTAAGTAATAGAAGGTCAAGCAACCACTTAGCACACAACTCGCTCTTACCTGCATAGTGCTAGATAGTAACTTTAAGTGCGCGCTGACTCTGCAACTAGTAAAAACAAGTGATAGCTAGTGTCAGTCTCAGTGTTTGTGGCTGTGCATGGCAGTAGTATAAAGTATTCTGTTTTTACTTGCTCACATAAGTATGTTTAGAAATGCAACTAGTTGGAGTAACAGCCGTGATAGAGAAGATAGGGGTAGACTTTAGACTGAACACTTCTGCGCTACTCTTCGATAGTGATGGGTGTGCTGAGTGTGAGCCGCGAGGGAAACTACTTATCTTCTCCAGCTCTTTTCCCGTTGTGCTTGTGCTGGTGCAAATGATCCTTATTCTTATCCCGTTCCTGACTCACCTAAACCTTTTCAAGACCAGAACTAGCGTCTTTTGTATTGTCTAAGTACTGCCACCATCTAAGTATCAACTTTTGTGAATGTGCTAGAGCAGAGCTTACTTCTGAGTATGAATATCAGTAAGTATACAGATATAAGTAAGTAAGTAGATAAACGTCTACTATTGACATAGATATTTATAGCCTGGAGATATATTTAGGTATAAAGGAGGGCTGCAACTCCATTGAAAGCGAGTAAGCTGGTAGGCGCGCTACGATTTTTACTTATGTATTTGAATATTTAATCAAGGGGCGACGCGTAACGCGATATGGCATATGCGCGCTGCGGGACTCTCAGTCCTCGGGGATCTATAGGGCGTAATTGCAGTCGCGCGCGCAGCGCGCGCAAAAATTTTTTCCATGGAAAGCTGGAGATCGGTTGCGCGGCGCCGCGCAGCCGCATTCCAGCCTCCGGGAAGCTGGAATCCCGCTGCGCGGCGCCGCGCACGCGATCTCCAGCTCCCCATGGAAAAATTATCGCGCGCTGCGCGCGCACCTGAAGTTGCCATCTCTTGATCTCCGAGCGCCTAGAATCCTGCTGCGCGGCGCCGCGCACCTGATCTCCAGGTCCAGAGGGAGAGCAGAACAGAAAGGCTTTGTGGCTTCAAAGTGGGCTGTCAGATGGACCCTATCTTAAGAAGGGATTCCGGGAACCCAAACGACAGCGCCGACCCCCCCTTGGAAACCCGCTGCGCGGCGCCGCGCAGCAGGAACCCAACAAACGAATCCACCCTAAACCTTTACTTTCAGTTCGATTCTTTGGTTGGGTTCCTGCTGCGCGGCGCCGCGCAGCGGGTTTCCAAGGGGGGGTCGGCGCTGTCGTTTGGGTTCCCGGAATCCCTTCTTAAGATAGGGTCCATCTGACAGCCCACTTTGAAGCCACAAAGCCTTTCTGTTCTGCTCTCCCTCTGGACCTGGAGATCAGGTGCGCGGCGCCGCGCAGCAGGATTCTAGGCGCTCGGAGATCAAGAGATGGCAACTTCAGGTGCGCGCGCAGCGCGCGATAATTTTTCCATGGGGAGCTGGAGATCGCGTGCGCGGCGCCGCGCAGCGGGATTCTAGGTGCCTGGAGATCAAGAGATGGCAATTTCAGGTGCGCGCGCAGCGCGCGAAATTTTTTGCCGGTGGAGTTGGAGATCGCGTGCGCGGCGCCGCGCAGCGGGATTCCAGCTTCCCGGAAACGGGATAAGGAGGAGTCTGGAGCTACAGGCGATGTTCAACGAAGGACTTGTTATTTCTCTCTTCTTGATCTTTCTTTCATCTTGTTAGTTCTCTCTAGTATGCAGAACTGAGGTTAGTTGAAGACGCCGAGTAGTAAGTATTTATTTGCGATAGGTAGAGCAGCTAGCGACTTTTTCATCGAAGTAGTGCCTTTTGAGCTTAGATCAACACGATGTCGCGCCTGAGTTTCTTGCGAGTCCAGTTGTATGAGATAGAAGCGGAATCGTTGAGTTTGAATTTGCAACCGATTTCGAGTTTGAGTTTGAATTTCAGAATTAGTTGATAAAACTGAAATTTTTGGTTTTCAACTTGGTATCTACAGTCGAAGCAAGTGCAGTACGAACGAGCGGCATGAATTGAAATCGAATATTTGGAGATAAAATCAAAATTTTTCGAAGTTTGTGAATTCAGTTTGAATCTGAGAAGCCAAGCTTTAGAATTATAGAGGGACTCCTTTCAGGATGATCGTTCTGTAAGACGCTGATGCTCGAGGTAAGACCTATCAGGCTATAGGTTAACCTGAAAAGTGCTCACTGAGATAATTCAAAATTCGAGGTTTTTTTTTTCGAGGGTGTTCTAGAGTGGTTTCATAGACATGAGAGAGGTCCCGTTTGAGTTTATGCTGTCTGGCCATATTCTAGTCCCATAGAGAGTTGCACGAGGTAGCGAAAGCAATAAAAACCACTCATCAAGAGAGTTCAAGACTCGAGGTCGTTTTTTTCCAAGAGTTAGAAAGCGTTTTTTCGTGGAGAGTCTTGTAAAGTATGAGCGTCCTCGTTCCATTTTTTTCGAAGAGAGAGCACAGCTTTGAGATATAGCTTGATCATTCTTCAAAGGGGGCCAAAAACTGCACATCGAGATAATTCAAAATTCAAGCTTTTTCTACTCAGCTGAAAATGTGGCTCTGTCTCCTGGAAATGGAATCGAAATATCACGAGGGATCTTCATCTGCTTACAGACCGCCTGTTTCTGTTTTATCGACATCGAGTTCGATTGTAAGCGTCACTTTTTTTCGATGTCTCTTGTGAATGAAATGATTGCGTTCTCATCGAGTTTTCTCATCGACTCGCAGTTGTATCTCGTCCTCTCGATCTCACGCAGTTTCAATCTCGTAGTCACGCAGTACGAGGCTAACACTTTATCTTCTTCCACGACCAGGGTTTTGCTTTTGTATCCGAAAAACGGACCCAATCTATCTCAGCGTCATCGTCAAACCCATTTTGTAGTCGCGAACTTTCTGAAAGTCTAGCAATATACTTGCAAGTTTTCAGGTACCACACTACTAACTTACATTCTTCCAAAGAGATATAATTGTCTAGTACGAACCAACATCAAGAACAGTCAAATTACTTTCGTCGTCGAAACAACTACAAGCCCTCTTCTCGTTTCTGCATCCAGTCGAATTAAGTCGCTGGTTCTCACGCGGTACTGCGTAAAAGGAAGATTAGAAATCAAAGTAGTAGCAGCAAGGACGCCTCGATCTCCAACAAGAAGAACACGACTCAGGAGCTTCATCTTCAACGGAACCAAAACATCTTACATCTCTTCTTCTATCGACGAAAACTAGTTTGCCAGCATAAGTGCGAAGATGTCCGAGCTTCACGTGAATGGAGTGCCAGGACCGGACGTCCATGTGGATGCACTCCAGCACGCCAACAGCAAGGATAACCCTCTCGCGCATCTGGAGCAAATCTGCTGCCTCATCGACCAGCGCGGTGCAGAGTTTGAAGGCGGCTACCTGCCGGATACTGAGAAGACCTACAATCTCTTGTACGATCCTCGTCGCTTTATGCCGTCTTGTAACGAGTACGATGATGTTGGCACATTCTTACGGCTTGGTTGCGTAACAATTTCTGTCCTGCTTCTGTATTAGCGATAGCGCCCATCAGCATCATTTTCTTATGCAGATAAGTGCTTCGCTGTTGGTAGTATTAGGTACTCCTATCCCATTCCCACTTGCACTCCCGCCTCTAAACCTTCCGACCTTGGCGAAAGTCCAGCATTTGCGCAAGGCCGTGAATCTCAAGGAAGTGGCGTGCCAAATGCGGTAAAGACAGTCATAATTATCGTTTTTTATTTGTGATGTGTCACTCTTTTGATGAGTAAGCAAGTGGTTGTCTTCATGGCTCGTAAGTGCATCTGATGGCGATTTTTGTAAGTAGATGCCCTTCTTCATCGACAAGCATATCCTACTGCACCTCCTCGTCCTTCCGTGGCCAGGTATGACGAAGAGGCGAAGTCTTTTACCAACAGTGCTGCTGCGTGGGCGTGGATGTGGGACGTGGTCGAGTCCGAGGAGAAGATGCCTTGTTCTTTATGGGCGCCGAAACGTGTCCTCAGAGGTGATTTGTTTACGAGAGTCGGACAGACAGACGCACTGGGCAACTATCAGACGCTCACTCCTCCGAGTACTACTTGTTTACTTATTTGTCTTCTGTATCTTTGTAGTCTAGCTCGAGCTCGAAGCTCTAGAAGGTTGTCTTGGTTCTCTAGTGCTTCTCTTTGTAAAGCTTATCTTTCTCAACCGACAAGTGGCTCATCTTCCACGATTTCTTTTCTTCATCTCCGCCCCAGTTCGCGTGTTGTGCCGTTTGTATATGGCAGAAGAGGAAGCCATTACTCAGGCAAAAGGAGTGCAGTTTGTCTCCTCGAGAGACGTGGGAAAGAGCATTCAGCAGAAGATCTCTTTTGCTCTTCCCGGTCGCCGTATTACGGAAACGAATGCGCACCGCTTTGCGAAGTACTTACTAGCACAAGTGTGAGAATGGGTTTGAGCATGATCATTTAGTCCAATTATTGTGTCGCTCTTGTGCTTATGGTTTGATGGATGACGGATCGCGAGTCTTCTTTCTTACTTAAGTATGATATTCTCTGTCACATCAAGTGCAATAGAGATTCACTCTTATCTTCTCTTTTTACAGCTGCTGCAAGAACCTTTTTGATATCAAGCGAAATGGTCACCTCGTGCCGCTTTACATTAAGGCTGTTGCCAGTGCCATTGGCGCATCTTTAGCGTCGTCCTTGGCTTTTTTTGTCAGTACTTGGAAATAGCTATAGCGCCAAGGATGCTCTGAGTCTGAAAGATGCGACACGGCAGGCACCTCTAAATCCAACTCATTCACACGCGTGTACAATCTATATGCATTGTCGACCGATTGCCCGCTGGTTATGGGAAATTGAGTAGTAAACTATTAGTAGCAGATTGAGGAACTACTGAAGCTGATGCTTCCATCCCCGACTTTAACATCACCAGCCTCAATCTCCAAACCCCCGCTTTCTAATCTGTACGGAATTACGGCCTTGGATTCCTTGTTGTCGGAAGTCTCTCAGCCGACCCTGATGAGATTTTTCGACGATTTTGAGAACGTCGAAACTCGTGCGAAGCGTGCCCATAGCCAGGGCGAAGCCAAAAACAGGCACCGAGGCAAGGAGTTCAAGTGGAGCGAGAAAAGCCTGCTGCTGGAATGCAAGCTCGTCCAGTGTACTCTTACATAAGTGCTCACTATCAATCCAATGATTTTTTGACTGAGAGAGACTTCAATCCTGAATCTGATGCAGTACGTCTTTCCTTGCTTAAGCTTAAGACCAGTATCGAGCATCCTTGCGAAGTCTTCAACTTTATTGTTACAACCCCCAGCTCAAATGGACTTCATTCACATGCTGAACGCGGCCTGTACGGACGTATTCGATCCGCTTCATCTTTTACTGGTCTCGGAAGGAGATACCGAGGTACTATCGTGATTCTTTCTGCTCGTGTCTATTTGTCACGTTTTTCAGTGATGTGAGTGAGTAAGTAAGTTGTACTAGTAATGCACTTCCTAAGGTAAGTATCTAACTACAGTCAGGCTTTGCGTGACTTTTACCTGCAAAAACTTCGTCTCCTCCAGGATCACGCCCGCCTCTCGCACCTGCAGCCCCCGGAGTACCGCACCTATCTCATCTTTAAGGGCCTTTCAAAAAAATCCATGGATGCTCATAAGTGTCTCTTTTTATTGGTTTGCTTATGGGACTTCATTAGATGAAGCATCAATCAAACTCATATGGAGGCGTGAGCTGGATGGATTGCAGTTTATGCTATCTCTAATACTGTGTGTTCGCCAGTCGATCGAGCAGTTCTGGGACTGCAGACGCAAGGACTTCCTCAATGTATTGTCTCAGTATTGAAGTTGAATCTGAAGAGTTCTCCTCGCATCTAAGTAGGAGGCTTATTTTGGAAAAGCCTCACTACTTGGCATTCCAGATTTCTTTTCTCTCTTGAACCCAATTCCCACCCGCATAGGCTTTGGCGGAGCGTGACGTCATTGACAGCTCGGCGATCGATGTTGTTCTGGAGGCCAATTTTGATCCCGTTATTGCGAAGTCGATCTTCAAGGCGCCAACGTTGGGCAAGGGAGCAGCAGGTGAAAAAGCAAACGAACAAAATGAAAAACGTGCCGCCCCAGAAGAAGACGACGACGCACTTTTTATTTTGTTTTCTCATAGACTTTTGAACCGTAGCAGTAGCAGGAGTTGACTGCAGATTATGCGTGTTGTTATTGTCATGTTAGGAAATCGAGTGCAGCTACCTTCGTCAGACTTTCCTTTCAACGCTTTTTATCAGATCATCTTGCACGAATACGACTGGGCATTCGATGAAACCCTTCACCCTTATGATGGAAAAGCAGTAGCGTTATTCTTATTGTCACTTGCTTGAGTAAGTAGAAGCATCTACTTACGCTTGACCTTGAGCACTTACAAGCACCTCTCCCCTCCTTTTATCCTCTAACACTCTTTCCCGCCTGGAGATCACTATCAAACCGGCAAGAAAATCTCTCCGCCGAACTTCAAGATCGTGACGATGACCGAGCTCGAGCGCAGTACTAGCCTTTTAGTTTTTCTCATCGTACTTTCTTAACTCTGAGTTGATTTCGTCTATTGTAAAGCACTCTCTCACGCCATGACTCCCATGCATTTTTATACTCTCCCAAAAATTACATACAGCTGTCAAGGGCATCCAGGCTGGCCGTCCAGTTTTCTGGTATGGCGATTATTCGAAAATTGGCGCACAGGGAGAGCGAGACTCATGCGAACCTCGCATGCCGCTTCTAACGCAGAAAGCCACGCGCCACTTCGCCGACGGGGTGAGGATCATGAATCAGACCTCGAGCAACCCCTTGCACTTCATCACCATGGGCAACATCGAGCACAACGAAGACGTGGTCAAACAGGTCAACAAGATCAGCGCGACCAAGCGCCGGGGAACCATGATCGCTTCCGACGAGTTATGCTCATGTTCTAAATAAGTCTTTTTGTCCTTTCTGGAGCTGCATGATGCTTGTAGATCGTTTGACAGTAGGCATGGTCTTTTTTAGTCAGATGACCTTTGCCCGGAGACGTCTTGCCATCTTACTCTCTAATGTGCAGCTACAAGGGAGGAGTGCACCAGACGCATCCGAATGCGGTCTTGTTCGAGCCGTTCTTTATGGCTGGTTTTCGAGGAGTGAGTGTGAAAGTGTGGGTGTAAGTACTTACTGCTGTTTTTATATGGGGCTAGAAACGAGGTCGTTATCATGCACTTACGTGTTCAAATATTGGCTACAGACAACACGGCGCTTTTCTAACATAAGCACCAGTTTGAACGACCTTCCGAAAACTCTGCGCTACGACTTGGCAGACCATCGCTTCAAGCTGCTCCAGCGCCATCCGCTGGATTTGAAGGCTGTACTACTTATTTTGCAGGCAAAGGCAACTAGCTTTCCTCATTCTTGAATTTTCACGGTATACTCTTGAAGGCTAGCATTTGTATTGTTCTCAATCGTTGCCCCTCTGAAATTCAAGCATGTCGATGTCTTTTTTTACTTTCTTTTCCATTCTCATCTTCGTTTCACTATACTCACCCCACTATGGCTACTCAGGTCGAGGACAATGGATGTCCGAAGGATGAAAAAGATTTCCCGATCAAGTACATTCCGAACTTCACCCACAACGGGGAGCCGGTCGAGGAGTACACTTATGGGCGTGTAAGTAAGTAAATACTTGTTCGTCGCTTTTCTCCCTCGGTGTTGCTTCCTCGTTTCTGTTCTATAAGCGACCATCGTCGACGACGTGACTACGCCTTTTGCTACCCATCGCCGTCTTCTAATTCTTTCTTTGGTTCACTCGTCACCGCGGATGGGAACTGTTCAAACAGCTGAAGACAGCGGTCTTGGCATCGACCAAGCAGGTGGCGCCGGTGGTCGTAGACTTCTGCTTTTTATGGCCTCAAGGGCAGTAGACTCAAATTAAGTAATTCCTTTGTATCCGGCTACTTTAAGCCTAGTAACATTCTCAAACGCAAACGAAAGCACTAGCTTTGGCTTCTTATTCATTGCGCACTCCTCTAACATGGGATGAGGTGATGGCCACATTTTGTATCTACATGCGATGGGATTATATCTGCGTTGCGCAAACGAAGGCGCACGAACTGGTGAAGAAGTCCAATGTTATGGACATTGAGTAACCTTTTTAACTAGTGACTCGCACTCGTTTTAGTTTGATACGTTCCTCCTCTCATCATCAGCCGAGTACTTGCTCGAGGCACAGCTTGAAGTAGGGCCAGCGTTTGTTATAAGTAGATTGTTTGATTGATATTCTCCACAGAAGCTGCTGCTGCTCCTCTTTCATGAAGATGAAGCACGTCTGGTGGTGGGGAAAAACTTACCATTTAAGGCTGCGGTCTCTTTCTGACTGAGACACAAAAGTTGAGAACGCCGAGGTCGATGGTTAGCATGGAATTCATGTAGCCCATGCGCATCCCTTAGGGTTCTCATCTTTGCGAAGTGATTCTCAGTTAGTTTCGACCTTCATTATTCGTACCGTTGGAACGCGTATCCGAACCGCATGTGTGGCAGGCCGAGTACGTGAAATACAGCAAGGATAACATCCATCCCTTCGGCGTGCGTATCGTGCATGACTTCATGTTATGGCAGCGCTTTACTATACTAGATTTTTCACCACTCAAAAAACTGAATCCCTCGTCTCACTCTCTAATCCGAACCTACAACTGGAAGCGCAACACGCCGGGTGACAAGCCAAGCCGCTGCAAGAACGCGGCTACAGCCATCACAGCCAAGCGCCGACGCATGGTCGAGCATGAAGCGGAAGATGCAACGGGTGCACTCAGCGAGGAGCTGGACAAGATGCGAGCCCAATCCGCAACTGACTCGGACGCGGCCTCGCACATCGACGCGGCTGCAGGTGCGCAGTAAGTAAGAAGGGAAGACGAATCTTGATTGTGATTCGTTTCTGATGGAGAAAAACAACACTAGACTTCAAACTACTTATATATTGAATTTAGAGAGGAAACGACCTTTGCTCAAGTCGGGCGTGGGTTACAGCTATTTCTTTGAAAGTAAGTAATAAATGAGTCAGGAAGTTTTTTGTTAGTACTCAACCGCATTCGCAACAAGTTTTGATGTTTTGACGCAGACGCTCTTATCGCTCAATCAGATGCTCGCTCAATCCATGAGGGCACTACTTAAACTTATAGACCACACGCGTCTCGCTGTCTCAATTGATGGTCGCTCCGAGTGACGTCAAATTTTTGCACAGGTTTCACATTACACAATGAATTGATGAAAGTAGAGCACACCGGGAACACAGTAATTTTGCTCAGGTTTTCTTCATTATTATGGGGGACTCAAGCATGAGGGAGTAGTAATTGTTATAAGGATGTGCATCATCTTGCAATATATTTACATGAAGCATAGACAATTCAGTCGATATGTAATGGGATTTTGAAGTAAGTGCGAATAATCATTCGAGGGTAATTCTGAATGTGTTAATAGTTAGTATGAGAACTTCGAAGTGTCTCGCTGTGCAGCGCATCGCGCTGCCATGTACAGCCTTTGCACAGATATCTTCCTTTTCCTCTTCGGAGGATATTTCTTAATCGGTTGTCAATTACGGTTTCGCAGTATCCAGCAACAAGTATTTTATTGAGAAAGTAGAAGTATTGAATGTGAGCTATATGATATCCACATCTCGTGATGCGGTAGGCTTGTTAATGTCATTCGTGTGATGATATTCGCGCACCGGCTGCATAAAAAGCAAATCCTACTAGATTTTGACTGCCTCCCCATTGACATGGTTAGGCAACTGAAAAGCACTACAGCTTTTAAATCTTCCTTCGTCGGGTTATCGACTAGAGTAGATAGACCATTGCTGAGAATAATTGAAGACTACATGTTAGCGTTAGAGCGCAGCACTCGTTCCAATTTTGCTGGTAATAAGTAACTACTGTCTATATTTCCGCATCCGCCTCGTGTTCTCCGTCATGAGGTGCGTCCTAATTCAACAACATCTGGAATATTTTGGTAGGATTTCCTAGCATGATTTTGCCACAAATTCACTGTGGTGACGATTCAGTCACATGATAGAAAATGGCCGGCTGTGAGTCGGATTAAGTCGATTTCAGAACGATAATCTAGATCATACTAGTATAGATATGTACGGCGTCTTGTTTCACGCGCATCAAATCAGCCCTATGCAGTCCATTTTGAGCCATTAGATTTCATCATCTGTAGAGTGGGGGGATAGCTCAAGTGTAACCAAAGAACTACGGACCGTCTCTGCTGGTCCAGCATGCAAGCGCTGGCTAGCTACTTCAAAACTACTCAAATTCACCGGCCAGATACTACTGGCACTAGGGGCGCTATCTCATCGAACTCTGAAACGTCCTTGAATAAGCCTAATCGCGGTGCTGTGTACAGATATCCATGAGTAGACCAAGACTAGCCGTCACCTAGGTGATGCTTCTCCATCGATATCGCGGATGCCGACCGCGAAGTCTCTGGCGTAGACTGAATTTTCGGACGTATTGTTCTTCTGCTAGATGGTCCCTCACCCCCCTTGCGCACGATCCTCTGTTGCCTTTCTCTTAAATCGGAGGTCGCGAGATCTCAATCAGGCACTCAAATGAACCCAATCCCCACTAGAAAATGCCCCTGTGAAGAGATCTTTTTCAGGGTCCACTTCTTTATTTATTTGGCTACTCGCTTATTTCAGTTTTTCGAGTACTAAAATCTACCTACAGCTAGAATAAAACAAACTGCTTCGCGTCATAACTGATTCTGATGAATTTGGGAAGTTGAGCTACTTCTTTCTTCATGCTGTGCTGTGGTAGTGCTAGGGGTCTCAGGCTCAACAAACTCAGACTCTTAGACAGACTCGAGTGCGTTCCTTCTTTTCTAACGTTTCTAGTATCGGACAACGCGACGGCTGCGAAGAAGATCCTCATCGAAGAGATGGCCGAGATCTACGGGCTGGATCTAGATGTGGACCGAGGTGGGAAGTCGTTGCTGCTCTTCATTATGGTTAGGATCGAGAAAGCTCGCGCTCGTCCCTCCATTTGGCGAGTGTCTGCGCCTTTCTAGAATTTGTCTTCCCTCTGTTGATGCGTAAGCATATGCTTGATCAAAGAGAAGCACAATCACAGGAGGCGCCAGCCCATCACTACCAACTACTAGCACCTAAATAATTAGAAGCATTCGCTTCGACGCCACACCGTCCAAGAGTCCGCGACGTATGGTTATCGGGGCAGTCTAATTCTTACTACAAGCCCGGCACGGCAAATAAAGTTCATCAAGATAGGATAACGGGCGCCGGAAGCGGACGCGGTAGCCATGTTTCGTATACGTGCATGGTAATGGCGTCGCAGTCCGGCGCTGAGTATACCGCTGGCGAGTTTTTCTTATGCGAGGGCCTCGGTTTTTGATTTTGGTTTATTTTGGTGTTCTTCAGTAGTCTTGATACCAGGCTAGTACTGATGGCGATGAGTGCGCACCACAAAGCATCTTGGTTTTAGTTTCTACTCTACCAGAAATAAACAAAAACAGACTCAGACTATATATCTATATTAAGGCGAGCATCAGCATGCACATGAAGGCCTTACTGGCAACATTATTCTTTTCGGTAGGAGCGTCTTCTTGTTCTTATTTCTAAGGCGTAGTTTCTTGTAAGCTCCTGCGTCTCCCTCAAAACGAGGTGGTTCGTGGTATTCTGTGAGGGGGTCGGATCCTTCTCAGAATCCAACCTGATGAAGTACAAAAGACTAGGACGCATTCAAGATCAACGATGTCAAGCTCGTGCATGCGCTAGAGCTAGTATCATGATGATGATTTGTTATTGAGCAAGAAAAAGTATCAACAACTTCCGCGACCACCTAGTTCGTTTCAATTTTCTGGATCCTCCCACTCCTTGCGTTCATGCCATGTTAACGACGTAACCGAAAGTATGGAGATTAGTGCAGATGGAAAGACTGTGCTAGGCGAGAACGTTGCGGCGCGCACACGAATACCACTCAAGCTGGGGGACGTGATCATCTTCAACATTATGGAGCGGCCCGTATGTAAAGCTTCTTCTCCTTGTTCTTTGGTAGCTTACTCGCACCAGGGAAGCTGTAGACTGCCAGGGTAGCTTCTTCATAATTCAAAGATTTAAATATACTATGTATTGGTTCAGCAAGCACACACGACTTGCGCTTCAAGCGCTTTGTGTATACGTTTCAGGGCTCAGGGCTAGAGGCCCCCCCTGAACTAGGGAGGCGGAGGGGGGGGCCTCTCGCCCCTGACCCTTTTTTCGGAGGACTCTCGGGCGCGAAGGCCTCCAAGCGCCCACCTCCGCGCCCCTGCTGCTTCTTGCCTGTGCACTACAGAACCCCCTGCCTTGAAGCCGTACAAGCACCGACGGCCGAGGGTGGAAAGCTTCCGCAGGCGGCAAAGGTGGCAAGGCTAAGCCCCCTTGCCGTGTTGCGTGTGCCCTAGCTACAGACCTCCCATTTGCTGGCCCCTCTCTGGGGGAGTTTCTTGGCGGTGGAAGGCCTCCAAGGGGAAGGGCAGCAGGTTGCAAGGCTTGACCCCCTTCGCCGTGTTGCATGTATCCGACAAGACCCACCTGGGCACGCCTTGCCCCCACCCATCCTCGCCCTTGGTCCTCAACCTCCCTGGGCGTTTGGTGGCAGCTGATGCGGGCACCAATGGGGGGATGAGGGCAACCCAACAAAAGGGTGCAGGCGTCGCGAACGTCGCCGCCTTCGGCGGCCCTCTATTCCTGGAGGTGGAAAGTCCGTAGGGTACATGCGGAGAGCCGCAAGGGGGCTCCGGCTCCGCCGTTTGAGGCCTCCCCCCCCGGAAATACTCCCACCACGGCGGAAAAAAGGGCGCGCGGGCGCCACCGCCGCCCCATCCACAGGGGGGACCTCCCTCCCTGGTACATATATGAGAGTAGTTTTCTATGTAAGTTTTAAAAGTAGTTCTAGTTGTATAGTAAGCAGGGTTCGTTTGCTTTCATGTATTTATCGTTACACACAGTATTATCGGAATTATCCTTCTCCTGCAACTTGCATTTGCAAGAGCCAGTCATCTAGAGCAGCACGACTGGTTGACGATGATGTTGTTTCCACATGCCAAACGACCCTTCGCCAACTCTATTTCTTTAGGTAGCGACTCCTCTCCACCTTGTTATCTACTCAGCGCATGCATCATCGCGGCGCGGGATTCCTCTAAATATCATCGCACACTGGTCCACGGAGTTGAGGCCGTCGCAGTTGCAGAGCGTCCGGGAAGCTGCACCCAGCGCGTTACGTTCAGCGTGCGCTCCACGATGCCCCTAGGGCTTCGAAAGGTGGGCTGATCGGGATTGGGAAGTAGCAGGCTGGCTTCTCCCGATGTACTGTAGAACAATGGAAGAAGAGGATGAAAGAAGGGAGAGGGATTGATAGACTCACGTAGGCTTGAGCGCCGACACTGGCACGAGAACAATGAACAAAGGCAAAGGTCGCGACGTGTATAATTATAGAGAGTCAAGATTTAGTTTTAGATTTTTGGATCTGGCCACATGAATCTCGCCAAACTATAATAGAGTGACGGCTCCTCTTCCTTGATTCGCAGTAATATGCATCTCAAAGTGAAGCCTCGGCCCATCTTGGTTTCTACGGAACATTAGTGAGCATTTGTTTCTGTAGTGAAAGTGATAACTACCTTGTGCTTGTCTGTGCGGGGCTTGGCTCGTTTCCACCTGTCAAACCTTCCAACCTTCCTCGATTCCGTCAAATCGTGCCCAACAACGGTCAAGCTAACACGGTGCCTGTATACAACTGAAAATGATGATGAATTAAGTTGAACTTGTTCGTTGATGTGACAACCAACATAGCTCATCTCTTATTGTCTTCACACTCATAAGATAATTAACAAACATAATCGGAGAACCGAAGTTAGTAGAGGTCAATCTTCTACTCAACTATATACCGCCCGGCTTTTGGCAATTAAATGGGGCTTCCCTTCAGTATCAGTTCGTCATCAAGAACGGGGAATGTCATACTTACTTTCTGTTTCTTCAACATACTGCTCGACAATCGGACTATTCCTGATAATCACATATCCTTGGCGTTGGTTATATTTTTTTCGAAGACGATAAAGGTGAGTTGTACATGTATCCAGGCAGTTAAGCAACCGATGGATTTGGAGTTGAACCACACCAGAAACATACGACATTTAAATAAAGTTGGACAGAAATAAAGACAACACCCCCAGCCGCTTCTTGCTTGTCCTTGTGACGCATTGAGTTTTACTTTTAATCAAAGATATTGATATCATATAGAATCTTAATTACCCCATATTTCAATTTCATTCCTCATTCCTTCTAAAAAGAACGCGCCCTCAAGAAAACTACAGCAACGCCAGACTTTGGATTTCATGACTATATGCCTTGCCATCACGCAATTGGCCCTCAGTCCTGGCTGAAACAGCAACGACGGATACGTTGTTGCTGTCAAAAGAGCATCGACGTGTCAGATGAACGTCCACCCGTCAAAAGAGCATTTCACATCCACCCGTCTAAGCGTCTGTGCTCGGTGTGCTCCGGGAGCACCAGGTGAGTCAACTCTTTTGCTTATCTCTTGCTTGGGTCTTAGGTGCGTTGATTCTCTTGAGTTTGCTACTCAAGAAGAGCGATGAGAACGAGGCGACAATGATCTGTAGTATCTTTCATCTTTCGGTATGACTTTACTCAAGTCGCACATCATCCTCGGAATTGAGCTAGACGCCCTGGTGGCTCAATGTGAAGGATATCCAACCTGACCTGACCGCATATGGTGGAACTAGAATCCAAGATCATAGGGACTACAACATGCATCAAAAACTTGTAAGTAGTCGCTGCATGAAGATCAACGGTCGTTCTGTGTTATAGCAGTCCCACGACAACAAGATCATCAAGTTCAAGGGACGCAAATCAGCGGGAAGCATTGATCACAACTACGAAAGTTGGGACGTGTGATGCTGGCTTAGACACAGATCCTTTTAGAAGTGCTTGATAATGCTAGGAATTATATCTAAGTATGTCAAATATGATAATTTTTTAGGCATTTTTCGCCACTGCTGGTCGTGCTAAGTATCTGAATCAAAATCTGCATAACTGCAATTGTAGGAAATCTTACTTGGTGTAGTTGGTTATCGTTATCGTTATGGTTCTTCTTCTTTTCGTTCTCTTACGATGGGCAACATGCTGTTTTTATATCGCCTCAAGCGATGCTCCTGAAGTATGCCGCGGATAAAGTGAGGACCGACAAAAAGCTCCTCCTCGACGTACTTGCTAATGACGCTGCTACGTTGCAGCTGGTTCCAAGAGAATTGCAACTTGACCGCGATTTCGCTTTCGACGCGTTTCGTAAGAACAGTCTGTCTAGTGCAGCGCTACATGGACGGAGCAGTGAAGATGGAGGTCCAGAAGCTGGTACTGGCGCTGCTCGAAATGGTTAGGAATGACGCTGCCAAGTGGCAAGAACAGGTTGCGAGAGTATTGCAACTTAAGCACGCGTTTGCAATACATAGACGCAGATCGTCGTAACGGTCTAGTTCTGCGCTACATGGACGCCGCAGGGAAGATGGAGGTTCAGGAGGAGGAGCTGCTACTCGAAATAGTAATGACGCTTCCATATGGCAACTAGAAGTTCCGAAAACGTTGCGACATAAGCGCGATTTCGTAATAGAAGCAATTCGTCGCAACGGTCTGGTTTTGGCATGGTCCTCTAGCTGAAGAAGGCGAGGCGAGGCAAGTCCTCTAGCTGAAGATTTGGGTGTGGTATGTGCAGCCGTTCGCCAGAATAGCGAGGCGCTTCAATTCGCTTCTACCAAATTGCAGAAGCTATTGCCCTCAACGAGGCAAGCACGGAGAAAGAGACGAAGCACGACGATAACATGGATAATTGAAAGAACAATTATCTAAGTATCATAGGTTTGAAGAAGTTTGTGTTCGTGCGGGGGCCAAGCTAATAGTGATCTGAAACTGTCCGACGTGGCTCTAGTCGTGTAACAAGGCGTGACTGTAGAGGGAGCGAAAAAAGCCGGGGGCGCCACCTAGCGTGTCTTGGAATCTGAGTTGTCCAACTACGAGGTGCGCTCGAGAAACATGGGAACGGCAGCGTCATGAAAAAGGTCATATGATAGAATTGCATATGATGAAATAACTTGAGAAAATCTTAATCCTAAGCCTAAACTGCATGGGCGTGTGAGTGCGGACCAAAACGTGAAGTATTTACTTCGTATACGTTGGCCTTGGCCACCTACACCTTATTGGCCTACTACTACTTCTACCACTTCCCGCACACCATGATGTCAACCCGGATAACGACAAGACTAAGACTGAGCAGAGCGAGTGCGGGGACAGAGATAATCAGAATTCATCGCGATAATTTGTATGTTCATGATCCCCTTTCGGTGAAAAATATGAAAATTAATATTTGTATTTCATGGCTTTGTTTAACTACGAGCTTCTTGTTTATCTTAATACTGGTTTTTAAACTAGTACCACCCAGAACATAGGACTAGTGGGACTAGATCTTCAATCAATCTCTACTAGGCCGTGCGCAAGCCCGAGCCCGATAATTATATCAATTGATTTATCTTCCTGCAGCTGCAGGTGCACTGTCACTGTGCAGGATTACATGATATGTTGAAATGCGGCTGTTTCCATACTCATATTTCAAAAACTATTTTGTAGAGGATCTTCATCTTCTTCATTTTATTTTGGTTTTCGTTTTAGTCAGTGTAAAACTAAAAAAAGGTAGTAATGGAACAACAGACGACAAGGGCAACTCACTACTAGAAAAGTAGGAACTAAAACAGATTCATCTTTTTTTTACCACTTAAACAAACAAGGAAAGGTTACATTATGATTATTGAAGATTTTATATCCATGACAGGAAACGGATAGTCATAGCTTTACTTGCGATTGGGAATGCGGATTCATATTGTTTATCGAGCATAACCAGAAGTAGAGGCAGACTTCAGGTTCAGATTTCTGACTTCTTCACGTTGGCCAGCGGCTGGCCGTCCTTCTGGACTTTTTTGGGGACTGTAGTTAACCGTTTTGCGACGCGAACGGTTCGAAAGCTAAAGACTCATCTTTCCAAGCTCTAAGCCATTTATTTTCGTGACTGCTAGGGCCAACTTCAACTTGTCGTGCTAGGCTTTCTGCCTCACAACTACAGTAGGTAAGTACATCGAAAATATATTCGCTAAGCTAACCACCAGAACCCCACCACCCTTCTAATATCGTTGACGCTAGTGACTCGTGGCCGCCGCTGAAAAAATCTACATCTGCTTTACCCTGCTTTATCATAACACTGAAACTCGATCGCACAGCTGTGAGTTGTAGAGAGCTAAATCTGGGACTCGTTGGCGACCAAATTCAAGGACTACTGTGAGCGGAGCGACGGAAAAAGGAGCAGTCCACTGATGCAGTCGATATTCTCTGATACAGCTGTTGAGTAGGCCGAAGTTGTTGCGTTAGCGCTTGAATTATAAGTTTGTTGCCACTTCCTTACTTAGTTTCTTGTCGCGGTTAGTTGAGTCACGACTCGCGTGCGTAATCATCGTGGCGATGGCGAAACACTAGGACGCCGCGCAATGAATTCTGTGGGAGATTAGTTGTATTGTATTCCGAGATTGATCGGTTTAGAGCTCGTTGAGTAGAGAGGAGGGACCTTTTCAGTGTCTGAAATTTTGATCCGGTTAGTTGCAGCGCGATCCGAACAGCACAATTGAAGCACTGAGCATTCCATTCCTCTCTCAGTCCGGTCTCTGATCATAGATGTGATCTGGTTCTCAATCTTCTCTCTGTAGTTTCAACAGCGGGCGCACCACAACATCGTAAACATTGTCTCTAATACTCTTGTCTCTCTTGTTTCCCCCTCAGAGCTCGTCCCCCTCAGCCTGTCGTCGCCTTCTACTTCTCGTCCTGTACTACATTTACAGCCTGTAGAGGTTGGGGATCCTAATTGTCCTAGATTTACAGGGACTACAAACAAGGCGGCTCACTTCACGACCCCACACGGCGAAAAAGGCTCTTCGTTTTTACACGCCTCATCTTTTTCTACGTCAACCACTTTATTCTCTTTCACATTCATGAACCGAAAGTTTCCGTGGTTCGGCTTCGGTCAAGCAATTGTTAGAGACGTGCCCATGCCTCGTGCACTATCGACTAACACTGACACGCGCTCTACTTAGCACAATGAATTGAGAAATTCATTACTTCTTTTCTGACGTGCCTCTTCGTTCTACCTATCCTGGTCCTCCCCTGCTACGTACAAGTTTGATCCAGCGAAAAGGTATGACCAAGACCAGTGAGAGTATGTTGAGGTCTTCCATTGATACACTTTCACTTCTCTGGATGCCGGAGTGCAGGCCAACCACCTTTGCCTCGACTGATACCATTGCGTTCCTTTCCATGTGAACTTCTAGTACGGTGGGTGGATTATGAAAACTGGCTTGTGTTCCTCCACCGCAACCGCATACTTGGGTCTACGTCTACCTAGTTGAGCATCTCTACTTTTTCGTTCTGCAGCAAGCAACTTGTTCAGAAGTCTCCTTCTGCATTGCTGCTACTGCTGCTGCTTAATTCCTCCTCATCCACGTGGCCTAAAATCTTCGCCACGCGTACAGGTAGCCCCTGTCTGTGCAATCTTGCCTCCACATCAGCCGCTAGCTCTCTATTCAAACCCAGATCGTTGCGCAAGGCCGCAATAATCGTTTTAGGCTTATTGTTGCTACTGTCGGCTGCTGTTGCGTCGTGATGATGTTGATGACCACCGCCAGTTGCACTGTCTGGCACTTGTACTTCAACGAGAAATGGTCCTTCATCCTGCGCTGTCTGATCCGGGTGACCGGTCGGAAGCCAGACACCTCGCAACAGCTGCGCAAACTCGTAATCGAGCAACAATTCTGCGTGAAGCTGTAGTTGTGAAAATAGATCATCTTCTGTGATCGTGCTGTAAAAAAAAATGTGTTATTCTTGTAGTATGCATGCATGAATTTGGAAAGCGAAAGGGAAAACAGTCACTCAGACTGCCTGTGCTCGAAAATTCTCCAACATGTGTACTAGCTACTGCTACGTCGAAAGGTCCGACGTTTAGAGTACCTGATAATATTCTAAGAATCGCTGTTTCCAGAGAATCCCTGTAGCATCATCAATAGCATCGAATGTGTGGACGAATTCTTCCCAAACTAAGTGTGGCGAATGCGTCTTCCCAACAACCCGTGGATCGTTCCTCGGATGGTAAGCCCTTTTTACCTCTGCTAACGTCAAATACCTGTGTGTTGTTATTTGTGTTTGAATCAATGTTGATCATGCTGTGCATGTGTTCAGGTAGTTGAAGATGTTGTAAAAAGTACGCTCATCGATTTAATCTGACACCCTTTCTGTTCAGTATCCAGCGCATCGAATGTCTGATCGATGAGTTTGCGCTGAGCACGCGTGAGCGTCGGACGCAATGCATAGATGAATGCTTCATGGTCGAAGCCGCCTAATCCGAACGTTGTACTTGCTCCACTCACGTGTTCGTGAGTCTGTGCCTGCTGCGGGTCCACTTCCATCTCGACGTAGAAGGCACCCACGAGATCGTTCAAGATTTTCGAAGAGAATTCAGTAGAGGGGAAGAAGGACCGAAGCGCTGCAATGGCGGCGTTAGGAGGCGAGAAGCCCTGCATAGTGGCGTCCTGGTTTCTCAGAGTTCGCACAAGCTTCCCGAACTCACGCATGGGATCGTGTTGTGTATGCCGACTCGCAGGTCTCAGCAGGAAACTCCGGAGACGTGTGAGCAAATTGCGGATTTCTGCGGGAACCGGGAATCGACGATAGGCCGAAGAAAAGTTCTCAGAAGATTGATCCGCCGTAGTTGGAGGAGGTTTCAGTGTTGTGCTTCCAGTACTCGATGTTCTAGTTCTTGAGTCTACTGGTTCACCTAGTACAACTTCTTTTGCGCATGCGCCATTCATCTCAATTTTCTGTTGCGCTATTGAGGTCTTCGTATTGAAGTTGACAACCCTGCCTGTACTCGGAATCGTGGTAGTGTTATTTGCCGCTGTCACTCCCATATTCCAGCCTGATCTTCGTCCACCTTTCTGCTCGTTCTGAAAAGCACCTATTATCGCCCCGTTGTTAGTGGACTTGTGACTTTTCCCATCTGGAGGCCGATGATACTCCTGTTGATGCCGCAAATCTACATCGGCGAGCTCCGGGTAACCCTTTCTAAACAAGTTGCCGTGCACTGCCCTTGCCTGGTTTTCCCTCAAAGCCATTTGAGTGCTCTGGAACTCGCGCCTCGTCTGCTCCCGCACTGCTTCCGCTGTACCTCGCGCCGTTCCCTGCTGTCCGGAGTGACGACCAGGGAGGTCCTGGTACTGCTTTTGCTGCTGTGGTACTCGGGAAGATGAGGAAGAGGAAGACATATTCCCGTAGTCCTGCCTACCACTATCACCTCGTCCTCTGTCGTCCTCTGCTTGTGGTTCTCCCTCTGCGCCGGTCTGAAAGTAATTTCCTATGTGACTGTTGGATGTCACGTAGTGCTGACCACGAAAGTGCTTGGCGTTTAGATCATGAGCGCGCGGAACTAGCTCGTGAGGCTTGCCAGCACGACCTGAGCGGCGGTGATTGCACTCGTCATTTTCGTGTGGCGGCTCTACACCTTGCACCCCAGGTGGACCACCGCCAGCAAGAATCCCGGACATTGCGTACGGAACTGGTAAACCACTCTTTTTTGTAATTGCTCTTCCATCAGCATAATATCGCGGGGCGCGATTAGAAGACGAAATACTTACTTGGCAGGTGTAGACGCTGACGTAGAGACTCTTGAGAAATAAGAATCCAACTCACTCTCCTAGAAGAAGATAGTGATACTTGAAAACGCAACAGGAAAACAGTGTCTGTGTCACTGTTGTCAGTTTCATCTACTTAGTCTTTCACCCCTTGGCCGTAAGAGATGAAGAGGAGTTTCTTCGAAGATTGTTCAGCTGCATGGTTGTGTAGATCGGCTTCTGTCGCTTCAAAACAGCAGCATGAGTGGTTCCTGTAGTCCCTGTCTCCAACCTAACTGCGTGGTGCTCTTCTTCCTCGTTGTACTCAGCTGCGTAGTGCGGACTCTGAGATCGCCTAGTTCCGTGTTCTCGCCTTAGAAATTCTTGTCCATCTTGCGCATAGGAGACCCGATCCTCTCCTCCTCTTTCGTACAACTCAACCTCGTCATGAGGAAGACCAGTTGTATCCCTTCCATCTCTGCCTTGGGACGACCGTCGACGGGTGGGTGATCTGAGACCATCCGCTTCCTCTTTCTCTCGAGCCACTGCTGCGCTCAATCGGTGCTGCACTACTCCCGCCATGTCCGTCGGCACGCTGAAGTGTCTGCGACCGCGTTCGCCCTCATGACAGCCTGGAATATAGTCCTCGCGCTTCGTCCGATGTCCGAACATCGTCTCGTCTAAATCGTGTTGACGCGCTCGCTGTGGCCCAAGCATGCGATCACTTGCCAGTTCTATGCGTCCGCCCGCAGCGCTCTTGATGACGACCCCAGACATCTTTTCTCTGTTTTGCGCTGTTCTCTGTGACTGTGGGTGTTGTAAACTAGAACTGGAAGTACTGCTACCACGAGCAGGAGGTTCGCCGTCGACCTCCTCACGAGCTCCTCCAGTTGTCGGCACCAGTCCAGATCCAGCCGATTCTTGAGACGTACCGAGGCCAAAATGGTGTTTGTGGTCATGGCCGCCGTCAACGCGTCGCGTGGATCCCGGTGGCTCTGACTTTAAGCCTGCTGGCGGCATTTGCACTGCGTCCTTGGATTTTTTCGAGGCCTTGCTACTCGATCTGAACTCCGGTTGCGGAGCAGCGCCTTCCTCAAGCCACGGATCCAGAACAGGGTTGCCGTCGTAGCTGACCAGATTCGAGTCGACGCCGCGCGTGATGCGACGAATAGGTAGCGGAGCGGCAGTGTCCGAAGGAAATACGCGCTCGGCTGAAGATGTGAGTGGGAGTTTTATTCTGGACGCTCGCTCTTTTTACGACCAAAAAAAGTAGTACTTGACGCCCAAGCATTGGGTGCAGTGCGCGTACAAAGCCAAAATGAACCCATAACACTTTAATAGAAGATCTAAGCAAGAGTAACTGAAACGCTATGTATAGCTAAGTAGATGAAATACAAGTACTTTTTAGTACAAGTAGTACCCAAAGTAGAACTTTCCAAAGGCAAAGAAGAACAAGCTGTACTATATTATTAGCTTGAGGAGGTAACCTACGCCTACGGGTACGGCCTACCCCAACCTTGAAAGCTATTGCTAAAATCTCATTACCACTGGTCTCCCTGAAACCTCCTCGAAACAAGACCTCCCCACGCTCGCACTTCGTGTGGTAAAAGCGGTGTCCTTCATGCCTTCGCGTGCTTCTGCTTGGCACTCTGCTAAGAGCTGCAGAGGATTCGTCCCCGCTTCGTGATGGTGGCTGATACTGCAAACACGCAGTCATTTCATCGGAATCATGGTAGATTTCATGGTGTCGCTTGCTTCGGTAAACCGGCGACTGCTCCGCAGGGTGAAAGGGCTTTTCCCCCGCTGCTCCGGATGGGATCAGTTTCGGATGTAGTTTGTGAGGTGGCGGCACGGGTAAGACCGCATTCTGATCGCCACGTCGGCCAAAATCGGAATAAAACAACTTTGCCCTCGCGCCATCATCGCTTTTTCTCCAGGTATGAGGTACCTCGTGTGTTTCAAGAGGACGTGCAAAATACGCCATGCTTGTCTGTCTTTGTACTACGTACTGTGCTAGCTCTTGCTGATGGTGGTGGTGTGCCAGTGCTTGTACTTCTGTACAACTTCCTGAAGATATTTTTAACGTTGAAGAGGAATGCTGAAAATCATGCGTTAGTGTCGCAGGCGCAGCTTCAGATTCTCTCTTTCTGTAACCACTTACAACTTGTTGTTGTGGCCCGAACAAGAGCATTGCCAGGATCCTCGCGGAAAGAAAATGAAAAAGAGTCGTACAACTACTTGTAGATGATGGGCTCGTGTGATGTAATGTTTCTAAAGACTATCGCTTGAGTCGCGAGTGTGTGCGCTGTGACGGGGACGGGTGATATTGATAAATTACTTAAGTTTAATGCAGTTTTAGTCATAGGAGTCTTTCCTCTCATTGACACCGATGAGTACTAATACCGATTGGAAGTTTTGCTTGAGACCGAATTGGATGACGCTGAGTGCTTCTGCTAGTTACACTTACATCAACTCTTCTTTAACTTCGACTAGGCTTTTCTATCGATGTTCTGGCAGCACAGAAGACAGAAGTGGTCTGACCGATCAAGAGACTCCGGACAGTAACAATTTCAGACTCGTGATCCGCTGCTGATTCCTGATCCAGCTCAGTATCGAAGTGGGTGGTTCACGTATGTACCTAATGATTTTTGATCATGCCAAGTCAGTATCAGTAAGAGAAATAGTGATAGGTAATGATGATTCACGACCGACGCGGTGACACGGTGCTTCCGCTTCTCGACGACGGACCGTCCCTGTGACGCGAAAATTGTAGATATCAAGAATTTTTGGAGTTGCGATTCACGCTGAATGTTAGGGAGCATCATGATCAAGCTCATGCCGGAAGGCTACAGAGGGATACTTCTTTTCGGGAGGAGCAGGGGAGGTTTCTGTGACGGTTTTTACACAGCCCATGAAAGCCGGGTCCCGTGTAGATGGAGCCGCGGGGTTCTATGGAAAACACGTGCTGGTGGTATGTGATCGGTGTTGCTAGTGTTGTACAAGTAGATTTTACATTGATTTACTAACAACAAATATGACAGGTGGGGAGCCAGCGCCGTTTTCTAGAAATCACGGACGAGGACCTATTATCGAGTGACAAGAAGAGTACAGATGGTCCACGGCGAGAAAGTATGAGTAGATGAAGGCTGCTGGTGCTCCTGCGCTTACTAGAAGTGCGACTTAAAAAGAATAAGAAAGCCTGGTCCAAACTTTACTTACGAAGTTTCTATTTCTAAGTATCTCCTATCAGAATTGTACAAGTACATGATCAATAACAAGTCTATCTCAATATCATTTAAGCGCGGGGGAAGTGATTTTGAGCGACATGCTATTTTGTGACAACCTCTATCGTGCACCACTCGATGAAGCGACAACAAATCTAGAAAATTCTTCCAGTTCCATCTTGACTTTCACGTAAAAACGGGCCTGACACCGAACGTCGACGATATCGATCAGGAGAGTTTTCCTCTTCTCTGATGAAGATCTGGACTGCGTCCTCCTATTCTAAGCGAGAATATTTAGAAAGATCGTGAGCATGTACTAGATATTAAAACTGAGCATGGCTCGTTGTGACGATTCTATCAAAATGGAATTATGAAAAAATTTTCATGTCTTGATTCTTGATTAGTCATAGCCGTGAATACATTTAGATTTACGTCGTCGGTTATTTGTGCTCGTCATGCCACAAGTAATTAAAAAAGCGCGCCACGAAAGCATCACACCTATCGTCGACAAGCAATTGCCGTGGGAAACGTTTTGGCTCTTTCCACTGCGGTCTTAGAGTGACCAATCTACCTGCTAAATAGGTAGAAGACACGTCCTGCACGCCAACGGCCTTGGATGATGAAGACTCATCTTCGTCCTCCTTGATGTTGTTTTTTGAGGAGCCATGGGTGTCGTCTTCATGACTGCCGGCAGCGATATCTGCCTGCTTCTGCGAAGTTGAAGCATGGTCGTTTTTCTTTTCTGCGAGTTCCGTTGCTTCTCGCGTATCAATTGCCATCTCCAGATGACGATGAGCGTGTTGTTGTTTTTTCCTCTTCTTCTTCCCTTTCGGCTGCGTAAATGCGCTAAGCGCATTTTCCTGCTCACCTTTGGCCTTATTTACCTTCTCTGCCTGGAGTACCTGAACTGCAGTTGCATTGTCTGGTTGTTCAACAACAGCAACATGTTGATTTTCCTCTTCTGCAGCACTTGTGGTACCATTGTCAAGAACTTTGCAACTGTTGCGCTGCTTCTTTTTGCTCCATCCATTCTCGAGGCAGTCTTGCAGAGGCGAGTTGACGAGAACGCGTACGCAGTTCTTGGCAGCTAAGTTCGGGATCGCACAGAAAGGTGACACTTGCAAACTAGTCCCGAAGACGAAAATGAGGTCGACTTCTTCTGGCAAGTCAGGCATGAAGCCTGCGTGTCTCCCCCCGCTGCTGGAAGAACCAGAGAAATTAAAGCTTGCAGCATTACCATTACTACACATACACTCTTGCTCTTCAGAACATCCTTCTATCCTTCACCTATTAAATTAATTTCTTGCCGCTTGAAAAGAAGCCAAGGATGTGATTGGAGAATGTAATGCGGAAAACCTTAAAAGAAGAGGGCGACGAGGCGTTTATGTGATGACCATGAGACCCAGCTGCTGCATGGTGTTTTCCGTGTTTGTTTTTGTTCCCGGTTGCCAAGCTGGCAAAGGTGTGATGCTTGTTGTGGCCCTTGTGTCCATGGTGTCCATGTTTACCATGTTTACCAGGACTACTGCGGGGCGAGGTAAAAGGAGACATCGGGGTGTCACCAGGAAAATCGAAGCAGAGGCAGTCATGGAGCCGCATGGGCAGCTGATCGCCGTAGAGAACGAGGGAAGGCGGGTGCCGCAAGTTGCCGTGGCACTCGACAATGTGAGACGGGGGCAATAGGTGCAGATTCTTCACGACCTTATGTTTTCCATGATGCTTAGTGCACCCCGAACCTGTACCTGATGAACCGGTAGTAACTGCGCTCTTCTGGTGTATGAGCCCAGGACACTTGTTTTCTAGCTTTTCGTCAGCGGAGCCCGAAACGCTTCCAGTTCCATGATGATGATCTTCCTCTTGGGCTACGCTTGATTGCTCCTGATGCGCGTTATCTCGGCCAAGCGCGGCCGCGGCGCTTCTGCTGCAATCACTTTTACTATTACCTCCCAGAAACGACGCAGAACCTTTGTTCTGATCTGCATCAGAACCAGAACCCGTCTCCATCGACGGGCGACGCGAAATCGAAAGCAAGTTACACAGTTTCCCGATGAGATTTTGGGTCGGTCGAAAAAGAAGAGTCTCGCCAATGCTCGCACCCCCTTCTTTCTGTCTTTCAGTGTCAGATAATTCACAATTTTTCGCCTTGTCCTTTTCACGCTGCGCCGCGGCTAATTTCTCCATCTGACTTCGGATTCTCTCCTCAATAACCGGCATCACCATGCGCTCAACTGCGTCGCCTGAAACGCAATAAAAAGAATATGTATATTATATGTGTTCCAGGGCTCAGGGCTGGAGGCCCCCCCCCCCGATCTAACTTTTTGAAGGGGGGGGGGCCTGCCAGCCCCGGCCCCTCTTTTCGAGGGGCTGCCGGGCGGGAAGGCCTCAAAGCGCCCACTTCTGACCCCTTCCCGCCTTGTTGCCTGTACCCTACAGACCTGGCAAAGGCAAAGGGGGCAAAGGCAGGGCCCCGCTGGCTTGTTGCATGTACCCGACAGACCAGGCAAAGGGGGCAAAGGCAGGGCCCCGCTGCCTTGTTGCATGTCCCCTACAGGCCTGGCAAAGGGGGCAAAGGCAGGGCCCCGCTGCCTTGTTGCATGTACCCTACAGACCTGGCAAAGGCAAAGGCAGGGCCCCGCTGGCTTGTTGCATGTACCCTACAGACCTGGCAAAGGCAGGGCCCCGCTGCCTTGTTGCATGTGCCCTACAGACCTGGCAAAGGGGGCAAAGGCGGGGCCCCGCTGCCTTGTTGCATGTACCCTACAGACCTGGCAAAGGCAAAGGCAGGGCCCCGCTGCCTTGTTGCATGTACCCTACAGACCTGGCAAAGGTGGCAAGGCTGGCGCCCTCGGGCGTGTTGCGGTACCCGACAGAGCTGGCAGAGGAGGCAAGGCGGGACCCACCCCCTTGGCGTGCTGCATGTGGCCAACCATACAGACCGCGCAAAGGTGGCCAGGCTGGACCCCTCTGGCGTGGTCCACCCCAGATCCATCCACAGGGGGGGGGGGCCTCCCTCCCTGGTACATATATAAATATATGTTATAACGTTAACGTTGTTTTCGAGTTTATTATTATGCCAAAATAAAGGAAGCAGAGTGGTAACAGATATTACAAAAAGAAGAAATAACAGAAATGACTACCATGCGCTTGATCTTGTGGTTCGAGATGCTTAATCGCTTGCGTGTGTAGCCCGTCAATGTTCTGCGTGTAGACGCGACGCAAAAAGCCTTTCTGATGAAGCCAACCGCAGAATAGGTGTGTAAGTGATGGCTGGATCGTCTCCAAGTCAGAGTTCTTACTTTCACTTTTTGTTGTTCGGTGATATTGTTCAGCATTCGTCCCATTGTCTGTGGTCGATGCTGTTCTTGCCTGCTCTGCTACCTGAGGCGGAAATAATTCGCTGTCCGTCGCATAGTCGACATCCGGTGCCGCCGTTGAAGAGGTGGTGCTCGCCGATGCTGTACTCACGCCAGACAGAGACCGGGCTGCTTTGTTCTTGTTCTTCTTACTCTTGCTAGAAATTGTTGAAGATGAAGAGTTCTTGTTTTCACACGGAGTGGGAGCATCTCCAGGCCCATGATCCTGTTTTTCCGCCTGAGAGTCTGGATCCTTCAATGATTCGTAAATATCCAGATTCGCACTCGTCGTAGGACTTGGCGGCGCCAAATGGATGTCTTTCAGAAGTCTAAGGACATCGCTTTCCCAGACCTTTGGACCGTACTTTTCGACAAAAGCGCGATTGAAGAAGAGATCGGGTTGATCAATTAACTCCGGAAAACGATGTATTAGGCCGTTATTTCGACTGATCTTGTCGAAGAGACCGAAGTTTTTGGAGCGGAAATCGGGAATGCCGCAACTCGTCGAGACACCAGCGCCAGTAAGGACAACAACATTACGAAAGCGACCATCCTTGAGCAGTTGGAACAAAGCTTCCTCATCGGGAACAGGGTCAAGAGTTTCCTGTGTCGCAGCAGTGGCACTTGAGGAGGTGGTGCGTTCGCCCCCTCCGGCAGCAGACATCGGGGAGCTGCATGACAGTCTGGGTGCTGCAATTCTCAGAGCTGTACTAGTTGTGCCAGATGATCCTGCTTCTAGAGAAGTGCCATAACTACCATCCACGACATGCTGATCGGCTTGTCTAGAAGCGCTTTGCCCATCGGTACTAGAACAAAAGGAACCTCTTGACGGCCTTGCCTTCAGCTCCGGCAACTCTTCCATTTCCGCGAGCCTCCGCATCGGCGAGCCCACAGAATTGTTGCCGTCAACGCTTGTCGCGTATTCTGTTTGAAGGGGTACTCTTTGGGGCGTGTCAAAGTTTCCCCCGTCCTGATGATCTCTCGATGGAGTCTTATTCTCATTGTGAGTCACTTTGCTCCAGTTACTTGCCGATACTGCGGTATCCACGAGAAAGGGGCTGCGTAGATGCGTGAAGGAGTCAGCTTTCCCCGGTAAACGCGAAGGACTTTCGCTAGTTCCTGCGGCCTCCGCCGCAGCTAAATCCATGTCAATCTCGTCAACCAATTCATCCTCAACCAAAACCGGCGACGTGGATACAGTGCTCTTTTGGTCGGAGCACGGGATAAAAGGATCAACAAGACCTACGTCGTGACGAGGGTCACCCGCAACTACACCAACATCTCGTGTCAAAGAACCGTAGTGGTTTTCATAAAAGCATTGGTCTTGATAAAAGGCAGGATCTTGTTTGGCTTTTTGTTCGAAGTACTGAAAAGCATCTACGTCATCCCCGGTTTCCCCATTTGTTGTATCTTCTACCTCGCGATAGTTTCCGCCACCACGCTTGTTCGCTTTGTTCAATCGACGATTACGGTTTTTACGAGCAGTCCTAGACAACCCAACAGCTTCGCAAGCACCAGTGGCTGAGACTCCATCCACATCGTTGTCCAAACTAATTGCCTCAGCCTCCTTATCCTTTTGTACTACTGCGCCAGCTCCTCCTGTTGACGTATCAGTCGTAGTAGAGGATGATGTGATGGACGTAGTACAAATGTTCCTCTTTTCTGTTAAAGTGGGAATGGCGTCCGCGGCTGCTTTGGCGTTGCTTTCCCGTTCCAGCAGCTCTGCCCGCATCCGCTCAAGAGCTGACAATTTCTTCGTCGCCGTTGAGGATGTACAACTAGGTTCCGCCGCGCCACCACTTCCACTCAGCTTTGACGGTGATCCCTGGCCTAGGTGTTGGAGCGACGCGGATCCAGATGTGTCAGCATTGCCTGCTAGTACACTCTTGCCATCTTTGGCAGAAGCCTGGCCGTGATACGTAGAAGAATGCTGGGACGGGCCTGACTTTGATGCTACTCCCACTGCTGAACCACTGTGATCCACTCGCGTCCCAGCAAATGACTTTCCACTTGAAGGAGTTCCCATTGCTGGCTTTCCGGCGGAGGTGGAGGCATCGGGTGCTATTCCTTTGCCTTTTTTCGATGACTGCTCAGAAGATATCAACGACGAAGACCAAGTGGATGAATTCGAGGAGTCGGCCTTTCCAAACTTGGAAGATGCTTTGCCGCCTTTGCCTATTAAGGCATCTGATCGGAATTTTCCGCCAAAAGCAGTCTCTAACGACGGCATTTTTTGTCCAGAAAGGTGATTATGAGTAAAGGCGTGCTTCTTACTAATACTGGAATAAGAAACAGGGAACAACCGGAACAATCAACAAGATCAAGAAGAAGGGTACATATAACAAAAACAAAAAACGGCCATAATGAAGTGTCTTTATGTTTTTTTATCTCTAATACCTTTTCTTCTTACAGAAAAACACTTAATACGACAACAACTACAAAAAGCCTTACTATCTCGAAAATGTTTACGCTACAAATCTTGTCATCTCTGATAATTCATCGAGAGTTCCTCCAATACTAGCTACAACTCTAACAAAAATAAAAGATGCATCTTGCTCTCTTTTGTTCGTAACACCGCGACCACTGGATGATTCGATGATAGGCGATACAACTATGGAAGAAATCAAAACCTATAAACAAAGCTACAGCTACTTCTTGCTGTCTTGTGCCAGCGAGCGCCAATCATTGCTGATCGTCGTGATCACATAGCGTAGTGCATGATGTAGTTGTCCAGACCCGATGTATGCGCTTTGTTACGCCAGTGACGTGCATGAGCGACGACTTTTTTTGCAAATTTCTTCACATATCGAATCAATATTGTTATTTTTCATTTTTCGGAGGGCCATAGCTATAGCAAATGCGTTCCCAGCCTTGTCCTGAATTGCGATTTCAAGGTGCGGCACCAGCATTCATATTCATCACACATTGTTTATCTTCGACTTCGTTGGAATAGGAGGATAATATTATTATTCTAAGTAGCGGTCCCTAAGTTTTTAAGCATGTTTTTCTGAGAATTGGAATGCCACATGCTACCCGGACACGTGGCAGGCTCTCGAGTGACGGCACCTCCCCTTCCGAAGGATCTTGTCATAGACAAGTTATGACTGACTCTTCATCAAAACAGTGGTTCTTGTTGTCGCCTCTATCGATCTTCATCTTCATCTTCGAGGTCAAAAAAGTAACAATCTTCACATCATCATCTAAGTCTATGTCTAGTACATATAATCAAAATAAATCTCTTTTGTTCTACGGTCAATCGTTTCTACAAACAAGCAAGTAATGCATTGTGAATCAAGTCATTAGATGAACGTAACACGGAAGACATATCCTCAATCAAGCGAACTCTTGATTTGAATTAAGAAAGTAGAATGATAGCTACAATAAATGAACAGTGATTTTTTGGCGTGTGCAAGTACTAGGAGCAAAGACAACCTCCCTCCCAATGAAACTCCGAGATAACAAGCACCAACTACGAATTGAACATAATTCTTACAATATTTTCCTTATCTTGCAGTATCAATATGCGTATGCGTCGACGTCGATGAATATTTTTGCCTTATTATGACGACCACCGCAGCTTCTTCTACTCGGATGAGAAGCAGTGCATCTTGAAAAAAACATAATAAACTCGTTTTTCCACGTCTCAGGTATGAACAAGGGCACCATTCGGCATTCGCGTTTTTTGCTTCTGCTCGTTTAGCAAGACGAGATTTTTCGAACTAAAAGTGGGACCTTGTTCTCTTACCACTAATTAATGGTTCTCGTAGTTGTTGGAAAACGATATTTTTTTTGATTCAGAGAGAAATGGAAAAAAGCTTATTATATATATATTCATAATCTATTCTAAATCTAATATTGTGTTTGTGAGCATCAAAGTGTTGTCGCACGGCTTGTGGATAGCTTTATTCAAGGATATGACTCAATTCGTGCATTCTAAGTATGTTGAAGTTGAATTAAGACAGCCAAAATGTTGATGAAATTTTTGTTGCACCCGGAAGCTCACTTACTCGGCTTTGGTGGGTCTGTGCATCACCATTAGCGGGCTCATGGTTTAATTCGAGGAGGCATAATTCTGCTGCAGCGATAATTTTAAATTTCCGTGTAGTTTTTGTTTTTCGTGTTATACTTAAATCTCAAACTACTTATCCTTTCATATAATTCATCATCAATTATTGTTAGTATTGCAACCGGCAATGTAACCTCAGGAAATCATAGTGGTCAAGTGCATAAACATTCAGATTGATTACAACTAGAACATCCGCATACCTGCTACCTTGTTCATCGTTTGTTATTTCGTAGATAGCCGTTAACCAAAAAAACAGTTTTTCATCTCAACTATAGATCTAAGTCACTCACAGACTTTAGAATACTTAGGCATACCACCATCAAAAATACGCGAAGATCCGCAGTTACAGAAGTCGGGGCTTTGCCGATTATATAGAAATGGATGTTTTTGTTTTACACTGCGTGGTCGTTCAGGGAAATTTGGGTGGGCTGTAGTATGGTCTCTTCAAATCTTATCCTTAAACCAGTATCTTCATTCCTCGTCCGTATGTGTCTCATCATCTTAGTTCCCTTTCGCTTTCAGTCGTATTTACTGTTGTTGTCCCGGCATTCCAATCTGGAAGCCTAGGCTGATGGGCCGAAATCGCAAATTCTGTGCGACCATGCTCGCTTGCTGCATGCCACTGCTTAACAACGGATCGAAGCTCGTACCTAGTATTCCATAAAAATGGTATAGATCATTCTCTAAGAAATATGCGGTCGAGCTCACAAGATAACAATAGTTGTTCTTTTTACAACATACTCGCTACACTTTTCGCATAGCCGAAAATGATGAAGATAGCGGAATAGGATGTTGAGCAAGACCGTCATATTGATTCATGTCTCATCCGCGAGAATCACTATTACCTGTCAAGCTCATGCTCAAGCCGCCCATGCTTCCCATGCCCATGCCGCCGCTCTGGGTGTGCGAGTGATCGTTGAACGGAAGCGGCAGCCTCGGAAGGGGAACGCTAGCCATGTCCTCAGGCATCGCGCTTTTATCCCACTCGTGGACCACGGATTGCGTTATCTCATCCATGCAGTCGCACAGGTTAGAAGAATTCGGCAAGAAAGCATAAGTAGCGAGTACATCTACAATCTAAATTCAATGGCTTATTGATTCTCAGATGAGAGATAGGCTCCAGGTCCAGAGAGTTGGTCTGCAATTTTTAAGTGTACACGCGCATCCTCTTCCTCGTCTCATCCACCGTCAACATGATCATGATCCTAACCTCGTCCTCTTCTACTAAAATCTGCCCTCGACTCCTCTGAGGATCGCAAACCTTTTTTTTTACCCGTCACTTCATCCTCGAAACCTACGTACAAGTCACAACAAAGTCATAACTTCAATTTGGACTTGTTCGCGTTCGACCGGTGCATGGATTTCTTCGCGTCCAAATTCGACAACGACCTCATCCGGAGCCTCGTCAACGCGTTCGTGTGTGTCACGCGTGATTTCGACGATCTTCTCCACGGTGACGATTTTCGGCACGTCAACGACCTTATCCACGTAACGGATCTCAGGGACTTCAAGGGATTAGATAAAGGAAAGAATGGTGTGGAAGTGGATGCGGTTAAAGAGCGGTTTTGCAATAGTCTAGTATCGTCTGAAAATGAAGATGCTGTTGAAATGCCTAAACTATGTATCTCCTCATGTGAAGATCAACATCAAGGAAAATGTTGAACACGAACACCTAATGAAACATGAGCGGACGAGTTTAACCGTCTTGCGTAGTAGTAGTGGGATTTAGTACAACTAGAAGGAGTTAGTAGTAGGAATTTGCAGTAGGAGTTAGTAGTAGGAGTTAGTGGTAGGAGTTAGTGGTAGGAGTTAGTAGTAGGACTTAGTAGTGGGAGTTACGTTAGTAGTGGGAGTTACGGTAGTAGTGGGAGTTACGTTAGTAGTGGGAGTTACGTTAGTAGTGGGAGTTACGTTAGTGGTGGGAGTTACGTTAGTAGTGGGAGTTACGTTAGTAGTGGGAGTTACGTTAGTAGTGGGAGTTACGTTAGTAGTGAGAGTTACGTTAGTAGTGGGAGTAGGAGGGGTATAGGAGGGGTATAGGAGGGGTATAGGGGGAGTAGTAAGAGTCGTAGAGGTCGCAGGAGTCGCCAGAGTCGTAGAAGTCGCAGTAGTCGCAGTAGTAGCAGTAGTAGCAGTAGTAGTAGAGGTAGTAGCGTAGACCCATCCACTTTCTTGGGATATCTATAAAAATATATAGTGCGCCGGTCATAAATGTACTTTGTGACCTTGCGGATCTGCGGGACTTCCACGATTTTATCGACATACTCGATCTTGGGCACTTCGATCACCTGTTCTTCCGTAACCGGCACGTGCTTGTCGACGAAGCGTTGTCGCTTCTCCACCTTGTGGACGTCGACGAATTTCTTCACTTTCATTAGAAGAGAGGAACAGTACGAATACGTACTGGACGAGGTAGTTGAGTGAGGTGCTGGACTCGTTGTAGATGGTCGATCATCAACAACATCTGCTGACGTTTATAATGGGCTTGGGGACGCCGGTCGCATGATTACCTCGTCCCTATTAACAAAGTTACTACACAGAAGATCGGATCTCATCATCGTACACACTGAATCTGAAAGGCACACAAGTACAATTACTAGCTGCATGTTCATCAAAGTGATATGTCGTAACTTCTGAACAACGGGAGCATCGACCTCAACATCGACATACTTCGGAACTTCCACAATCTTTTCGACTATGCGCTCTGTAGGGACGTCCACAAATTTCTGTCGCTTTTCGATGACCGGCACCTCCTTTACAATTTCCACAATCTTCTCCACTGGGACCTGGTTGTGCGTTCGTGAGGGAAATATGATGTCTTTCCTCGAAATCGAATGGCTGTAGCAAAAAGTAGATAGATTTGAAGTTGAGTGAGGAGCGTTCGAAGTACGCATTTCCTTTGCAACTTGCAAGAACGAGAAGAACAACTAATATCCTAGCATATACTTGTAGTACCTCAACGATTTCGTCCTCGAATTGAATGCGGGGAACCTCTATCACGTTGGCAATAACCCTGTCTTCTGGTACATCGACGTATTTTGTCACCTTGCGCACCTCTGGTACTTCGACGTACTTCTTGACCTGAATGTTTGGTAGAAGGAGGTCGAGAGCAAGTCAAAAAGTCGGAAGACGAGCGAAAAAGAGGTCGCTGAAGGGTATAATGAAGACCAGGCTGCTTCTGCTCATTTTTCAGAGGATACTCTGCGTTTTTGTCCTCGGGCTCGGCATGTGTAGTAACTTAACTACTGTAATAAAGCACGGATGGAAATTATGAATACATCAAATAAGCGTCTGCTAGTGCTAGTAGTAGTAGTACTTTCAAGTACCTTCCTGACCACCGGCTTTTCCACGACTTTCTCGACATACTCGAGCCTTCCCGGAACCTCGATGATTTGCTCCACCTCTCTTGTGGCTTCCACGGGAACAAATTTCTGTATCTTTTCAACCCTTTCAACATCCACCAACTTCTGCACCTTGCGCACTACCTCATACTCCTCTATTTCCTCCTCCATAGTCACCTGGATGAAGTGGGAGTTGTAGTAAGTTTGTTGGTGATAGTGGAAAATATTATCCGGGTTCTCATTTTGGAAAAAGATAATTTTCATGGTTTGATACAACAACTTGAATTTGCACTAGTGCTGGTGAAAAAACTGAACCAGATGAAGTGAATCCTAACACTAAGTATCAATCATGGTTGTAATAATGTAATAGTTGTACCTTTGGCACTTCGATGATTTTTTCGACTTCGGTAATATGCGGCACCTCGACTACCTTTTCTACGGTAACTTTTTGCTCCACCTCGACATATTTCGGTACGTGGATGATCTTTTCCTGGATCAGAGGCTTCTTCTTCTCTACGATTTTTTCAATGATTTTCTCCCTGACCAGTTCCACGGTTTTCTGTCGCTTCTCGACAACGTGCTTGTGGTGGTGGACGTGCTTCTTACCGACCTCCACATATTTCGGGATTTCGATCTCCTGTTCCACCTCACGCTGAAGCAGGCGCTCGACGGTCTGGATCTGAGTCGGGGTTTGTGGTCTTGAAGTAAAGTAGATCAAGTCTCTGTATGATCCCACGACGGTGGAATTTCTGAGAGCCGAACTTCAGATGAAAGAATTATGCTAGCTTAAAAACGTCGCGTACAAAAACAGCTAATGCAACTCACAAAAACTTCTTCGGTACCTTCGGCACTTCGATGATTTCCTCCTCGATGACTTCTTTCGTAACGTGCTTGATTCGCTCTTGAATCTGTGGAACTTCGACGTATTTCTGGAGGGTCGACAATGAAACTAGGTCAAGGTGGTAGGTCATGGAGCAAGTAGAACGACAGGTTCTTCCTAAGAAAACGAAGATACAAGTTCGTCTATCAATACTTTCTTTCATCTCAGGAGCATCTAACATGTCTATGTATATATAAAAGTAGGTATTGTGAGTGTGCAGAAAGAAACTTTTTCTCCCATGGTGAGCCAGATGCTGATGCCATAATGTCACTTGCGGGACTTCCCGCTCAATGATTTCCTCTTCGAATGTTACCCTTGGAACTTCGACGATTTCCTCCTCATAGACGACGCGTGGAATTTGCTGTATCCGTTCGTGAATCTTTTCCACGTATATGGGCTTGATTTCAGTGGTCTCCACTGGTCGTTCCACTATCTCCTCATGTACCGTGACTATCGGCTTCTCAATAACCTTCTCCACCACCTTCTCGACTGGGATCTAAAGTGGGAGTGTTTACAACTAAAGATGTAAGGATGAAAAGGATTCTTATTGATTCTTATTCTTATTATTTGCTGTAGCTTCACGGAAAAAGGCGAGTACTCTAGTGTTTTATGTGATAAAGCTTTTAGACTCTACTCAGCCTAATGCTCAGTGCAAAGAAACTGAAGACAGAGAACATCAAAGGAGAAGCGAGTCAAAAGCTAGAAATATAATACGCGCTTCTGCCTTTTTTGCACTATGGGTTTGTCCACATACGTTGTCTCGAATTGTATTTTTCCCGCAACTTTTCGTTCCACGATTTCCTCTTCATAGGTGATATTTGGCACTTCAACTACTTCCTCCTCTATCACTTCTACTGGCTTCTCCACTATTTTCTCGACAACATTGGGAATCTGGAAAAGTTCAACAAAAATTCTTAGAAAATTACAACCGTGGCTAGTACTACCACCACCACAAAGTAGCATCAACATGTTGAAGTACTTAAACTTATTCAAGTTAGTAAGTATAGAATACAGTCTGAAATATACTATCCAGTATAAGCAACACTATCTTGCTTACCTCCACGTACTTCGGGACCATAATGGAGCGCTGTTGTGGCACTTCAACGATTTCCTCTTCATAGCGGATTCTGGGAACCTCTATAATCTCTTCTTCGATTTTTTCGACAGGTCGAGAGATAATTCGTCGATGGATCTGCGGAACTTCAACCTGGTATTTGGAGAGTTACATTCAAGTACAAGTACAAGTACAATTAGGTGTATGTTCTAAAGTGAAGCAAGTCATCAGTTGTTCTCAGAAGGAAGAACGATGCTGGTACTCATCTTATTGAAGACACTGACACCCTAGTGATTAACTGTTGCAAAGAAAATATTCACGCAGACGTACGACTACAAAAACGGTGATGAATATTATTAAGGTAATGTCATTAATTTAATCTTTTTGTGGTACTATTTTCTCCACTTCGACCACTTTTTCGACTCGTTTTTCGATGATTAGTTCATCGTAGACGATTTTCGGCACCTCAATAATCTCCTCAACAATTTTTTCAACCGTCCTGATTTCAGGTATTTCGACGATCTTCTCCACTATTGTCTCCTTCGGGACCTCGATCACCCGGTCTTCCATCACTTGAATCTTGGATAGTAGTAGTAGTAGTATTGGTAGTAGTAGTGTACCCAATCAAGATGAACATGGGGTATACAAGAAGATTGTGCGATGTGTATACAAGAAGATGAAGAAATGATGAGACTCTAGATCGAAGCAAACCTAACGGATTAACCCCTGCTACTGTCAGGCGTAATCTTAACGAACGCGCTAGAGGGGTAAGATGAAGAAATGACGATAAAAGTGAGTTGTAGAAGAGACTAAGAAATGACGACGATAAATCATATTCCGTTTCACCACGGCACCGGACACGGACATCATAATTCAAAATTCAAATATCAACAAGCATCCAAAGCTACATCAAGTAAAAGTAAGTTCCACAAATTAGTAAGTAGTAAGAAAACCTCCCTTGTCTCATGCTCCGTGTGCACTAAGTCGTCTCCTGGTTTGCGGTCAATCGGCTTTGGTTCTGACACCGACAGAATCTTGAACGCCGCTGTTGTTAGAGATTTATTCCAAGATCTATCTTTTTCTTGAAGAGCATCTTGGACCTCTAAAAAAAATGACCAAGATGCTCTTTTACCTTTTCAATTAGATGGCTCTACTACTACTTGTACATCTACTACTTCGTTTAGATATAATTTTTTCATGACCACGTCATAATGTTCCGTGGGAGGTCGCCGACCCCCCGAGAAGGGAACTGCCCAATATCGAGCCATCTAGTGGGCTCGGATTCAGGCTGGCGCCGATAGCGGTGGACATCTTGCTAGGCCCCGGGACGAACTTTTCTGCTACACCTTCTCCTTCGTCCCGTTGCTCAATATTCAGAAACAACATAAGTGTCTCTAAATATACTCCTCTTGAACGACTACTAGTATAGGAAATTTGAAATTGTGAGAGTAAAATAGAACGAGGAGGTCATCGATGATTTTTGGATAAACATTTGGTTTTGGAGAGAAGGAGAACAAGCTCGACAAATCGATGACTTCTTGTAGGACCAAGAAGGCTTTTATATCAAAGGGGTAAAAGGTGGGCACCCTACGAGCTACGTCCCGTTTGCTCTCATTTGCGTCTCTCTAGTGCCGCCCGCTCTCCCGCCCAAGCCCGCCATTTTGACACAAATTCAATTTTTTTTCGCAACTAAAAATGATATATAACGTCCAACAAGTTCTAGTTGTACTTACTTCATTTCGCGCTTTCAAAACTCAATCCTATTTTTATTCACGAGCTCTTGGGTTACGATCGGATGCCACGCTCTGTCCTTTACATAAGATTCAACATCAAATAGTCAAAAATTCAACAATTACAATATTAATATGCGAGTGGTGAGAGAGACGGCAATTGAAACATCAATTCCAAAGTTAGTAAGTATCATTTTTTTGACCCTAGGTACCTTTTGATGTAGTCGACATACACGAGGGCTAGTACTGCAACATCATTTCACACAGACGCCATTAGATCAGATACAGAACGACAGATATTATGCACTGCAACTACTTAGATTGTAGGCGGTTCGTACGATGAGGTAAGTTCGTCAGATATCATGAGCAGAATCGAGAATGACCGACAAGCACAGGGACGTCAACATTTTATAGTTGCACGGACTCGGGGTCCCTGGGCAAGCTGAAACTGGAACACATGTTCTATCATCTATACCCGTAATCCATATTCCCATGAGAAACATGATGACAGATGGTTCTTACTACACGGACGCGCATGCTGCACTGCGTAGGAGGCTATTGGAACAAAGTGTCAGAGGAATAATAGGTCTGGGATCTTGTGGCTTCGGCGTTCCAATGGGTACACGGGTGCGGATTTTTGTTAGCCGATGTTGTCTCTCCTTTGATTACAAGGATGTATCCAAAGCCTAGGTTCGGGTACTATGGGTGCGAGGTTTATAATTGAGACTTCGATGAATACAAGCATGTTGGTAGCGTCAACTCAAATAATTCCTCTATTATTCAAACCCGTGTTTTAGCTTGTTTTTTCGAATCTTGACTTTGTCTTTGTTTCTTGCTCTTCGTGGCAGTTCCACATTCTTCTGTCAAAGTTTTCGTCAACCGCGTCAAAAATGTCTCTAGTTCGTGGCGCTCGACTCCTATAGCAACCGCCGTGGCAAGGTAGGGGAAAGCGTAGTCGTTCGAATGTGCGCCATAGTTGAGGAAATTCATACCGTCTATTGTTTTTGCGCCAGCCGGGCATGCGACCACACGAGGACCACTAACTCTGTGATTGAAGAGCTTTGCGCCAATCGAATTGAGCTTTTTGCTTCTGCTACTGGCACCATTGCTTTCCTCGATGTCGTTTCCGTCAACCAGAGGTAGGTCGGATAAATCCACGCAGATGCTAATTTTGTTCTCCCGTGTGTCGAGCGTCCGCAGGCCAAAAGGTGCTATTGTCTTATTCAGTTCCTCCCGGAACCAGTCGAAGTTCGTTTTTCGGTCCTTCCATAGACTCTGCAAGCCGTCCTGACCCATTGACAATAACGTAATCAGCAGATCCAACATTTGAGCTCCACTGGCTCGACCTGGATAGCACTTTGCGATTTGGTCAAGAAGTGGCTTAGGCGGCTTTGCTCTTGTTTGGGCGGCCACTTCGCCAGTCGAAGCGGTGACACCTTCTCCTCCACGAGAAACAGCACTTGAGTCTGCTGCTGCTGCTGCTGCTACTGTTAATGGTGTCGAGACGGAAGTCGTTTTCGCTTCGCCACTGATATTGCCATTAGCACCAGAAGTTCCCGAGCCTGGCTTACTTGCGATTTCAGGGGGCAATGGTGGCCCCGCACAAATGATTGACCCGCCTACGGGCACCATGAAATTCTTGTCCGTACTTTGCACTATGGCATCCACACGCCCCACTCGTGAGGCTGTCTCGATGCTCTGCATGATGCGCGAGCATTGCAACCCGTAGGCATTGTTGATAACCAAAGGCGTGCTCAGTTTCTTGCACACCTTCGCGACATCTTCCACTTTGTCTGGCACGCGAGGCGCAAACGTGCTGGTCGTGCAGAACACGCAGAGCACGTTCTCTGGCCCAAGCTCTTGGATTTTCGCCTCAATGCCCTCCACATCGGTCTCGAGACCTTCGCCACTGGACTCGACGGTGGGACAAAGCTCCACTACTACGGGAATAAAACCGGCACTTGTGATTGACTTGAAGCAGCTCTTCTGGTCAATCCGCGACCAAATAATGTACTTCTTTTTGATGCCAGCACTTTCCGAGGTAGCGATCTGCTGCAACGCGAGAAAACACATCAGCAAGCTCATACCCGTGGCGAGCGGCACGACCATCGCGTCCTTGCAATTCCGAAACCCCGACAAGCGCACTGCGTCAAGCGCCAAATACCGGCAAAGACCATTCACGAGTGAACTGCCGACGGCTTTCGGTTGCTGTGCCACCAAGTCGCCACTGCGGCCGACCCCATGCGTCAAGCCGAAGTGTCTTGCTTGGACCAAGCGTGAGTACACGCGGCCTTCGCGCTCCCCGACACCGACGTTGCCTTCCGCATTGTTGGCGTCTAGCAAGGCAACTTGTCTCAGGAAAGCTTCGATCTCCAAATCAGACCAGCCCTGTTTCGGCAAACGGCGGTGACTCAAGAGCTGCGTCACGCGCTTCGAGGCACTGTGTAAGCCCTGCTCTGCTTGGGCGATGTACCCAGGGTCCAACAACCCAGAGAGCTGCGATAAATGCGTGGGAGTAGGCTGCATTATTTTTGATCCTCAGCTTGCTAATATTACGAAGAAGTTGTTGATGCGGCTAGTAGATGTTGACAATTGACAACTTATACTTTATGCAGCTGCAGCAGGTGCAGAGATGCACAGGTAACCCATACGTGTCTATCATGCGACGCGATAAACAAAATCAAGGCAAAGCTGATTGTGTTCCTGTTCGTCGTGAATGCCATAAATTTTGTTCATGAACATCCAACTGTTGGATTCCAACAACTCTATTGATTTGGCCATTCAACATCTGACAACTTCGTTATCACAGCGAGCCTCAAACCTTTAGGACACGGACCTTTTTAGATCGATCGGTATAGTACCACTAGGATGCACACATAGATCCGCCTGCTGTACGTGTTCGCATCCACCGGGATAGAGTCACTTAAACATCACAATTAGTCCAGGACGAGTATCATATTCATCAAGCGCCTATAAATATTAGTATTATATATAGTATTACTAAATTGCTGTCCGCCAGCTCCTGCAATCATCGTCGCAACTAGTTTTTGAGGACCAAGAGAATGACGCAAGAGGAGAATTCTGATTCACCGTGTGCAACTCCAACTTCGAGTTGAGCATTATAAGCGAGATGAAGATGAACACAAAGTTAAATTCATATGGTGGCCACGGCGCCCGGGCACGGCGCTATTCTGGTAAATGAATATCAAAATCAATATCATGAAGACGATGATCTTTTCAGAGCTTGTTCTTCACTTTTCAGGTTCCTTGGACGTCAAAATCGCCGATCATTTTTTTACTTTCTTTGCTGGTACCGCAACTTTTGAAACTCCGTCTTTCGCTTTCGGCTTTGCTCTCGAAGCAGTCTTTCCGGCTGCTTTTGCGACCTTAGCTTCAGTTTTTGCCTTCGGTGACTTTTTCCCAGTGTCCTTATCCCCTTGTGCAGGCACGTCTCTGAGTTTGAGACCGAATCTTGCAAGGAAATCCTCATCACTTCTCGGGCAAGTTCCTTTATAAAGTAGGGCTTCTCCTGCGTTCAAGTTCTTCTGACTTGTTGTGGTGTCTGCCCCCGCCACGCCATCCGCTCGGAACGCAGCCCACAAGGCTCGTTGCACATCATCTACAACCCATGTTGTCTTCTTCCCGCCAGATTTGGTGAGCTCTTGAGCCTTTTCGAGTAGCAGAATATTTAACTTTGAGAAGGTTTTTGCGTCATACTTGAGTGCTCCCTTTGAGTCGAAGAGACCACTAGCCAAAAGCGCTTCGTCCGACATGACGGCTACGAATTCAGGTAGCACTCTGGCCAGCAAAACGGAAGCCGTTGCGGGACCAACGCCGAACAGCTCCTTGTCAATGGCTTTAATTCCTGCAAGGGCGACAGCCTGAAGGTGCGGTAGTTGAAAGAAACGTAATGAAGATGTGAAGAATCAGATGAATCACACACCCGTGCACGAAAAATTACATTCTGACTCCTACTGATGACGACGAAATTCATTGGCAGTGGAGGAGCAAACCCACGGGCCTTCAATTTTAGCATCAAAATGACCCAACGCGTACTCAGACAGTCTCAGAAATAGTGCGTCCTTAATTACCGTTCTCCGCTCCTTATTCTCCGCTTCTTCGCCTGGTGTTTTCCCTCTTTCATCGAGCATCGCCTTCGCCGCCTTTCGCCACGCATCGGCCAATTTTGCATCGGTATTGCTTTCCGCCTTCTGTAGTAAGCCGGGTCTGAACGTGCCTCGACGCAATTTCCACTGGACCACCAAGGATAGAACTTGACGAGTAGGTACCACCGTCAATACTTCTGAAGACGACCTTGTTCGCACTGAGAACTCGTTGTCAGCATCTAGCTGCAGCACATTTTGACCCTTCGCCTCGTAAACCGCTCTTGACAAAGCAGGATAGAGGGCTAGTGCTGCGAGGAAGTCAGACTCAGTTCCGGAATTGAATAACTTGCGAGCGGCGTCCATTTTGCTCAGCGTCTATCTTCTTTTCTAAGAGAGTTACGGCGAGTAGCTGAAAAATCTGGAAAAGAACTTAAAACTCACTGTATTAATGAAAGAAATGAATTGATACGCTAGTGAAATTCTAAAAAGTGGACCGTCGTACAAAAATACACAGCACTCGAGATGGAGATCTGTGTACTCATTTATTTTACATTTACAATCAGTTGTAGAAGGAACGAATTAAATACATAGTGGTACGGAACAAAACCATAACCATAACCAAGTTTGACGGATGTGTCGAGACACCCTGTTTGTTGACTTGAGGTTCGAAGAACTGCTGAAATAATCTCGTTTTCACGAAGGTATGCAAAATTCCAGTCAATATCTTTCACGTCAGCATATCGATCGTCGTCTGTCGACAATATTGATTCAGAGTCTCAAAACCGATGTTAATAGGGGAACGAAGACGGAATATCACTGTATTGTACGCGTCCGCCACGGTTTTCCGTACAAGAGACAAAATATGAAAATGATCGTCTGGGGAGAGAGGCTGATACGTTTCTGCCGCCAGTCGCTTCTACTCCGCTCCACTTTTGCGCTTGTGCCATTGTTTGTGTGGTGACTATAGTCAAGCTTGGTCTTGGTGATCCAACGACACATGTTGTACTTCTTTGCTTGTCTTTGCCGATGATTCAAACGATAATGAATCAAAGGGCAATCGTCCGCACAGCACAATCTTTAATAACCTTAACATACTTATTACTCTTACTCAACATTTACATTCTCATGATTTTCCTCCTGCCTTTGAATTCGAAACGAAAAAGACTTGCTTCTACAGTATTCTCTACAAACGACCTCAATTGATGTTATGCTACCCCCAATTTTTACTCCTCAATGCTTCTCCTAAGACATTTTCAATTTAATGTACAATCAAGTGAGATCAGAGATTTTCTGCTCCAACAAACAAGCATACATTAACATGTAAGTAATGAGAGACTCCGGACAAGTACATCAAACATTAAAATTAGCTTTCAAATTCAAATTCATTCGGTCTTAGTCGGTCTTTAGTGCCTCAACGAGATTAACAATTCCCACAGGCTAAGCATTGCGATCGGCTTCATTCTAGTTAAAAACCACCAGGATGTTTTCTGCTTTGACAGGTTCCCTTGATGGTCTGTTGCCCTTTCATTCCAGAAACCTCTTTGCTGAAGGCTGTATCTCCTTCTCTTTTTCCTGCTATTTCTTCTTCGTGCTCCACTGCATTCGCCGAGTTCTACTTTTTTCATGTAGCGATTTTTTTACTTTTGTTAGGTACATTTACTTTTAATACATCTGGTTCTGGTGCAGCATCTGCATAATCATGCACCTTTCCATTATGCGGCAATCACCTGTTAAGAAAATGGGTATTCACGATCATTGGCTCACTTTTTTACAAGTCTTTTAAAATACGCACACCTTGATGACGTTGACCTTGTTTACCTAAGGCAGAAAGTTATATATAAATATATGAATAGAAAATCCTGGAACTGGAACTAGTCCTGCACCATACTAGAGTAGGCACAAGATAAGACTGTAAGTAAGCGGTTAGGCCAAGCGTGAGCATTGTTGACAAAGACTAAAGATAGGGTACCTTTTTGTATGCGTTTTGAACGTGTGTTCTGCTGATGATTCGCTTGCGTGCGTGGTCCCTAAGTGCGTCAGCGGCACTGAGCAGGTTCGCAGCAGAATCCTTGAAGGCAGCACGTAGAGCGGGAAAAACCTTAGCGCTGACACGCACGACGCCGTTGCGTCGCAACACCTTTTTCAAATCAGCATCACTCGGAAACTTGACCTCCCGCAGCTCCTCACTGGAAGTGACAATTAATAATTGATGTTGGGCTCCTTAGCCTTGGGATCGTAACTTGTTCTTGTGCACGTAAAAATTCAAATTTATGGCCAATACGAGTAGGGACAGGGACAGGGAGTACTTGTATTAAATACTCCTAGAGGGAGGAGCATGTTAAAGACACAGTCGGAATGAATGCAGCATCAATATCATCAAGATCAATAATATCAAAACAGTTCTAAAACTAACGTAAACATACCTGATTTTTGAGCCCGGTAGCGTTTGTTTGCTGTTTGGTGCCCACCAAGATGACGGGTCTTTTCGATCTTCCGTGAGAAGTTGCACGCGCCCACGCTCATTTTTCTTTGCCGACACCGTCTCCGCACTCAAGATAGCACGAGCCGACTTGAGATCCTTCAATTGCAAAGTCTGGTTGGTGCGTGAAAACGCTATCGTTTGAGCTGCAGTGATCAGTTTTCCGATACCATCCTCAGTGCGAGTCTGATGTAGTTTGAGTAGGTGTTTGTTTTCAGAATCAATCAAGTTATTGTTTATGTTTGTGACGAAGCGATCGCGATCCAAGTTTGTCGGAAGAGTAAGTTGTAGTTGTTGTTGTATGATGTGTTCTTACCCTTATTCTATCGACCTTGCTCCTGCAATTGCAAAGCCTAACTCTAACACGCTCCTGTAAAGAGAATAATTAAAGCAACTCAGTAAAATATCAAAATCAAAGGCGTTGTACCGCCAACAATTCGAGTGCGGTAGCGGTGAATTTGGCCTGCACATTCTTCGAGGTTCCTCGCGGACTGGACGTATAGAACGAATCAGTTATTTGTTGGCCGTTCAATTCCAGCCACAGCTTCGCGAATCTGCGGACGTGAGTCTGGCACAAAAGCGACAATGTCGGACACACCTTGCCCTGATAAAATCGGACCGCTTCGAGCGCACGTTGGCCAGGCTTGGCGCGTTTCGTGCGCAACCGAGCGCGCCACACCGGTGGCTTGCGCACCGGGAGCTCTTTAGTCTTCGTATTTTTGCGCAAAAGGGGCATTTTGGTTTGTTTTCCTTGAAAAGTACTTACTTCGTTCTGTCCTTTATGGAAAAATGATCAAACCGATAATCTAGTCTGATTGATGAGCACTACTTTTTGGCTATTATCATTTAATAATCTGAGAAACGACTTTTTGGAGGACTTGATGCAGGATAGTTTTTTAGATGCAAGAATGACGATGACTAGCTTTTGGTTCCTTTTCACGACGATAGAGGATATTTCAATATAACGAGATGAAAATCGTCGTTTTACAACATAAGGACAAAGAAAGCAACGACCAATCAGTCTATCAGGTATGTGAGAGAGACGGACTACTTTGTGTTTGATGCCTACAGTAGTTAATCTTGAAAGTAGTTGAATGATGCATGCAGATAGTTCTTTCCTTTCAACGTCAGAGCTTTCTTTTGAAGTGTCCAATTTGCAGTTTCAACAGGGCGCTTTTTGCGTTTTTTGTCTCGAGGACGAGACGAGGTGAAGAGTTGAGGGTTGGAGTGTTGTGTTTCCATTCTTTGTAGCGAAAACGCAGTCTTTCCCAGAGAAAGACACTGTGCGTTCTGCAAGCTTTTCGACTTTGAAAGTCTTTTCCTGTTTGAAAATTGGAAATGAAAATTAAAGTCAATGTTGGCTCTATATCATTTTGCATGTTCTTGATGGAGGCGTGGAAATCTAGTAGGCGCTTGTTTTTATTTCCTTTGTTTCATGGTGATTCATACCACGGATGAAGTTAGCATATGGTCAGCTGTGTTCAAGTTCATGAGTGGGAACAAGTCCTAGAGAGGATACCGATCCGTCTATCAATTTTTATTTCAGATATGAAAGTGTCATGTGTTGAAGATGATCATGAATGAGAGTGCGTCGTTGGGTAGTCTAATGTAAAAGAGCAACCGTCGTATTTGTAATTTTTGTGATCCACTAGCTACAACTCTAATTTCAATTCCAGTCCTCGCACCAACAAAAAATCTGCGGTTTCTTTTCTTACACGATGACGATCATGATTCAACTCTAAACCTCCTCGTATATTTCTCCTTGATTCATTATTTTGTGTTTGATATTTATTCAAAGGTGAAACCATGATGAGGAGTCAGACCAGAGTCCTCGCTATTTGTATTGATTTTGAAGAGAGTGGAATGATCATGAATCGAAAACTAGTACATCTACATCGCTTGCTTCCACCATTCTTTCTTTGGATCGAATCTAAGTAAGAGCTATTTACTTCCAAAACAGCGACATGATAAAAATTCGGCGTCTCTCATTTGTTGGCGATCGTGTCATGATTCCGAATAGGTAGTTTATGATATCTACCTGCTCGATAAGAAAGCTTAAGCTCGTTGATGAGATGAGCATCACTTTGTACTTCCCACCAACGTCGTCCTTTTCGATCCACAGAAGGAATTAAAACTGAACCTCAAACTACCAATTCCCGATCTTTCATCCCGTTTTGATGTAGCTGCTGTTCCTCCCTATTTTTTCGGTTCCTTAGCAATTACCTAAGTATGACTAATGGCTCACGTTAGGCTTATCATGGCTCTTATAGAGAAGAAACGTGGACACCTTCTTCGTAGGACGTGGCTCGGTCGCCGATTTTACGGCTTTCCTGGCCCTGACAGACCTCAAATTTCTGCAAAATCAAATAGACACGTCGAACAGTTAATGTGGCATGCCCGGTACTATGGAGGTGGATCAACAACCGAGACAACTTAGACGACTAATTTATTGACGATGACGTTCTCCAATGATTCTGCCAGCAACGAACTAGAAAGTACAATTCTTCTCAGTGCACCTACATTTACACATAAGAACTAACCCTTCTAATGCACAGACATGATTGATCCAGCAATATGTAATGTGACGAAGGTCTAAGCTATTATCTTCATGATGTGTAGAAGATAAAACTGCTGCTGCTCTTCTTGACGAGATAATTGACACTACAACTTACACTTACTCATAAAGTTCAGTAGTACTAATATCTTCTTACACACGTATCAACGACCACGAGCGGCATTATCTTTATGACGGAGCATAAACAACATCGGAATGATACAGAACAAAGAACATGAAGTTGTAGAAGACACTCGTATACTATACATAGATATCGCGTTGGACTGCAACGCTCGAGCGAGAGTTTCCACATAGACACTACCATCTTCTGGTTGTTGTTTTAATAAACACTCATCGGTCATCGTCATTCGATCTGGATCTATTCATGTTAAAATCAAAAATGACTACTAAAAACGATAACAAGTTGTACAGAATCCATGCAACATTCAGCTCTCTGATTTGCAGAACCTCCTCCACGTCACTGTCATTTTCATTCACGATAAGAAAAATAATTTTTGATCATCCAGTTCGTTCGAGAAGCAAGCCGTCACCTACATGATAATATCGATGCCCATATCCGTGTTCGTGGGTCGTTTCCATGCGTAACTACTCATCTCCTACATCAGTCATCATCACTGCAGCGTTGTGGCCGGCCCCTTGATGTGTACTCGCTGTTCTACCTGCTGGAAGATCTTGTAGTTTTAGAGACCGTTCATTGTCACTGAAGGGGAAGGTGCTCTTGCAGAGTAGTCCTCTGAAGATCAAAGTGCTCTACTAGTAGCTATGGCAGTCTTAAAACGTTACTTTAGCAAAACGTTAAAAATTGACTTCTTAGGAATCTAGTCGGCTATCTTAAAAAATCAACTTTCAACGTTTTGCTAAAATAACGTTTTAAGGTTGCCATAGTAGCGGTTCCGTATTTACAACCTACAAGACCTTTAAATCTTTGCTTAAACTGAACTCGCAATGTTGAACTCGACTACTTACGCACTTGAGTACTTAATGAAAAGAGGCATGTAGCTGTTCGCTTCATTTCAACCGATTCAACCACGTAAAGATCCTGATACTCTTCTACCTTTTCAAAGTAGTACTACTACAAATACATGTTCTTGCTCCCAAAAATTGTATTCGTGCCTCGCAGCTGGTGATGGTGTGGCTGTGGCTGTTGAGACGTTAGCGGATCCGTCAGAGAACGCCGCGAATGGCGGTGCTGTCGCGTTCGACCCTTCCTCGACTGGTTTTAGTAATCCTGACGCATTCATCACCTCGTGAGCTAAATTGAGCACCACACCTGGCGTTCCATCGTGAGGAAACTTTTAGCGCTAGTAATTTTCGTAATCGTAATTACTGTACTACTATACGTCATATGCTTACTTACGCAAAAGTTTGAGAAAGACTGGAACGTTGGTGAATTTCTCATCGCCACGTGAAGAGAAATCTGCTCCTGCTTATTGCTGAGTCGTCAGTACAACCGCAAATCCGACATTAGTCAACACTACTTCTAACAGAAGTGAAAGTGATCACGTTTCTACGAAGATAAACTATCAGAACGGCCCCATCCATAGCTTTCATCACGAGCAACCATGCTCCTCCCTTCCGGAGCAACGAGAACGAGGTGATTATGTATATGCGTTCGATGCTCCCACATCATCTCATGTCCGGCACACCTTGCAGCGGCAATACTGAGCGATAGGATACCAGCAGCCAGCAAAGATTTGACTACGGGAGTCATCTTCACTCGGACACGTCCCGATGCTCCGCACGCCCGCAGCGATTCCGCAACAGCGGCCGTTGAAAATACGCATTTTTGATGTCCTTGAAGCCCTTCGTCCTGGCTCTCTTCGTCGTAGTCCTTGTGGTCCTCTTCTGAAAGGGTTGGGATCGTACTGGACCTTTTGCTCATCCTACTGCTACTACGCCCTAAGAATTTAGTGGGATCATGGGTAGACACGTCAATGATGGTGGGTGGCGCAAGCCCACCTAATGCTCCTGTATGATCCGCTGGGTCTATACAAATGAGCATGCTGTTGTCTTGCTCGTTCACTGCTGCCGCCATGTACTCCTGGTCTTCCACATGTACTGGAGGTGCCGGGAAAGATTTGATATAGATATCTTCATCTTTAAATGCAGTTGTCGTTCTTGATGTGGAGGATTCTGTTTCAGCAGATGAAGATGATATGGATATCATGCTGTCCTCGTTTATAAATGCAGTTGTCGTTGATCTTGATTCGTGTTGTGAAACAGCTATGCTGTCGCTTGTTATTCTCTTATTGAACCCGGTTCTACCGTTTCGATTCCGTGATGATGAACGTTTGCCTCTACTTGACTCTTCCTTCCCCATCACGCGACCCGAAGGAAACATGAATGCCGCGTTAGTTGCTTCGTCCCCTCTTGTCGGACTCGGGTCGGGGTTCATGTTGTAAGTCACTTTTTTGCGGGACAACCAGTTTGGAAGAATGGTGAAGATTGTGCAGAACTGAGTTGACCCAAAAATCGAGACAAAATATAACTTGATGCACCAAAACTCTTACTCGGTGCGCCATCGAGTGCGAATGGAGTACCATCGTAGTTCAGCACCACGTTGGACGATGGCTCCTTTACTTCTTCAGCAGGTGGTCGTGGTCGGCTACCACACACGAGCAAACGACACGACTCCTGTGCTTTCTTCATCGCCACGTGATCTTCAGGAGGTACAATTTCACTGTCTCGAGCTCCTGCACCTGTTGTAACCTGCTTTTCACGTTGTCCTGTGATTGCTTCTGCCGATCTGACACTAGCAGTAGCTCCAGCTGAATCTTCATGATCCTCTTCCATAACCGCGACATCGATAGGATTTTGCACGTACTCTGTAGGAGAAGAAGCCGTAGGGAGCAACCCCGCTTCAATTGCAATTCTGTCAGTGCGGTTTCTGAAAGCTGCAGTAGCATTCATTTCTTGCACATTCAGACAGTACACCTCGCGCAGGGGTCCTGCGGCTCGTTCTTGAGGCGATGGAGAGTTGAAGAAGACACTATAAGAGCTTGAGACTCCACTGCGCGGTGTCTGTGGATACGGTATTCCCTCATTCGGCTCAGCAGACGAGAACGGGGAGGCAGCAGATCTCGGGGACACAGCAGAAGGGAACCCAATATGCCCACTTCGCAAGTAATGGTAGTTGCTTGGCGGCGTGCTTGTGGTTGTACTGAAACCGGGAGTCGCGACGTACTGATCTTGATATTCATTTTGAGATTGATGAGTATTACTCAACGCAGTTGCTGTTGCTGCACTACTAGAGTCTTTTCTAATACTGTGCTGCTGCTGCTGCTGCTGCTGCTGCTGCTGCTGCTCTCCTTCCTCCAGGGAACGACGCTCTCGGGAGGCGCCCCGTCGGCTATTTGGCGCCATATATCTAGCAGCCCCTGTTTTCCATCGGTGTAGCCTAGGCGTGCCATCTCTAGTGTTCGGGTGTTCATCCGCTTTACTGTCTTCACCGTATCTGCTAGATAACAGAGGCTGCTGCAAGGCAGTACGGCCTCTCCCTCCTGGTAGTAAAAAAGCGTTTTTTAGCGGATGGCCTTCAACTGGCTTGGTTGTAGTTGCTCTTGCTTCTCCCTCGAAGATGTAATAACCAAACAGAAATCCAAATAGATCTCAATCTCTTCTCTAAATCTATCTCGGCAGCTACTGCTACACTATATTCTCAGGTTATTTTCTATAGTCCTCAAGCACAACCACAAGCTCAAAGGCAGCTTAGTGCTGTAACGTTCATGTAAATCATAAGTTTTGTGGCTCTGGAAGTCCCATGCGCGCCGCCATCACGGCCCCTAGCAGAGAGGAAACAAGGAGGAAAGCCGTTGGTAGCATCTTCTTGACCCGCTGGTTCATTCGACAGCAAAGAGGATTTGGATTCGACCCTGGTAGACGGAGCAAGGAGGACTTCATTATTTTTCTTGATTGTGGTAAATCAAATTGCTAACGCACCAGAATCTGAATCATATTGACATGGACATATTTACATATTAGCAGCGAGGGAGATACAAATATGCTGCAGTGTAACTCGAGATCTCGTTTACTTACATTTATTCTGAACAACGACAAATGCATTACATCACGCCCGCTTTTTCACTTCATAGTTCTATCTACACCTTGTTCGTCAAAAATGATCTCAATTTTAGTTTTCAATATCCTCTTGGTCTTCGGCCAAAGGACCCAGCTATGGTGGCGTGAAAGAAGTCTCATATTTTTTCACGCATAGGAATTGAAAATCAATACAACTACAAATAGGAAGATACGCCGACCCGGCACACATGACCCGGATCGTCGAGCATTCAAAAACAAAGCATGGACGTCGAGTAACAGTCCTCTATGGAAAACAGAAGAATCCAGGACGCCAAAACGGTCCAATGAATGCCAACTTGGCGCACTCTGTCTTCAACGACCTCTTTATTATTTTTTATCTTATCATGATAAATCATTCTTCGTTAGTACTTCGCAAAAATCATTCTCAAATTTTGTCATCCGCAGTAGAGCGCGACAAGCTATACCTGGGAGAATAGTTCGGTTGGACACCAGGGCTACCACGCATCTTCTAGAAAAACACAAAGATCATACAAGAATATCAATATTACTATGAACTTTTCTCGAAGACATCAAGGCTCTTCATCTCCTTACTGTACAATGTTCTCTAAGGTCCTGTATTAGTATTTGCGCCGTCCCCGACTGATAATGAGATAATCCCTCATGAAAGAATGTAGTTTTCCAAGCTCTTTATTATCATCATATGCTCCACCTCCTCCTGAAGCTTTAGATGAAACTTGTTTGAGAGCATCATAACTCAATTTGAAAAGTAGATAAGGCAAACAAGGTAGCAACTACCAGTATTAGCCGTAGGTTTTCGGTGTTTCTTTACCCCAGATTGTTCCGCGCTCCTCTCTTAGAAGAGCCAAAACAAACGTCAGCAAAACGAAAGAAACACCAAAAGTCTAATAAGCCGTAATAGTAAAAGGAGAGCAGCAGGAGTGTGCGTGCGGCATGAGATGGCGTCTTCGACGGGGTCATCGTCGGCCGAGGGAGGTTCGGTTGCCTTTGGCGGTTCGGTAGTGGTTTGTACCTGAACCCTAACGCAGTTGAGTTCCTTGAGCTCGTACCCGCTTGAACAAGAGGCGCAGTTGCGCTCGCCGTGGTTTGCGCAGTCGACGCCTGTTGTTCCGACGCCGTTATCGCAGGTGCATTGATTCGTAGCAAAAAAGACCGCGCCGCACACTTGGATGACTCTTATGTTATTAGAACTTGATGATGATAAACCACGAAAAATGCATCTTCAGGAGCATCGTGAGGATCCTCGTTTTTCCTCCTTGAGAACAAACATGGCTTTGAAAATATAGTTTTGAAATATGAGAGAAAATGGATGGATATGGATCTGTGGATGCCTTAGTGCCAGAAACTGCAGGATTTGAGACAAACTTCGCGCTCTGATATAGCTTCGGTGGTGCCGGATTCGCTGCTTCAGAATCCGCTTGCAGCGCAACCTCCTTACCTCCAGGTGCGGGGCAGTCTGGTCCTTCGGGGTTGCCCATCCAGACCCTCGTGTTACCTGAGACCTTCTCCTCTCCGTCGCCCATGATTAGGAGGCAGTGTTATCATGGAGCAACTACGGTGAAGAGAAAGATGAAGCACTTACACTTAGTCTTCGATTGTAGTTTGGAGATGAAGCCATTCTCTAGTATAGTACTGCCAAGTAACAAGTACTAGTAGAAACGCATTGCACAAGAAGAGAAAGATCTTGATGATCTAAGACGGCAAGAAGTATTAGTACATTCATCTCATCTAACTAAAACTAAAAACTTAACTTCCTTAGGCCAGACGAGTAATATCTTCAAGCTTAGCGATGAAGATCCACCAAAAGAAAAGACCAACGCACGAAAGGGTTACTTTCCTGCCGCTGGAGAATGAACCGTCGCCAGATCATCCTCGCAACAAAGACAATCGGGAAGGGGAAGATCGTCAGTCTGATGATTTAAAAACTGGGGAAATTCATAGCAAAAGGCAGCGGATCACTGCGAAAACCCGAACAGAGTTCAACCCTGCCGGGCGGACACGGAAGCCGGAAAAGTTTCCTCGCGACGTGCTCCCCTTACGCAAATTGCCTTTCCAATGGTCGGCGCGGCGTTCCTGGCGTAGTGCGGGTCCCCGCGTCCCTGCAGAGCTCCCCGGAAGGGCGCGGCGCAAGGACTTGGGACACACGAGCAGCCAGGAAACCAGAGAGAGCCAACGCCGCGAAGCAGAGCACTCTCGCGAGGAAGGGGCCCTGCAGTTCTTTTTACGTGAACGCGCAGTGCTTTTTACCTAACTTAGCACCAGTGAAATTTGAACATGATCATACAACACAAGAAGAAAAGAGTCTCACTTTTGTACTTCCATCGATTTTTCTTCAAAACTACATTCATTTTCCCTTAGACTGTTATCCATAACATGAGCACGTCTAAGTTGTTGAAACGATGCTGGCAATTGACGCAGCCTGTACCTCCCCATCTGTTCCATAGCAGCACACGGGTGGGCAGCAGTGGCTTCCTGAAGTTGACCTTCCAGAACCCCGCGGGCCCCGAATCCGCCCAGACGACGCTGTGAGAGCACTTGCACTGCAATGCCTCGTCGCCCTCGCCTATCCCATACTCCAGTGGGACAAAGGCTCCATGATCGTCCTCCCGACCGTCCCAAGCGCCTAACACTGTTTCCGTGCCATCGTCCGCGTTGATCATTCCCTGTGTCGCGGAAGTAAACATGTCAGGGAGGACGCGAAACTCACCGTCGAGGGGTTTCAAATGCGCGGGAGGATCCCCGCTGCTGAGCGTGATATCTGCGTGCTGTTTTTGAAGCAGGAATTTCTGGCTCATGGAGGGACTAGATGGCCTCGTTTTGTTGATGTGGTACGGAGTTTGCAGTTCTTCTACCCCGTCTAAGTGCTGTTGACGCTGATCAAGGGATTGAGCGCCTTTCTTCTCTTTAGGCAGATATTTCTCCTCGCGGCGGATGTAGGCGGGTGCGTAATTCCCATCCTCATCTATGGCAATCGAAGATCTCTCTTTTGATTTTTTCCTGTTCCCTGTTGACGATGCCGTGGCAGCGAGCGGCAGAAGCGGTAATTTCCATCCTAATCCTTGAAGGTGGACGAAATACGCAGAGAGCGCCCATCTTTTTGCCTTCATCATCTTCATCAGATGGCCTGGCACACGTGGATTCGGGTAGTCTTCCTAAAGGCACTACTGTGGAGACTAAGCGATACGGATATCATAAGGCATGTTGATCCAATCAGTATCAGTTTTGAATACTCATCCTCGCACAAAGCATATTCATAAGTAAATTTCCAATCACGACTCGTGGCCCACAAACGGTGAGCTGCGATTCACATTTTTACTCACTCACTCGCCCTGCTAAAACTGAGCACCCCATATTCTCTTACCTACTTCTCCAGACACCATCACCCGTGGATGCACATCTACATCTGGGAATTTTAGACACAGGGGCTTGTCGTGGCAACAGGGAATGGGTTTAAACCTAGTATGAAGGTGACGTTTTCGCTTGGCGTATGGTCAAGAAAGGCAAGTGATGGTGCGGTGGACCATACAGATGTACTCAGCTACTTTCCGCCCACTTCTCAGAACACATTCGATTCCCATTACAACTACTTCATCAAACCCCTTGTCCTTATTGCCATAAAAGCACAGCACCAGCAGCAACGACTTTAACTTTATGCACATGCACACCAAACTACGCAGGAGATTGCATCCTCACTCTCAGAGTTGATCATAATGGAGATCTAGTACAAGAAGGAGGGTTCTTGAGACCACAAATTATCGCTATATGTCGTTGAAGTTCGGAAATCCCCCAACCCTCTTTTGCGCTGACACAGTGAATGCCTGAAAGAATATTCGCAGGGCCAAGGCCCTTTGCTTCATTTTCACTAAATTTGTTGACCGTAGTTGTCTCTGCAGGAAGAGCAACAAGTTTATCCTCTTCTTTCTCTGGCGATTCTGCACCACCTGGAAATTCCATCTTCTCTTTCCTCGAACAATTTTCTAATGCTTTTCTGAGTATACCTCGACCGCTCGGACCGTACAACCGTGTACGCACAGAAGCTGCGTCGGTATCTCTACTTCCATAGTCTTCCACATGGATTAGAACAATCGTCCAGATGATAGGAAAATAGGAATTTCCTCATGTTGTAGACGAGTTCCTTATCCGTTGTACTACCACCGCGGCCTCAAATACTGACGTGTGTTGGGTTAACAAAAAATTCAAACAAGGGCTCCACTCTAAATATAATTGCTGATCCTCATAAAAAGTCCACACTTCTTGCCTTCTGGGAAGATCCAATACTCGGCGCCACGGCGCTATTACCAAGTAGGGCATCGAAAGGACAAGGCCGATTCATCTCTTCAATACGATACCCCGCTGCGGCCACGGCACTATGAAGTTCTGCCTGAGTCAGGAGATCGATTTTGGGTAATGAAGATGGAGGTTGCCATGATGCTGGAGCAGGAAAAAACTCATGTTCAATCGGCCTCAAAAAAAACTCGTGCCCAAAACAGATGGAATTTGGATTCGGCATCTATGTTTCTAGTTTAGTAGATACTGTTACTGTGCCAGGAGCAGTGTCTTCGGCATGAGATTGACCTTATCTCGTCCATTCGTGATCGCTCTATTTTTCTATTTCTATGTGGTTCTGCTTCTGTGGTCCCTTTTCATATAGTCAAGACAAGGAGTTTCGGATATCCTGCGAATGTTTTGCGCCAGACTTGCTCGTCTTCAGGCTGAATCCCCACCGTTGCGTCGACGAGGCATAACACACAACGAAGATTTTCCTTGACACACTGCTGCCGACAGAACGCAAGAAGCATTTTCCTCCACTTCTCCTTGAGGACTTGGTGGACCTCAGCGTACCCATAGCCTGGTAAGTCGACCATTCGCAGAGTGTCAGCGACGTCAAACCGGAAGAGATGTCGAGTCCGCCCAGCCCTATTTTTAGACAAGCTAGCATGAGCATCCTTTCACTGAGCATATGTCCTCTAGAACTCTAAGATAAGCATTCATCACGGAATTTTCAACGGCAGCGAGATTCAGACGAGTGAAAAAAATGTGCCTCGCTGTTCCCCTCCCCCTGTAGATCTCGACTCGACACTTGTGCCTCCTCGTCTCGGATTAGATCTCGAATGAATACCTAGGACACTACAACTTTCAGATGCAGTACACATTCGATTTCGAATCCGTCTGGAGCCATAAGACTGCTTGAAACTGCGAGTTCTCTTCCGTTCAAAAGCTTGTTCAGTAAGCTGGATTTCCCAACATTGCTCTCGCCGACAAAAGATACCATCGGTAAGAAATCTTGGCTTCTCTGAGACTTAGAACAAGGACAAGCTTGAAAGATGTTGTTACACCTGCGTCTCCGACGACGGGTGGACACTTGCACTACGTAAGCACGCGGTCGGCGAACATTCTCATACTCATTATGTATGAGAATTATACAGAAATATAATGTGTTGGCCAAGGTCATAATCCTAGAAGATTCACAAAGATCACAAGGATGAAGATCATCAAAATGACCAAGATCGCCAGGCAAAAGGTTACCGGAGCACCATCCAAACGCCCGACGGGTTTACCGTCGCGCGGGTGTCTCTGGCTTCTTCTCTCTCTCTCTCGTTTGTGGCTCAAGCCTCCCAATACAGTCAAGGACAAAACAGCACCGGAATGATCTCAAAGATAACCTACAGACCTAAATGCATATAGTTCCAAAATCAGTGATCATCAGGCAAAGGACCTTCAACGTATTCAGATAGCAGGAATGGCGAATGTTTCATAGCTGTAATCAGGTCCATAACGTCTTGTCAAGTTCTGATCAATGATGAATGCCAGTGCATGATGATCGTATGAATCAATGATGATAGCATAAGCGTTGCCGTATGAAGCATATGAAAGCCTCCCCATGCAACATGATATCCCAATGATGAAGCTGAGACTTCCTCCTTGCAACCCCAATGAACATCCACAAGGATCAAAGCAGCCAGAGATCATTAGTCTCAGGCTGTGAGTGCAAATTGTGAAAACTGTATCACTCTCAAGCGTTTCTCACCGAGGAACTAGACGCGGCTCAACAGTCTGTGTTCGAATGTATCCAGCACTACTTTGACCCTTGAGCTTAGTATAGAGTAAAAATCCATCTAGAAACAACTTTTCAAAATGTCCTGCGATGCGAAAGAAATTTCGAAGAAACTCGGACAGAAGTCCGACTGGCGAGGATGGCAACTTGCCATACGTCAGGAAGCTAGCCGTCTTGGCCTGCTTCAAAACTACACGAATGTAGTCGGTATTCCGGCAGCTCCTCATGGTATTCCTAACGGAGTTACCAATCGGGAGGAAACAATTCGGCAGAAGTGGCGCAACCTGAAAGATGCGATCACTCGTAGTCTGAAAGGTGCCGCTGCGTCGTTCATCAACAACCAGAACGATAATGGGCAGGTGGATGCGATGGATGCAGGTGAGGTTGTTGCGCTCCTTCGTGATGTAGGACACTTCGATCAAAACAACCGTCAGGAACAACGGACGAAAGTAAAACCGCTTACGGATGGTGTGTCGAAGTTCCACAACGCGGATCAGCCTGCAGATGTCACGGGATTCTTGTCGAAAGTCCGAGACATCACGAACCAGTCGCCCACCGTGTACCCGCCGGAAGCAGGAGTGCCTGAAAGGGACCAACAGAGTGGCGCACTGTTGCAGAAGTTGCCCGAGTTGTTCTGCAAGAACTTCAAGGCAACGATCGAACGCATGCAGGAAGAAGATGGTCTGACATTTGACCAGATTGGTGACCGACTTGAAAAGCGTCTTGCGACGTTGATCGAGGAGGGAACCTACAAAGTTGAGAGCGATTCCTTCGGGAAGGCGTTCCCGGTCAATGTTCAGGAGACCTCGAATAAACGTTCTCGCGAAGGGGAGGATGACGAGGAAAAGGCCAACGAAGGTGGTAAGATCTTTCTGTCTAAAAGTGCTCTCAAGCGCTTCAAGGCAAACACAAAGAAGAAGATCGCCGCCGAGGTCTATGCCTCCAATTCGAACGGCAAAGGAAAGCCGCAGAACAAAAATAATAAAGGTTCTGGAAAACAAGATACCCGCCCAGTCTGTTGGATCTGCAACAAACCGGGCCACAAGTCCGCGTCTTGTTGGAAGAATCCACAGAACCAGGCAAACTGGAACTGGAACACCAATTCCCAGTCTAGTAGTGCTATGGGTAAAGGTGGAAAGGGTAATGGCATGGTTCACATGTCTGCAGTTGCGGAGCTGTGGCAAGCTCTCAACGGCGGAAAGCAGAGCTGAGTTGCAGAACCGGTGGAAAGCGGATTTTGCTCGCTGAACTTGGATGAAGATGAGGGTGAAGAAATAAACATAAATAATAAAGGGGAGGCAAAACTTGCGGGACATAGTCTTTCAACTAGTTCCATTACTGCAAGAGAAGAAGTTAGTCTGGTTGATAGTTGTGCAAACAAATATCTTTCAAGGCACAAAGATGATTTTAGTGAAATAACTATGAAAATTTGTAGGATTACTGGTAGCGCTGGAAGTAAAGACGGAAGAGTAGGAAAACTGAAGTCAAACATCCTAGGGCTCCAGTATGGTGTTTATTATGATTCACTACCAAAGGACTTAGATCGTATCATACCTTGGTTAGGTGAAGGGAACTGCTCACAATTAGGATGGGAATTCAACTTCAAAGGCGCAGGCGGTTGTCTCGTACATACGGACACCGGCCAGGCCATACCAATAAGAAGTCATCCACGCTTGCAGCTTCCCATACTTGCATGCAACTTGTTTAAAGAAGAGACTGATAATGGTTATACTTGTTCAACAGTAGAAGAAGGAGTCAGTAGCTGTTATCTTACAAGACTCGAACTTCATAGAAGACGTGGGCACTTTCATATAGATGGCCTCCAGGTAAATTGCCCTGAGTGTGATCTACATAAAGGCCAACGCGCATCACATGCAAAAGCTAGAGATACTTCGAACTACAAACCTGAACCATTGAAGTTACTAGCAATCGACTTTGCTGTTGGAATCAAACCCGTATCAGTCAGGTCAAAGAGATGTGTACTAGTGACCATCTGTGATGTAATTAAAAAGGTGTTCTGTCGACCGCTTAAACTGAAAAGTGACTGCGTGGAGGAAATAGAAGAAGTTATCAAAGGCATTCGCCAGGACTACTCCTTATCACTTGATGACAAGGTAGTATGGTTCCTCCGGAGGGATGGAGAACCTGTCCTGAGCAGTGACGACATGACCAAAGTTATGCAATCGCTGCGAGTCTCAGACAGTCCGGCTGCTCCTTATAATCCGGAGACGAATGGGACCTGCGAACGTTTTATGCGGACTTTGTTCGGCAGTGTTCGCACAATGCTGACTAAAGTTGATAAACGCCTCTGGTGTTACTGCGTCGAGTACGCCGGTGACTGCTGGGATCGTTTACCGCATAACTATGCAAAAATGCCTCAACATGATGGAAAGAGTCCAATTGAAATCTTAGAAGAAAGGACTGGTAGAAACTCATCGAAGAGCTCAATCGGCATGCTCCGCCGATTTGGTTGTCTAGTTTACTTTCGTGAACAAATTCAATCCAACACTCCTGAACCCAAGCTCTCGGCCAAATACCGTCGTGGCGTCTTCCTTGGACTCTGTCCGAAGTCGTCTGGTTGCCGTTGGTTGGTTGGAAATTTCGCTCATGGCGATCGTTGCAAGCTTGGACATCGATGGGCGGAATACTCTACCCTAGATGTAAAGTTCAGAGAGGACTATCTAATAAAGAATATTGATTGGCTTTTGCCAGATCAGAAGGGCATCTACATTGAGTATGACGAACTGGAAAATCTGCAGAGTGGCGCGTCGTCGCTGGGCTCCCCCTTGCTTGGGCAGTCAGTGCAAAGGCTGGATCATCAATCGGGGTTCTCTGGCACGGAGCACATTCCAGGTGGACCGGCCGCGATTTCCGACGAATTATTTATTGAGACACTGGATAAAGTAGAGGAATCCAACGCAGCTGACTCTCCTAAAGATGTTTCACTTGAGGAGGGGAATGCTGAAGCGAAGGATCGCGAGACATCTGCTCCGCTAAGTCCGTCTAAGTCTAAAGCGCCTTCTCCAGCACGTATTGTGGCAGGCGAACGCCATACACACGTCAAGAAGCGTGGCCGACCAAAAGGAGCGAAGGACAAAGCAGGTAGCAAGGTTCGAAGAACAAAGAAACAGTTAGAAGAACTGAGGAAGAGTGTGGCGCTGTTCGCTAGTGCAGTAGGTGGCATGTGTGAATTAGACGAAGGTGAGGAATTCGTCGAATCATATGTGATTTTGTCCGTTGCTCAAGCACTCAAGTCTCCTGATGCCGATAAGTGGCGGGAGGTCATTGACAAAGAGCACGCGAGACTACTAGCCATTGAAACGCGGAAAGAAGCTTCTGACGAGGAGCTTGCGACCGCGCGACAGGCTCTACCAAATGCCATAACTCTAACTATTAAAAGATGTGGAAGATACAAGGCTCGCGCTTGTGTCCTCGGTAATCTAGATCGTTCAGGAGAGCTAAACACCTTTGCTCCCGTAGTTTCGCACGCCGCTAATAGGCTGCTCCTGACTTCTGCTGCGTCAGAGCAGGGCTATGCGATCCCGTTCGATTTAGATTCTGCGTTCCTCAATGCTGAACTCGATCGCGATGTCTTCTGCCGTCTCCCACCCATCTGGGCAGAGAAGCATGGACGCGAGATCGTGAAGCTCAAGAAGGCCTTATACGGCTTGAAAGACGCACCACGAGCATGGTTCAAGAAATATCACGACATGCTAGCCAGTATTGGCTGGGAGCCGTGTGATTCTGCGCCAAGCTTATGGAGAAAGCCGAGTGCGAGGGTACCTGGGAAGTTCCTCAAGATGTCAGTCTACGTTGATGACAATCTTGCGACGGGTCCAGACCTCGACGAGCTCAGGACCGAACTAGAACTCATCTTCTCGCGTGCCCCTGGCCGTGCGATTGATGTGGAGTCCGTTCCAACCCCTTGGGGTCAAACGTGGCGCAGGTTCGACTTCTTAGGTGCTATCGTGTACTACTGCCGTGAAGCTCGAACTTTTCGGCTCAATATGGAGGAGTACATTGATAAAATCGCAAAGAAATTCGAAATCGATGTCGGAAAACCGGTTTACTCGCCCAATTTTGACGAGTCGGCTTTTCTTGAGGAGGGGATCAAGATAGTCGAAGGGTATCCCTTTCGTGAGGTCGTTGGTGCCTTGCTATGGGTAGCTGTAACCGCGCGCCCGGACATTTCTGTACCGGTGGCAGCATTGGCTAGACATGTCAGCAAACCCGCGTCAACAAGAATGGTTAAAGCAGCCAGAAAAGTGCTAAAGTATCTGGTGACAACGAGAGACCAAGGACTGGAATACTCACCAGAACAAGAAGAAGAATTCAATAGAATCTATTCAAAGTTACTACCTGAGGGCAGAGATATGCGAGAGGTGAATATCTTTAGTGATGCAGGTTTCGCCAACTGCGTAAAGACTACGAGAAGCACAAGTGGATCGATCATGTATTTCAAAGGCGTTCCAATCGCTTGGAGAAGTAACCGACAAGCTGTCCGTGCCTATTCTACGGCTGAAAGTGAATATATTGCAGCTTCTGACACAATTGTGCTTAGTGAACTGCATGACTTTACAGACTTCTATAAGCCTCTACCAACTCAGTTGGTACACACACAGAACGGCTTGCCTCCCTCTTTAGACAATGCTGTGCTCTGGATCGACAACCAATCCGCGATCACAACAGCCAAAGCAACTGACACACGCCCGAAGAGTCGCCATTATGCACTTCGCTACTTGCGTGTGCGTGATGCGGCCAGTAAGATAGTTTTCTGTCCAACTAACTTAATGAAGGCTGATGGCTTAACTAAGCTAGAATGTAGCTCGTCTCAACGTAGGCAACTACTCCACCATATAGATAACCCGATAAATAGGGTTATGTGTGATGATTGTGATTCCTCAGACGATGAAACGTATGGGGATGATTTAGCTTACTATAGTGTAGCATATTCGGTTTATTTTGGCTTCTAGCCGAGTATACCGTAGCCATAGAAGAGTAGTTAGGAGATATGACTTCCGTGGTAGTCCAGAAGACTAGGGACTTCGACACGCAACGATTGAGGAGGGGCGTTGGTCAAGGTCATAATCCTAGAAGATTCACAAAGATCACAAGGATGAAGATCATCAAAATGACCAAGATCGCCAGGCAAAAGGTTACCGGAGCACCATCCAAACGCCCGACGGGTTTACCGTCGCGCGGGTGTCTCTGGCTTCTTCTCTCTCTCTCGTTTGTGGCTCAAGCCTCCCAATACAGTCAAGGACAAAACAGCACCGGAATGATCTCAAAGATAACCTACAGACCTAAATGCATATAGTTCCAAAATCAGTGATCATCAGGCAAAGGACCTTCAACGTATTCAGATAGCAGGAATGGCGAATGTTTCATAGCTGTAATCAGGTCCATAACGTCTTGTCAAGTTCTGGTCAGTGATGAATGCCAGTGCATGATGATCGTATGAATCAATGATGATAGCATAAGCGTTTCCGTATGAAGCATATGAAAGCTCCCCCATGCAACATGATATCCCAGTGATGAAGCTGAGACTTCCTCCTTGCAACCCCAATGAACATCCACAGGGATCAAAGCAGCCAGAGATCATTAGTCTCAGGCTGTGAGTGCAAATTGTGAAAACTGTATCACTCTCAAGTGTTTCTCACCGAGGAACTAGACGCGGCTTAACAGTCTGTGTTCGAATGTATCCAACATAATGAAATAAATAATTTAAAAAAAAAAATCGTGCTCATAGGGGTCGTGTCAACGCTTGAATTTGTTGATGGCTGCGAGAACGAAGATTTCGTTCGTGCTGTCCCTTCCTCGGCCAGTTTTTCTATCGTATCTTCAACCAAGACCGGGTGGGCTGTCACAGGTCGCGCGAACAACTTTTTTACCCACATACTAGAACTCCACGTTGATGAGCCGTGTCTTGCCCCAACTTGCAAGTTTGAATCTGACGAGGAGGATCTTGTTGATTTAGTTTCGAGTCCCGAACCTCCACAATAAAGCAAGCCTGTGCGCCTTGATGTACTGCCGGGTGCAAGCAGCTCGTCTTCGATCGATATTCGTGGTCCACCAAAATTAGAGTTCAACATACACGTGCTGCAGCTTAGTCCTCGTGACACACTCACACTGTCAATGGGAACTGAATCCATCTTCATTGTACAACATACGTTAACAACGTTACTAGAAGTATGTGTATGTGTACCTCTTGCTGGTAAATAAGTAGCAGGACACACAGAAGAAATCAACTAGCAGTAGCCTTAACGCTTGCAGACGCTGATCCTGAGACGGATTTACGTGGAAGGCCTAAAATCTTTCGAGTAAGGTCCGGACATGCACCCGTCAATGGAACGAAAGGTTGCGCGAGAACAGGGTTCCTTGCAATGTTGCGCAACGAACCCCGTGGCGTTTGAGATGCCGCCATTTTTCGTCACGGAGGGCAAAAGCAAAACTAGCTCAACCTCGAGAATTCACTCAACACTTCTGGCACAAGAGTGATACTGAGTTGTGCTAAGTAACAATCACAATAACGCGGAAGTGCTGTGCTTCTATCAAGATTCACCAGAACTTGAAACAGAGAAGTGCTTCCACCAAAATTGGTAATGTTGGTATACCTATACATTCGGAGATGAACATCTCCCTGCGTCAAAGGTCTCCAAAGACATAACTCGGGTGCGTACTTTTGCTTGGTACCTTGTAGCTGCAAATTAGTAAAAAAAAAGCAAGTACGCAAAAATGAAGGGCCGTCAACATCACACAAAAAGCAGTTTTTCCATGTCGTCGTGCCTGATTGTGTTGTGATGCATGTTGAAAGTGAAGCTCTGTAACTTTAACCGTCGAGGAGTGAAAAAAGGACTGAAAAGAAAGAAGAAAAAAAAGACATGTAGCATCGTTTCGTCAACGTGTACGTCATATGAATCTTCTGAAATTCTCAGTAGCCGCAAGGCGCGTCCGCAAAGGCAAAGACCTCGAACGAAATAATGTTCCTCGAAAATAACGAGATTACTTACTTATAATATAAATAGAGTAAAGTCTGCCTTAGACTTGGGTGGCGGCAGAGGCGTAGTCCTGCTGCAATCACCACTGTCACCTTGTGCTCGAGCTAATACTCGGCTACTGTCCCACCACTCCATACACCTTTTCGTTGTAATCGACGCCGACCACGACCGGAAAAACGTACTGCCACAGCACATCTAGAGTTTGGGAAAGGAGGCCCAGTAGACCAAATTTTAGCACCACTTCTGAAAGCATTGCGCTGGCACTGAAGCGACGCGCCGAGCCTGCAATGACTATCTTCATCTGCAGCCCATGAAGTGTCCGCACTCTGCGATACAGTGTCCTGCGAGATGAAGTGGATGTCGATTGTGGATCCATTTCCTCTTTTGTTATAGATATAGGGCGCGCCGTGTTAACGAATTGATGTGGTGTCACTTCGCGTGTCTTGTATTCCGAGTACGGTACTCGTTCCGCTGTTATCGTGTATTTGTGCGGGAGGAGGATTGCATCTTGTGGCTTTGGTGAAGATGTAGTCTTGCGATTTTTTTGTGTGCCACCCCCGTCATCTTCACCTTGAGAAGTCGCTCGTTTGTTCGTGATCTGTGAAAGTTTTTTCTCCTCGTGGTCTCGCTGTGTGTCTTTTTCAGCACTACTAGAGCTGCCCAGAAGCAAAGGTCCTACAATCAACTCGGGAAGCGTGGGAAGTGAGGAGTTCGTGAAGTCGTACCATTAGAGGTAGGCGTTTGGTGTTCGTTTATCCCGCTTGTGATGCCTGTCTCCCTTAGGAGACCCATAACAAACGGTGACAGGAACACCGTTAGCCTACCCTTAATACCACGCTGCTTTGAGCGCTCGCCAGAAGGAGATCTGTCCGTGGTCGGCTGAAAAATGTACCGTCACAACTATGAGCGACCCTTTTTCCCGGATTACCGTGCCATCAGGCTCTGCCTCGTCTAGGGATCCTATACCTGCAGCGGTAAGGATCTCACTCAGAGGAATTTCAACAGCAGCCTTGGGCTCTTTTTGTTACTTAGAGCAGTTCTGAGCCAGAACCTGAAGTTGGCGTGATCGATTTGATTCGTAGTAGAATAACAATGAATAAGGTTTGACGACTCCAGAAGTTGTACTGGGAGAGCCAGAGCCCCGCCTGCTTGTCCCGATGAAGTAACCCAGGAACTTAAACTTTTTCTTTTATAGTTACGATATGCCATCTGGCTGTTCACGTTGAAAAAGTGAACGAGAATGAATGACTGAAAAACCATAATCAGTATCCGAGCAGGCTGTTCAGACGCAGTTTGAACCGTCGATTTTTCAAGTGCGGCATCATCTAGTTCTACGGGCGTAATCGCCTCAGTAGCATCTTCTAAGAACGATACTTTCGCAGGATCGTCGGCAACGGCCGCCTCTTGTCCTTCTTGAAATGCCACCTGTGGTCCTTCGAGTTCGCCGCTTTCACCGACTCGCGCTCCTCCGGGTTCGGGTTTTCTATCACGTACATCCTCTTCTGCTGAGTTACGTGGTGTCGCTTCTGTGCTTACAGCATCTTGTTCAAGAGGCGATGCGCTGGTTCCCTCTTCTAGCGCTGTTGATGTTGGCCTTGTTGTCCGTGTCTCATTCATTCGGCGTTCCCTCAAAGCTTCTGCATCCCCGCTGAGTGAGCCAGCATCGCTTCCTTTCTCCACTGCCTTCTCCGCAGATGTTGACGCCTCTTCGCCGGTAAATGAAAGTGATCAAAGATGGGAAACGAAGATGGAAAATTTCAAACCTTATGTCTGCTCCCCTCTCTTTAAGGAATTCTTATAGACAAAGAGTGCCAGCAGTGCGATAAGAAATGGCCGTATCTTATGCGTTGTTAGGCTAGACTTTGATGTCGTCGACACAGCGCGAATCATAGCACCGTCGCGCCCAAGTAACTCTCCAGCTGCAGCCGGATTTCGTGTGGAATAGATTATGTTAGAAAAAAACTCAACCTAGTAGCCTGCTCCTTCCGCACAAAAAGCGTTTCTCTTCGATTGGGGTCATGATGAAAGGAAAATGCAATACAGGTGCGACCTACAGTTCAACATGGGGATGATCGATTGCCCAATATCAGTAACGGTCTTTAGAACTAGAAGATTCAGATTGCAATTCGAATTGTCTTATAGTATACAACACTAGAGGACTTTCAGTTTCATCTGCTAGGGGTTCCTCCTACTGAAGGACGTGATCGTCGGTAAGGCTCATAGGGGCGGCTTCGTCATCACATCTGCCGTAACATAGGGACACAAAGCTGTAGTTGCAGACGCAGTATGCTGCGAACTCTCCCTGACTGCTTTGCGAAACTGGGCACAGAATTCAACGGCTTCCGCGTGAGCCGTGATCGCGACCCTGAAAAACTCGAGGCCTGCGACATATCGGTCTAACCGCGAAACACGTGTGTAGCCCTCTTGTCGGTAATTAAAGCTATGCAATTGGAATTGCAAATGGTCTCAGATTTTACAATATGACACTCTTGCAGCTTACTGGTAACCCAAAAAATGCGATATCTTCTGGGTGTGCAGGCCCACCACCTAGTAAGACGCATAGTACTTTTATTCTTTGTGTTTTCCCTACCCTCTTCACTAGTAAACTAGAGTATAGTATATGCCCTTATTCTCATGTCCGCATACTGACAGCATCAATATCATGCTCGAGGTATTAATAAAATTAAGCTATTGTATCTCTGCAGCCGTAACACACCCAGAGTCTTCCGCAACGAGTGTTGCAGCAAAGTCAGCGGCAAGGGCATCTTCGTCTTCAACTTCATCCTGGCTATTTTCGGCTAGTGCGGATGATTCATGGGCCTTTGCGCCAGAGGCTTCAACTTCATCTCGATCCACTCCTGTTGGCGGGTGCGAAATCACGCATTTTTCTAGCACGTCCTTTATTCTTGTGACGACGAAAAGGGTATCCCCGATTGACTGGCCCGCAGTATCTGCATCCCAGTGAGCGTAAGAGAAGGACTGCCCGGATACGCGAGAAATCGCATTGGTTCTAGTCCTGGCATCGGAGTGCTCCTGACTGCCCCACTGTGCGCGTGCGGGGTCGTTTATTAGAATAGGCATGGATGGTACTCGAGGTAGTCGAGCCCGTAGTTACTTGGAGCGAGCTCGATACCGCCCACGTGCCCCCGGCGTCTACAAACGCCGAGGCAGGGCGGAGGAAGTGCTGCAAGGTTTACTTGCTACAAATATGAGCTACGACAAACGTGGGAGCTACGCGATACATCTCAGAAGTCGACCGTTACGGCCTTCCGGCATGATGCGCGCTACCACTACAGACAGCAGCTACGCGCTCACGTGCTGCAAGTTCTACGCATCACGGTGGAAGGAAGCGGAAAGACGCGGCGGGCCGGGATGCAACGTATTAAATTTGTGCACTCGGCTGCAAGAGAACCACACAGCGGGAGAGGGAGACAGAGCCACAAACTTAGGAGCACAAGAAGGCGCACCCGTCACTGATACACTGAACCCCAAGAGGGAACGAACATGATAATGATATACATCTACATTTGGTAGGCGACAGCGATCCCGAAAAACGATACGCATCAAAACAAAAAACACACAAGCAGATCAGTTGGCAAAGGCATACTTAGATTAGAACTACCAGAACTAGTACCAGAAGCAAAAATTGTCTCCGTTCATAGCAAGTTGCTGCTCCGTAGCCGCAGACGAGCTACCCCTTGCAACGCATCGGATTCTAGGTAGATCTGGTCAACGAAAACGTTGAAGAACAGCCACCCCACAATAGCGACGAGTCCGACGTTGTACAAGTACACCAAACGCGTATCCTGAATTGCCACATAAGGGATCGTCCAATACGACAGGAGCATCGGCATCTTCAAAAAAAAATTGCTCGATCGAATTACACCGTGGTGTATTTAAAAACGTTTGCGCTACGAACCACGACCAACTTACAAAATTGAGATCACTATAACTACTTGCCCCTTATTTCATGAAGTCAAGATGTAGTCCAGCAGCAGACTCTTCAGTTCCGCATCTGTGTGCATCGCCATTCCTGCTGTTTGGGTGTTGGGATTGGTTGGTGAAAAAGTTTGCTATGCTTCTCCATGACGTGAAACTTCTAGAAGTCAAACGATCTAGTCTTACCGAGGAAAAGAAAAATCAAATGATCAACAAGAAATAGAAAGCATATGATCCATAACAATCATACTCATTCTCATAGTTAGCGGTGGTCTTGAGAAGGAAGATCCGCGTATCATCCAGCAAGCTGATGAGAGACCTCCGTGGCTAATCTACTTCTTTCTCTGTTTTTTTTTGTCAACATGAAGTGATCAAGCACTTGCAAGAAGAAAGGCAGGACGTACAAGAACCTAAACGTCAAGAAGCCCGAAAATGTCACCGCTTTTCTTCGCATCTAATCTTGTCGTGGAGCTGCATGCATCATTCCTAGAGTAGATGTTCTCCTTCGACGCTAATTATTCTTTTGTCAACAACATTTCAGGCCGCCTACGGATGTAGGCACCTCAAGACCGAGCGAGAAGGAGCCTAAGCAGTAAGAAGCGTTGCTCTCCATCTTTCTCCAATTCAATTTCAACGTGCCAATCGGTTTAATTGTTGACACGTGGATCATCAAGCTCGTCCGTTCGTACATTCATATTGTCATACTTCATCTAGAACACAGCGTGATAGGCTGAATCAACAGCTTCACCTACAACGAACAGAGATAGTTTTTTAAGATGAGATTGATGGGGATGATGTCTAACCCATGATGCCAGACCATTGATCGATTTGACGTAAACGCTACATCAACATTTTCACCTTTTTTTAAACGAATGTCTTTGTCTTTGTCTACTTAGCTGATAATTAGCTGCGCGACACTGTGTTCAAGAACTTCTCGCAACTCCTTGTAGCCCAGGACATTTTATTGTTCAGGAGCTCCTCACCCTCACAGAATGACCATTTAATTGCCAACTTCTTCTCCTTGTTGCCCACCCATCTGATCCAAGGATTGGTCTGCCCACCTTGCCATTTCCTTCGCGAGACTCTTATTCCCTTGGACAAACGCTTTTCGGGCGATTTGGATTTCCCTCTGAAGCTTCCGGAACTCCTGCAGTTGACCTCCCAATGCGATTTCCAGGCCACCATCAACATCTGCAGATTAGATAAAGTTACAATGTTTGGTTGGGACAAGGCAAACGTAAATAGGATGCAACCTGCATGAGATCAACGACAATCACAATACGTCGAATAGAAGAAATGTATTGTTCGACAGTTATTCAAGAACGTGGAGAGTGAGAAACGACAACCGTGGCCATAACTGAGAGCGTGATCGTATTTTTTCCTCGCCATCTTTGTCTTGGCTCGCAGAAATAACGCTTTAGAAACCTTATCTACTGCGCCAGGATGGGTTACGCTAGGCTCCAATCGGCTGCCGGTCATTTCTGCGCCTCTTTGCGCTGCGCGTTCTTTTGCTAGGCCTAGGATACCTTCGTGCAGCGCAATAACTACAGTGGCATCCTGCGCCGCCTCCGCGAATAGGCCAAGTCTTAGAGTGTTCGACATCATCCAGTCTGAGAGTGTTCTTTTTCCTCCGTATCGAAAAAAAATGAAATTGAAAATATTATACTTCTGTTGAAAGTATTGAAAATGCTTCAACCTCTATTCCTAGTAAATCAAAACCGAATAGATGTTGATGCTTATTCATACATAAGAGTTTCTCCAAACAACGTGCCCGATTCAGATAGAGCACGCCCTGCGTTGTCCGATCGTGCGCAGGAATTCCCTTCATTGCAGTGCCAAAGTCACTCCGTTGTCGTAGCTCTAGTTGTGATGACCATGAAAACGACTTCTCCTCGTGTGCTCTTGAGGGCAGAATTAGAGAGTACGAGTAGAAGATGGAAAATGATGATATCTCCCCCTACCGGAAATCTAAATAACCCGCGCGAAACCTCCAATGCGGTCAGAGACACATCTTCTACTCATTTGCCGTTGATGCACTTTTCACTTCATTTGGGACGTCTCTTCATCTACAGCCGCCACAGTCCTTTTCACCCGACAGAACCATAAGACAAGTAGCCATTCTGCTTTAGGCACTCCTGATTCTTCTTCGTGCAGAAGCGCATCTATAGCCACAGAGTAATGCTCCCTCGCAGCCTCGAAGTCTTGCAGCTTAAAAAGCTCGTTCCCCTGATCCTTGATCGAGCATGCTGCTCCGAGGGCGAGGTCGCGCCTCTTCTCAAGAACATGGGAACTTGAGCAGCTACCGTTTAACGTCTTTGAACGATGCCACTGATTGAGAACGTCGATGGGGAAATGTAGCTCCCCTTTTGCTTTCTAACTTAGGAGCGACATTCCCTTTGTTCCTGCGTTCTCAATCCGCGGCATCATACAGACTTCTGTTCTGCCCTCTGCGTGCACTGCCACACCTCGAAATTCTTTTCCTTTCTCCTGATAGCGTCTCGGGTCTCATTGCGACATTTTCCACCCGAGGAGGAAGACGCCTCCGCCCGAGGCTCAGACTGGATCCGTTCGACGGCGTGTCGCACCTCCTCAAACGGAAGGAGGGGAGAAATCCTTAGACGCATCAACTCCCGAGACTCATAGAAAGGCAAACAATAACAATTGTGATCAGATCATCATTTACATTTCTAACTTTAGGGGCGTTGCGCTGTCGAGCATCACTCTACTCGGTATATAGTACATTAATCCATTTCCGGACGTCGATTCATCATTTGCATTTCGCGGCTAGTGGATAGTACGTAGTGGATAAATAGTCTATGGGGAGTGCGAAAATTTAGAAGAAGACAGAGTCAACAGAATGTCAATCCCAATGTCTAGAAATAAATATGCATACAACGATAATAAATTGATATTGAAGACAACTCCAGCATAAAACATCGTGAAAGTGAATATCGCAAAGCTCGTCTCGTTTGTCGGGCAGTGGCTCCAACAAGAAAATATCCAAAGTTTTGTCCTCAGCGTTCAAAAACGACACAGTTCCGCGTCGCAATTCTTAGAGCTCGGGCCATGCGAAAGTATATGATAATCATCAGCGAAGAAACAGAGGAGAATCATCAATCATATCAACAAGAATACTTAGTAGCAGTAGTAGTTTACCCGCCATTCGGGGGGTAAGCACTTCTATTTCTAAAATACCGAGCAGCATAATCATGCGTAGTTCATGTTCTTCTGTGCGTCGTTGTTGTGGTTCAACATAACAAGCTAAGATCATCATGTGTAGTGCTATGACTGTACTGGTCCTTCTAATCAATGCTAGTCCTATTAGTAGTAGTACGGCTGCCGCTGCAACAACTAGCTCTTGTGCAATACTTATACATGGCTGGTCTGTAGTTAACTTCGAAATCCTCTACCCTTACTGGTACTCCTATTTTGTATATAATTTCATGCGGTGTCTTCATAGCGCTCGCTTAGGCCACTGTGGGCGTCGACAAAGTGTACTCGGACACACTGACCCACCTTGAAGGGGGCTTCGGGAGCGCTTGCTAATGCGGGTGCGCCGCATTCTCGGAGACCGCTCGCGGCGCTTAGGCTTACCATCTTTTAGTACAACTTACGCAATCTTGTTCTTTCCAGATCGAGGAAGAAAATAGCGCATTTTCTGAATCTGATACTTCGATTAAACTAAAAAAATCAGAGCTGGAATCTGAACGTGAGCTGAGGAATCACAATGTCCTTCTTCCATTTGCTGTGATCGCACTTCTGTGAGAACATTAAGGCAAAAATATGTTGACACAGAGGACAATGAGAATGACAGCAAAGGAGCTGCACAAAATAGTATGAAAAGGACGACAATACCAACAAACATACCACGAGCGAAGATATTATTATCATTAAGTCACCGTCAAACAACGACTAATAGTACGACATGATCTGCATTCGTAATATCTGCGCCAGGAAAGTAGCTGATGCCAGCACATGCCTCCCCATCTTCACTATATCCTTTGCCTTTCATCCTCATCCTCACGGGGAATGGAATAGCAAACTAATGAATTCGACACAAAGCATGATCTTCTTGATCCGATGATAGATAAGTAGATGAATCTTTTTCGAAATGATCATACTGGTACTGAATCGATCCTCGTGTATGATCATTGATGCGGTTGTTGATGTTGAAAATGCCAGCACCGAACAAGAGACATTCACAGACATGTGTCTATGCTGGGAGAGCGCGAGATCTCAAAAGAACAGAATCAATTAGAGGAATCCAGGTGTATTTTCTAAATCCAAAGTGTTCTTTCTTCATATCCGATATGTAGAATATGAATAGACCGCCCCGCTTTTTTCTGATTTCTGAAATGCATGATATGGATTGCATGCATTGCTATGGATTGGACTGGATAAAGCTGATACTGAAACTGAAGATGTCTATTATTTTAAGTAGAAGGCTTTGCGTTTGCGATTTCGCCCATCATACCGTGCGACACGAATACGCAGACAGTTGTAGAGAAAAATTATCAATCCGACGTAACATCTTCATCTACATCCATACTGGAAGTTTTTTTTGCTCTACCAGCTTCTGATTATTAAAACGTGGCAAATGGAATCTCCTTAGTACCTGTGTACCCTATTATTTTCTACTACTAGTTGTGGTTGTGCATCGAAATCGAAAAGCAATTAGCACCCAGACGTAATAAAATTCAAACAAACTACACAAAATAATACCTCTTTAGAGCTCAAAGGCAAAGACTTCGTTGACGATGGCGAACTTGTTCTTGTTGTAACACTCCTAGACGAACGTTAAACGCTCGAGGTATCTTGTCTGCGAGAGAATAGGTTCCATTTCGAAGCGTTTTTCACGTAGTGAAATCTTTCTCCTCGTGGCAAATAATTACGTGCAGCACCTCCCACTACATAGTCCCTAGGATATCTCGTAAAAAATCATCACAATCAATATAAGTCAAATTTTTCATGCAGCTTCTTGTAAGCTGCAGGCTGGTCGCTTACTTGGGGTGCGGATGCGCTGCGCGTTACTTTCTATCCTACTTGTATTTGAACATTGAAAGACGTTTGTGACCACACGTAGAGCAATGGCCTTCTACTTGCAAGTGGAGGCGACCTAAACCTGCACTGAAGATCTTATCACGCTGCGACTATGTTGCGTTCGATACTCGTCTTACATAAAACTAGAGTAAATGCAGCAAACTTCCCACATCAGTTTTGATGGACCCTCTAACTACACTTCTAACGGGCATTAACTTCAACACCAACTCTTGTTCTTCTAACTGAACGTAGTTCGGCATATATATTTGAAACTCTTGCATGTTTTACTTTATGTTTATGTTTATACCATAACCATCTCTGTTTTCTAAAGTATCAAAGCAGGGGCAGGGGCACGGAGGTTCTTCGATTATTTCGAGGCAAATCGGTAGATGATGAAGCATCCATAAACTAAAACGCCATGAAGATGATCACCACGACCTACCTCACTGCTTTCGTATTAAATCCAAAAACTTATTTTTCTAGTACTGTCCACCATGTCTGCGTTCGGAGGCACTACACGTATACAGAACTATCTTACGTTTCTCATCCGCATCCCTAGCCACGCCGACGCTCCGAAGCAATAATGTGTAGTGGGGTCACGCTATCGCTAGTGTTTGTACAGCCAGAGTGAACGAGTCCGAGTCGATCAGCAACATGATATACGAGCTCGTGGTCTGAAAAATGTCAAGTGAGCCTGAGCCTATGATGACAAGTATTGCGTGACTGACTGTCTGACTCGTCGATTATACGTCCTGCGCTTACGAGCAGTAATAAAAGTAAAAAGACAGGTATCATGTTGTATCAAGTTCTTGAGCACCAAGCACTCATCAGTGCAGACCACGCCGGTGCACTACGGCTAGTATTTGCACATGTTTTGATTGTAATCGACCCAGAACTGCAACTCGGCCTTGCCTGTGCCAACAACCATATCCCGCGTACGCACCAACCATATCCCGCGTGATATCACGGAGCATCTGCGTCCCAGCCGGAGATAGGCGGTTGAAGTATCCATCAACGCTCCAGTGCGTCTGCAAGGGTTTGTTTGCTGCTTCCATGCCATTTCTCCAGGCCTGAGTGATTGAAGCAACAGAAATATCATGAAATTAATCTTTGAAAATCTACGTGAATCTTCAAAAATGGACGTGCGTCCTACTTTTTGAGGTAAATCAGTTGACATGTTGACTCGTCTTACTTTACGGGTGGAGCCAAGCTAACTAGGAAAAAGATAAGGTTAGGCAAAGGGTATACAATTACAGAATTATAGTAATGGCCAAACTAAGTAGGATCCGTCTATTCTAGGCGCCGCGTGTCGTCCAACAGCCCTGGAGGTCTTCTCATCAGAGGCGGCCGAGGCCGGTGCTTGCCTCAGAGAAGTGCTCGGCTCTCGCGCTATGTGCACCCACTAGTTCGCTCCAGGGTACTCGTCTTACTTTAATATATTCGAAGGTCAACATAAAAATGTCGTCGTGATCGTGTTTGTAAAACTTTATTATTAATATTTCATTTCATCACTTCTCACACTTTACCCGATGAACCATCATGATTCTTCGCACCTGGGTGTCTGTGAAATATGCATGCAGCCTCGAGTCCATCTGGGCCGGATCCGTCTTGAAAAAAGGTTTTCCAGAGCCCTGGGATTTCACGTTAGAGCATGAACTCCTCTGGCCGACATGAAGATGAAGCTCCATAGGCTCTGCTTCTCACCATTGGTTCGCTCACCATCAAAAAAAAAACAGACTTTCCTCGAACAATGAATATCAATATGGCTTTTGCACACGAGGCTAATTGGCAAAGGCCTGTCTCCTTGTTCTTAGACGCGGCATAAAAATACGATGAAGCTGTATAATCGTTCTTGTTGGAGATGGAGAACGAAAGGTAGACCCCGAAATGATTTCATATAACAAATTATTTTTGCTTGGTGTTGTTCTCTATCTACTTTTTATCGAGGTTTACGTGCCTATGCTTTTTGGGCTTAACAATAAAGGCGATTTCTGCCAGTTTCGGGACCCGAGCAATGTCGTATTGGGTCATGAACGTCTGCTCCCCCTCCTTTGCTTCACCTTGCGACGCTCGATTGAGCGCTTAGTACGCAGAGAGGGGATCACACATTTTTTTGTTTTTTGTTTACTCTGCGTCGGCGTTTACTTGCATTAAGAAACTGCTCGAGTAGTTCAAGTAGTTGACACTATTGATATAGTCCACAGTGGACTGTATGTGAGTGTTATTCGATCTTCATTGATTGTCATTGTTCGATCCTAGCTAGGTATAATAAGTCTTTGTACAACGCTAGATCTAGAACTAGCGTCATAGGATGCTGACAGTGGGTCTGCGCACGCGTCCTCCGTATCCTATGCGGCTTCGGCGGATCGGGGTCCGCGCTCAGGAAGCAAGAATATCTTCACTCGTCAATAACACCACCGATTTAGTGTTGCTCAAACGGTTGTCTTGATACTTACTAACACTAAGACTAAGTGGAGGTGGTTCATAATTTTGCTCTCCGCCTCATCACTCTCCATAAAGCAGATCTGTAGTTCTCTTACCGATTATAACTTCTTTTTGAAGGTTGTAGGTTGTCACAGAAGACAAAGAGAAACAGGCAACAGAAAGAAAATCCAGATCTAGCGCCATTCATCCTGTGCAATCGACAATAACATCAAAAAGAAAAGAATAGACGGTCTCAGTCTCAGATCTTCTTATCGTAATAGCCATGGATCATCTACAACAATGACGGGCTAAATAAACAGTGAAGCGATGATCTGCCATGTGACAGCGCTTTGCGCCGCTGTACCAGTCCTCGAACTCGATGTTCTTGTAGCTCTCAATAATTATCCCTCACAACGACTTTCACCAGTCGAGATGAAGTAGGCGTAGGCCGCACTTCTCGTTCAAATGTTTTGATGCGCTGTCGTTCTTACAACCAAACAAGTGCTAATTGGTTCACAATTTTTTGTGCTCTTAAGGTTGGGTTTGGGGTCTATGTTCACTTCTCGGGTATAGCTATGTATTCAATCCATGACCATCTTTCAAATTCAATGTGCTGTATGCATTCGCGTTTAGACAACTCTACTCATTCTTGATTGTCGATATCTGCTCTTAAGTTAACTGCAAGGGAAGTCATCTGTATCTATTGTAACAAACAGTTGAAATTGGCTATTATTCATGTGAGCGAAAAAGATATAGAATCTACTTCCAATCATGATTTAATTTTAATTTCAGTAGCACCGCTGTCTTCCTCGCTCTCCTTCACCGAGGATCGAAAAACATCGAGGTTGTTCGCCTGCAGATCCCCAATATCGAATTAAGAATCGCTTGACCTCCTCATCCTCCTGAGGTCCATGCCTTGCGCACTACTACGATTTGAAGAGCAATATCTGAAGATATAAGGGGGATCAAGCGACGTTATTCAATGGCAAATTGGTCCATCTTGTTTCCAAATCAGAAACACACTACATGTGCATGTTGAGCATGAGGTTGAAGTTGAACCAGAACTGATAGTTTGTCTTAAGTTGTCTCTACGAGTGAAGATAATGATCATTATCAAGGTTAGAAATGAGGTCAAATGCATAAGGAATGTACCATCATTGGTCCAATCTGGTAGAAAGCGTAGGTCTTCGCTTCAAATGTCGCGGCACAATTAAAGCTTTTTCCGCATATGCAATGCCAACCTGGAGCATACTTTGCGTCGAAGAAGTTCTTTACCTGGAGGTGGAGATGAAATGAGGATTTTCACTCTGTCCGATGAAAAACTTTCTAGATCTTCTACATCGAGTGAAAAGTGAGCAAAACCTATTTGAGAGACAAAAAAAATTCGCATTTGCATGTACCATACAAATATTGAAATGTTTTTTTGGCATCATGGCACATGAAACAGAAAACTAGGAAAGGAGAGAATACTAAGATAAGATAGGACGCTAGGTCATCTCCTGAAATAGCAAATGTACGAACGCGGCCGCAAAAGGAACGTGCTACGAGCTACGAACAAAGTGCAGTACGTGCTTTGCTATGTCTTTTTCAGTTTCGAACTTTTGCACTGCTAGAGAACCTTGCGCGATAGCATCTTGTCTCATCTCAGAGCTCTCGTCCATATCGCACGTCAACTGATGCCAGGAGGAGGAAATGGAGTAGAAATAGATTTATTGAACGATGCTGAAGCTGAAGCAACGTAAACAGATGGATCAACATAAACATGATGTGTTCAGAGCATGATCAACATCTACAGTAGTTGTACCATAGTCTCCGACATGTTGGGCGATCTGGACGAGGGCTTCTACGGTGCGGCGTGTCTTCTCTCGCGTTTTGGCGAGAGGCGGTAAATTCACAACTATTTCTATTTTTCTGTTTCTACTTGTAGTTTGTAGTGATGTCGAAGTAGTATGATGTCTTCCTATTTTCATTTGACACCAGCATAGCGGTTCTGTGCTTATTGTGAGAGTCGTGTTGATGTTCTCGTTGTATTCAATTCTCAAAAAGAAAAATCACCTAAACTTTCTTGCACAACACAGGAGCAGATTACTACCGACTAGGTTTTTTTTCCACCCGATCGAAATCGATGTTTTCGAAGTCTTTAAATTTAATGCCACATGGTTCTCGCCTCGTGCTGTATCAGCTACTACTTCAGGTTCAGCCTTGCTGCTTGGAATAGCGAATAAGCCAGTCTCTTTTTTTTTTGCCTACTCGACAGTGGTCTTTGTTTTCGCAATTCCTTTTTTTCTATCCGGTCCGGTTTCTCACTCAAACTATCGACAACTAGTTGAGTTTCCTCTCAGTCCTCAGTAGTCTCACACACTGCATCCCCATCCGCCCACTACATAGATAGATAGTTCCTCTCGCTCGAAGACTAAGAAACTCCTCTCTCACCTCTTCATGCTAGATTGTAACCATCTCACGATATGAGGACGAGCCCTCTAGCAGAGCATGGTTTTCCCTTATGATCGAAATCAGGTTTCCAAATAGCAGAACAATTTACAATATATCGAATACACCATCCAAATCCATACACCATTAATATATATCAGAATACAACATTCAAAACGACATTTTCCACCTGTATTAACGTCAACTACGACGCGATACGCGGCGGCGATATTCACCACGAGTTCGATCTTCAGCACGGCCACTCATATGGACTGAGACACAAAACATTCCTGGTATCAGTTGCAAACATCTGCTGACCTAGACATAGGCTGCTGGGGAATGCTGATCCGCTTTCACCGTGCTGTAAAATCAAAATCAATAGTGCGCTTCTTGTTCTTCCAGAAGTATGACCTTGGCTTCTTTGCTTGAGGTTGAACTTGTGCTCCCTGCTGTGCTTAAAGAAGTTCGCATTAAAAGAGTTATAATGGTCAAAAGATTTCGGAGAGGTTTTTCGAGGGATTGTCGGGGGGAGAAGGGGGGGTCCTAGGGGGGGGGGT